AGAAATATATTGTCAGTGCAAGTGGAGACCGAACTATCAAAGTTTGGGTAGGTTTATTGACTTGAAAGGAAAATTTCGACGTGCTTTGTTTCGTTTAATCATAGGATACGACTACATGTGAATTTGTACGAACATTACTCGGACATAAACGTGGAATTGCTTGTTTACAATATCGTGACAAGATCGTCGTCAGCGGTTCATCAGATAATACAATTCGTATTTGGGATATCGAGTGCGGTGCATGTTTACGTATACTTGAAGGACACGATGAATTAGTACGATGCATTCGTTTCGATTCCAAACGCATTGTTTCCGGAGCATATGATGGTAAAAGAATCTATTCGAGATGAAATGATGATTTTTCGTTCGTTTTGATTTTTTGTCATTAGGTAAAATCAAAGTTTGGGATTTAGTTGCAGCTCTTGATCCACGTTCTCAATCGTCATTGTGTATCCGTACCTTAACAGAACATACAGGACGAGTATTTCGTCTACAATTTGATGAATTTCAAATTGTTTCCAGTTCACATGATGATACAATTCTTTGTTTCAACTTCCTCAACGATTCTCCAACAGCAGACGACGCAACAACAACACCGATGCATAGTACATCGTAATGTACGATGACATCTTTTACTACTATCATCTCATCTTTCTTTCGGCTGCGTCTTTTATTTAATTCTGTAGTTCTTTCTTCAAATGTGTCTACGTGTATATTGTTCATTGACTATTTCTTTCTGTTCGTTCAATTGTCTTTTCTCTTTTTCTTTCTTTCGTTCTTTTTTTTTAAAAACAACTGTGCAGTGTCTGTTTCATTTTGTATTTCTTGTAGCGTGAATTCATTGGACTCCGCTGCGAAATGTACATGTACTCTAGCTAAGAAGAATAAATAACAAACAAGAGGCCTGCTAACAGCAAATTTGGACAAAGAAAGACTTTTCTGTTCGATATCCTTGTTCTATCAATGATGTAAGAAGAAGAACCAATTACACAAAGATGCGAGTATTTATATGTGTCTAGTTTTTAATCAATACAATCGATTTGACTTCGTCGAGAGTTACTCGACAAGACAATCCCGTAGACAACGTCAAGCAGTGTCGTCAACAAATATTTACATAATAATGAAGCATCGAAAAACATCTGACCCTATCATTTTTATGGTAATAACAACCCATTAGAAGTCGATTTTGCAGAATAATGAGCAATTGTTTTTCATAATAGAAAACCTAACCAATGAATTCATTGTTAGACACAATTATTTGTCACTCAAGTACACACTTCCCTAACTCGCATTGCTTTTCAACAATGCACCACTCTGCACGTACATTTATTACATTTGACGATCGTAGGAGGTATTATCCGATTGATACGCGATTTCGAAAGAAAGAGAAGAATGCAGTTTCAGACTAGATGACACGGAGTTCTAGAATCAATAAATCATGCCTCAACCAATCTGTCATGATTATTAAAACAAATGAAATGAAGATCGATTGAGTTCCTAATTGGTACGAGCATATTCTTTCGTTTGTAAGATATTACGCACTTTGATTGAATGTAGTTTCAAAGCGGCTTATTTAACTCGCAGACAAATTAATCTGCCAAAAATTCTCGTTGTCTTCTATCAACAATGAGAATCCAATAGAGTCGCAGTCTTGTATGAAAATATGAACTATTCTTTAATGTAAGCTGTTGTATATGATTAGTGCATAATCTAATCTTTTCAGAGACATATCTTATGCAACGATGTTAATAGAACTCTTCTTTTTTACATATTTCTTTTCTTCGTTTCCCCTATTTTTTTTTATCTATATCTCTTTCGATTAATCTAACAGCAATATGGATATAATACTTTCTCAAGAATCCTTGTCGATTTCCTGTTGTCTGCCATTTGATTTGTCAAGGACTTATATTCAACGCTTTTTTCTCTACTTTGGTCTATTGAGATGTTCATTTTCTTCGGTGAAAATGTCCTCTCTTGTCGAACAGTATGTATCGTTCATGAAAACGCGTGTGGGATCGAGCGGATTTTGCGCGTGTTAATCAGCAGGTTCTAAAAGCTTTTAGAAATTATTTATATCAACAAATGCGAACGAGTGCTTTTAATATGATTATACTTATGGTAATGACCGTTTTCTCTCTATTATCATATTACATTCATTGACTCAATTAAAGTTAGTTAATGAGAGTGAACAATAAGGGAATGTCTATTTTTGTTTTTACCATATCTTTGATAATAATAATAGTAGCACAGTACGTCAAGTGCCGAGACTTCTAATTGAATTGGTGATAACATGACAATCCTCGTCGACAAGTCAAGGCTAGAGAATAGTAAAGAAAGAAGTTTTCTTCTTGTTTTTCTCTATGACAGCTTTCTTGATTGCCGAAGGACAACATCGAAGAAATGACAAGCCTATTTAAGCACGATCGATATTTCAAATTCCAGATCTTTTTCTATCTTGTAGAGTATTCTTTCGTGATTCTATCTATTGTGTTGATCTCATTGTGCATTCGTTTGTCAGTTGTCGAAAGGCAAATTTGGTGTCTTTGTATTCTTTTGTCAATTATCAATATTACAAAGGCGAAGAAGGAAAAGAAAGCATAATCCAGTCAATATCTTTCTAGTTTTTTTTTCATTTCCGCTGATTATAAATGTCGTGAAACATAACACAACTGTCACACAATCAGATCTTTTCACTCGTCAAACAGAAATCATGGATACAAATTCAACAGTCTCGGTGAGCTCATAACAAGTTTAGCTTTCGTTATCACAATATTGTCATCGATTATCTTTCGTAGATTCCTCAACAATACACAACAAACGAAACCAACGGTCTGACAAGGGCAACTACACAGCACTTATTCGTTATTCACTGTTTAAGTATTTATGCACTTGTACTCATCATCGTTGGCACTGCAGGAAATCTTTTAACAATCATTGTGTCATTGCGACGTCATCTTCGTCGTTTTGTTACTGTACGCTACTTGATCTTCGTCAGCATATGTGATATCATATCCTTGTATGGATGGAATTTGAACAATTTCTACAAATTTCACGTTAGTCCAGATCAAAGCAATATTGAAGATATTTCACTTGTTCATTGCCGAATTATATCCTTTATGACATTCGTAGCTTTACAGTTGTCGAGTTGGTGTTTAACAGCAGTGAGCTTAGGTGAGAATATGTTCGACAGCATTGATAGTCATCATTCCATTTGATCTAGATCGAGCATTGAATCTTTACTGGCCACAATGGAAACGATTGTATGGGCGAATAAGATACACAAAATATTATATTTTCATTTTGACATCAATTTGCATTGCATTGAATAGCCATGTTCTAGTTTTAAATGGTTACCGAACGCCATCCGGTCGCGTAACATGCTATTCTACGAGTACGAATCCGGATTATATCTATCCGCAATGGGAACGTGTTCATCTCGTTCTTTACAATCTCTGCCCATTCGCAATTATGTTTATTTGTAATACATACATTATTTTTGTTACTGTTCGATCAAGTCGTGCACAAAATGATCCGAGGTCAGCAAAATTTCAGCGAAAAAGTGCCGAGAGATATCGACAGTTCACCGCACTGCTCATTCTTGTTACATTTGCATTTGTTATCTTGACTTTACCAGCTTGTATATATTTTGTATTTTTTCGTAATTACTTCGTCTCCAAAACGCAACGTTCATATCGTTTTATGATCCAAGTTTTACTTAATTCGATTCAGTTCACATCACATGGTATCAATTTTTTTCTTTATTGCTTTTCAGCGAAAAGTTTCCGTCATGAATTACATGGAATGTTTCACGAATTCGTATCCGCTTGTCAATGTAAATGTCGATGGACAACAAAAGAAACGCGAGTGAATAATTATCAAATACGACAGTATATTGAAAATCTCGAAAACATACGAATATCACCGAATCGTCCATTGTATCGTGATCCAGATGAACAAATGAGTCCCTATCAATTGAAATTCTTCTCCGAGTTCAAACCAAGCAGTGACAAAAGTCCGAATGGGCTGTCGTAGAGAGTATTTACACCTGATTTAACATTCATGTCGTTGCTTTTCTCGTGTTAAATACAATATGTCAATTGAAACTGCATTTCTGTCAATATTTGTTTTTTAATTCATTTTCCATTTATTTCTCTTATCAATACTTCTAAAGTTACCATGGTTGGCGAGTTATCATGTCTGGAGAATGTCATAAATATCATATTTTGACTCGTGTTCGTCAAAGCGATAAATATTTTTAGACAAATGTCATCCTTGGCCAAGGTTATCTAGCCCCAATGAGAGTTTCTTTCTGTTCGCATCATCGAATGTCAATTAGTGATTCGACTTCGATTGCCAGTGACCGCAAATATAATTCCTGCTTTTCATCTTTTAAACTAATCGGACTGAAACGAGTGACACCTGGCGCTCTAGTGATAGAGTGATTTGATAACTTGACATAATAATTGGGTGTTATAGTTGCATTTGTCTAACAGTGGATACGCTTATCTCTAGTTCTCTCCATTATATACATCTGTTCGGTTAAAACCACATATTGATCTAGATAGATATCGATAAACTCCTTCGCACAAACAATTGCTTCCTACAGTTTGGTTGTCCAAATCAACATTTGCAGCAACTGGACAGATATCATCGAATATAGAATTGGTACCGTGATGCTAGTCTCTGTTGATAGATAAATTTTCTTATGCAGCATGCATTCGAAATATAATTCAATTCGAATAATTGTTCCGAAAGAATTGTACAATCGATTACTAGCACCATCTGTGCAAGTTCTGATTCTACTGATTTCCAGTAAGAATCGTAGCCATAACTAAACAAAACATCTAATTGGTTCTTTGATAAGTGTAAAATACCGAATCCATCGGACGTGGACAGATGCTCGTTTTTTGTTGGCATATTTACGTGTACTATTTTTTGAATCATCCTTATTCGACTATCGTTTCAGAATTATTCGTTCATCATTTTTCTACTATTAAAACATGGTAAAGATAGTGACGGAAACTTCCGAGTTGAAACTCTCAAATCTATCTGTTTAGCCATTGCGCCTTGATGTCAAGCGCAAACTATCAGTTCGATCAGATCGTGTCAAATCTGTCGATATCCATCCAACTGAACCATGGATGTTGGTGACATTATTCAATGGCCATGCATATATTTATAACCATGAAACTCAAGTAAAACTTAATGTTTTGCTAGTCTTATCATCATTCCTGACATTTTCTGTTTTGTTCAGCAATCAATAAAAAGCTTTGAAGTATGCGATGTTCCAGTTCGTGCTGGTAAATTCGTTGTCCGAAAGAATTGGGTGATCACTGCATCGGTAAGTCTGACTTCTCATTCGATCTTTTCTTATATTCAAATGGTCTTCGAAGGATGACATGACTGTTCGTGTTTACAATTACAATACTCTCGAACGTTTACATCAATTTGAAGCACACAGTGATTATATACGGTCAATTGCTGTTCATCCAACACAATCATATATACTGACTAGTAGTGGTGAGTATTTTGTCGTGGAAACTTTCGGTGTCTAGCTATTTGCTCTGTGCAGATGACATGACAATTAAATTATGGGATTGGGATGCGAAATGGGCATTGAAGCAAACGTTTGAAGGACATATTCATTATGTCATGCAAGTTGTATTCAATCCAAAAGATAACAATACATTTGCCTCAGCATCACTTGATCGAACTGTGAAAGTAGGTACATCGGAATTTGTGCTTCTTGCTTTTACATGATGTTCATTAGGTATGGCAACTCGGATCCACTCATCCAAATTTTACACTTGAAGGTCATGAGAAGGGTGTGAATTGCGTAGATTATTATTCCGGTGGAGACAAACCATATCTCGCATCCGGTGGTGATGATCGCTTGATAAAAATTTGGGATTATCAAGTAATAATTTCATTTGAAGATGAGTCTGTCCATATTCGAAACTTTTCTTGTGTAGAACAAAACATGTGTACAAACACTAGAGGGACATTCTCAAAATGTTGGCTGTGTGGCATTTCATCCTGAATTACCGATTATATTAAGTGGATCAGAAGATGGTACAGTGAAATTATGGCATTCGAATACATACCGTCTAGAATCAACACTTAATTACGGTCTGGAGAGGTGCTGGGCGATTGCATGTTTGAAAGGATCGAATAATGTTGCACTTGGTTACGATGAAGGATCGATGATGATTAAAGTTTGTAGATGAATTGGCCAAACGATCGAAGATGATAAACTTGTCTTGTTTTAGTTGGGTCGAGAAGAACCAGCCATGTCGATGGATGCGTCAACGGGTAAAATCGTTTGGGCCAAACATTGTGAAATTCAACAAGTTAACTTAAAACAATTGAGTAGTGATCAACAATTGAAAGACGGGGAAAAGGTTCCGTTAAATGTCAAAGAATTAGGCAGCTGTGAAATCTATCCACAAACATTATGTCACTCACCCAATGGAAGATTTGTCGTTGTTTGTGGGGATGGAGAATATATTATTTATACAGCAATTACTTTGCGTAATAAGAGTTATGGAAGTGCAATGGAGTTTGTTTGGTCGCAAGATTCGTCCGAATACGCTGTACGCGATGGAAATATGGTAAAAGTTTTCAAGAATTTCAAAGAAAAGAAAACTTTCAAGCCAGCAGCCGGAGCTGAAGGTAATTCCCATGATGATTTTCACTTTCGTATGCAAGAAAGGATTGCTTATTTTAGGTATATTCGGTGGTAATTTGTTGGGTGTTCGATCGTACTCAGGTTTAACATTCTACGATTGGGAAACGTTAAATTTAGTTCGTCGTATTGAAATTGTGCCAAAAACCGTATGTTAGATCTTGTGCCACACTTCTTGAGAGTCATTTCGTGTGTTATACAGATCACTTGGAGCCAAAACGGTGAATTAGTGTGTATCGCAACAGAAGAGTCCTACTACATTCTCCGTTACAGTACTCAAGCAGTGACGGTTGCACAAGCTAACAAAGATCTCGTGACTGAAGAAGGCATTGAAGATGCATTTGATGTAAGATTTTCTTCTTGAACATGATATAAATTGATTTGAACTATCTCTCTAGGCTTTGAGTGAAATTCCAGAAGTTGTTAAGACTGGTGTTTGGGTGGGTGATTGTTTTATCTACACAAATTCTCTCAATCGAATTAACTACTACGTTGGCGGTGAAATTGTCACCGTTTCGCATTTGGACAGGTAGGAGAGAGAAAGAGAGTAAGACAAGTACATGTTGTACCCACTAATCTGATGTTTAGAGTCATGTACCTATTGGGTTATGTTTCAAATGAAAATCGACTGTATTTGGGTGATAAGGAAATGTCCATTGTTTCGTTTGAATTGTCACTATCTGTATTGGAATATCAAACAGCTGTGATGCGGAAAGATTTCGAAACAGCTGATCAAGTACTTCCGACGATTCCAAAAGAACAAAGAACACGCGTTGCTCATTTTCTTGAAAAACAGGTTAGTTCGAATGTCTCTTCTTCAAAATTTCGACAATCAATTCGTTTTCAGGGTTATCGTCAACAAGCTCTCGCTGTAACTTTAGACACTGAACATAAATTTGATTTAGCCTTGCAAATAGGAAATTTACAAGTATGTTATGATCTCGCTGTCGAATTAGAAAATGAGCAGAAATGGGTACAATTATCTGAAGCTGCCACGAAACAAGGTGAAATGAAACTAGTTCAAGAATGTTTAACACGTGCACAGTCATATGGTTCATTAATTCTTCTGGCAAGTGCTTCGAGTGATAAACAACTAATGGAGACCATCGGAGATAAATCACGTCAAAGTGGACAATTCAATATAGCTTTCCTCTCGAAATTCGTCCTGGGCAAACTAGATGATTGTTTGGATATTCTCATTGAAAACCAACGTTTGCCTGAGGCAGCATTCTTCGCTCGAACATATCTTCCATCGCAAATCAATCGTGTTGTAGGATTATGGCGAGAAAAATTGAAACAAATGAACATGGAACGAGCAGCAAATTCTTTAGCGAATCCAACAGATTATGAAAATCTCTTTCCGGGCCTGGTTGATACATACAAAACAGAACAATTTTTACAGCAACAAGAGCAGCATGTACCAGCTAGCAGCTACGCATCGATGACAGTATGATGAATGGGCTCATCTCAATGTTCGAAATAATGTTCTTTTCATTTAGTCGAATTGGGAAAGGAATCCAATAGATGAAATGAAAACAGCTGAGGAGAATGGTCAGTTTTCATTCGATCCAACACAATTTATTAAAACACCAGCCGAAGGTAATGATGACGACGAAGAAAAATTTGACGATGCCAATGAAATACCAGTTCCAGTAGCTAATAAGGTTCGTATGAACAAACAGAGTCTTCAATAAAACCTGTTTCTATTTAGCCAACAATAAATTCGTCTGTATCAAATAACCTCAATCCTTCACATGACTCTGATCGATCTCGTTCACATTCTCCGAAAAACAACTCATATCCTCCAATAAATAAATCCACTCTTGCTTCCCCTGTCAGTCGAGAAACTTCCGTGACATCAAAAGCGTCAAGTATTACATCAACAGCAGCCACAGCTGGCACCGGCCGTCGAACATCTCTCACAGATCTCGAAAAAGAATTAGCCGAATATGATATCGATGATGTAAGCAACAAGGAAAACGGCTCTGAAATTTTCACAAGAACTTCTAAAAAATCTCCTAATGAGAATGAGGTAAAATCGTTCACGTTCTTGCATGTTCACTAACCTTTGCATGGTCTACTTATTCTTTTGTGTTTTGTTCTTATGTATACATATTGGGTGAATGCACTGACTAACAACGGACAAAACAATATCATCTGATTACTTTTTTTTTCTGTTTCTTAGGACGCGGAACTCAACAATGATGATACCGATGAATTTTTCGAGGAGAACTGAAGAATATGTGATATACATATAGATTACAAGCAAACACCTAACTGAACTGTTCTCGTTATTTACAATTTCTTTTTCTTTCTTCTTTTTTTCATCTTCGATTGATCTGAAATACGCAGTGGAGAATTTATAATCATGTTGTTGAAGGTTTACTAGTATTCTTTAGTGTTCTCGTCCTTTTATTGTAATAAACATTCGCGTCTAATTTTTTTTTGTTTGTTATGAAAAAAGATCTTGTGTGTTTGTTTGTATGTGCACTGACGATTTATTCGAGATGATAATTCTTTTATATATTATACGTTACTTTTACTGGGTTATGAGTGATATTTGACACAAACAAAGTTGAGATTAATGATATATACATAATGGCAATTCAGTGAATAACATATGCTCAAACTCAATCTACATATTTCAGAGAAGACGATGGTGATTGATGAACTTTTTTCTTGTTAGACTTGCCTTCAAGTTATGAAGGTGGCTACTGGTTTATTAGTTTTTTTTTTGCCTTTTCTCACATTTTATTAAATAGAAGCGAGAACACGACAATATGCTCGTTGTAGTATTGTATTAATAGTAATTTGATAACGAGATTGACATTAGGGAGAGATTATTCTTGATAAGCGAGATTTGTAAAGGTTTTTTTTCGATTGTTGCGGAAACAGATTTTGATGTTGTCTAACGGAATCCACTGCCTGTTCATGGCAAAGATTATTTTATTAATGCGAGTCATCTGCTTACTTGAATCGTGTCAGTCGCTGAATTTTTCAAAAGAAGTCAATGATATTTTATACAGAAAAAAACATTATCAAATCAGTACTGGTGAGGTGGATACTATGTGAAAGAAATAGAATCGAGTAGAACTTTCTGACGCTATCTTGAGTTTATCAGGTAAGATTTTTCTTCGAAGAAAATCAGTTATAAAGGAATTTCCACATCCTGTGTCCTATCTGTTTCTCAACATATCCTATTTCTAGTTTGATCATCACAAAAATCTCCACGATGGGTTGCCGACAATCATCAACATTGAGTCCAATGGATCGTATGACGTATGAATATATTTTAACACGAATTCCCGAACATTGTCAACGTGAGATCAGGAAGATTCCTGTACAACAATTTCTGACCATTTATGGCAAACACATGAATGCTGAAACTCATCTCGACCAAAAGGAATACCTCTCAGCGATAACAAACGAATCTGAAGCTATTCATGACTTAGAACTTCTACTAAATCATCAGAAAGATCATTTTATTTTCGCAGACATGTACAAATTATTATCGATTTGTTATTGGTCGACGGAAAATATTGAGCTTGCTTTTGAAAGAAGTCTATTAGCGTTAAATATTCGACTTAAACACACACCAATGGATTTCACCGAGATTAGCTTGCATTATTTTCGTTTAAGTCTCATCTGTATAGTTAAAGGTATATGGAAAGAAGCGGAAGAATGTCTGATCAAGGCGATGAATGCGGCCCAGTCGAGTAATGCTTTATCGCAATCTTACATTCAAGAACTTGAAGATAGTCTTTCATCTCTCAGGTGAGTACAATGAAAGCATTTGTTCGAGATCGAATCTTTGTTTTTATTTCAGACAGCGAATGGAGAATAACTCACGACAAAAGCCATTAGTTTATTCATTTATATCTGATGTTCATGAAAGTCAAGAAGATTATTTGCGTCGTAAAACACTTGAAGAATTGATAGCCAGATACACTGATGTTAGTGCGTTACAAATCGATAGACAAGAATATGACCGACTGCCAATCAAACAAACTGAAACACAGATTGGCAAGGAGGCAATTCAAGATGTACTGCAACATTTAGAAAAGTTCCTTGAAGAAGATTTGTTTTTACTCAAATTTGGCACCAAAGGAGGATGTATTAGTTTTATCGCTGCCTATTTTAAAGCAACACAGATGAAGACAAGTTCATTATCAGCAGCAGTAATCGAAGCTGCATTAACAATAATCATCGACCGAGTCAACGACGATAGATCTACGGACGAAGAAATGTATTCGACTATACGACAATCATCATACGCTCTTTCATATACAGATGATGATGAATCTCGTAGCCCAGGCGTGCGTGTGTTTCAGGTGAAAGGAAAGGCATTGCTGAATATAGATGATATGTTATAATATATGCTTGTCGACATATATATTAATATTTCGTATTTTGCAATAAATATAATATAATGAATATAAAATTTGCTGATAGCAGTCTATCATACAGTGACTGATGGTTGTTGCCGTGTTCACACCGTGCACTTACAGGAACCTGAACGTGACGTTTTCTCTTACAGCGGTAAAGAATAAAATCTAATATTAAATCTCTCTGTTGCCAAATGCAGACACCGACGGAACGTGGAATAAAAGAGCTTGAAGGTTTACATCAGTAGTGAATCTCTCACTATCGTTCCTGACTTCGAGCAATAAAGAAAAATACAAAGTCCGAAAATATTCTTGTCATACCCTGAAGAACTGATGTATTACGTTCTATCTGGGTAGAGAAATAATAAATTCATAACAATACAAAGTGCATATCTCTTCATTTCTTATGCAAATTACTTGAGAAAATTTGAGTTTTTTTGGTATCGATGTTAATGTAAAAATGAATGAACTTTCATTAAAACTCAAGGACTTGAAAATATCTTTGTTTTACATGGCTTTTTTCTTAACAGGAACATCGAAATCCTATAAGTACCCCTTCGTGCATTTTTTGGTTCTGATTATTGACAATTGTTTTCTCCGACTCAATAAAAAAGATGTAAACTTTGATTTACATTCATATTTTACAAAACAAACATTCAAATGGCACGCTTTTTCCCTGCACTACTATTCCTGCTACAGATAACTTCAGTGTTCAATTCTCATTTTCGTGGATCGATGGTAACCTGGCGTGTAATCAATTCAACAACAAATCCACTGCAGGTTGAGGTCTTACAACGTCATGCTTGGAATTACGCATGGTGGCCGTGTACAAACGCACAGATATCTGCGGGAAACTACACGATCGGCTCAGGAATTTTGAAATGCATGTCATCATGTCCACCAAATGTCAGTACACTAAATGCAGTAACAGTACCATGCACTGGATTCAATCAAATTGAGCAGTATGTTAGCGGCGAAGGACGTTTCACTTTCCAAGTCTCACCAAATTATCGTTTTCGCGCGATATTCAGCGGAAGTGCTTGGTTTGCTTTAGTCACTGGTGGTGGCAATTGGTCGATTGCAGTCGAAATCAATACATATCTTCGACCAAATGGTCGATATAATCAAGCACCCATCGTTACCATGTTGCCCATCATTCGACTTCGTCGTTTTCTAACCTATAATATCAAGATAAACGTTGCTGACAATGATTTCGATCGTTATAAGTGTATTTGGTCGAATACAAGCGACGAATGCGGTGGAATCTGTCGATCGGTGCTCAGTTTGCCTGCTTCGACCTATCTCAACGAAACAAGTTGCGTTTTACGCTTTACTCCAGCTACTGTGGGCTTCTACGCCATGGCATTCACTGTGCTCGATTACGAAAACGACACAAGTATTGATCCGCTTTCGCGTGTGCCTGTTCAATTTATCTTTAATGTTTGGGATTCGAATATAACATGTTCGACACCACCGATTTATATTGGCGATGCACCCGCTGATCAATGTATTTTTGTCGAACCTGGTCAAATTATTACCATGATCATTCGAATTCGTGTTCAATGTGCCAATGCTACACTAGTGAATGTGATCGGGGTGTATCCAACAGGTTTTACTCAATCAGCAGTTTTTACTGATTCGTACGATTTGACGTTATACAATTTTAAAGTTTCGTATTCAGCCAGTGCCAATCAAGTCGGACAAAATCTTTTTTGTTTTGCTGGAGTCGATTCGATTGGTAATCAAGGTGATGCCACATGTCTTCGTTTTACTGTTCAGTTAGGTTCTGATAGTCGTAACACTCTGTACGTGAACAACGCTACTCATTTCCCTACTGGTCTAGTATCGAAATATCAATCAAGTTGGACAATACTCTATCCATCTGGAATAACATACAGTCGACCAAATACTGATGCTTTCGTTCGATTTAAACTTGCCACGACCAATACTGACTTTGTGACTTACAACGTACTTAAACAGCCTGATAATGTTATTTACCATTCTGATCGATTAGAGATTATATCGGACATCACTTTCAGCACAGGTCAACAATTCTACATATCAATCGATTCTGGCGTCTTTTTACCAATAGCAACTTGTTTACGTGATTCCATGGGAATAACAGACAGTACGTTTTGGACATTTTATACCGCAGTAGAACCTAGTACGTCGACAACGACAAGCACAACAACAACTTTCACGACCGTCACCATACAGAACCGAACAGTAAGATCAACTGATTCTATGCTATTTATACTAATATGAATTCTAGATACCAACGATTCGAACTATACCGCCGACCCTGCCTGCAACAACGAGCGCAAAGCGAACAACGATTGAATTCAGCACTACAACTGCTATAAGTACAACTAATAAAAACATTTTTCCGACATCTTCGTATCCAGTCAGTACAGCTGTCGGTGCCACCATTGGGGCAGTCATCGTGATTACTCTAATGAGCTTATTGATTCACCATACTGTGAAACGTTATCGAACGAAATCGGTGGTCAAATTAGAGAATGAAGAAAGTAAGACGGAGACAGACTCTGATACTTCTCCACAGTATCGTTTGACCACACGAACTGCTGCACAGCCCGCGAGTAAAGCGAACGATTTCAACGTACGTGATATCGTACAACTAACAACAGCGAAACGCCAAAATCTAATCGTTATGAATTAATAGATGACATAGATATCGTTTTGTTTACTTAAATCATCAAATGTGTTTGTATTTGAGCAAAAGCTAATGGTAGTTTCTTTTGCAATAACTGTTGCATTCGTGGTTGAGCTATTTGCATATGTTCTAATGTACATCTGATATCACTGCCAAGAAATTCAATGGTATCATGCAGAATTTGTATACATTTTGTTAATTTTTTTGCTAATTCCAAAAGCAAAGAATATTCCTCTTGTACAATATGATCAAATTCATCCTTAGTTGAAAAATGTTTCGGTATAGACGATGACTTCATTGATTCGAAGACTTTTCCGAATTCGAAATCTCTTTCTAATTCATTCAAACCATTGACACTCGATTGATTACGTGAGAATGGTAAAATAAGTAAATGATTGTCATCATGAATATTTGTTTCAAATGAAAATGCCTTTGCTTTCGAACAGCACAATTTTAAACAAGAGATTCGATTTAATTCCGTAATTTTCTTATTGATTTCTTGCGCATGAGATTTCGTCGATTTCAGATCAGCAATACATTCATCAATCTCACGCTGTTGTTCGATTAAATATTCAATCGATTGCAAACACATTCGTTTCGTTTCATCGAGCTTCTGTAAACATGCATTACATCGCTGTCGATCTTCATCACTCAGCGCCATAGATCAAAAAACGAATTCGATTTTACAAGCGCGCTTTTCTTTTCTTTGTTCAATCTAAACTAAAAGTCCGGTTAGGTGTCATTCCGTACTTGGTGCCGAATAGCACGCGTCTATGTTTACGATCGATTTGATCAACTTTATTAACTACAAACAGATATGGCGAGTGTCATTACATAAAAAAGTGTTTGGTTTCTATCCGATCACCTGGCCCCACCTCGACGAGCAGCTGGTGATGCTCGGCGAGATGCTGGTGATCCATGTGGTGCTCGTGCACGACGAGGCTGAGGAGTAAACATAGTCGGTAAACGTTGATAACCGCGAATGGGTGTAGGATAATTCTTTTCGGTACACACTCGAATCTTTGTACCAGATATAATCAGACTTATGAACAAAAGGAGTGTTAATACACACGAAATAGCTAAACACGCCGAGGAGAGATTTCTATCCATTCGCACAAAACTCGGCATGGTGTCTTGACTTGTTCCATAAAGTTCCTTCCAACCAGCTAATATCGTTGCATAAGTAATGATCAAAAATACCATTAAACATATTGATAAGATCAAACCGATAAAGAAGATCAAAATAGCCGAATAGCTCTGTCGAACACCACTGTATATACCCAATGCACCGGTTGTGAACAGAATCAAACTAAATAGTAATGTTGCTGTTGACCATGGCCATACCCATCGATTTTCCAATCGATTGTTTGTGTAACGTGCATTGAAGCCAATGGTGACATCGGGATTGATCAAATATTGAAACGAAGTATTGGAATCATTCTGTCCACGATTAATCGAACCAGTATAAACACGGGCAAGTTCAATTGAAAAAAGAGCAGCAGCAAAGAAAATGATTAAACAACCAAGAATGAATCCTTTCAAACGAAATGTATACCGATTAACGTATGCTGGATTGCCTGGACCAATGCGACGATCTAAGCGTCCTGAATGGTAGAATCGAAAGAATGTACGACTGTTATTCAATGGAAAAGGAGCAACTGACGACGCAAGCATGATCAAACTGAATAGGTTACTTTAATGCATACAAAAACTACCGAGAATACCGATATATAGCGAGCGTGTACTCTGTTTTTCTCAGCTAGTCATGATTATTATCTCTTCCTTGTTTTGCTCGTTAATGAGAGAAAGAAAAACAGGATTCAATGTATCGTAAAAGCAAGAAAATAACATCAATAGAAGAAAACCACATGTTATCAAGTGCATAGATTCTCCAGTGAGACAGTTTCTACGACTTGGATCATCTCGATGAAAAATATAAGATCAATTCTCGAAAAGATTTAACGAACTTTCTTTTCAACAGATCAAACTCGCATTACAATTTTGTTATGGATGACTGCTCATCACATTTCATGATTTTTTGCGTCGATGTCGAGAACGGACAAAATATTTTTGATTACTAAGTACACGTCGGATGACTCATCGTCCTTAGATATGATTTCCAAGTCAATTCACAAAAGTAATCACGTCTTATCAAATGACAGAGATCGACTTTAATTGCAAATACATATGACAGCCATGAAGAGATAAAACCATCATGGTAATTACAAACAATAGAGCAAGATTAAATTATTAAATCTAACGATTGAAATGAAAGTTCTTCAATCCAGTGCACAAGTCATTCAATATCGGACACAACCTTCACTGAACATTTGTTGTTTTTGTTTGTCTGAGTAGCTTTTTCTTTCAACTTGAATGTTTACTTTGACATTTTCCTCCTTCATTTGACACTTAACTCAAACTACTCGTGAAAAAAAAACGCAAAATCTCAATGATTCAATCCAGCGAAGGTTAACTTTGCTTGTCTGATTACCTTGAACTAAGCATATCGTTTGTTCAATGGGCTCAATTAACCTGTTGTCATGTTCGAATCAAGACTGTTGTTATTGGAATGATTTAAATAATGCACATTACTATTTGGTTAATTAAATCTAATGGAAACATGTTCTTTATGAATATTAATGATTCGATTTGAAGATATGATCTGATTTCGGCTAGTTAGTTGACGTGCCTAACCTTAATAAGCAAATAATCAGATCAAGCGAGAGAGAGAGAGGTCGACTAAATAACGAATGAACTCCGTGTAGAAATGATAAAGACAATGTTCTCTTTTTTTTCTTCGCTTGTTGTTGTTAGACTTTCGTGATAAACGACGTAAATGATGAAATCCACACATGTACATAAATACATATTAACATACATCGATACGATGACAAATAAATGAAGTAGAAATTCAAATATGCACAAAATAATGTGTCTCGTTGGTTTTAATCATAGATGATCTGACGATTTATGTTATTCATAACATCTACCATTAAAATGATCAATCAAGTTTTATTGACAAGTAATAACTTGCTTTCAAAGGCGTTTAACTTTTCGATGTAAATCACAATGTATGTATTAAGAAACATGAGAAAGAACGAGAGAAGCCTTGAACGCATGTGTTTGAAACGAGTACAATTTGTTCAATTAGATCGTGTGTAGGCAAATCTGTCATTGTACAACTGTTCTTTCTATTCGTATAAATTGAACAGATCACTATTTCTTTTTTTTCTTTTCTCAATCAATTCTAAGAACAAATATGCATACAGTCAGCTTTGTTCTTTTTTTCTTCGTCTTCGTCTTATTTTATTGATGATCATCGGCAGCATCATAGTTGAAACAAGCTGTTGCTTTCCCAACATTAAATAAAACATTTTTCTTCCCATGTCATTTTTTCTCTCTCTCTCTCTCCCTTCTCTATACACTAGAGAACAAGTGCAGACAAGGTCGCATACTTTTTCTCTCTTCACATCTTAAGTAGAAAAAGTTCTGTTTGATTAATCATTCTAACTATTGATTTCTTGAACGTATGAATCCGAGAAATGATGTCATTTTTTTCTGTCGGTCTTTTTTTCAGAGTACGATGACTGTGTGTAAAGTGTTTTTATACGGGTTAAAACCTTGTGATATTGGTAGTAGCACAAATGACAACATTTCTGATGCTGCGTATCAACGACAAAATTCATTAACATCAATGTTCACCACGGAAAAATCATTACCGGCAGAGAACAACTTTTTAAACATCGACATTAAACCTGTCTTAACGCCAATGAGTTCGGTAGGACAACGATCATTCGTGCATGTTTGAATTTCATGTAATAAGTTTTAGCGTTCTTCAACAGCGAGTAGTGACACAGGTCATGAATCAAGTCCCATCCGTGTAGCCATTCGTCAAACACCTCGCGGTCGTTATCGTATTTGTGTTTCTCAATCACTACTACGTCCACGTGTCGGTGATATCTAAATCCTACTGTATTATTATTATTATTATTATTCTTACCGCGAATAATAAACATTCTTTGATTGCAAACTGTTTCATTGATATAATAAATACCATGAATTATTCTCTACTTACTTACATATACTTCAATTAAATCACTGGGAGAAAGAAGAGTTTCTTGGCATTGCCGCTGAAGATAGCGACACTTAAGATAGAAAGAGATTATGCGCACAGCGTTTCTCTGTCTGCAGTTATTTAAGCGGATCTTGATGTGAATTGGCATTGCTTTGGTTCGATCGGCCTAAATGCACATTCTAATTTGAATTTAGTTCTAGTTCATGCATATAGCTAACTAGACAATTTCCGTTTGGTTCGTTCGGTGTTTCTGTTGCATATTTCTTTTTCGACTATGATCGGTCTAGCTAATGATGTTAGAGAGAATTCGATGAATTGCTATTGCTTAGAAATGAAAATTCTCTTAGAGAGAAAATGTATTCAAGGAAAGAAGTTAATATGATCTAGTTGCAGCAAATCTCTATTTTCTCTCTCTCTCTCTCTCTCTCTCTCTCGTGTCACACAACATTCTGTTCATTTATGTGGCGAAAAGGCATGCATGTCTCATCCGAACGAGTTCAGCCTATCTCCTTTCGCTCTCGTAGATTGAATAGAATTACTTGATAGGAAAAATCCGGGAAGGAGAAAGAGAGGAAAAGATATCGGGCATAAAATTAATTTATTATAGAAAGAAAAAGAAAAATTTTCTCGTACTGGAAATCTTATTCAATGATATGATCTGCTGTTAGGTAAGAGATGTCTAATGTACCAAGAAAATTCGCATTTCTAGCTTATTTATATTTCCTTCGGGTGAGCTTAATAACCGAGATTTATGTGATTCGAACTAACCTTTGTTCGTAAGATAATCGAGTGATACACGACTTTTTCCTCTGAATCTTCGAAGTTAGAAATGACATCGACTATTCAGGACACAAAACGATTTATATTTATTGTTTGTCATTGATTATTCTAGTTATGATCTTCTAATAGCCATTGATATGCCGCTAGCAGCCATAACACCTGTTCTAAATGACTTACTTAAGAAAGACGGTGCGTGTCCAGCACCCTATCCTCAACATTTAGCTCAACATCGTCAGTCGAACGCAAGTGAAACGTTAACGACAAGTGATTACCTGCGAGGGCCATCGATTAATCCTGATCAATTGCCATCTTCGCCGTCAAATGATGATGTAAGTCATTATTTTAATAAGATTTCATTGCCGAACTAAAGCATGAGCATTCTCTAGAATGATTTCGTTCGTCAGTAACTGAACGCGTTTTCTGTCGTTAATCAAACCCATAGAAATGAATTCGAAAGAGAAAAAAAAAGGCAAAGAGGTCTATTGTTTCCTCTTCTTCATCATCATCTTCACATCACGCTCGTTGCTCTTCATCTAATTGAGTATGATAGAGAATTCCGAAATAAATTATCAACATTTGTTTTCTATTATTTACTTATACTTCAAATCTAGAGAGAATAAGAGGCAAAAACTTTCTTCAAATCAAGTTATGGACATCCAGAGTTAGATTCATAGAAAAACAAGATTTTATCGAACTGATGGTGATTATCTTTGGAAATCTTTAGTTTTTTTTCTCTCTTTCTGAAAGTTTTGTACCTTTCAATTACAACCGTCTTTTCTAGAGTCTAAAGCGACAATCAAGTCCTGGCGGCAGATCAAACAAAGGATTGACACGAGAAGATTCTTTCCTACAAAGATTTTCTAATCGGTATGGCTATCGAAGTATGGGGGCGATAGGTAAGTCGATCTTCACGAATGTCTTATATTGCCGTTTTGTTCTTCCAGATCCTGTTAAACAAAATCTTCGATTGAACAGTGAAAAAGATGAACCGATCAAAACTCGTTCTGCGTTTCTACGACGGATCTTACGAGCATGTAATTACTTTGTTATATCAACCGACGAATCGTTCTTATTCTATTGGTTAATACTATTGAATATTTTTGTTTTGTATAATTTATGGTTTTCAATTGCCCGGCAAGCATTTGAACCATTGCAAACAGATTATGAGAATATCTGGCGAATTCTTGACTACATAGCAGATTCCATGTACTTTGTCGATATTTTCATTCAATTTCGTACCGGTTATCTTGAGCAAGGTAATGAAAATGAAAAGATTTATTCCGTAATTCAATTCGAAATAAATTTACGAGACGATCTAATCGTATTTTTCGTAGAACGTCTCGACAGAACAGGAAGTTGTCGATTCGTCTTTTTTCCGTTACTTAGATGACTAACGTCATTAAGTGATGATCATTTCCAAAGATAAAAATAACATTTCGAAACTAAATTTATGTGTACGAATGTTCTAGGCTTACTTGTTTACAATCACATGAAGCTTGCTATGAATTACATACGTTCATCTCGTTTTCTCTTCGATATTCTATCATTAACACCATTGGATTTACTTCAAATCAAATTCGGCAGCATTCCGATTCTTCGATTTCCGCGATTTTTCAAACTCTATCGAACATTTCAACTCTACTATTATCAAGAATCACGTACTATCTATCCGAATACCTATCGAGTGCTGAATCTACTTCATATACTTCTTCTCTTGGGACATTGGTTGGCTTCCTTCTATTTTATGGTATCGAAAGCGGAGGGTTTTGTTGGATTTTGGTCTTACCCAAAGCCTGTAGGAAATTTTTCTCAAATAGCAAGGATGTATCTTCGCTGTCTCTATTGGTCAACATTAACATTGACAACTATTGGAGATTTACCACCACCAGAAACGAATTGGCAGTGAGTAGATTTTAATATTCGAAAGAGTTTCTTCGATTCCTTTTGTTTTCTGTTGAGAAGTATAGTGAAGACTTGCGTTATTTTTGTTTCTTCGGTTTTCTTTTTCTTTTCTATTCTTCAAAGTTAGATGGCTCAAAAACTTTTCGAACAGACGGTAAATATCATTGCTTGTTGTGTCCACGTCAATGTCTTTTAACTCTGTTCTTCTAATATGAACTTGTACTTTGCATTCTTTTAGCTACGCTTTCCTCATAAGCGTTCACTTGTTCGCCGTTTTCGTCATAGCTATCATCGTGGGTAAGCAAGAATTCAAGCTAGAGGAGAGAAATCTTTTCCCCGAATTGTCTTTTATAAAGTTAAAAGTCAGTTACACACCGTCTTGTTCCTTTATTTTTGAGGGCTGTTTTCGCTATTTGTGGTTATATGAGTGGAATATTTGTCTATTCGATTATTATAGGTAAAATTCTCAGTGAAAACATGAGAAGCAACTCATACTGCTACTTCTTGATATTCTAGGACAAGTCGGTAATGTGATTACTAATCGAAATGCAAGTCGATTGGAATTCGAACGTTTACTGGTGAGAGAAGATGTGCAATTTCCGGAAAAATCTGACATCGATTACTGTTTGTATAGGATAGTGCAAAACAATACATGCGCACACATAATGTGCCACCAGAAATGCAACGGCGGGTACAACGTTGGTATAATTATTCTTGGTCACGTGGTCGAATGTCTGGTGCTGGAGATGTTCATTCAATAAAACTTTTACCAGATAAACTGAAAACTGAGTTGGCATTACATGTTAATTTGGGTACTTTGAAAAAGGTATGTCAGGGAATTGAGTGAACGTGTAAAGCGAATGGCTTATCTATATTGAACTATTCGATCGATTGATGAAAGTCTTCATGACAGGTTATAGCTAGAAAATAATCAATTTTCCATCAGGATACTTTGAAAGTAAATAAATCGCTTTGACGAGGCAGCAAAGCAGAATTGAAGTAACATGGAATAATTGTTATTAACCATTTCAGGTGACGATCTTTCATGAGTGTCAACCCGAATTTCTTCATGATCTTGTCCTGAAAATGCGTGCATATATCTTTACACCTGGCGACGTTATCTGTCGGAAAGGGGAAGTTGCGCGTGAAATGTTCATCATTGCCGACGGTGTGCTCGAAGTTGTCAAGTAAGTATAGTTTTGTACATGAAGAACATTAATTGAAAATCGATTATCTTCTTAGCGACAAAAATGATGTTCTCACTCGTTTGGTCGCAGGTGATTTTTTCGGTGAAATCGGAATTTTAAATATCGATGGTGCTAATCGGCGGACAGCCGATGTTCGCAGTGTTGGTTATTCTGAATTATTTTCCCTTTCAAAAGAAGATGTTCTCGAAGGTTGTCGAGATTATCCCGAAGCTGAACGTAAACTGTACGAATATGCTCAAAATCGACTCGGGGTGGAAAAAGCGAAGAAAGAAGCAGCTGAACAGATTAAAAGCCCATTCAATACCTTGACATCGATTGCATCGTGTCTCACGAATCCTATTACAACAGCCCAAGCTCCATTACCATCCATTGAAGAATCCAATGAGAAAGAAATAACAACCGAAAATGAAACGGATAAAACACCGATCTGTCTTTCGAATCGAAGAACTTCGTTGAAGTAAGACTCAAAGCGATGGTTGAACGTTGAAGTTATGCGTCCATTTAGATCGAAATTGAAAAATTCACCATCTAGCCTACCGAATCCCAACTGTGATAGTCCAAATCAACCGTTAATCAATCCGCTTACATCATCTTCTTCATCGAATTTTTCTCTAATTCAATGCATACGTCCTGGTTCGAATGATTTAATCGGTGATATCGAATTATTGATCAACGATAAACTGGTAGGAGAAAGAAACGAATGCTCAAAGTGTTTATTCATTGCTTTTTTTTGTTCTTCAGCGATCTGTAGACGAATCCTATCGACAAAAAATTGCTGAATTACAAGAGGGCAACGAACGAAAAGATCTACGAATTGAATTACTAGAACAAAAGCTACAAAAATTACGAGTAAATATCCACGTTGTTAAACGTGACAAAGAATATTATCTTCTATTTTCGTAGAGAACTTTATTCAATCGCACTCGGATCTGGTTCGAAGAAGAGTAATGCATCCCACTTATGAATCTGTTTGTACACTGGCTGGCTGCCACTCTGGGACTACTCTTTTTATCATTTGTTCGACATGTATTTTTGCATTCAGTCAATAAAAGTTCATCTTCGACTTTTTCCTAAATACCACGGTTAATATTTACCTTGTTAACATTGGTGAACTTTCCCGCCTAGTGACCTACTTCGGTGATGAGAAAGAATGTCTAATTCAGTTAAAGTTCATTCTAAAGCGAATCACTCTCGCTCAATACGTATTCATGATTTTCAATAAAAACAGTTCAGTAACCACCGCATCAACCTCAGAACAAAGGTTTGTCGTGACAAGGATTGATTCCTCGATAACTATGGACATCAATTCGGATCGACTGATTCAGTTTGTCAAACCGAAAAAAACGAACCCGTTTAGATTTGAAAACTTACTTGAAGAATATTGACCTCATCTTTACCTCGATTGAAAGTCGACAATTCGATCAATTACTTCTTATGAGAGATTCTTATAAATTTCTCGATCGTCCGATCAATCGTTTTCCATAGAAGAAGATTGCTATGGACCGAAATTATTTACAACAGAAAGAGTTACAAGGGAAGACTTGTCATTCGTTGAAAGAAGAACAACAGCAACTGAAAGAGCAGGTCTACTCGCCTTCATTTCTCGTTTGATGATGATCTTTGTCCTCCAGGGCGCCAAAGAAATGTCAGAATCACCGTATCAATACACTCTAGACGTCAAGAAGTTTTCTTTTGTTTGAATTTTGAAACTTTGTGCAATATTAAAGCATTGAATAGTCCTTTGTTGGCAATATTTTTTTCTGCATCGAGAGACTTCGAATAAAAACCGTTGATAACATAAACTTTCATCACTACCAGTGGCATTCGCGTCGAATTTGAATGTTCAATTCAAGTGAGACTTGAAGTTTGAATTCATAATAAAGTGTTTGTTTTATCTCTTCTACTTCTGATCAATCGAGAAATGCATTTGCACAGATAATGTTGGAACGCTTTTCTTTTCGCCTCGAAACTTTCTTGTACTCAATGGAAATGAAGTCCTCTTCCCTCAAGTGTCAAGCAATGATTAATGGAGACACATCGAACTGCATAGTTTATCATGTGTCCACTATGAATTGAATTCATGTCAATAGCTAAGAAAACTTTATCCTACTTAGAGGAATCGATCCATATGAAATAAAGACAACTGAGAATTGAAAAGATGACGACACTTTCTGTAACTGACAATTCCTGAAAACGATACAAATCCAATATATAGCTTTTCATTTTTCCTCGGCTTTCGTCGCTTTTTTCTGTATCAACATAATGCCAAGATTGATGATAACAGGCAGAGCATCTCCGGCTAATTGAATGCCATCGGGAATTTGAAGACCTAATGATTCGACTAATTGTCTGACATACTGTTGGCAATTCACAATGCCAGACCAAGGTAATGTTTCATAGTTTGTCATTCGAACATAAATGGCTTCAGCCTAAACCAAAATGGAAACGTTGATTTATAGACTTCTGTCTTTTCGAGTATGTCGCTTACCTGCAGCTTTAACATATTCACCCATTGTCGTGGATTGGATACACTATCAGATGGATGAATACGTTTTGGGTTCGGCTTGAATATGTCAAGAAGTGATGGACGCAGTACCGGATGGCTATGAGCGTTAAATATAGTTTTGCGTAATTTGACATCGGCTGTCAGATGGAGAGACACACCGCGTAATTCCAGATCGTCCGACTCTCCGGCAACATCGATCAACACTGAGTGATGAGCTCGCTTCGCTTCCACACACATCAATTGATCGCCAGCGCCCAGTTGTTCTCGTGTCTTGTGTACCAAAATATAAACGTTGCCTACCCGATGGCTGTTCTTGGTTGTCATTGGAATGTGTGTAAAAACGTCCATCGCTTCTGGTCTAAGAAAATCATCGTATTTAATAGAATGAGCATATCGATCGTTTGTATGCGAAACATTATTTGCTGATTTATTGCGAAAAGATTGCTTCTTTTGACTGAACTTTGAAACTATGAACATCGTTGTGTTAAGTTTTGAACAGATAGAAAGAGAAACAACGGTCAACGGTTGATATCTACTGAACAGCAGAGAAAAAGATCGTGTAGTATATTTATTCACTCAGAAGGACATAGCGAGAAGGGTCAATCTATAATCTCAATGAATTAGGTGTGACGCCATCTTGCCATTTTGGAAGGACATCAAGCGAAAATGCTCTTTCTTAATACCGAGAGAGATGGGTTCTACGCTAAATTATTCACCGACATTTATTCTATGGATAATGTCAAAAACGAAGGGCACTTTTTATGAATTTCTGCGTCTTCTCTTGATGAACACGAACTAGTGACCTCTATGGGAAATGTTTATATATGTTTGTTTTACGAAAGAAATTCTTCCAGTCACGAATAAATCGTTTGATATCCATTGAAGTTTGATTTTGATGAAAATGAACGGCTGTAAACCAATCAAAATTACATGGCTTTGTTTGCCAGTTTCTCTCTGTTTGTTAATGGATGTATATACGTGTTTTTTAGCTTTGTCTTTGGCGTTCTTTCTTTTCTGTTATTATTGTTTACTTTAACAGCGAGCAAGTTGAACGTCGTGAATGAGGAAGTGAAGAAGAGAAAAGAGGAGAAAAAAATACGACGACGAGCAGAAAACAGCCTAGAAGAAAGAAAAATAATATGGAGGCGTTGGCGACGTCGTTCGCATTGTCATTCGATGTTCTTCTATAAAAATCTGAACGCAACTGATTCTCTTTCTTTTTTTTTCTCCACTGCCACTAGTAATAATAACTGTTTGCTATTTTTTTTATTTTGCAGTATCACGTCATGATCGTTTTCGAAATTAAAACGATCCGATAATCGTCAAGATGTTTAGTACGTTTGCCAGTGTTTTTGGCTCCGATGATAATCATTCGACTAATCCATTTGATACATCGTCGGCTGTAGATGCATTTGGCATGTCGACTGATACAAATTCATCCCAATTGAATACTGATCCATTTGGAATTTCAACTGATATGAAATTGTCTGCATCTTCGCAACGATTCGATGATAGTCCATTTGTAATCGAGACAACGAATAGCGAATCTAACCGAGCACACAATGGAACTGATGCCTTCTCACCGTCAACAACGGAATCCAATTTGAATACGAATCGGAATGAAATCACTACGAGTTCACCGGTGTCATTTGATCCATTTGCAAATCTCCAAGATAAATCGAACAATCTCTCCATTCACAACAATATTACTCATTCGAATAGTATCAATCTCATCAATCCATTTTCAATTCCAACTATTCCAAACGAAGCATCCGTAGCGCCTGTTCAAGCATCACCGATTGATCTTCTCTTCGATCTAAATGTGGATCCAAGTACATTGCCAGCGAATACTTCTGATAATTCATTACAACATTCGGATCAGGTCCCATCGTCGTACGATCTTCTCGGTCTTAACAAGAAGCCGAGTTCATCACCAACATCAGTTAAAGTAATGAAAAGTGATAGTCTAACTGACATCCAAAAATTGAATCAATCGAAAAATACATCTGCAACATCTTCACTATCCACTAAGGCGAATATTCCAACTGCTGCATCTTATCACTCATTACCAATCAATGCTCCACCAACGTCACCGAGTGCGTTACGTGTGCAAGCAACAGCATTATCAATTATGACAGGCACAACGGCATCAACTACACCCTATGATGATCAATATCTCGATTGGTTAACCCAGTCTGATGATTTAATGTGTGCTGTCGATCCGAAATTGAGTGGACCATCGAAGAAGATCGATATCAACATGTTAAAGAGTACCGAAGATCTTCTGGGCAGTATTTACAAACAACCACCATCGACATTGACAACTGTCGAAGAAGTCGCTCACGAATCTATTGTCACCCCACCAGCTGAACCTCCTCGGCCAGTTGTACGTCGTCTGTCGAATGAAGACGTTCCATCAATCTGTATTCATGAACCAACAAGTGAACATAACGATAGCAATGTTGTTCCGCTTGACTATTTCGACAATCATAAAATAGAGAAAAAGAACAACGATTCCGAAGATTCTGACGATGAAAAAATGGTTTTCAAGATTGGAGAAAAGAAATCTGATACATCTTTCTACGATATGAATATTCCAGTTCCATTATTACCACCACCGCCATCACCATCGACGTCTAAAAAATACAAAGAAGCGAGCGATGATGCAAGCTCGTCGTCATCCGAAACCGACGATGAACTCGATCCATTAGCAGTTCGTCCAAAACGTGAGAAAACAAAAATCGCTCCAAAGCCAAATAATAACGAGAATAATTTTACTCCAAGTTGGCAGGAGAATGAACATCAACAAGAACCAGTCAGGGTAGGCTTTGTTGTCGTCATGTATTTCTATGTTGTCTTGTACATATATCACAATCGTGCGAAAGGTTAGTGTTGTTAAATGTGATTTTCTAAGTATTCATCGAACAATTGTTGAATTTTAGCAAAAGCCTCCATCACCGCCATTGGATTATTATCTACATGAACCGGATATCGATGATAGTGCACCGTTGGATGCGTATCATATTGAAATTGAACAATTACAAGCTGAACAACCTAACGGATGGTTATTACAGATTCGAGTGCCTTTACGACAAAAGGATCTGTATAAAAGTACATTTCAACGATTCAGTGAAACACGTAAGTAGTATTGAAAATAGTTTTGTTTTTATTGTAAAGATTGTCTTATCAGGAAATTGGCAAGACTGCTACGTTCGAATATCATTTGACGAGAAAAAATTACGTTTTTATTCAACTCAGACACCGGAACAATCATTTGCTGAAATCGAACTACAAACATGGTATCAAACGACAAAATTAAATCTTCAACAGCACGATCAATATTCAAAGATTCATACTTTGAAAATCTTCGAAGCGAATTACAAAGAAATTCCTCAAGTTCGTATTGACCGTCTTGTCACATTACCCGAAAAATTATTACGAAAATTCACACGGCCAAACAAAGCTCAACAAGTCTTACTTGATCATGCTAATTGTGTTCAACAAGAAATCGTCAAGTTCGGCACATTGAATTATCCATATTTGAAACAATTCTCGGTCGTATTAGAAGATTTATTCTGGTCCATGCCTGTAACACGTAGTCGATTACAGAAACATATGAAAGAAGAAGTTACGATTAAAATTCTTGATGAATACTATGCACATATTGATAAATATCGTCATATATGCAAACACAAATCTCGCACACGTTTATTTATCTTAGCTTTCCTTAATGGACCAGAAGCGGTTGTCGAAATCGGTATGAACGATTGGTTTCGACATGGTAAAGAAATTAACAAACGAAATGAAATTATTATCAATAAAACTTTGCAAGAATACTGGATTAAACCAGAACAAGTAGAATTAGCAACAATTATTGATCACAAAGAATATGAAGATACACATTTACTCAAGTTAATCCCACCCGATAGCCAAAAAATTGAAATTATGCGTTTTCGCACACGACCAAAGCAAAACGTTGAATTACCATTACAGGTAAGAAAAGAAAGCTTTCTTCATTTCAGAGAAAATCTGAATAATGCTTTCACAGGTGTATTGTTTCATGTCGCTGATCGAACGACAAGTTAACATTCGCATTGAAGTGATCGTTTCCAATGCATTCAATATCACCATTCTATCGAAAGCATCATCATTGGCTACCAATGACAAAACTGCTAACATTCGTGATGACAATAGTGATGAACAATGTCCATGTGAAAACATTCAGATACGTTTTCCTATACCGGATGCGTGGGTCTACATGTTTCGCGTCGAAAAACGCTTTCGTTATGGAGCAATACACAGTGTTCGTCGTAAAGCAGGCAAAATTAAGGTAAATGACGTGCCGTTCTGTTCTGCATAGAAGTGATAGAGTCTGAACAAACGCTATTCTCATGGGAGAAAAGAAAGAAAATCTTTTTATAGGAGGAAGTCTGCCATTTGATTAAATAAGAACAAATTAATATGCCGACATTGTTAGAAAGAAAAAGATATACATCAAATATGTTAGTTGACGTTGTAATTAAGGACCTGTTGATCTTATTCGAGAACAGAAAACTTAAAATAATTGATGAAGGAAGTACGAGTCAGCGCGGAGTTCTTTTCTCATAACATAAGAGTAATGATAGTATGTCAGAACGTCGATTTATTATTGAATTTGACTGACATATACAATGATGAACGAGAACGTTCGATGCAATCTTTGCTCGAAGTTATTTTTTTCCTGTGAAATAAGTGAAAGAGTTTGCTTCCGTTGGAGCTAGCTGCATCGAACAGAAAATTCAAAGAAATGCAATTTGCATTAATATTGACACGCAATGTAGATGATGACAATAGCTTTACTTAAAGTCAAATTCGATTAAAATGATATGTACTTCGTGTATAAGTTTGAATAACATTGTTTGATCTCTTCAAGGGTCTTGATCGTTTTATGCTCCATCGTGGCGATCCTCTTGCTGCAATGATGGCTGCTTCTGTTGGTGTTGCTAAATATGAACAAGCATTTCGCTCAATCGTTTGGCGTATCGATCAATTACCTAAACGAGATCAAGGTGCTTATAAAACTCATATCTTCGAATGTAAATTAACAGTTCCATCATACGATCCAATACCGGACAAGTTCGAACCAACAGCTGATGTGGAATACTCGATGTCACAAGCATTCATCTCACATTGTCAAGTAGGCACACAAGCGTCTGTTTCTTTCTTTCATGGTTGATCATGTTTGTTTTCAATAGATTCGTTCCGTTGCTGTACCAGGCGCTGAAGAAACACCAGAAAAATGGATTCGACCAAAGAGTCAATTCACCTACACGCTTGATATTGAGTACGCATTTAAAGAAGAAGAGAAGAAAGAATTCGCACCCGTTGAAGTCGATATGAAAGAACAATCGATGTCTCAAAGTGAAACAGAAAATAATTCACATTCCGATGACAGTGATTAAGTAAATATCCGCATGCCTTCAATCAAGTTATATGCAAGCAAAGCAAACGATTCATACAAATCGGGTTTTTTTTTCTAGTTTTTATTAGATCAAATATATTCTATCAATTTCCATACAATTTACTTAGATCTCTATGCAAAAAAATATCACGTTTCTTTTCCCTTTTGTTAGTCGAAAATCGTTTTTTTTTTCTATGTCCCCACTTTTTTTCCTTTCGTGTGATATGTTCTTCTCTTTGGATTTCTTCCCTGCTTATCGTCTCGGTATTTTTTAGAGATTCTATGTCATTTTTATTTTTCACCAATGTTTTACGTATGTTTCGTATAGAAGACAAAAACGATCAAGAAAAAATAAACTCTCCTGCCCTATTCGTTTTTATTTCAGATTGAATAATCATGAACGGAAGCACACGCTCCATGAGACATCATGTCCAACGATCACTTGGTGATGATTTCGTTGAACCACCGGCTTCCGTCATGTCGACAATGCCGAATGAAGTCGACGACGACGACGATGATGATGATGAAGGGGAAGAATTTCAGCCCAAAGCAGCATCACGAGGACGACCATCGACAACACCCGGACGCGGACGTGGACGCTCATCGCGTGGCGGACGTAAAACCAGCGCATCTATCAACCAAGCCGATGATGATTCCATGGAAACAAGTTCCGTGTCGATAACCACGGCGAATAATACCACATACGGCGGTCAACACACTGAAGAAAAAGGATATTTTCATCATCTGTTAGCTGGAAAGACCAATATTCAAGTGTTAGTTGATCAATGGATTGATTCGTATCAAGCCAACCGTGACGAAGCATTGATTGAATTAATGCAATTCTTTTTGGATTCAAGTGGTTGTAAAGGAAAACTAACTCAAACAATGTATTTGAAAATGGAACACGTCGATATGCTAAGAGCAATGACTGAACATTTCGATGAAGTAAAACAACGAATTTGATCTATGAAATTTGCTTCATATTCACTTTTAGGATACATCTGAATATCCCATCATCATGGCCGGTCTACAATATAAGAAATTTCGTACTTCATTCAGTGAATTTGTTGTCTTATTAATTAAACAAGCATCATACTCAATTATTTATGATCAATATATGATTGACAACCTTGTCACGTTATTGACGGCGCTGTCAGATTCGCCGGTTCGTGCTTTTCGTCATACGGGTACACTAGCTGGTAAGAACATTCAGTTCTTATTTAAAATTATGATCACGTTAAGCTTCGTATAGTTCTAAAAGTCATGACTGCACTTGTGGATATTGCCTTGACAATCAGTATACAAAAAGATCAATGTCAACGACAATACGAAGCTGAACGACAAAAATCCAGTGCACGACGAGCAGCTGATCGACTCGATACATTAACAGCCAAACGAAAAGAGGTTAGATTTGATATCAAACGATTCTTCGTTTCACTTTCATTCGGAGATTTTTTTTAGCTTGAAGGAAACGAAAATGAAATCAAAAGTTTTATGAATTTTATCTTCAAAGGTGTATTTATTCACCGTTATCGGTAAGAATTCCATCATCAGTTGAAATCTCATCATGACTCTCGATAACTTTATAGTGATATCGTGCCGGATATTCGATGCTTGTGTATGAGCGAGCTCGGTGAGTGGATGAAAAGCTATCCGATGGTTTTTCTCGACGATATCTACCTCAAATATATTGGTTGGACTTTATACGATAAAGTAAGTCGATTGTTCAGCATACACGTTATTTTCGATACTAATCAATTTTCTTTTAGGTCGGCGATTGTCGTCTACGCTGTTTACTTGCCTTGATTCCATTATTTCAAACGAATGATCTTGTCGGTAAACTTGAATTGTTTACCAATCGATTTAAAGTAGATATTTTCTTAAATAACAGCATTTATGTTAACACTAACTTTTAGGATCGTGTTGTGCAAATGACAGTTGATTGTGAATACGAAGTTGCTGTTCAAGCGATCAAACTTTTAACAGCTATATTGAAGTAAGATTTGCACGTGAAATGAATATATATTTGTGTTAATTTCCTACCATAGATTCAATGAACGTATACTTGAAGATAAAGATTGTGAAAATATCTATGAACTTGTCTATCATTCTCATCGACAAGTCGCACAAGCAGCTGGCGAATTTCTTAACCAAAAACTATTCCATAAAGCGGAACAACCATTGAATTCTTCAAAGAAACGCAGTCAAAATACTGCTTTTATGCATCTACTCGTTCAATTCTTTATCGAGAGTGAAGTAAGTTTTCAAACATCTTCCTTTTACGTTGATACACTTTCATCTGTTTAGCTTCACGAACATGCAACTTATCTAGTCGATTCCATGTGGGATCAGCATCCCATGATGAAAGATTGGGAATGCATGACTGATATTCTACTTGAAGCACCAGATCAAGAAGAAGATCGTAAGTTTTCTCATGCAAAAAATAATCTATGGAGATTTAACCGAATGATGTTTAGCACTCGATGACCAACATGAGAATTGTCTCATTGAAATAATGGTTTGTTGTGTTCGAGAAGCAGCTACTGGTGAATATCCAATTGGCCGTGGACAACCAAATCGAAAAGTAATTAGGAAAATTTATCGTCAGACAATTGAGAAAATCCATTTTAGTTAACAATGAAAGAACAAAAGCAAAAAGAAGACGATAAACGACTTCTAACCGATCATTTTATTGGTACTTTACCACCACTGCTTAACAAAGTAAGATCGATTTTTCCGTTAATTACTTTCGAATCACTGAATTTATCTTTCAAGTATATAGCGGATGCGGATAAATTACTGAATCTACTTCAAATTCCGCTTCATTTCAATTACGAAGTGTATACAACTACTCGCCGTGAACGAGATTTGGATGCTTATCTAACTGCACTGAGTGATATTGTTCAACGTCATACCACAGCTGATGTTTGTGAAGATAAATTCTTTGTTCGAACACTTATTTATTGGTTTTTATCGTTTAGATCTTCGATGCCGTGTCCAAATGTTTCGAATGTGTTTGTGATGTTAGCTTTACTCTATCAAATCGTGCGATTGCTCATCGAGGAAATATTATTGATAAAATCTTAGCTAACTTTAATGCAGCAATGGGTATTTTCGAAGAAATGGTAAGAAGATAACGTTTTTATCAGTTATCAACTACTGTTTTATTTAGGACGAAGCAGATGAAGATGATTTATATCCCTTGTTACTCAATTTAAGAAAACTGGACGCTTTCCATCAGTAAGAACCTTATTCCAACGAAATCGAACGCAGAATCCCTTTCATTTGTAGGTGTCATGATTTGGATAATGTTGATCTATGGGATAAGATTCATCTTCTATTCAAAGCAGCGATTGACAATGAAGATATGTCACCTGAGATCGTCGATAAATGTTTTGGTATTGCCAATCGTAGTCTGCTCTGGGGATTGTATCAACTGGATATTCAATTCGATAAAGATCTCTTGAAAAAACTCGTTAAACGTTCACGCAAACTTTGCACTCTTTGCCAAAAACTGATGCTACATGCGAATACTCAGATCTGTCAATACGCTTATTCGACATTGTGTGATTTGTTAATTAGTATGAGTCCGCATTTGGTGGATAAAAATCCTGATTATCAAGTTCTTGTAATTGAAATCAATGAAAATCTTATTCAAGCATTGTTAACATTCTTGAATACTTACGTTTTCTTTGCTGATGAACCGAAAAGTAAGGGCAGAAAAAGAAATTTATCTATTTGTTTATTTATTCAATCAATTCTTTGTTTAGACCAAGATGAACAAGCAAAAATTGAGAATCTTCATAAGAAACGTAATCTTCTGGCTGCTTATTGTAAATTGATCGTTCACAACGTTCTGCCAATCCAAGCCGCGACAAATATTCTGAAATACTATGTTAAAGTAAAACAGAATTTTCTTTCGTATCAGCAGAAAAGAAGTTCATCTTTCGGCTTTTTTTCTCTCTAGTTTAGCAATGATTTCGGTGACATTATCAAAAATACGTTCACACGTGCTCGAGATATTTCTAAGATTCACACCGCCAAAACCATGGCCTACAGTCTTATGGCAGTAAGTGAATGTTATACGTGTGTAGAATCACTACGAATGTTATTGTTGTTATAGGTTTTTAAAGATTGTGTTGCTGCTCGAGATGCTGCACAAGAAGCTGCTGGTAATGACGAAACAATAGCAATTGATTTATCACCGTTACGAGTAAGATTTTCATTTTAACTGAATTACATATATGTATTATGTGAATATAGGAATTGGCGCGTCGATTTAACCTTTCATTCGGTCTTGACATGGCCAAACAGCGCGAAGCACTTGCTGCACTTCATCGGTATAACATGATAATGTTTGTCTGTACTCCTTAAATACAATGTTGATTCATGTCTCTAGTGAATGTATTCGTTTTGCGTTAACACCACTATTCAAACCTGATGATCCAACTCAACCCGGCCCAAATATTCTCTTCCTTGAAGTCTTACCCGAATTTGCTTCCAAACTTCTCAAACCAGATAAAAAAGCCATGTAAGTATTTCGATTAAAATTGATTCTGTGCTATCTAATTGATCATCTTTAGCTATGATCATGTTGATAAGCTTGTTCACAATGCAACAATCGATGGTGACGCCTGGCAACCATTGATTAACTATCGTCGTATTCTTAATGATGAACCAGGCGGTGGACATGGTCCTAAACCTCGTGCTTCAACTGTTAATCGTGGTCGTAAGCGTGCCGCTCCTCAGGATGGTAAGTGTAATACTTCATGCTGACTTTTTCTAGTTTTCCATCTCTTTTAGATGATAATTCGCGATTATAAATCGCTACTAATCTGTATCAATTTTGTACAGCATGTGCATATGTGTGTGTGTATTTTGTTATAATTAGTCAAACTTTTTCGTGTTCACTGTTACTGATAGTCTAAATGGCTTGTGTCAAATAAAAACAAAATGTGCCTACAAAGGAAATAGAACATCTGATTGAATTCTAACACTGGTCAATTATGTTTTCACTGACGACGTTCGCTTTTCCAGTCTATTGAATATGATTGAGTCGAAACTTCATTCCATATAATCAAATAGAAAATTGTTAAGAGAAAAATATCGAGAGCGAGAGATAGATAGACGAAAATAACTGTAACGGCAAATCGCTAAGTAAAAGGAAATCAGCAAATACACTGTCTACGACAATCTATCGCACAAAAATATAGTAATCATGTTCTTTAATCAGAAAGAAATGTCTCCCAGTATTACAACAAACACACAATCATGTTTTTTAATGACGATGATGTTTAGATCGAGAAAGAAACTGGTGAAAAAGATGTCACTTGATATCGTATTGCTTCTTAATATGTTTGTTCAATTGTAAAAATACTAACAAGAAAGAATATATCTGATTAGCGAGTACTGTATATGTGATGTCTACTTTACCTTCTTCCTACGATAAACAACCTGAGTATTTCAATGATGCTATGGTAAAACGAATATTTACCTTTTGTTAAAAATACCCAGTCATGTGATGTACAATATTTTCAAGTCGTGCGAATACTTTTTGTGTCAAAAAACTAGTTCACAAACTTCAGTATGTCTGTTCAAAACGAGAAATCTTGGAAGAATCGTTTGCAAGAATATTGTCAAAAGAACAAACTTCCAATGCCTAACTATCGAGTTGTTCAACCAACATCAGGTACTAGCTTCCAGGTCAGTTCGTCAAGTTAGTTGCTATATGAAGGAGACGATCTATTGGAAAAGATTTTTTCTCATTCAGGCGGATGTTGAAATCAATGGACAATGGTATCGCGGAGATAATGATTTTACTTCGAAAAGAAATGCCGAACAAGCAGCGGCTAAGACAGCTTACAACAGTCTTTCTAACGACGACATGGAATTACAGTCAGGAAATATCCACATCGGTCAGCATATGCCAGAAAGATATGCACATATCGAGCAATGCATCAGCGATATGGTCATGGCGCATGGTGGTCGAATTCGGAAAATCCACCCACCCAATAGCAATGGAATATACAAAATAGAAATTACAGGAAAATATCGCTACTGCGAAAACGTCCAACGGCATCATAGGATCAATCGAGTTTATTTACTTGTCGATCCCGTAAACAATATTTATTACCAGAAATGCTATGATCCAGATTGTCATAACTTCCGATCCGCTGCGCAATCATTACCTATCAGATAAACTTCAGTCGATTTACAATAGCATCTGCACATTCCGAACTGTTTTCATAAAAAATTAAAATCGATTCTTTAAAAGAAATATGCTCGTCATTGTTCTGAGTACTAAATCATTTGCTGAAGTTAACTAGAGACAACATTATTCTAGATGCATTGACCATCTTCCAATTAGATTGTATCAATAATCATTGATTTAAATGACCTGTCATTCGTACTCAAAGATAGAATTCATCGTGATCGATGACAATCTTTTTTCTCATAGAGGTGCAATAATGGAGAGGAGAGCAAGAGAATAGATGAACTTTCGAAGGTGTCAACTATACTGCTGCTTGCTAGACATTGTTGTTTATAATTTTATTAATCACTAGTCGATGCATGAGCGAATTAGATATGATCGTCTCGAATTGAATAAAGCGTACGTTTGTAATCGAAAGGTAATAAGAATCTTTTCTTTGAACGTGGTTGCCTACTGTTCTGCGTTCGATCGAAATTCAGCCATTTGCTTTCTCTCCCTCCTGGAGATATTATTGACAGATTTCGAAAATGAACTTTAGAAAGCATCGGCGTCTTCTCAATTAAAACAATTATTCTTGACTAACACATTCAATACAGTTTATTTTCGATAAGAAGTGGTAAAAATAACTTTAATGTCAATGATGACAATTATACCCCGCTATTCATTCAATTTGAAAAGAATACTTTGAATTCTCACGAGTATGTTTGTCTACACTTTTATATTTGACACGTCTCGAGTTCGTTCATATCTGCCTACATGTTCAGTTAAATATTCAATGATTATTTACTTGTCTTTTGACATTCACACATCATTATTTCATCTAACTAGCCATTAGACATCTGTAAATGTACGATATGTCTTTTGCGAAACGAAGAAAAACATCAACAACACGATTGCAAATTGGCTCTGCACTGACAAATGAACTTTTCGTGGTTCGTTGGTATGACTTCACTGTTAGTGTCACGTTGTGAACATACTCATTAAACATACGTATGGATAAGAAAGATTCACATCATCTGTCATGCAAAGCATATATACAAATACACTATAAATCCATTTATGTTTATCACCTCTCTCTCTCTCTTTCTCTTCTTTTTGCATATCATTTCCCTATCGTCAAATCAAGCGTGACTCGAGTTCGGACAAGTGATTACGACGTCTAAATATGATGAAAAGAAGAAAGAAACGGATATCCTGTCATCAAGAATAATGACATTCATGTATATAAAAATTTTTCTTCTCGCGTTCTCATCATACAGTTTGAACAAATATTCATACCGATGAAAAATTATAATATATATATATAAGAAAGAGAGAGAGACAGAAAGAGAAAGAGATGAACCGTTGAGATAGAAGAGAAATGGTTATTTTATACCTATGAGCACTATTGCTTTTTTCTCTTTCTCATAAGTAAGAAGAATGGCAAGCACTTCACCTTCTATTCATCGTCTCTTTCTCTCTCTCTCTCTCGCTATATATATATATATGTATAGTAATCGAAGTTTTGTTTCATTTATTTTAAGTACATATGGCAGCAGCAATACCTCATCATCTTCTTGAAACATTAGTCAATTGTCCATCGTGTTTACAGCGTTATGTCGAGCCACGAGTTTTGCCTAACTGTGGCCATACGATATGTAATTATTCACTTTTTCCTCATTGATTCAAGTCATTGTGTGTTGTTTAGGTGGAACTTGTCTGGAAAATGAATGGAAAGGCAAATACATACACTTTTGTCCAGTTAAACTCTGTCGAAAGGAAATTTGTTCGACAATCAATCATATAACTGATCTACCATTGAATCAGACAGTACTTGATTTGATTAAATCATGTAATTTTCATGTTGAAGCTACAGGTCAATGTCAAGTTTGTAATCAATCACCGTCGTTTGTCAAATGTTCGCATTGCTGTTCCTTTGTTTGTTTTGAATGCGGAAATCAACATCGACGAGAGACATTGACTAACCTCACCAATAATATCAATACATTAGAACAAGAATATCTCAGCATGAATGATAATATTGACCACGCACGTGCCAAACTTGATGAAATACGACGAAAATCCCTCGATGGTATGCAAAATTACTACACACGTATGATCGAGGAGATTCGTCAGGCACAAAAGGCCAATGAAGAAGTCGTCGAACGGCAAACCTTAGCGTGGAATAATGACTTGGAATTGATTATCAAAGATTATAAGCAACGTTGTGAGCAAATCTCGAAAACTATTCAAGATCTACGTACAACGATTACTGACTGGTCGACAATTGAACAATTTAAACAGTTACAGATCAAATTGAATCATTTACAAGATGACATCCGTGATGCCAATGATTTCTTTCATGAACATTTACCTGATATGAAGATTTTCGAAATTGACAGCGATGATGTTCATCAGAAGAAGAAGAAACACATCAATCAAGTGGATTCACCATCACAAACCGATGAATTAATTCTTGGCAATGGCAAAAGTCATCTTTCGACATTGTCCGGTTCAATAAGAATCCAACATCTCGATGGTAATGAACATTTTACGGTCTTCAGATGTTACGAAACTTTCTTTTTTTCATAGATTCAACCAGTTCAACATCATCTTCATCAAATAATGAGCCTGTTAAAACGTCAACACCTACAAATGGCCGAGGAATAAAAAAACATATGAATAGTAAAGGAAACCATTATAAATCGTTGAATACACTCGCTCAACATCATCATCATCATCTTCACCATCATCAACCACATTCAATCCATGCCTCGAATGGTAATTCACTTCATCATGCTCATTCACCGCAACATCAACCCTCTTCTCCACGAGCCTCCATTACTCAACAACGTTCTCAAACACCGGGCTGTACTCCAACAGCGCCGAAAACGATGTCCAATTCCATTGCTGATCTCTCCTTATCGTTGAATAGTTCGAAACTTTCATCAGTGTTAAACCGTCTATCAACATCGTTTCATTCGAAATTAGATAATTCTAATAATGAATTTCATAAGAAGATTCCATTAGCGCAAAGTTACGATTGGGGAATCCTAGCCGTGACAAAAACCGATTTGATATTACTTTATAATAAAGACAAAGGTTCGTTGATTATCTTCGATGCAAATGGAAGTGAGAATGAAGTAAGACGCTATTTTCATTCTCTTGTTTTGATGAACAACTTTTTCCTTATAGAGGATTCAATGGTCTGACGGAGAGATCAAAGATCTATGTGTTTATCACGACGATAGTATAATTATTGTTGGTGAACATAAACAAGGTGCATCAAAGCCGATAGAATGTAAATTATATCTCTGTAATCTAACGCGGAAACAGCTTGAACGCGAACGCGTTGTGGAACGTGGTCTCAATTGTCAACGCGTAGCATCGGATGAAAAATTAATCTTCTACGGGTCAGAAAAGGGTTGTAATAAATCGAAAGTCTCCATCTACGATCATGAACTGCAACTACAAACGAATTTTGAAGTCGGAGTCGAAATTCGCAGTTTAGCTGTTGACATGCAATCGTGCTATATATTAGGTAAACGACGTGAACGTGAACCGGGAAGATATTTCGTTGAAAAGAGACAAAAGAATGGTAAGGATTAGTCGTTTTTTATTCATTATTTTTCAATACTTCAAAAGCTTATGTTCATTGTTCATTTTGAATAGGCCAACTTATTCGTCGTATTGATCTCTATGAATTAAATGTCGATAATATGAATCGATTAATAATCGATCCAATAAGTCATGGAGTGATCGTTACCGATGGAGGAAATAAAAAAATCTGGGCTATTGGACCAGAAGGAGAAAAAAAATCAGTTCAATATCGACCATGGCGTAAGAGATTGAATAATCCAACTTGACTTATGAATGATGAGTTCGATTTGAATATTTTTCTAGCGTGGACAGTGGCGTTTTTAACCAATGATGTTTTAGTTATTTTACATGCTGGCTGCTTAACATTTCATGCAGTTAATCAAGCGAAACAGATGACCAATGGCTCGAAATTGCGAAATATTATGACAAATGCTGAAAAAGTTTAAACATGAACCATCAGCTAACATTTCTTGTGCTTTGTTTTTCTTCGACTTGAATGTGTAAAATTTGTTGAACTGTTTTAGCCAAGATTAATCGAGATGAGAGAAGACAAGCCAACTGTTGATTTAGTCTTGACGAAGAAAGAGGATGTGTCGCAGGCCAAAAAAGTAAACATAAAATTCAAATGTGTTAGTATGACATAGAATTCACACTGCGCGTCTATATTCATTTTTCAATACAAAAACTAATGGCGACAGAATGTCCTGGGGTGTTGATGTACAATATGAGATCGAGGTGAATAACATAAAAATATCGGGTGTGGCATGAAAATGAGACTGTTAGTATTTTCTTCGTTCTGTTTCTTTTCTTTTTACTCACTATGGAGATATCTGGTTAGCGTATAATCATGCACCTTTAATTTAAATTCCTCCGGAAATAGTTTATCGGCTGCTAGAATCAAAGGTTTCTATATGTTTGAAGAGATTATGTCGCAGCTTCCTAAAATACTCATTTGCTACTCTAATAGATGTTGTAGGCTGACCTTTGAAAATTAAAGTAGCGCCCGCCGCGAGCTATATTCGACATATATTATCCGGGATTTTTTTTTATAGAACATCCGTGCGAAATAAGGATCATATATGTCGTATCAAAGTTATTCCTAACAATTAAATAGATAAGTAGGGTTGCATTTCAACAATTAATGATCATTTTTTATCGCAAGTTAACGAATTGTGACAACCAGAACTACATAGCATTTGCGCTTGTGTATATATTTTTTGTTTTACAACCGCCTTTGGAATCGCATTTCAGCATCCTTTGTCCGCTGGTGATATTACTAAGCCGAGCCACTTCGTGCGATGATTCCTCTCTTTTAGTTGGAACATGTTCGACAAGTCATTTTTCAATTTTGTTAATACAGTATTAAATCGTTGTTTCCGACTGGAAACATCACGTAAAACACTCGTTGTTGATGATAGAGATTTGCTTGATTCAGACATTGTGAATGAACAGAAATAATCGTCGAAGAAGGTAAATAACACTGTTATTTAATCGATACCATTGCGTTCTTCGTTAGCAGTATTGTACGTACAATACTTCGTTTTACTACCAGTCAGAATAAAATGTCACCTTCACATTTTCGACAAAATGCTAACTTCGATACGACATGGATATAACTATGAGTGATACATCGTACTTTTTACGAAATGAGCATTTTCGAAAGTTGCGACAATAATTCTGTAATGCAAAGAAACCGTCAGTCATCGTGGTTAACACGCTATATACGAACGAATTCAAATAGGCACCTATAGGAACCAACTGGACGCTGAAATCGATAATTTTCCGGTACCATTAATTATCCGACTTGATTACATAAGTGACACGCGATGAGCTCTGAGGAGATCAGAATTTTCAACTGACATTCATTTTGTTAAGAGGCTTCTTTTATATTTATTAAAGAACTTGACAAAACCGGGATGTGCCTTTGATTTTCTATTTATACGACAGGGAAAGCAATGAAATGTGTAGGAGCTACTAAACTATTATCATAAAAGACAAGTTGAAAGTATTCCATTCTTACTATTAAAAATATCGGTCTTTGAAAATTAAGCTCAATTGAGTGGCATGGTTTTATCTCACAGTGTGTGTGTCGAGATGAGGATAAAAACACGCAGGTGTTTCGTTCGTGAATGTCATGTGACCGTTCTAGTGAAATAGAAACGCTAGTGACTTGGATTTGCACTAGCTTTTTCAATTATAAATATACAAAAATGCCATGTAAACCCGATATTGAATCCAGAATAAAATTAATGCAGATTAAGGTCTTTTAATAGACAAAACTTATTTGGCCGTGTGAGAACATGTCATCTGATCTTCTTCAGCAACAAATCGATGATTAGTTTCTTACAGTAAAACAGAAGTGTACTCTAATTTGCACTTTTTAAAAATCATGACGAAGACAATCTTCATCCTTTATTATTGAGTTGAACAAAGAATGTAAAACGTTCTTCTTTCTCAAAAACCTTTAGATTAGATTTTTAAGATAATCTTAAGACAACCGCGTTTAAAATGAAGTTCTTTTTACAACAACTTTCTTTCACATGACCATTTACAAATGTAATTGCATCAATTATCTAAAATATTTCACGTATGAATTGACACTCATAGTAATTTATGCAATGTGTCACCCTTCCGGATAGCTCATTAGATTTTCTTGATTTCTATTCAACTATATTTCTGTTTTCTTAATTAGCGATGATAATATCTATTCAGATTCTGTTACTAATCTACGAATTCATTGATGAATATTTCTCTCTACCATCCAGTACGCGACAAGTTCTCGTTCATTTCAGATTACAAAAAGATGATTGTCAACAACACGTTAGGCTATGCCATTGAACAAGATGATGTATCATTATCACGTACCGTTCGCTTTTGGATTTTTCTCATTCTAATCGTTCCGTCTGTCTATTGTTCCTTTCTTGTACTCTTTCATCTTTTCGTTGATAAAAACCTTCGGTCACAATTGGGAAATCACATTGTCATTAATTTACTGATCATCGGATTAATTACTGAATTTGTCGATATCCCATTTCATCTTGTTTTCCTACAAACCGGTCGTGTTCAACCATCAACACCGGCACTATGTCTTGCTTGGTGGTTTTTTGATCTTGGTTTGTACAATGGATGTACAGTTATTATGGCATGGAGTTCTGTTCATCGATATTTTCTCATATTTCACAGTCGATTGTTTCGAACAGCAAACAATCGTTTTCTTTTCCACTATTTACCTTTAATTCTATTAAATATCTATATTGTATTATTCTATTTCATTGTAATCATGTTTCCACCATGTGTGAACATCTACAATTATTCCTTACCCGTTTGTAATAATTTTCCATGTTATTTGAACGATCCACTCCTTGGTATTTGGGATTCGGTTGCGAATGGTATCTGTCCAACTTTAATCACCACGATATCAAGCATAACTGTGTTATGTCGCGTGTATTATCAGAAAATGCGTCTTCAACAAATAAATCTCTGGCGTAAACAACGTAAAATGACAATTCAATTACTGTCAGTTTGCATTCTGTATTTAATTGCAAATATCCCATTAAATGTGATGATTTTTGCTCATCTCTGTGGTTTGCCTCAAGTCGTGGGAGCGAGCGAAGAGAGTTATTTCAATTACTTATGTTACTTCGTGACACTATTATTTCCATTCGTTTGTCTTGGCATTCTAGCTGAACTGAAAAAGAAAATACAATGGAAAGGTATTTTCCTATTTCGACGATCGCTACAAATTGGTATGATCCATCCTCAGTAAAACCCGGAGAAGAAAAACATTTTCTCGGATTATTACGATTAGGCAATATTATAGCAGCTTGATCCGATATTTTTATGTTCCTATGAAGCGAGAAGTTGTGTGCGGAGGTACATCATCACCTTCGAATTTGAACAATAGTAAGTAAATTGTAATCAAATGACATTGTCGAACAGTGAAATTATTTACGGTGATGGATTTTCCTGTGAGATACTTCCGAATAGTATTCATTGATTGAATTACAAATGACTTTGAAATCCTTTTCGTTCGTTTAATACAGAACAAGTAGATAATAATATTGCACAAATGATTGTCGATCAGAAGAGGAACTTCTATTTTCTCTTGTCGAACAAATGAGAAGCACTGATTTTACTTGTTCTCCTGGGGTACACAAGTAAAATCTACTTCATTTTTTTTTAATAAAGACTCAAGATTTACGGAGAAAAATTTATTAATCTCGTGCACTTTCAATTGGCAAATATTTCCTTTACGTCTGTATTGATAGATCGATGGTATTAATTAAAACTGATGTTAATAGAAAAAAAAAGAACCTCGCATCATACCTTTGAATGATTTGATTTATTAGCTGAACGCATTGCTTCCGTGTTATTTTTCTCTCTTTGTCTTCGTGACATTTATCTTATTTTGAACAAAAACTGAACATGCTATATTTAATATCCAAACAAGAATGACATCCGGTGAAGCTTTGTTACTTGATTCAAGTACAATTAGTGCGCTTAAGGGTATAATAATCAATCGATCATATAATTGAGAATACTACTTTTCGTGCCAGGATAATTAGAGTAGATATCAACAAGCAAAATCTCATGTTCGCTGATCTCTCTATATTTACATGCTATCAGTTTTTAATCTAGTTTATCATGCACTGGGGGTTGCTGATCGATAACAACTAAACGACATCGTAGTTAGGAGAGGGAAATCTTGCTATTAGTTCATTTAACTAGGAAATTTGCATATAATACACAAAGAGAGTTTTTCAATCTATTGTTTGCAGAATAGAGAAAGAGAACTAAATGTCAAGCAGGAAAAGGAAACTCGAATTTGTGCTGTAAATGTCTCATACTCAACATCACATAATTGTGATTCCCTTGTTAAGAAAAAAAAAACGAGAAAATGAGAGAAAAACCTATTTTTTACAAGGAGAGAGAAAGAGAGCGAATCGAAAGGGTGTAATACGTAGTTGAGCTCTCGCATTTTGACGACAAACAAGTGTAGCACGCACAAACGAGTATGTTCAAACTAAGACATAAATGCCTTCAGAATTTAACCGCATTACTATCGAGACGTAGCAAATCCTTCGTTGTAGATTATTTCTTTTTTCTCGAATTTCAATTGAATATATACGACGAATATGTCATCGGAAAAGACGTCGGCTGATCTACGAATCGAGTTCGATCGTTTAGACCGCGTGAGAAGACAAACTATTTGACAAACTCGAGTTTTTATTCATTTGTTTCTTCAAGGATAAAGATGGATTCATCACACTGAAAGAGTTTCGTGCTTTTCATGAACAGAACAACAAAGATGGCACGTCCATTGAGAAAGCTTTTGCCGCCATCGATGCTGATAATGATGGAATGGTCACATTTGAAGGTAATGTATTTTACATTTACTTTTGACACACATTTAAACTACTACTCTATCTTTCTTCTTGCTCTAGAATTTCAACGTGCATACAAAGGATAAGAAATCAATGAACAAGGAAACAAGAGACTCGCTTTTTTTTTCTTTCTACTATTTCTGTGTATTTTCCAGTCGTTGTCTGTATGTTTCGAAAAGCTATCTTCAAATCGTTTCACTCGCTTGAGAACTAATAAATGTGTCATAAAGGAAAACACGTGTAATACTACAGAGATTCGCACTGCTAGACTTTTTGTCGAAGAGAAGAAATACTGACTGGCTTTTCCTGAACCTGTATGACTACTTGACGAACTAAAGTGTCAATCGTTGTGACAGCAGACAAAACGCTCGACTGACGATGCAGATTGAGAAATAAATCACAAATTCAATACAGATTTCGTTCTGCATGCCAACTTCCTAATGATGCATGGCAAGGCAAGCAATCATGTTTGCTGTTTGTGAAATGTCTACGCACACATTGTGCAGTTTTATTTCATGTATGCTGGTTTTTGACTTTTCCGAATTGTATACAAATGCAAGCAAAGAAAAAACACAACAATCATATAAAAGAAAGAGCAGTGCGTGAATTTAGTACGATCATCTGTGATATGCACAATATGTAATTAAAACTCCAACGATTTGCGAACGAGAAGTAATTTCTAATTGAAATAAACGTGAGAAACAAAGCAAGTAAATGATTAGAATAGTATTGCAAACGATAGATAGATACATAACGGACAAAGACGAGAGAACTTATTGCGACCGATAGAAAAATAAATAAACAAACCACATGAGAACTCGAAATGAGTAGAAAGAAGAGAAAAGTGTGTTCGATTAGAGCATGAGAGAGATCGGCGAGACGTCATCAAAGATTTGATCATCATCGAATTGTTGCACGCTGTGTTCCAATGTAATTGCAGCAAGTTCTTTGAGAAATTCTTTGAAGATAACCGCACAATACGCAATGTTACGAGTTTTTGGATCGTCCCATTCATTTATTGGAATTTGTTGATTATGCTCACGAATATTAATAAATCTAAAGGAGAAAACATTCTTCTTTGAATAGATTCAAGCAAAGGAAGTTACTTCATAGACGTTTTATCAATGAATGATAGATGGGATTGGTCCCGACCATTGAAATTCGAATCGCTTCGTTCCGACGGTCGGCCACGACTGCGAAAGAAATCCAGTATTCGACTTCGTTTTGATGAACGTTCTAAACAGATTTAAAGAAAAATCAATGAGTTACAAATGGAACAAGTTCGAGAGGAAAACATGCGGAAAAAAAAACGAAAATGGCATGCAAACAACCTTTTATAGGCGATTGCCGTGTCTCGAAAAAAACTCGTTCTTCGTCTGTGATGAAAAAAAAATCAAGTAGAATGATTTAACTTGGATCGATCAATTCAAATTCTCATTTGTTAACCTACCTTTGTCAGGATCAATCGATTTCGATCGGGTCCGAGATGGCGAACGCACTCGTCGTTGCATTTCGTCGAATTCCTAAGAAAGCCGATCGAATACATGGATCGAAAGAAGAATTTCTCGTACTTTGGCAGTATTTTCTCGATGATATAGGGTATCATGCGCTAGTTCAACGAGATGGTTGAAATCATTGAATGTTTGAGAGATTGTTTCGAGTTTCGATTTGAGATTTGAGAGTATCTATAAATACAAGGGTAAAGTTACAGTCAAGTCGACTTGAGGGCGAATAATGAATTACTTGGAAAAGTGACTTAACATTTGTTTCGAGAACAAGACTATGGTTAAGTAATAATGAGCGTAGTAATGGTTGAGAATAATGAGCTAATCGTGCAATAATACCAGTTAATAAAAGATTAACATGTAAAGAATTTTGTAACATATTTTCCAATTTCGAGAAGATTGTGCGTAGAAATGGACCTAAAATCAAACGGTTTTATTCCAAATCTCTTCTCTTTCCATTCATTCTCATTTAGACATTGAGAGTCCTCTTCTTGTATGAAAATGCTACATACCGACATCAGCCATCTTCGCCGATGGTCCTGTAGACGTCTGTTGTTGTTGAACAGTTGATGTGAATAAAGTTGATTGAATTTGACTTGAATATTCATTCGTTGCTAAAAGTGACATGTCCATTGATGTCGATTGCTGTAGAAATGAAATAACTGAATAGTTTGATTGCGTATTGCTTAGTAGTTGTTGATGATATTGATTATCGAGATTAATTCCTAATAAACTTTGTTCCATTTCATTGCTGCTCTCGGTGGAAATCTTTGTTCGATAGTGATCGATCTCATTGGCAAGATGAACAATTTCATTTGTTAGTTCTTCACCTGATTTCGATGAAAGCTTCAATACGTTGTTATCAATAAGACGATCCAACAGAGATAAATATTCGTTCAATGTTAACTTCTTCGAAAATAGTTCATTTATTATATTGTAATCTAACAGAACAGAGTTCATTGTTGATAAATCATCAGTATTGGGAATTCCATCGTTTTCCACGAAATTGTCAATCTTATCGATCATTTCATTCAGTAATATCCGTACATTTTCATCAACTTCTTCTTCGATGACGTGATTATGCATCTGTTCATTCATTTCACGAAATTGGCTTAAACATGAATTCAATGTTTCGACACATGTTTTAATCTCATCGCGTATTACACCATTCGCGATCGATGGCGCATTCGATGAACGTATCGACCACGTATCTTCCGATCCTGGTAAATCAATAAATGAAAATCCATAGAATGATGATGGCTGGTATGGATCAATATCATCATCATTGTCGTCTTCGTCATCATTGATATGTCGATAGGTTGATTGAGTGTTCAATGAACGTTTGGCAAGAAGCTCATCAGGAATCGGCTCACCATTAGCTAACCAAGCTGGTAGTTGAAAATCATCTCCGATCGATTTTGTTATTGCTGGTGTGATTTCAGTTTGTGAATTCGTATCAAGACCATCTTCATGTATGCCAGAATCATTCGATGCAGTGACATTTTTCGTTGATTGTTTCGGATTGGCAACATTATTCAAAATGAAGTCCGATTTTTTGCAATTGTTCGTATCCATATTCAAAGATGAAAGACTGCTTGCTAATGAAATGAGATCAGCATCAGGAATAACGGTATCGGGTGATGGATTTTCACCATCATATGGTGCTGTCCAGCAACGACATGCAACACGACATCGGACTATACTGAAATGTGCGTCCTGCAAATAGATCACGATTGAGCGAAGATCGAAGACAAAACTTCGGATTCTTACCTCAAGATAAGCACCTAATGTATATTCATATCTTTCCGTAGCATTGGAAGAATCTCCATTTTCATTGAAACTGACTCGAACTTGTTTTGATTGTGAATTTTCATTGCTTGAAAAGAAAAATACAAACGTCATTTTCTTTCTGTCAGAAGTTCAATTACGACGACTAGTCAAAAGCATGTCTCAATGGAATCCGCATGTAATGAAATTAACTTCGAAGATTAGCATGGGAAAGAAAAGAGCTCCAAAAGATATTTGCTTATTATCTCTGTAAACATTATCATCTGGTATGCATTAACGAAAATTTATAGGTTTATTAATCGATTCTCTCGCAAATCAGTGTCATATCTAACTGATAAGCACGTATCGATAGGAGAGGAGAGTAGTTCGTCTCAATGCGTCGATAATTAAACTATTAAAACGTTCTCTATCTCAGAAAAAGCTAGATCATCGTTATTTACATTACCTATCTTTAGAAAACGAAGGTCTTAGTGAAAGAAATCTTTCCGCATTTTTCCCATAGATTTCGACATCGGTTATATGGCGTCGTTGGCTACACATGACATGTCGACAAGGAATGAGATACCTAAAACAAAAGTATGACGAATAGTTGTTAATAAACGATCATAGTTTTCATTACATAAATATGAGACGATACATAATATCTTCACAATTGAGATTAATTAACGTATAAAATAAACCCAACGACACCAGTCCAAGCTAATCAAAGCAAAATATTCTTGATAGACAAACAAAATCTTTTCTCTCTGAAGATTTTTACTTTTGTACTGAAGTTAATTCGTTGTATCAACGTATCCAGTAAACTCATTTCGTCGATTCTCGCACAAAGAATAAATTTTAAGAAGACTTTCAACAAAGCTGGCTCATGAATTGTTCGTAAAAACAGATCCAAATAAGCTGTTGCGGCAATAACTTCATCCATGGTATTCTAAGCAAAACACAGATAGACATATCAACAAATCTATTCATGCAATTTCGGACTAAAATGAAATCTACTGATCATGCCTATTCTGGAGAAAAAAAAAAGATCATGCAATAGCATATATCGTGCAAAATATAATAGAAAAAAAAAACGTGAAGCAGCAATAAATAAAAAATTTCTTAGGATAATGTTAATTTGTTTTTTTTTTTCATCAACTAAAATGTTTCTGATTGTTTACCGAAAAGTGTTGTAAATCAGAAAATTTCAATGGCATTTCGTGAAGATCCTAAGAAAGAAAAAATTTTGCTCACATACGCTCGCACACATCATATATCAATATAATTTTCGTGAAAGAATTACGAAGCGATTGACATGCCGGCAAGAAAATTTGCCTTTCCCTTGTCGATCAACATACTTGATGAATACTTGGCCCGAGAACTGGCACGAGAAATCCATGGTAGATATATTGCAATAAATGATGACCAATGGTTGGATGAGCAATCTAAGATGTTAGTTGAGAGAAAGAGAGAGTCGACGATTAGGGAAGCGAACTTACCTGGATAACATCGTTCGAAAATTGGAGTGAATTCATGAACTGAACGAGAGCAGGACATTCCGACCATTCTTTTTTCGTTAAAATAAACCACTCATCATTGTTGGTTGCTAAATGATGCGGCAAATCGGAATACAATGCACTCAGACCAGTAGCTAAGATCTGAAAAAAAACGCAATCGACTATGTTGACTCTCGTGCGCTCGGTTAGATTGTCTTACAGGACAAAAGTTTGTGTTTTCTACAATATGTCGTGCTATTTGTGCATTGCGATTTGATAATTGCATAATGAGTAATAGAGCATCACGCGCTTGTTGACCTAAACGAGTGAGCAATGTTATAATCAAGAACGAGAGAGAAGTTTTTGAAAAAAAGAATGTCAACACAAGTCAATCACAAAACGTCGCTCATAATAAATGGATCATGCTGTATTCATTCCCGGAAAGAAAAAAGAAAACTTTGCCTTTCTTCCAAATGAACAACTTTTCCCCACCTGTAGTTAAACCCTGCGGTGATGGCATGTCTAAATATATTTAGATAGTTTTGTCAATCGAGGTATGTAGTGAAATTTCGGAAGTTTCGAATGAATAGGGGTAATGAAAGTAAGAAAATCATCCTTACCGGCAAGTCCATCACGATGAACAAATGGGATTAGAAGAGAGAAAATAATAAAACGAGATGGACCATGTTCAGCACTGATGTCGAAGCAAAATTCCAATAGTTCGGGAGTTTTTGTTATACTGACACATACCTAAATCGAACAAATAAGGATCTTAGATGGAATTCGTTGAAGAAACTTACTTGATTGAGCACAACAATCATGTGTTTCTCAATGAGTTCTATTGCTGATGAAGATTCACATGATCGAAGGAGATTGAGCAATGGTTTGAACTGAAATGTGTTGTTAAGAGTTCGAAACGACAAATGTGATATTCAACTTACAATTTGCTTATGGAAGAGAAGTTCTTGTTGAGTTCGACTGAGAAGAAATTCGAAGCAGCGCAACTGATGATATTTGAGATCAGTGGCATATTCTGGACAACTGAGTGACCAAACGAAGAATGTGTCGAGTATAGCTTCATTTACAAAATAGAGAAGAATTGGGCCTGGTTGATCTTGACTAGCCACTTCATCGGTAAGTAATGTGACTGCATGTTGAAAATGTGACAAGACACAACTGATATCATCTTGATCGACTAATGCTTTTTGAAAAATCTGTAGAATTTGCTTCCAATGTTGTCGAAGAACCTATTTTTTACGTAGAAGAAAAGAAACAGGAAATCAATTCATAATCATCTAGATGAGTACGCATCTCTTCACCTCTTCCTCTGCTCTCATCTTCTTTCACCGCACAACTGAATCAATATCAAAGATGACTTCATTGCTATGAAACGGCTGTCTTTTTTCTTCATCAATCTAACGATCTGCATATGTCTCCTTCGACTACATGGGATCAAAGAAAACAGAATAATAACCTCAATACATATTCATCGATATTAGGAAGGAAAGAAGACCTATAGTTGCTACTGCTGCTACTGTCATCGTTCTTATTCATCTTCTTGTCATGTATGAAATTATCAGTTTTGATAATTTTTTTCCTTTATATCGTTTTCTATGAAAAATCTCAAGGTCATTCTCCGAACAAATGCTTACTGCTAGTTCGACGCTAATATCGTCGTCTATAGTTTCAGTATTACGATGACGTTTCCATTGCAAAGTCATGTCGATGGTGCCAAGGCATCTAGAAAAAGAGATAAACGAGAAAAAAAAAGAACTTTACACGATATTATATTATATTATAATCCGATGTTCTATGAAATAGAATTGAACAATTGAATGCGAACGACAAAGAGCAGTGACGGAGAAAAACTAACAAAAAAAAAACATGACTCAACAGTTTATATTATACAGATTTATCATCGTTCGTCGTTACCGGCCGTGCATTGGGGTTTGAACCAATAAAAAAAGACGAAACTTTTCAAATGTCTCAAGATAGAAGATAGATAAGATCATATCAATCACTTTTTTTTATCTCAACAAAGAAAAAAATCAATGCACTATCGTGTGAACGATATGCATTTCAAACATGACGAATAGATGTCGCTTATATCTATCACTCCGAAGGTACACGACTCTACGGGATGGATTATAGTAATGGAACATTTGAAAAAACTCAATGGGTCGTCTCGTATGTCATTTTATGACCAATTAGACATAGTCTTAAACAATTTGACAAAGGATAGAATTCCTGATGATAAAAATGTTGATGGAACATTGCATGTATAGTTCGATTGTCGAGTGTGTGATGACAAGTTCTTTCAGCACAGTGACAAATTTGTGCATAATGTTACAACGGATGAAGTTATGCACGTTTTACATGGACGAAAAGTATAGTCTTTGAAAAGAAGTAACTATTCATGGGATCGGAAATGAAACTCTTCATCGAAATAGAAAGGAAGAAAATTGGTTTTAGTAAAGGTATTTGAACAATTAGAAAACTGAAGAGAAGATTATTCTTATTAACAAGTCTGAAATGCTATGCCAATTATTTCAAAATACTTCGATACAGTAATTTTACTATTTCCGAAGTGAAATTTAAATACTTCAAATACGCGTGGAACTGTTGCTCTTATGTGTTGATTCATCATTCAAATTTTGATTTTCGGTACGATTAGATCGATTTCACTGGATATTCAACAGCACTTGCTGGTGACGCTGTTAAACAAATTCTGATTTCATTCAGCGTATTCGAATGATCGTTCTCTTGACTTTTCAGAGTGCTACAACTCATGATTAAAGTCTATCAAACGAATCTTTGTCTGAAGTATTTCTAGCTCAAATAAGTGAATAGTTGTCAAATGTCGATGCTTAGTAAAGAAGTGTATTTTTTAATTCATCATACTCATTCATGACACAGATATTTGTGTTTTAATCGAGCAAACAGCAATGTTTTCTGCAATTTTTTCATAGAAGACTTTTGAAAATTCCTCATAGCACGCAGCAGATTTTCGTTTTCTTATTGCGTCGAAGTCACCATTCGTTAAGTGAAGGAAAAGTCGTACGGCTATTTATCATTCAATTTAATTAATCGTATCCTATCATCCTAGTCTTATCAATAAACATTCTCTCGCTGTGGAAGAAAAATGTGCATGTCCAAATACAATCAAATATTGTGTCTCGTATCTAGGACAATTTTTTTGTATATAGTATCAAATAGAGCAAAGAGACGAATGAGATATGTGCGTGATGCCATTGAATTACCTTTGATATATCTCAGCGCTTATAAATAACATGTGAAAAAATCATAAATTTGCTACTGGTAAGTGTCATCAGGAGATTGGTCAATTGACGAATTCAAGTTTCCTCTTCTTTTTTTGTGACAAGGAAATAACCATTCCGCGACTAGTAATTTCTTCTCGCATGCTATGGGGAGAGAAAGGTATCGATATGATCTGATTGGCCATTGGATATCAATAGGTCATAAATAAAAAAAAACCAAAGACATATTTTTTTTCTTCTTCTTCTTTCTTTTCTCTCTTTTTCGTCTCTCTCGCTCTCCCCCTCTCTGCCAATTGCTTTTTCTTTATCATTATTCAAGAAAAAAGGTCAACTATTACAACTCCATCATGTTTACTATGGATGATAGTCGATCTAAGATGACGAACAGGTAAACTTTTCTTTTTCGAAATAAACAATCATTTTAGAATTTCAAGATTCTTACCGATAGTTTTGCTAGAATATTCGAACTCGATCTTGGACATTCGCTATTGTTTTCTCATGTCTCAGATCGAGGTTCGACCGTGTGAAAGTTGTGCATTTCTTTTTGTAGTTATGCTAACATACCGCATGAAACACGAACAGAAAGTACAGATCCATTATCGATCTTACTCGAAGCTCGATTTGAACCGTGTCAAGTATGCGGAGAACAATCATCTGGTCTTCACTGCGGTGCAATTACGTGTGAAGCATGCAAAGTAGGACTCGAACATAGAGACGAGCAAATGTTTTGTTTTGTTTGTATACAAGTAGAAATTCTTCTTACGATCGATCAATGGCGAAGATCAGAAATACAAATGTGTCAAGAATAAAGATTGCATGATCACTAGAAATACTCGTACGCAATGCCAATATTGTCGATTTCAGAAATGTCTAATGATTGGTATGACTGTAAAAGGTGATGATAGGATCTGATAGAGTGAAATTGACATATTATATGTGCAATTGGTTTTAGAAGGAGTCGAAATACAACAGACACCTCGAGTGGCTGATATATTTGCTCAAATCTCATGTTATGTATGCCAAGGACCATCGAGTGGTATTCATTTTGGTAAGATATCGATAAAAGCGAAGATTTCTTCTCAACAGTTTCTGTATATTCATGTTCAGGAGCGATCACTTGTGAAGGATGTAAGGTGAGTCCAATAGAAATAGCTACGCGTTTGGTGGAGATGGATTTTTACATAGGGTTTCTTTCGGCGAAGTATTAAAGAAAGAGCACCAAGTCGTTATAAATGTATGGACAATGGCACATGTGAAATGAGTGTCTCAACGAGAAATGCATGTCGTTATTGTCGGTTTCAGCGGTGTATCAAAGTGGGAATGTCCGTGGAAGGTAAAACAGCTAGTTAATTTTCTTTTCCAAGAGAGTATGTAATCGTGTTAGGAAGTCGAATTGGACGACAGAGTAATTTGTTTAAGCATCACATGCGTAAGTAAAGTATTCGATTCTTATTTCGTCATAAGACTGATGAAAGATTGTCAGGTATGATGCTTCAAAGAAATGGACAAGTACCGAACACAACAATGCTTCATCGAATGGTTCATTCCACAACATCAACACGAAATCGAACTGTGAATAAACGAAGTTTTGTAGACGAATCGACTAGTTCAGAAAGTGAATGTATGGATAACACTCATCTTAATTTCATCGAAGATAATAATAATAATGGTGTATTTTAGTAACAAATTCTCCCTCAAATTTCGAAGATCAACTGGATCCACAATGTCGACAGCTGATCTTCAATATTCACAAAGCATTCAAAGAAACAATCGATGTAAATCAGTCATTCTCTTCTCTTTAAAAACTCTTGTTTCTCATAGAATCTCCCTGTTTGTCAAAGCTCGACCGACATTTGGTCATCGTGTATCAATCAGTTCAAAAACTATGCCAATCGTGCGGTGAAATTCGCTACACGTATCCCAAACTTTATGAATTTTCACACTGTCACCGACCAGATTCAACTGATTAAATCATCCATTCATAGTATAGTTATTCTATGTTTACAACACACCTATCCATCATCACTATGGAATTATTTCAACACGATTGATGAAAAATTTCACGACGAATGTCAAAAATTATTTCCGTTCATCGAGTACATACGCACTGATGTCGAAAAACTACAAACTTATATGTACGCACTGAGACTTGACGAGAAAGAATTATCGTTATTCCTCTCTTTGTTGATCATCTCGACGAGTAACATTCGCTTGAATGATTTCCTATTGATTGATTCCACTCAAACAGAATTAACATGCGCGCTGTGTGATTATATGGATTGTAAACGTGGAAGTAAAAGTCGAGATTTCTATACATTGATGCTATTATTACCTTCATTGAAGAAATTAAATGTTAACATACAAGATTATATTCGAAATCAGATGCCAAAAAATGTGGAATTGCCAGCATTTTTCTTGAGAGTTTATCTTAATGAACAGGATAATGTGAGTATTTGTTCGGTAGAAGAAAACAACTACTTGAAGTTTCATCTTTGTTTCAGAGTAATCGGTCAACGGACTTTTAGTCGATCGTTTTGAACAGTAACTTTTCGAAATCACCGGTTGATTTTATTTTATATGTATATATATGAATATGACGGTGAAATTTTATGTTCATTGTTCTCAAACTCAAATGTCTTTCTTCATAGCATTAAATAGTATTACATGTTCGCAGCCATTGAAAGTCATCTATCGGTGGATAATAAGTGTAACAGATCGGATTGACTGATGAGGCAGATTTGTACAGAGATGGAATGTGACGAAAGGATTCCAGTGTACAAATGAGTGTTACTGAGATGAAGATGATGAGAAATAAACGATCGAACGTGAGAGCGATAAAACGCCATTCTTCAACGATCTAAATAAGAAAGTTTTTGGATGAAATTTGTGCAAAGTGAATTTACTTCTTTTTCGTTCTTGAAATTGTTCATCTGCTGGGCGATTGAAATTACTCGATTAGCTGTGACTCGCAGGCTACGTCGTGTTTGTCGTTCATTTTCATATATCGATGAGAATTTTCGTGTTGTACCGTCGAGTCCGGATGGGTTAGATGGTCTTTTCATCATAAGTATTTTCGGTAGGTAAATCAGAAGAATATTTCTTAACAAAAGTGGCATACTTGATGTTGGACGACGAGAAAAATGTACATTTAACGTAATGATTGTAGTTGTAATCGATAGATTAACGAGAACAAGTGTGAATAGAAGATATTTACCGAGTAATGGCATGACGAACGATGTTGGAGGAATCAATTCGATCAGTAGAAGATAGAAAACAAGTAATGCTACAAGAATGGATATTGATAATGTAATCTTCTTTCGACTATCCGATGGTAGAAGAAACACCAGTACACAGAGAATGGAAATATTCACACATGGAAGAATTAAATTGATTGTATAGAACAACGATTTGCGTTGCATTACACATGTAAATGTTAAATCCAGGTAGATTTCTGCGCAACATGCATAGATGATTTCATGTCGAAATGCGGTCAGATCTGAAGGAAAAGAAGATTTATATTTGTCTTACGAAGAGTATTCGTATGAATCTACCAAGAATTTCCCATTCGATTGAAGGCATATAGTCTTCTAAGTCCCATCCTCGTTCGATAACTGACAATTGATCATTATTGATAAACTGTAAATTGACTAAGGAACCCGAGTACGTCCATGTGCCAAATTTCAACGTACAGTTTTGTTCGTCAAAAGGATAGTGTTGAATATTGATGGCACAATACGATTTATAAATCATCGGTGGATTCTATTCAAAGTTCGAAAAGAGTGATCGAATAGTTTTAGCGTACAAACTAACCCATTTAACTGTTCCATCGTATCGAATGAGTACTTTGGCTTTTGATGTCACATGAAAATCTCCATCGGCATCTGCAACAAACATTGCCGTTCATCATAACTTACATGTAAGAAAGGTTTACTATTGTATAAAACAAGATCCGGTTTCCAAATCAAATCGTTGGACATATGGATATATTCTATCCCACCGAAATCTTCAGGAGACCAGATAAAACTATAATCTTGCCATTCCTAAACATATCGGAAGGAATTTTAGCGGAAGAAATTGACAAATTGGTTTACGTGAAGCGCATAGACATGAGTTTGGATAATTTGACTTTTCGCATTCTGATAATAGAACGTGATATACTCAAAGAGAAGCACAAATCGTTTCATACGTACAACATCATCGATTTGGATAAGTTTAAGGCCAAATTTCACATTGAGTATATCCGAATTATTCTTCACAGGACGAACATATTTAGTATAGTTTCGCATTAAATATTCGTGCAAATCCGTTATATGATCACTGTGAATCGTTTTCATTGAAATGCCGAACAAAAAGCTCTGGAATACTGAAGCAAATACATAGCACAACTTGAACTTCATTGTGTGCTGTCGTCAAACATCCGGAGGCAAAACTGAACCACTATTCCATATGCCAATCAAATCTACATATCATGACCTTTCCGAACAAAAATCAATCATCTTAATTTACTATTAGAAATCAGTATTTATGCAAATGATCTTGTCTAACAAAAATACATGAGGAAATATTTCGGGAAAAAAAATGTACTCAATTTTGGATAGAATTTTTCAAGAGTCCATATTTAGTTTCCATATGTAACTTGTTAATGTACGAAGTTAACTGCCATACACACGTGAATGAAATTGGATCTATTTTGTACCAACTGTTTGTTTCTTTTTCGTCATTGAATCGAAAAAAGACGCTTGCTGTTGATTCTTTTTATAACAAAAAAAAAAAAGCGTTTGAGAAAGAAGGTTAAAATGCTCATTCGAATCTTTGCTTTTCTCCATATCCTTCCGATAATCATTGCCATTAGTAATCAAGAAGATTTGACCATATCTACTTATTCTCATATTGCCTGTCTATCCTTATATCCTACGAGACAATATCTTGTAAACTCTATTCAAACAAATTCAATGGCAACATATCAAACATTCTCCAGTGCACCTATGACGATTAGCCTGTGCTTTCGATTATGCCGACAATCGGTCATTCTAATCACGGCAAACCATACGAATTGTATTTGCTTATATACAATGAATAATCTACAACAATTCCGTGAACATCTTGGACAACTTTTATCAATCGATGATTGTACTTCGAATTCATTAGAACTCTACGCGTTGTCAAAAAATGTTAATATTCTGCCTTCATTATCATCGACATATGAATGGACATTGGATGGATGTTATTATCTCCATGGTATACAAAACTATCAACCAGATATGTTGTTAACGAATGAGGATTACATTCAAGGGATAAGTTCTTGCCGAGAACATTGTCAAAAGATTCGACCAAGCGGTGATTTTTCATTTATGTTTTCATTGAAAAAAGCTTGTTATTGCCTTCCGATAACAATAACGCCCAGAACTGCGGTACGAAAACCTCTAGTTCACTGCTCGTTTTTACCCTATTTGAAAGCAAGTTTTTCAAACGTTTTCAACTATTCGGAAGTTCATTCGGATACAGCGGTTAAAATTGATGTCCAACGGTATTGTTCACCAACATTCGTATTTGATCGAACGTTATCTATATGCTTGAAATCCATTTCTATTCGTTCACAAAATTCCTATTCAAGAACATGTGTTCCAATGTTAATAGAAACACTCGAACAATGGAAATATGTGCATTCGTACCCATCTGTACCGAATGTGCGCACGTTTTTGCAGATTGAAAGGAATTCCTCGTACATATTTCAATCAACGAATACTTCTTTGTCAATCGATGATATATGTGTAGTAGCCGCTCAGACAACTTCAAATCGGTCAGCATCGATTGATCTTGTTCCATGTTCAACAGCATCTCGATCAGATTATATCCTATGCGCACAAAAACCAGTGCAACCGAATAGTGAAGATGAAACAGGAGTTCAAAACTTGTAAGTTTTTTGTCAATTTTCTTTTACATCTCAAATGTTTACTCTCGAATTTCAGACAAGATGAAGAACAATTTCCTGTTGCTGATGAAATTTCTTGTCCAACGCATTTCGTCTTGTTCAATAATATGTGTTACTATGTGTATCCATCATTTGTAAATAGTATTCAATCAGGAGACGAAGTTTGTGCTGGTAAAAACGCTGACAGTACTCTTGTGAAATTGAATTCTCACAACTGGGGAAATATTAACGCAACGAAGTTTCTTGGACGAACAATCGATGATATTCTTCTTGAATTCTTTTATTATCAATTAGAATCTAACAATGCAATCAATGGAAGAAACGATACGAGCAAGAAACACTGGTTACGATTACTACTCGGAGAAAAATATACACAAAATGAATGTGTTCTACGTTATTTTACTCGTGCATCAGGTGCATTCACTGTTCTTCATCGATGTGTTGATGGCGGTCATCCAGTCTGTCAATGTCAAGCAATTCGACGAAATATCTCAAAAACTGAACTCATTGAAAAATCGACAGCCACTCCATCAGACTTAACTGAAATCATTCAGTCTGAAACAGACACTCTGCCGGTACCCTTGAACTCATCTATTTCTGATCCCATGCCTGATGAAGATCTTCGTGATAATGAAACTAGAATTGATTATCAAATTCGCAATACCAGTCGATATTCTCGCTATCGTTCATTCATAATCATTAGCGTTAGTGGCCTGTTAGCACCCGTCATCTTGATCATAGGCATCGTCTTGCTCATTCATCATGTTCGACGAAGTCGTGGATCGTATTCTACTCGTGGACCGAAACGTTCGTCAACAGGCACAACGGTAACAACAGATGAACAATCAAGTACACCGAGTGTGGTTTACACAAAATTAAAATCCTCTCCACCATCAACAGCCATCGATATAGACATGTCAAATCCGTTCGATGACTCTGTTCACATCGATGATCAGATTCAATTATTACCAGAACTAGTCATGCAACCAAAGCCCTCTGCCATCGTTTCGTCAAAACATGAACCTGAATCTTCGAATCAAAAGTAACACTTCTCTCGCATTGGGAATGAACTACTTTCATTTTTCCCCTTGTATTTTCTACATCATATATATAAATGCATGAATATTTCTCTCAACAATAATCAAAAGTGACATCTTTCCGATGAGAAAGACGATTTGTCTGCACCTTTTCCAGCTTTGATCATCGTCATTTTGTCAACAGTGTATACATATGAATATGATAAGATTTCTCTTCAATTGTAAAACTTCATTCTTTCAGTTTTTTGCTTGCAAACATGACGAATGAATTAGAAGAATTAGAGAAAAACTGGGATGAACATGCCGAAGAATGGAATCGTTGGATTGGTGACTATGGAGATAAGAACCGAACAGAATCAAGCGATATTTGCTTGTGGAAATACGTTGGGGATGTTGAGAATCAAGTCGTTCTCGATGCCGGCTGTGGTAACGGATATCTGACTATAAAATTTGTTCTTGAAACGCGTGTTAAGCACATCATTGGTATTGATTTGTCATCCGTTTCTGTCAGGATCGCAAAAGAGAACATTGCTCGGCGAATCCAAGAAGAAAAAGATCGTGAAAGGGTAACAATTCAACACGATTCTGTCACTGAACTCAAATCAGTTGAAGACAATTCCATTGATTTGATTATTGCAAACTATGTCCTCATGGATACACCGGATCTGGATTCGGTCATCAAAGTAAATCTATTTTTAAACGAAATGAACACGATCGAAGCGTCGGTTCTATTTCGATTGTTTCTCTTTACCAACATATTTAGGCATTCACACGTGTTCTGAAGTCATCAGGTCGAGTAATTATTGTTATACTTCATCCATGCTTTGATATTGTGCCAGAGAAAGACGGCGCAAAACGTATTTTTACATGGACGAAATCTTATTTTGACGAAACATCCGAGAGACAAGAATGGGGTCCATTTTCATTGCATATGTATCACCGATCAATGTCGGTTTACTTTCAAACATTCAAAAAATATGGTTTGACATTATTAGATTTCGATGAGCCACGATTTTTCTCATCATTGCATCAGTACGAATTCACTTGTTCAACGTTATTTCATTTAAAAAAGAACTAATAAAATTTTGATCACAGAAAACTTCGCCTGAATCACATTCAACTACCAACCTGAAATGTATCCTTAACAGGCAGATTTGTTTTCGAATTTGATTGAGTCTATTGTATTGGTTCATTGGAAGATAGGGACTTTTCATTTCGTATCTGCCGTGCTCGCTGATTCGACACTAGCTATACTTGATCTTACAGCTACACTTGAATCTGTAAGTAACAGTTCTTTTCGACAACTACATCGAGTAGATGTGAAGAGGTAGATGAGAACACCTGCTACCATAACAATGAACGCAAAAATAAGCAAATAGACAAGAATAGAGTATGTTCGGTTCACAATTACTCTACTCGGAGTAGTTTGCATCGATGTTGTTGCTGTTGATCTAAAGAAATGTAGTCAATTTCCCACCTAACATTTAATACAAAGTACAGACAAATCATTATCCAATACAGCAATTCTTACGAAGCGCGATACTGACAGCAAAGGACAAACGTCCGGTTCTGTCCATACTATCTGATTTGATTTTATAATATATTCAAACCAGTTCAGAGTGTGATTACATGAAAACTTTAAATGAATTGAACACTTGGGAATATGAATTAAACTGGGATTTAAATTTATGCTTTTCACAGTTGCCATCGGCTTGATGAAGATGACATTCAATATGTCAAAAGATGTAAAATTCAAGTGTAAAATCGAATGGAAATAATCCGCCGAGATTTCAGCCAGATTATATTGTTGAAAAGTGATTTGAAGTATGACAGCCATTTGGCCATTAGCACGTTTCGTTAGCAAAGACTCCACGACAGTCGGACTTTGATGAAAAAATTCTTCAGAAAAAGTGTTATTATCAAACATAAAAGAGACACACTTGGCTTGATGTCGACATATATCGTGAATGTCTATACTAACATCTTTGATCGTGCAGTGTAAGCAAGTTCTCACACTAATCTTATCATCAATTTGTGCTGTATAATCATAATTTGTACAAACGCTTTTCCAAGCATCTGAGATCTTTTGGTAGGTCAAACATGTATTAACTGTATATGAATTTAACAAATAGAAGAAAACCAAGAACTGTTGCATAATACGAAGAAGAAAAAAATTCAACTATTCGTAGAAACTACTTAGTTACTACTATCACCAAGAACTTCTGTTTTCTTTTATTTCAAATATTTGAAAAAACCGATATTTTTTTTTCTTCATCGTTTTGCATCGAAGTAAAGCATACAAAAATAAAGCATCTACTCCCATTCGTTGTTCGTTTTCATCTACGCGTTACTAACCTTGGAAGAGAGTGCAAAAGAGTTAAGATGGGACTACGAGTGCGCGTTCTATTTCAAGACAAATATGGGCTAGGAGAGAAGAAACATAGAAGAATAAGCAATATTTGTCTCTATATCTGACTTGTGAACTAGCAGAAGGATGAAGAGATGGCACAAACAAAAAATGCTTTATCCGAATAATTAGAAAGGAAACGATGTACGACACAAACGAGACCTCCCAGTTATAAACATCTATCTTAGAAGAGAGAGAGAGAGAAGACGAATCAAAGAGAATAAGAATTTGGGATAAACGACGTGAAGACGTGTCAAAAGGATAAGAAGAAAGAATGTGAACTTCTTCGTTGATTTACCTTTATTGGAGCAGCATGAACTGAAACAAAGACATAAGTTTTTATTTTCATGAAAAAGAGAATGAGAGCAAGAACACATGAACAAGAAATTGCGCAAAAGAAAGGTTTGACACGAAACAAAACAAAAGAATCAACACCTATACTGTATAGATTCAACAGATCATGATTTCCAGCAGAATTCTAATGAATAAGAAGACAAACATATAGAAAGAGAGAGAGAAAGAAACGGACGGAATATCCTCGATTATTCCAACAACCAAATATAATGATGATGAATAGTGTTCGAATGAGCACCGTTAAAAGAACATTAGAAAAGAATAAAATCATGCATGCAAGAGAGATTTCGATATCACAAACGTAAAAAATCGGCTGGATATATCGCTTGAGTACTGTTATTATTATAGAAATAAAGCGTAGAAGGTGAAGATAAAGTTGCAGTTTTACCAGGCATAATTCCACTCATCACGTCAGGAACATTGCTGCTAAGATTTGCACATACCTCATCGGATGTTGCTGAACTTGAAAGAAATATATATGGACTTGTCGTTGTTGTATGATGTTGTTGTAAGGATGAAAGAGATATTGGCGATTGTGTAGAATTTCCGCTTGCTGTTAGTAAGGTCGTGCCAGAATTAGCCGAATTCGTTATTGGACAGGCTAATGCGGTTGCATATTGTTGCGCTAGTTGATTGGCGTTTAGTAACGTCGCTGACGGAGCTAGATTTATCATTTTTTGTTCATAAAATGTGAAGAAAAGAACAGTTTTACCTGAAAAATGAATAGCACCATTACTCATTGCTGAGAGTGTTGTTAATGGTGCACCAGCAAGTGTAACGATTGGTGAACCATAGACGTTGGGTATACCTTAGAGAAGAATTGTTTATATTAATGAAAGAAGCGAGGCATCGAGAGTTGCAGTACCTGTTAAATATCTTCCACCGATGGATATGGGTTCATTGGAACTTTCATTCGATGGTAAAATTGGATTAGTATAATCTCGACTTTTATCGTTATTGTATTTGACATTTAGGGAATGTAATTTCGAGAAATCAATTTGTAATGTACAACAACCATTGTAGATATTTTGACCGTTCAAATTCTGGAAGAGAAAAAGAAGATTTTCTCTTTGGTAAATCAGCTGAGCAATGTTCTAGTCTTACCGTTTTCGCTGTATGAGCTATTGTTGCATCTTTCATTTGAATCAATCCTTGAAATTTATCTAAACATTCATTCCAATATAAACTTTCACGTTCTCATACGAACACCTCTCCTTACCATTTTTCGTAAATGTGATAATTTTCAAAACAACACCAAATTTACTGAAAATCTAAACAAAAACAATCCATTTTTTTTTCTTCGTTCAGAAACACTTCCTTCTCTCTCTCTCTCACTTGATAAAATGTATCTACACTAATCGGAAAAATCAAATTGTTCACGATCACGCGCAATACGCAATTCTGTCCACCTATACGCGAAATCTCTTGTAGAACCGTAGCTGATTGTAGAGCAGCTTGTGCTTGTTGATTATTAGCGTTGTTCGGATCTGTCTTCAATTCTTGATGATTTGAAAACTGAACAAATATTTGGCGACCATTTAATAATATCGGTAGCGAAGAGAAATAATCAGTCATTGCTTGAGCATGTTCAACGCTGTCAAACTCGAGAAAAGCCTAGAATACGTACTCGTTCAGAAGAACAATTACCAAAGTAAACGAGTAAAACCTGATTCTTTTTCCGTAAATTGAGTACATTGGTTATTTTCCCGAATGCAAGGCCAAATTGAACGATCTCCAATTCACTAGCGTCAATATTTCGTAAATGAACTAGAAAAATGAAACTTCCCACATATCAAACACAATGTCATCGTAACTTACCCACACGCGATGGCATACTTTTTTCTATTCGAGCCTGAAAAGCAGAAACAATGCAGGTCTTCTGCAAAACTTTTCTTCACATACTTTTTTTGCTTCATTACTATCACTACATTGATGTCCATTCGATAAATCGGTCGTTCCATTGACGTTATTCATATCCTCTTCACTAGTTGATCCGGCAAGTATTTTACTAGGTGGAGACGATGGACGATCATTCGAGAGTAAACGCTATGAAAGAAGACAAAATTTAAGAAAACTTCTTCATCATGCCTTCAGTCCATCAGCAATATATACCTTCATGGATCGCTAAAACATACAAAGAAAAGTGCACATAAGAAATCATGCAAGTATTTATTGACTTATTCTCAATTATTCCTTACGTACACACAGACAAATCATCAAAAATTCAATTGAAAGTTTTTCTTTCTCGGTTAGTAGATTTTCAAGAATATCATGACAGGCACGATGATTTATGTCCTAGTCGTTATTACTGGATTAACAAACCGTCAATTGTTCTTAGCTTATACTTTCTTTCTAATTAGAATAAGTATCAGTCAAAATGTCAGTTCGCTCAGTTTATGTCGGAGGGGGGGAAATGTTCTCTCGGCATGTCTGATGAAAAGGTATGCACCACGTACATATGATATTGTTATAGAGTTGGCAGAGGAGGAAGAAGAAGTAGAGAAAGATGAAAGAGCGTACACAGCACACCTGTCAATCTATTTCTCTGTTCTACACGTTTCTTTTTCTCAGATTTGTAACTACGAATCCTGTTTGATCGGAGTTTATGATCGGGTGAAAAATATTCTTTTGCATTTTTATTTCTCGTTCTTTCAACAAAATTAACCAAACAATCGACTGATCTTATGATCATAAAACAGCTTGCCGACATCAATAAAAACAAAAAGACACATGAATACTTCAAGTGTCTACATGTACATATAACTGATTATCTTTTCACCAGATTTCATCAAGTCAGAAGAGAAAGAACGAGTCTAACAATAGAACTTCGAAATATTCTATCCATAAATGAGAGCGCTTTCAATTGGCAGAAAAAAAAACAAAGAATTGTTCTATGTAAACGTATATGAGTTGTGATCCACTTATTCAGAGGGGTAAAAGGTCGATTGTTTAGTCATGATTAGACGCTTGTAATCGATCCCATGCATACACTTGATAAAGGTACTCAACATATAAGGTCGGAAACAGGTACTTATCGAAGAAAATTCTTATTTACATAGGTATCGGAAGGAACAATGAATGGTCGACGTAGTTCTATATCATAATCATAACATCCATTAAGCACTCACTGTTAAATCTAAGTGTTTTTCTTTCTCTTGTTGTTAACTATTACTACGACACTTTACCTCGTTATGTTGTATAGAGATTGAGATACAGACCGACGCATAGACAGAAAAGAGAAAAGGAAATAAATGCCGAAGAAAAATATTTAAAAAAAAACGAAGAAAGAAATTTTTTGTCTGTTGTCGTTTTGTTGCATTGAAATAGACCGCTGAAAAAGCACACAGTACACAGTCATGCATCAAGCTAACGAGAGAATTTTAATAATGATAGGATAGGACTTGAGAAAGGAAGTCATTATGATACAAAACACTACATCTCGCTGCCATTTTCCTTTTGCGTCTGAATGACCACTAACATTCCTTCGCATGCAACATAAATCTTACACCTATAAACTTATAACATACTGAACATCAATAAAATATGTCTCGAATATCTGTTAAAATAACTGGATCAGATGAGTTTCGCAAGAAAAAGAGTTCTCGTTGGTAAATATATACTCCAGTGTATTTGTGATTTGCATAATCGATCTGATCATCAAGCATCACACATAGGAATATATTTACCAATGTAGATAAGGCATATCGGGCATCTCATTTCGAATACGAATTTCTCTTCTGCCTCTCTCTCACTCACTCTCTACTTACGATCGATTTCAACAGCAGACTAATAAATTGATCCACTTGCTCGTTCTCTCTTTACGTTCACGATTTAGTTATTATTATTCTGTTGACCCATGTTATCTTTTAATTGTAGCGACACAGACAAACTAATGCGAACTAAGTCGATTTTATTATCCTTAGTGAAGAAGAAGAAAAAAACGCAACGGACAACTAACAGAGAGAAAGAAAAAAAGTAAAATGAAAAAAAAAAACGGAGAAGGAAGACCGCCTTTTCTTCTACCTCTACTCATACTGCTGTTTTTCTCATTCTGTTATACTATTATTTGAAGATCCAATTTCAAGAAAGACGAAGACATATACCTTCAAATAAAATAAATTGCCATTACTATCCGTAGCAGTTGAATACATCTTGAGAAAGGAGAGAGAAGAAGAAGAAGATACTGACATACACACACATACAGAGCCGAGTTATAATATTAGAAGGTATATATATATATACTCTTTTTATCGACAATGGTTTTATTTGAAAGAGGAAGGAATAAAAGGCCTATAAAATCGAATGAATGCAAGAGAGAGAGGGAAAGGGAGAAGAGACATATTTGGCCTACACAAACATCAAGCAATAAGAGACGAGAGGAAAAGAATGAGATATATCGAACGCTGGAGACAATAAACCCAACAAAGGAGAACTTTGTGTACAGATGGTGGTAGTAGAAATGACAAAGACAAAAGGCGAGTAAATAGATGATATGTATATTCAGAAGAAATCTGACTACTCATCTTTCAATCAACATAAAGATGAAAATACATCTAGTTGACATGAGCAATGCCGTCTTGTCTTTCTATATTTATTCAGAAAGAATTTACATAAGAAAAATATGATAATTGTCCAGTAACAAAAGCACGTTTGTCATTGTTGTCTTCATCTATGCATGTTCGTTTGTCAAGTCAGATCTAACCAGCTCGATTGACTTTTGTAGCGGATTGTCACTTAACACATTGACTTTCTAATTAATAAGTTACAAGTGATGAAAATAACTCGATTCATAAGCCATATGCACAGTGTAATGTGTCAATTAAAATTCCCGTATCATATTTCTCATATAGAAGACTAGAAATCATCATATATGACTACTAAACTTGAATATTATTAACATCAATTATTCTTCATTTGTTCCTTAGCAACATAACTACTCGCTAGATGTCGCTTGATTAAAAAGATTGAACATCAATGCAAATGAATTCATTTTTCTGGATAAATTAATCGAAAATATTGGTTTCATCGAGAGAAATTCGAGTTTGTAGGTACACGTGTTCGTTATACAATTAACTGTACAGTTCGTATAAAATAAATAAACAAATTGTTTATAACTGTTCAATCATTGTACATACACGTTCAATCGTTCAGTTTAACAATGACAACAACGGATGCCGAAGAAACGAATACAACAGTTGATACAACTGATGAAAAAGAGTACGTTTTTGTTTGAATTCATCGTTTTATTCTTAATTATTTTTATTCTAGAGAGAAACTCTACGACACGATTGTCAAACGGCTCGGTTTGTTCGACTTTTTTTTCTCTCTTGTCTTCCCTTTCTATCGATAATCTCGTTTTTCGTAGAGCCACTCTCTGCAGTGAAGTTTGCAGCGTATCGTGTTGCATGTAAACTTCGTGTTTTGCAAAAATACCTGAAATGTAAGTTTGAATACACGAAAAAAAAAAAAGAATCGGTACGAATATCATCGCATTTTAGTGACTTATGTCGATTATAATATTCTGGTACGAGCATTCAATACTCATCAACTACAGTTTGGCGTTGAAACATCGAAAATTTCGCATGAAGATGCTCGGAAAGTATTGATGGGAATCTATCAGTTGATTTCATCGTACCATTTCAATGAATCGACTATGGAGGAAATTGTTGAAACTTTATTGAGATTCATATCTGAAATTCTCAAAATGTAATGAAAATTCCATTGAGTTTGAACATTCGATGAATGTTTGGTTGTGTTATTTTAGCGAAGCAAATGAAGATTTCGAGCATAATCCGTTTAAGATTATTCTATTTGCATTATCGAATGCTAAATTACCGGAAAAGTATCGTTGTATGTATTTCGCTCGAAGAAATGATTGAAAGCCAAGAAAAAACATGATGTATTTTAAGGCTTTTTCCGGCAAATCACTTCACCAAATGTAATTGCTTCGCAAGGCAAACTAACTGATCTATTCGAAATTCTATTAAAGGTAAAACAGGTATTTTCCTCGAATTGACCGCTCAATTCTCTCTTTTAGTTACCAAATCATTTCGATAATGTCGATTCATTCCATTCAGACAATATTCCAGGCTGTGTTCAAAGTTGTCTAGATCATGTAAGATACACTCTCGTTGACAATATAATTCATTGTCGATTCATACATAGACACATGATGGAATAGTTCGTGAAGATATTTTTGTCAACTGGATGAGTCGGGAACCGCAGACATTAGTCTGGTTGCCAACGTTACATCGTTTGATTGCAACAGAAACAGGTCAGTTGGTTTGTAAGTCTATCCTCCGGATACAAATTGTTTGTTTTAGTTCGACATGAAGCAAGATGTAATACATGCAAAGCATATCCTGTTATCGGCATGAGGTAAACAAAAGACAAACATTTTCATCGGAATATTTATTGAAGTTTTCTGAGAATAGATATCGATGTCTTCGATGTTTTAATTACGATCTCTGTCAAACGTGTTTCTTTACGGGTGATCATGCGAAAAAACATGATGGCAGTCATCCGATTGAAGAGTATTGTAAACAGGTAGCAAGTTTGATAATGAAATACATTGAAAAATAATCTTTCTTCATTTCGTCTAGGTGACACCGTTCGAAGATTTGAAAGCATTCTTAGAATTCGTTAAACTCAAAGTTGGCAAACGTGAATTACAAAGAAAAGAACGTTATCTTACTATCGAACGTTCAAAATCATTGTAAGAATATTAAAAATCGTGTACTCGAGAGACTTTTCAAAGATCTATTACGCTATTTCCCATGCGACACACAGGAACTGAGCAGTTCCGTAGTCATAACTATCGATTGAACTGACTCTCAAGAAGCAACGATCACACATCCGTTTAACCGATTAGTTGAATTCATTTTCAATGATGTTGTTTTTACCTCGGGGCCAATTCTTTTCAAAAACATGTACTTTTGATTACAGATCAATATTTGTTCTCTTTCTCTCATCTAGCTGCGATACGCCAGTCACCTCGTCGATCAATAGTGCAAGTCAACTAGTTACTAATGGACATCATTCATTGAATCGGCCCGAACAACCACCGAAAAAGGTTCATCTGCAAGAGATTTATCGAGCAATTCCGAAGAGTGATACGAATGGAACAGCATCGTCGACTGAGTAAACGAAACTTCTTCGAAAGAAGACAACAACGGTTATGTTGTTTGTTTTAGTAAACATGAAAATAACAATGAACAAAAAATCCCACTGACTGGTTATGACAACGTTCCAGTTGAAGATGAGAAAAAGAAACCATCGAATTCAATTAAGAAGAAATTAACAAAAGATGAACCGTTACTAGAAAATGATCAGTTATCATCATCAACACCCCGTAATTATATGAATGTTGATTCGAAAAAGTCTACATCTGTCCCTGACGAGGACAATGCACCGATTCTCATGCCGAAGCAACATGCTCCAATGAAAAAGTCTTCCATTAACAAACAACATGCGAATGAATTCATCCATACAGAACATTATCAATTACCACCGAAAGACGAAGATGATGAATATCAACCTCCATTACCACCCAAGCAACGACATCAAACTAACACCTCACGTGCAATGGTTTACGATTTTATCGGCAGTGAACTCCAAGAATTACGCGTTGCACTCGCTCAATTTGATGCCAATTCTTCGAGTAAGTCTTTTCACTATACGTTCGATTGACCATTGTTCTCTTTTCTTTTTCTTTCTAGTTGCTTAAACGAACGAAAACTCATTTTTTGAATTCCAGTACAGTATTATCGAAGATCTTTGTAGTTCATTGATCGAATCTCTGTTTTCTTGTCTGTGTTGCCATGATGCAATGTGGGTTGCTGTGAATATTGTAGTGAACATTTTTATTCTAGTGAATCATTTTGTTTTTTTTTTCTCTCTTTTCCTTTTTCTTCACTCGAGTTTTGCCATACTTATTCTAATGATGTTGTCAGATAGTGTTTGCTGGCTATGTATCTTAATCAGATAGAGTAACCTTCGTTTTTCTTTGTTGGAAACAAAAAAATAACTATAAATATTCTTATTACTGATAACGTAGATAATCATATAAAACTAAATGCTTCTTATCTTTGATCGTTCGGAATTCGGACTGCTTGGTACTGACTAAACGATCTTTTCAAACGATCTCCGGTTGATTGCCATGCTTGTAAAAATCGGCGATCAAGTGCAGCAATGATGATTGGATCAAGTGTGATACTTATATAATTCAATATTTGAGCCATTACTCCCACCGTACTACTCTTGTAAAAGAATGGAAAGAGAAGAATGTGCGGTGACCAAAATACAATCCACAACGAATAGAATACACCCGATTGTATTAATATCTGTCGATGATATTTCAATCGGGCATCGACGATCTCCTGCGTTCGAATACCATCCGTATTGCGAACGTAGTTGAGACATAGGAACAAAAAGAATAATGCCAATGCCACCGGAATAAAGTATGAAAATACGAGAAAGATGATACGGATAGGTAACGAGACGGGTATGAGATCGCATGCATCACCGGGAGGATTTTGTAGAACAGTCCATTTATATTTTGCTGCGATAATGTGTCCGAATAATGGGCAGAAATAGATGAGAAGATGTGCCATGACAATAGAACAGCGGTTCGTTGAATAGACATTGTAATTATGAGCTATTTGTAAATACCGACAGATGTTCAATGCGAGAAGAATGTAACTTTGTAGAAGATTAAGGTAATTATCGAAAATAGCTTCACAATAACAAATCATTGAATGTAAAAAGTATGGAACACATATGGGCCACCAACGATAGACATAGAGAAGAAAGAAACGTATGAGTAGTAACAAGTCGGAGACTAGATAAGCGTATAACCATTGCATTGACCATTGTCGAACAGTCGGATACGCGATGAGTTGAATCCAAAAAAGCAGATGAATAATCGTTGCAAGAATACATATATACAAAAGTGGTTGAACTGTTTTCATTGCTTGTGTGGACCATCGGACGACTTCGCAGTCGTTTGTCTTATTCATGTTTCTCGTACAATATTCGACTAAAAGAAAAACTGGAAGTAAATTGTGTACTTTCGCACGGGTGCATGATTAGTTTCAGTGTTGATTAGTCGCGAAAAGAGACTAATGGCATGTCATGAACTACTTTATAATTGTAAGTAGATCGACATGCTGCGCACGTTTCCTCAAATGAAAGCTACAGTGAATATTCACAAAGAACTTATGAATGCCTTGGGTTTTTCTTTTCTATTTTCTAAGAAAACTTATGCGTCATCTCATGTTTTATTACATGATAATATTTTTTTCTCATATAGAATAAACTATTCTCTCGATAGAATTTATGCGAAAGAAAAGCATAGTCATTCACTTACTCATAAAGCTGAATGGAAGAATTTGGTTGTTATTGTTGTTGTTGTTGTTGCTGGGTAGTTTTCAGACGCACAAGTAGTGCGAGACGCTAGAAGAAGAAAGGAAAATCTTGTTAGAATAAGTAACGATTGTGAATTTTTCTTCTATTCATTCTATTTACATGTCAACAATCTACCGGGAAAAGAACATCACAGTCTTCATTGATGAACTTCCAGCAGCTAAGTTAAGTAATTTTTCTCATTTAGACAACCGCTCGAATGACGCGAGGGCACTAACTCAAATTAATACAGAGAAAAAAAAGAAATTTCTCGAGAGATTATGGTGTTGAGATATATTACGCGACAATTTCAATGAACATGAACTACATGGAAGACACAGGACAATGAACATAGAGAAAAGATAAGCAGAAATTGTTAGCGTTCGATCATTATCTGTGAAGATTGTTTGTTTCCTCTCGTCCTCTATATCGGGATATTATCACGCAGAGAATCGGCATGTGATCATGCGACTTACAGGAAGAAAATAACAAGCAGATTATATATGGTAATGACGATACACAGTTCGTCGAAGAGAAATATATTGAATCTTGTCTAAGTTTGTTTAACATAAGATTTCACGCTTCTCAAGGTTAAGCTAAAAAATTTAATTCGTGTTTTCTTTTATAAAATGTATTAAAATAATCAGTTTACAGTAAGACTATGCTCTATAGTATGAGTAGATAAGATAACGGGTACGGGTGAAGATTGATGTCGTCGTAGCCATCTTCGGCATTGATTACCAGTTAGCTGCCATGTTTGTAAGAATCGTCGATCAAGTGCTGAGATCGCGATGGGATCGAGTGTAATATTAATGTAACGCAAGATTTTGGCAAGATTTCCAATTCGACCATTCTTACAATAGAATGGAAACAGAAGAAGATTCGGTGACCATAAAACTAACCATATTGTATAGAATATAGCTGATTGGAGTACTAATCGACGATAGTATTTCTGTCGAGCATCAACTATTTCTTGTGCATGAATGCCATCAGTTTGGTGAATATGATGAAGACTAAGAAGAAGAAATATTAAAGTTAAACATACAGGTATAAAGTATGAAAATACAAGAAACACAACGCAGATGACTAGTGAGATAGGTAATAGATTACAAAATCCTCCGGGTGGATTTTGTAGCAATGTCCAACCGAAAACAATCATTACTATATGACTGATGAATGGCAGAAAATAAATAAGACAGTAAGCAATCATAATAATCAAACGATTCGACGCATAAACATTATGACCATGCACGATTTGTAAATACCGACAGATGTTCAACGCTAGGAGAATGTAGCATTGTAATTGATTCAGATAATTATCGAAAACAGCTTCGCCATAGCAAATTAACATACGTACAACATGTGGAATACATCTAGGCCACCATCGGTAGATATAGAGAAGGAAAAATCGGAGAAGTAATAATAAATCCGTGACGATATAAGCATAGACCCAAAGCATCGAACGTTTCTGTACAGTCGGAAATACTTTCAGTTGTATTTGGAAAATCAGATGATTAACTGTCGCTAACAGGCAGATGCATAGTATAGGTCGGATTGTTCCTATTGTTTGATGAGACCAGTGAATAATCTTACAACTTGTTTCGTTGTTCATCTCGCAAATGATCTTATGCTACAGAAGTGATTCGTATTTATCTTCAAGTTAATTGTGATAATGATATAAAATACATGTTGTATTATCGTCATTATTCTCAAGAATCTTTTGAATCTGCTCGATAATTATTCGTAATTTGTTTCCGAACGACTTTCATTTTCTTCATATGCGCAATAATTGTTCAGATAGAAATCTTTGACATTTACATGGTGCGCAATAGTAATGGTTTTCTAATACGTTTTATTCTTGACAACACGGTTTCGAATTTGCACTCAAAACACGAAATCATTGCTGTATAGTCACATGTGACCAGTCATCAAAGGTTTTCAACTCAAAAACCATCGATCATTTCGATTTCTTCATTATATTTGTCGTTCCTAGTATAATCACGGTTGATTGATCTTAATTATTAGGTATTAGATCAAGTCTAGTTTGAATCAAGCAAGCGTTTCGTAGAACGTATGTTACATATATATCGATAAAATCAACCTATGTATAAGTAGTGATTCACTCTGATGCATATTTATATAGATGTGCACATGCTTTTTTTTGTGTATATGTTACTTTTTATGCATAGTATTGACAACGAAAAACTAGTCGAAGAACTTTGTATCCAATTAAATGTGTTCGATATCGATTAATGTTGTGGTGATGATCATGTTGATATTCTATGTTCCAAGTCAAATGTGTGATCGTTCATTTAATACAATTGTAGGTTTCGGTGATGCAAATACGGATACAGGAAATGTGTATACACTCACCAATCACACCTGGCCGTTAGTTCCACCTTACTATCAAGGTCGTTTTTGCGATAATCTTCTTTGGATCGAAAGACTCAACATTCCAAATGTACTCAGTTATGCATATGGCGATGCGACAATTGATAATGATAACTTAATTGTTGGTTATACATATTTAAACCGAACACAAGTGTATGGGATTCGTCAGCAAATCGTTCGTTATTTGCAAGCTACCGACATCAGTAAAGTTGACTTATCTCGAACGATGTATGTAATCTGGGCGAGTGGAGTGGAATACTTACTCAATCCGAAAATCACAGCGGATGTTGTTGTAAATGCATTTCTGAGTGCCGTTTATGATTTACTTATCCTGAACATTAATTATTTGATTGTAATTAATGTTCCACCACTACAGTTTTACCCTGGTATGATGAACAATTCACAGTTGGCGACATTGATCATGCAACATAATCAACTCCTATTATCAAATATTACTCAAATCAAAGAAAATTTCATGCAAACATCGATACAACTTTTCGACGTATATTCGTTGATTTCTGCCATGCTCTGGAATAATTCATTGCATAGTTTGAACACAACAGGTAAATGTTGGGATATAGAGAACAAAACCATCGTTTCATTATGTTCAAATCCGCAAGGTTATGTTTTTCTTGATAATAATCATCTAACCAGTTCTGTGCATCAAACCATTGCCGATAATATTCAATCGCTGCTCACATCGTTGTCTTCCAGAACTATGTTTTCGTTGAATTTAACTGTTTTTATCTGTATAGTTTTGTTTCTTTTCAAGCACTATTGATCCTGTTTGTTAGAAATTCCCTTACGATCATTTGCCTGCAGTAGCAGTTCGCATGTTTTGAATTAGTACATCCGGTAATCTCATGATTTGACGAGAGGATAGATCAACACGACGACCTTGTTTATACCGAGAGATGTTTCTATCGATTCTTATGTTTAACTCAGTGCAAAGACCAGCAGACAGGGTTAATCGAGTAGAAAGAAAAATACGTGCTGTCACTCGTTGATAACGAAAGAAGAGTATTTCCCTAGAACAATCGTCTGTATTCAGTTTCATTGAGATATAAACGTCTACTTCTACAAATCGATATCGATATTATTCTGAAAGCAAATCTTGAGTATCAGTCTTGAGAATGTCTAAATTCGATATGCAAATAAATGATCGATAATGCATCAAAATAAGAAAACATTTTCAGTTGAGAACGAATGAAAATCATGCAGATATTCGATCATTTATTGACAAAAACACACTCGAAGAATGCTTTCGTATTTGAATATATGAAGAAGACAAATATATGATCGATTGTTTCAGTTCGCAATGTGATTTTGATTCATTATGACAACATTTACAATCGACGGATAATCTACTCAATGTCATTTCGATTCAATTACTAAAGATTTTTTTCTAAAAAGACTGTTGATTTTGAATGGATTTGCTTCAAGAATACAATCACGAATATAGTTACTTATTTCTGCTACAGTAACTTAACAAAATAAGGCAAATTTCGATTTTCAAGCAATACAATGATTAATCATATTAAAAAAAAATCAATTCACGAGCGTCGAGTACAGAAAATGAGAAGGCCTGTATGACGTCGAGAGATTAGTATTCGCTGCGAACATCTGGGAAACTCAGTTGTGCGCCGATCTTTCACAAAGGTCAACGACAATCTCCACATCATCTATTTATCTAGCGTTTGCACGCGTACCAACTCGATTATTACGTTCGATTGGACTACTGCCAAGTCAATATTATTATGCAAACATACACTGAGGGCAAAAACCGTCGATGTCTGTATGTACATGGCAATTGTATACATGTACATTGGATTGACGTCATCAGTGACGAGGACGAGGAAGAAAAACAACAATTCTCGAGATATTTATTACCGAAAACAAAAATGTCAAATAAATGATTGTTACACGTTAGACAGAAAGATATTTATTATCGTTTTGAGTTCATTACAAGCTAAATATTGAGAAATACGAACGTTCGTTATCTGAGCCTAATATTGTCAACTTGTGTTAGTTTATAGTATCTTGATTGCCAAGTGAAAAATAACTTCTTTTACAATTGATCGAGTCCCAATAGATGTCTGATAACACGCTGTGAATCATTAGGTAAGTACAACAGTGAAAAGAACTAACGAAGGTATTGAAATTGAGTGATACCTCGATAAATTCACGAACGTCACCTGTTTGTTGTTTTTTTATGTAATTCCTACGACTGTCTCGTATTTGAGTAAGAAAAACAGAAGAAAAAAGAAAAGTTTTGCTTGCTGCTTTATTAAACTGCAGTGTAATTGGTCAACAGCAAAATATGCGTATAAGTTGACCCGCTTTTGGAATCTAATTTACGTTATGGAGAAGCTTTGTTCTATATGGTTATTGTTTCTTTTCTGTAGACAGTCTAGACATTCGTCAGCGGCGACAATAGCAACAAGGGTGTCCTCCAATGGATGTTGCAATAGCAACCCGAAGAATTATTCAGCCAGTAATGTGAATGTAGCAGATAAATAGTTATTTCTTTTCCTTTTTCTTCTTCGGCTTCTCTTGTTTCATTCTTGGTATATAGAGCAGCAGACTCGCTCGATTTATTCGACACAATTATGGAAAACATCTTTTCTAGCTAGACAATCCGTATGTATCCCTCACCGAGGAATTACTATTGATGTCTTTTATTAAAATGCACATGTTCATTTACGCCTCGAAGGATTTCTTCATTTGCTCGAACGCATGATTATTCTTGTCTAGTTTCCATCATATTTTTCAAGGAAGGGAGAAATGGAAATAACTGAAAAGTAAAAACTCATCTCGACAGAGCAGCATGCTTTCAGTTTTGATTAGCGTGTTTTGCCTTTGGTTTTTATCTTGTTCTTTTTCAATGATAGATAGTCGATCATATGTTGAATCTTCTTACAAGAAAAGAGACGAGTTTTCTATGCAAATAGAAAATCATCCCATCCTCTTGTGATCTGCCCTTATGACTGATCTACGAAGATGTCAAAGTTCGCATGATGTTTTTTTTTTCACTTTCCTCTTGCTGTACCTAAGGCACATGATCAGAATATTGACAGAACGAACGAGTAAAAAAAGTAAATATAGACGTCAATACACGTGAATTGCAATTATATGAGTGTTATTGCAATGAAATATACTTTTAGTTTTCACTTAAAGCGTAATCAACATGTCTGTACGATGCGAGTGTAATCGCGAAATCAAGTTTTGTTTACAATACTCTTTCAAGTGAGCGTGAGATATAAGGTGTTGACAAACAAACCTTCTTTTTTTCTTATTCTTTTAGAATTCTAATTTTGACATAAACGATTTTCATCGAGATATAATGATGTGATTAGTACAGGAATGGGTCATCATATACTTTAGACAAAAGAGAAGGAAACTAGGGTATAATTACTCTTCCATATTGTTTCGCATCCTTTGGCCTCGTCGAAATGTCAGGCAAGAAAATAAGTTGTTGACAAGAAGTCTAAATCAGACTATGTATAACTGTTAACTTTCCATCGACTGAGGAGAAAAACAAACCGGAAAGCATACGTGAGAAGACAGAGTGCATAATAATCGTTCATTCGAGTAGCTTAAACCTTATAATCAGTGCTCGATCGGAAAACGTGGGTGTTGTAACAAAACTGTCTGTGACAACGGAAATCTCGTCGATAGCATAAGCATGTTTATATTGTCGATTAGAGTAATATTAACATCAGCTGTTGTTTTTTTTGGATTCAGCAGAATGCAAGTGCATTTGAATAGAATGCGAGATAGAAAAGGGGAAAACACATAACACCGAAGTTTCCTTAGTTTTTTTTTCTATTCACTCAGCGATGAAAGATGATCAGCAAACGGATGTTAGACAGCGGCCTCTCTGAAGCATGCCATCCAATTGGGTAATTTCTCATTTGATCTTTGATCTTCTTCTTCTTTTTCATTCACTCTGATGAAAATATCTGATTGCCGAAGCTGAAAAACTATCGCTATGCTGCTTTTTTTTATTTAATATCATCACCTCATAAGCTTATCATAGAACAGACAATCGTTGGGTACACAGAGCATTTAAAAACCTAAATAACAACGTAACACAGTTTCTATTGAAACATGACATTAAATGTTGCCTTTTTCGTCGTTGTATATAATCAAGTTCTCCTCCGAAATTTTATCTGTAACTCATAAAAATAATGACGTCATGCGTACACATTTCGTACAAAAAAAAAGCGACGTAACGAAGGAGAATAGGAGAAGAAAAAAGAGCTACCGGTAAATGAAGAAACAGAAAGCAAGATAAGTTATTATCATTCTGAGCGACGTTTTTCAACGACGTGAGGGAATTTTCTTACTCAAGTCTAACCTTTTCTACTGGAGAGCATGGTTTGCTTGTTTAGCTTACTATTCAGTAAAGAGGAAAATCTATTTTTAACTGATTATCGTTCTAAATAAAACCGTCTGTCTATTTTGAATCATTCTGTCTACTATTGATATTTGTTTTAGTTTTTTTTCCCGATAAAATATTCCTCTCTAGCGTTTTCTTCTTTAAGATTTGACTCGCATATATACCCAATACGATGAGCTTTCTTTGGTTGTGCAAAGAAAGTCTTTAAGCGTATATCCTGTCAGATTCTTGGTTCTCACTACTTCATGACGACGAAATCATCGATACGAAATCTGAAATCAAAACTGGCAAGCAGTCCTTCTGTACATACTATGACAACAAATGGAAATAATGAAAGCAAATGTAGTCGAATAACAATTAAGAAACCGTTGAGCACCGCAACGTTTCTGCCGAACAATTCCGCGACGAATGGATTTAGTACTCAATTGAAAAAACGAACATTACAATTGAATAATTTCTTTCATTCGAAACTGAAATCAAGTCATTCGAGTGATCAAACTAACAGCGCCCATTCGACGGAACATTCACCATCCCCTCCACTTGTCTTTCATGCTATCGCTCCCACTTCATCCGAAGAAAACAATAATCACCATGAACATAAGGTATACATTCGAAGATAGCTATTCGGTTCTTAAATTTGATTTCTCTAGATACCGATTCTAGCAGAAATTCACAAGAAGGTATAGAAATTTTCCATGATTTGAATTCAATTCTATTGTATGAATGTGTTTTTAGCCGCAGAGTGAATCTCAATCACTGGCGACTCGTCGTATCGCTAATGTTCTTAACCATACGAATATTAAAGCGATGTCATCAGATCTCGATGATCTGCACGGGCAATCGAGCTGTTCAGACGAAGATGAAAGTCATTTGAACAGTCGATCTGTGGAAGTTGACGCTGATGCTGATGAATCTGATGATGATGATGTGAAACGACCGAAAAAATCTCGTCGGATGCAAAAGCCTCGTAAAACAGATAATTGTCTATCAATACAAAAATCTGACCATACGAATGGAAAGCTTCATCTTTCAAGTTCAAATGAAGATGACAAAGAACAGCCTCTCACCAATGGAAACAATGATCGTAAATTGAAATCCTCATCAGCAAAAACATCCGATCATATAACTAGTCCAACAACAACGGACGATGATGTAACGAGAACCATTCATCTTTATCATCCCTTAGATATTCTACAGCAGGTATCGACTCCAAGTCCAACGATAAATCCCTCTGTAAATCAATCATCGACGAAGAAACCCAACCGGTTTCAAGTGAACACAATTCGTAAATCTCAGCAACAGCAAATTCTAATGGAGAATGCCATGAAAGCACGAGCATCTACCATAAACGAAGAAGATTGTTCTGTGCCTCATCAAACGTTGAGTTCACAATCAAAAGCATTGACGATCGAAAGGAAAAATACGAATACACCAACTACAGACGGTGAAAACTCAACGGTCAATTCCACTAATGTCATTCAGAACAGCACTTCGACATCAATTCCCACAGAAAGCGGTCATCATCACCACCATCATCATGTTCGTTTCCAGGCTGCTCTCCAGGGAAAACCAGAATCAACGACCGAAGAAGAGAAAGTTTCAAATCAATCGGTAATACAAACAACATCAACAACAACCCCAGTACCAACTCCGGCTCCCGCACTATCAACAGTTTCTGCTCATGGAGAAGTAAGTATTGAGTGTAAATCTGGTTGTTCATCTGAGATTCTGCACTGAAACTTTATCTCCTATAATTTATTCTCTGAAAGTATATTTTTATGCCTCGGATTTCAATGTAAAAGCTTATCCGCTCAGTTCGACGAGTCGACATTGTATTGATGATACGATGTATTCTTTTACTTTAAGGATGATGAAGAAGGAGAAGCAATTGCGAAAAGTCCTGACGAACGATTTATTAAATATGCAAAAGAAATCGGACGTGGTGCTTTCAAAACAGTCTATCGTGGTTTAGACACAGAGACAAGTGTTGCCGTTGCTTGGTGTGAACTACAAGTAAAAGAAAAATTTTACATAGACATATGAATCGAATTCATTTGATAGGATTTTGCACAATTTGATAAACATGAACGTGCCCGTTTTAAAGAAGAGGCTGAAATGTTGAAAAAGTTGCAACATCCAAACATCGTACGCTTCTATGATTTCTGGGAAGAAACCAATCCACGAACGAACAAGAAGGTCATCATTCTTGTAACAGAATTAATGACATCAGGTTCTTTAAAAGGGTAAAGAATGAAATGCATTCGAGTAACAATTATACTAATTGACACGTCTGCTTCCTTCTTCTGTTCACAGATACATTCGTAAATTTAAAGGACAAAAGGAAGAGAAGCGCATCAATGTGATGAAGAAATGGTGTCGTCAAATTCTCAAAGGTCTTGCTTATTTACATAGTCGAAATCCTCCGGTGATTCATCGTGACTTAAAATGCGACAATGTATTTGTATCGAGCACAACCGGCTGTGTAAAAATCGGTGATCTTGGCTTAGCAACGTTTAAAACACAAACGTTCGCTAAAAGTATGCGCGGTACGATGGAATTCATGGCGCCCGAAATGTTCGATGAACAATACGATGAACTGGTGGACATTTATTCATTTGGCTTATGCATGTTGGAAATGATTACCGGTGAATATCCTTACATTGAATGTAAAGGTCCAACTGCTGTGATCAAACGCGTAACGGCTGGCTTAAAACCCGATTGTTACTACAAAGTCGAAAATGAAGATGTACGGGAAGTTATTGATTGTTGTATACGTACGAATAAATCGGAACGGTTATCTGTACATGAATTATTACAACATTCATTTTTTCTTGATGATAATGGTTTACGAATTGATTTCGTACGTGATACAGCGAATGATTCACAAGTTGTACTCACCAATAATTCGAAAGTCGTACTCACCAATAATTCCATTGATTTAAAATTGAAAATTATCGATAAATCCAAACGAAAAGCTTTGTGGACTGAACATGAAGCTATTCGTTTCCGATTTAACTTTACCACTGAAACACCTGAAGAAATTGTCAATGAACTTATCGAAAAGAAGTACATCTTAGAAGACGATAAAAAATTTGTTCTACAATCGATCAAAGATCGATTTCGAGCTTATCAATACGAACAAATCGATCGCAAAGCTGGAGTCTTTTGTCGAGACGCAAAACCAACGGTTAATCATACACATCAACCTTCTCTTCTTGGACAATCACAACCGTCCCAACAAGTAGTAACATCAGTTCCACAACAGCTACAACTGCCACCAACTACACCACTTATTATTCCTCAGCAAGTAACATCAATGCCAGCAGCTACTCCAACACCAACGATCGTTTCTCAACCATCGATTGATGCATCGCAACAACAACAACAACAACATCTATCGTTGTCAATCACAAAACCAACAGGAGACCTGTCCCAGCCAAAGCCTATAGTTACAACAGAACCAATACCTATACCCCCGATCGCAGAATTGAGTTCTAGTGTATCGAATTCAGCTGGCAGCTTGGAAAAATTGGATGCAGCTTTGAAGATCACGTTGTTCAATAAAACAAAGCCATCACAGAGCATAAGCACACCATCGACTATTGCAAATGACATTAGCGAGCCACCAACACCAATAATGGTGCAAGATGAATCATCAACCACACGCTCAGTTGATGATCAACGGCAAGTGAAAGAGTCCGGAGGTGCAATCACCTCCGACCTAGCTACAAGTAAACTAGTGCATGTGACATCAATTTTCATCTGTTCTTTTTTCTCTACTTCTAACCAGATATTTTTCAATCGACGACACCAGTGACAGCACAAACTCAATCACAACCAACAACAATGTTAACAAGTCATCAACCACATATTTTACAAAATCCTCTTCTTTTAACACAAACACCATCGAGTTATCCTTATTCAACAATGGCACCGACACCACATCTTATCAATACAACTTTAGCCAGCGATCCTCTCAAGCAATTGGCACCGCCTCCTCCTTCTTCTTCTACTACATCTTCTACAGCGACACCCACGCCGTCGACAGCAGAAACTATTGAAAATAGTCATGCATCTCTCTCCTCCCCCTATATACACGAAGCAATACAATCGTCTCTTTCATCAGACGCATCATTACCAAATCAGCCGCAGGTAAATAAAAAATCCTCCAACATTTATAAACACGCTTTTTTTAAATTTCAAAATAGATGCCGGATAGCCTGAAACATCTTGATGCACTACTCAAAAATGCATTGAAAAATACTAATAAACCAACTGGTACAGCGCAGGCTAGTGATTCAGAAACGTCTAACACAACTATTCCCCAACCACCAACTGGTACTAATGAAACATCGACGAAATTACCTGAGATTGAAACTGATGAAGCCAAAGTCAAAGTAAACGATCCAAACAATACTTCCAATTCAACTGTCTCATCAATATTTCATTCTCAACCGAGTACCTCATCAATTATACTTCCAGTGCCTATTCAACAGAACAAACCTCAATCAGCGAGTTATATCTCAACTCATCCGAAACTCTCCGTATTATCTGACGGAAATATTCACGAGTTAGAAATCTTACTTAAAAGTCCACAAAATCGATCGTTGTCCAATGATGATACGATCGTCTCATCATCTAATGAACTAACTGATATCAAATCAATGATTGGGGATTTAAGTCGAACATTGTTGACACGTATGAATACAATCGAAAGTAAGATTGATGAACATCGAAATCAAACCATGCAAATCAACAATCTCCTGACAACAACTGTCCTTCCATCCTTGGTTGATCTTGCTGCCATCATCGATGAAAATCCCAATTTAGATTCTCGGATACGAATGAAACTTGAACACATTCGCACAACTGTTCGATCAACCCAACAACAACAACAACAACAACAAACTGAAATGAAAGATTTAATGGAAATTTAATCTTTACTCTCTCTCTCTCTCTCTCTCTCTCCTTTTTTTATATTTATTTGTGTGTGAGTGAGTGTCTTTCTCTTCTTTTTTTGAGATTCACATGTACAGTTTCTTTTCCTACAATCTTTATCATCCTTGACATAAATGTAAGTACGAGGTAAATGATAGAAAAAAAAACGAATCATTAAATGTTTCGATTGATACCGAATATTACTTTCTCTAATCGGCAAAAGAATAACATTTGACCAAAACAAGTATTCGCATATCTGCACGTCAAATATCAATCTACTTGAAAGATCTACTATAAACTTCACACGACTGACGGACTAATCGATAAGAAACGCAAAAATGCCGCAGAATATTTTCCGAATATTCACGTCAATTGTTGTACATTGTTGAGATATGCTTTCGCATACCTTTATATGCTTTATCGACTACACCAATCATGTGTGGTTTAGATTTTCGTGTTGAAAAATCAATGCATCATTGTATTGGTGTCCATGTTTTCTCGTTCGCTCTGTTTATCTTGTGGATTGTCTAAGCTTGTGCTGCCACATACATATACATATATACGATTGCCGTCATCCAATCACAGATCTCGTATCAAACTGGTGTCGGCTGATGTGGTCTGTTCGAAGTCCACGCAGAAATCTCACTTGTTTTTCAGATCACCAATGCCTTGTTGTGAGTCTAACTCGTCAACGAAATTAATGGCTCGATTAGTCGGAGTGTGCTCCAAAGATCAAGTGTCATCATTTCCGACACGTCAAATTCCGATCAGCATCGAAGAAAACCTCCTCGTAATCATTTTCTTTCCAGCATATCGAAGATAAAACCTTTCCTTTCCACGTAGATAAAACTTCAATTTGACGATTCGTTTCTACTTTTGAGAACGTGTCCTATCAATAAAAAGTGCAAGACATATGAAACATTTGTAAAAACGTATCAGAAATTAACTCCTGAAGAATTAGAAGTCGCTTTATCTGTCCCGATTAGTCAAATTAAAGAGTATATCCCACATTGTGTTTCGTGTATTGGCTGTCGAACAAGGTTGGTTGAAAATGGATAATTTGAACGAACTTTTCGATTTCTATTTTGATTTAGTATTGATACTTTTATTAAATCTTTAATTGAATATCATCATCCAGCTTTGGAACCACTTCTGCTCGATACCGGGGACTTTTTCACAATTACGAAATGTTTTCGTTCGAATTTAGAGAATATTTATACATTATTCTATACATATGGGTAAGAAGGAAATGTTTCACGAGAGAAATTAATTCATTAGTCTGTTTCAGATCAAAATTGAATCCGTTTATTGAAAGTATTCCCAAATCGAAGAAGAGTCGCCGTTGTAATATTCATCTATTGGAAAAAACGAAATCAATTTCGTGAGTGAATTCATTGGAAAACTATTTACCATCATTTGTTCTCTAGAAATTGGGACATCGTTTGGGATTTAATGGACAAGGAGTGTCGCGAGGAAGTAACTTTGATCGAAAACAATAGTTTATTCCAAACATTAGAGAATTATCTACGTAAACACAAGTATAACAATGATTTATGTCTGATTTGCATAGATAACATTCGATTTGTTCGATAGATTCTGTTCGGAATGTAAATTGAAAGTTTCGGAAGCGTTCGAACTCTTGATTAATAATGCTGACGAAACAAATTGCGAGAGAAATGGATTTCGTCCAAGTTTATACGCAGGTTAGTCGTGCAAAACTCACTGTCGAATGCATTTTTATTGATACTTAGGTTTACGATCATGTACCCATGATAAACATATTCATGTTGATGTCGATAAAGACTTCATTGGTAGTTTAATATCTCGTGCTGAACCCGATATCGATGGTAGTCAACGTGAGCGTCATGCTAAAACACTTGATGTTGCACAGGAGGAAGTGTTGACGTGTATTGGGATTTATCTCTTTGACCGATTGGATAAAATCTATCGTACGATAAGATCTGAAGAGCAAACTTGTCAATTGTTGTTTTATATTCTAATTAATTGTTTGAAATCGAGTAAGATTGTTGAGATGAATGATGACAATGGAAGATTGAATCGATTGTGTAGATTTCGAAACGGCTGTTGATCGAAAACAGGACTTGAGTGTGGCATTAGAAAATTTATGTGAAGAATTCCGTGAAGTCAAACAGCAGAAAAAACGAGCGAAGAAGAAAGGTCGACGCCAATCCAAACAACCGGAAAAGGATACGAAACCAACCGACACAACTGATGAGAAAGTCTCGAATGAAATCAAACTTCCATCAATTCGTCGTCGAACAAATAGTTGCTGCTCTTGTCTGTGTTTCTATTGTACCGAACGGTCAAATTCGGTTTCTACGATTGAAACATCTTCACCAACAATCACAATCATCAAATCCCCGTCGTGTCCTTCATTATTACAATACGCATCCGAATGTCCGGTGCCTCATCGAGATATTCGAGAACATCGATTACCTCAATCAAGTTCATTAGAAACATTGTTTTCATCTGTTTCGACACGAGATTGTGCATGTCATGAAGGAAATCTAGGTAGATCAGATTGGAGCCTATCGAAACAAATATTTCTATTTTTGAATGTTCCAGAAAAACAAACAGTTTTATGTGATGACTGTCCTTCATCATCGTCAACATCCTGTATTCGTTGCTCAAGTACCCGAACTGATCTAGGTTATTCATCAGGTTAGTAAACACTCACGTATAGCCATCTCCTTCGAAAACACTTTTCTTCCTCAGGACAAGATGACGCGCTATCTTCCGGGCCATGGGAATGTTCCAATGTGACGTGCGATACATGTTTAATGAGATGTCCATTGCATGAAGTCGATGAAACATGTTGTGATCTAGTGTCATCCAATGATGACTGTAGTAATATTTGTTGTATTCATGAGACAAGAATTGGTAAGTTGGATTTGATAAAGAAATTCAAACATTTTCAACTGATCTCATTGATTTAGAATGTATCAAACATCGGGAGTTATTCGATATTAATCGCAAACATAAACTTCAAGTATATCTTGCAGAAATCTCTTCATTTCACACGATTTTCTTTCTAGTTCGAGTTATCTCATCAATATCCGTTCTTTGATATGGATTTGAAAAGAGTTTGGGTAAAAACTTTTCATTTCTCAATTCTCGAGTCAACTTTCTCCTTTCAGGATAATTCAACTTCCTTAGCTGCTGAAACCAGTTCTTATATATCTGATGTTGATATTGCTCACTTTCACCATACAAATGGCGATGTCAAAAAGACACGTGCTCAACTACATGAATCATTCAAAGTGAAATTCTCCGAATGGTATCATCAACAAGCGAAACTCTGGACAAAATAATCCTTGCAATTTTTCTTTGCGAACTCTTTTGCTATAACACATATCTCTACTTGATAATATAGTCTATATTTAGATAAGAGAAAACGATACAAAAAAAAGGACAAACAAACGACTAATTGAATGCTAATTGTGACAATTTATTTACTTCATTTCGAAATCTAACACATAAGAGAAAATAGAGAGAATATTTTGGATTGGAAAAACACGATTAGAAGTTTTTTTTAAATTGTTGCTCTTGTTGCTTTTGATCCTGGTGCATTTTGTCTATAAGATCAGAACGATCCAATAATCGATCAATATGTTCATCCGAAAGCAAATCGTTTTCGGTGATTATCGTGCCATGATCGACTTTGGTTATACCTTCAACTAATTCAGCTAGATTAATCGACTTGGCTTGTTCGCCTTGAGGATCAAACGACAAAACCTAAATAATCAACAATCGAATGATTTTCTCAAGAAAAAACGTTCATTGTTTTACTTTATCATATGCATCAAAACCTTGTTTCAATTCTAAATATCAGAAAGTGTAGAAGAGACTAGTAAGCGAGATGAGAGCAAAGACAAACCATCGTGAACAATCAATTTTTCCATGATTTGTTTCGAACAAGCACGCTTATAGACACGTTCGTCGATGGTATTTCGAACAATAAATCGATAGACAATAACAGGATTGGTTTGACCGATACGATGAGCACGGTCTTGAGCTTGAATATCGATCATTGGGTTCTACAAATCAAGCAGACTAGTCAAAACCAATTGCTCGCTGTTTCAACAGTTTTACCCAATCAGAATTGAACAAAATAACTGTGTCAGCTGCCATCAAATTCAAACCCAAACCACCAGCTCGTGTGCTGATTAAAAAGATGAATGTATCGGGTTCTTTATTGAATTTTGTAATCTAAACAGACATGATTCGACGGAAATAACAGAAGAAAAGATAGTCACTCACCGCTTCGATTCGTTCTTCAAAGTCGGTGCTTCCGTCGAGTCGCACGTAATCATATTCTCGATGTTCACACATGGATTCAAGTAAATCAAGGAAAATAACCAATGTCGAGAAGATCAATACCTACGAATGATATTCAACTTAGAAAATTCCTCGCAAATTCTTTACCTTATGACTTGTTCCTTGTAATTTCGCTAACATTTTGTCCAAGACAATAAATTTACCACTGCTAGCAATCAATTCTTCGTTGACTAAGATTTCACCATTTTCATCGAGTGGTGCATCGAGTAGATATGGATGTGTACAAGCCCGAAGTAATGGAAATATTACATTTCGACCAGTAATCTTTTTTGCAATCGTTATTTCCCTGAAAACTCAAGCATTTTCAAACATATCATCATAATTATCACCTACTTCGCTTCTTTCGGTGTATCATCGACTTTGCGTTGACTTCGTAAGCGTTGATCATCGTCGAAAACTTGTACAAATTCATCTTTTTTTCGCTAAAACGAAAACTTCTTAATATAGATAAGAAATTTGCAATTGAATACTTTACATCATTGATATAACGACGAACAATCTCATCGACCAATTGATTGTACCATTTCACTTGGAGATTAGTCATTTTTGTGTATACAGTCACTTCTTTTTTCGGCGGTAAATATAAATTGACATCATTTTTTCGACGTCGTAAGATAAATGGAATTAAAATCTAAGATTACAAGTCCAGTACGATATTTCGAACAAAATTTCATTGTCTTACTTGATGAAAAATCGACAGAACTGACCGTTCTTGTTCTTCTTTAAAACTCGTATTTGATTGACCGATTGAATCAATTTCAAAATAACGTTCGAAAACTTCCTGAAGAAAAAAACAATCGAATCAGCTCCATTTGACTGGTAAATCCATTTGACTTACTGGTTCGTCGAAAATTTCTGGTAGAAGGAAATTCATCAACGACCACATTTCACTCATATTGTTTTGCACAGGCGTTCCAGTCAATAAAAATCGACTGCCTGTTTGTATACGTCGCAGCATGACCATCAATTGGCATTTAGGATTTTTCAATCGATGACCTTCATCAATAACTAACAGTGGCCATTGTTCTCGTTTGAAGAACGCTCTAAAACAATCCCATTGCATTCCATACTGAGTAGGTCTATGTCGCCAGAAATGCTTACTTGCTGTGTAAAACCATATGATAAGCTGTGATGATAACAATGGGCGATGATTTTTTATCTTGACGGTATTCTTTCAACTCATTTTGTAGTTCAGCAAGTTTTTCTTTATTGCCATGATAGACCATACAGCGTACCTGAAATTTACCGATCAAGTTTTATCCGTATCTTCATTTCGAACATCGACGTCAAACTTACATTGGGTGCAAAACGAGCAAATTCTGTGCACCAATTGGTCAGTGTTGATAACGGTGCAATGACCAAAAATGGACCGGGTGCACTATCTTGTATTAAACTACAGATGAATGCAATCACTTGAACCGTTTTACCTATGTAATTGATCATCATAATCGATGTGAAACTCATCGGAAATGCTTTCGCTTACCCAAACCCATTTCATCAGCCAAAATTCCGTTCAGTCCAACTTCATGTAATGTACGTAACCATTCCAAGCCAGCTAACTGATCTGCGAAGAAACATAAATTAATGATCCATTGGAATGAAAGAAATCGACATACATGGTTTAAGCGTTCCAGTAAAGAATTTTGGTTGTCGAGCATGAATTTCTTTTTGTGACATATCATAGTATTTCTTCAACAATCCAGTTCGTTTCATGTCATCTTCGCTTGCTGCTGCTGTTTCTTCTTGTTTGATATCTTTCTTCTTTTTCTTATCTTGTTGATGTTCAGCTAATGATTGCTTGACTTTGTTATTCAAATGATGAACGTATTTTTGACATCGTTCGAGAAGTGTTAATAGTTTTGAATAAACATTATCGTACAGTTTCCGACGTTCTTCGTCGCTGATTTTCTAAAGGCAATCGATGGCATGAATATTAACTTTGAATGAGAAAATTTTACTCGATTGGGTTCCGGTCGAACAGAGCCCATCAAGTCTTTGATAACAATGTTATCAGCTGCATTTTCTTCTTCTTCAATTTGCTTATCAAGATTCTTAATTTGTTCAACTTCGTCTTCATGGTCAGCATCTGGCAAATGAACTTCTTCTTCTTGCACAATAGTTTTTGCTCGTTTTTGTACAGGTTCATTCATTATTTCTTGTTTGGCAGTCTTTTGTCGTTTTTGTCCAGATTTATCTATTCCTTCTTTGTTCTCTATGTGAGTGAAAAATAAAGTACTGATGATAGGAATGAAGTATATTTACCACCGTTTCGGACTTGCAAAACAGTTTTACTTTGTTCATTACCGTTCGTTTCCGAATCCATTTCAGTTTCAGATAGTCGACGTTTGCCAAGCATGATCTTATATACAAAAGAAAGATATAAGATTATCTAACGAACAAACAAACGCTTCGACGTACTGGATGACCCGAAATTGTTCATACGATTCTAGCGACATCAAATTCATTCGTTCTGTCTTTCGAATGTCGAACCAGTGTTTCTACGGAAACGAAAGAGAAGACTTTCCAAGATCTTTAATTATCATCTGAGCCGATTTCGAATAGCTATGAAACGTTTGCCAATGCATTGCGACGATTTGCCATTAGATAAAAGAGTCAAAGTAAGAAAGCGGTAGGCAATTGCTCAAACATTTCCGTATTTTAGCTTTCATCTGTTGTTCACATAAAAAATGAACTGGTATGCAGAAATACACTGAGTTCGACTCTTTTATGGTTGTTTTGCTTCTACTAAAGGATTTGTTTCGTGAACAGCAACCAGTACTTCCATCAGCTTCGCAAGAAATCTATATAACAAAACCTTTGATACATTCGATCAAAGAAGAAAATGAAATTTTCAACACACTCGTTAGTTGATAAAGATGTTTTTTACAATAATTCACAAATTATGCTGTATGTTAAGAATAATACACTACCAGTGGAATATCAATCATGGGAAAATCTGATTATTCGTCACTCGAATGCAATTAAACCAGTACCATTCGAAGAAACGGCTTGGATACCATCACACGAATATCGAACAATGGCTGCGTATCAAAAAGAGATCTTAGGTTTATAAATAATTGTGTTTCATAAAGTAAATATTCTTTCTCGCTCTTCTCAGGACGAAATACTGACTACATGGAAAATCTTCGCTATGGTAAACACTCTTTTGCTAACAAGCCATCTATCAGTAACCGAAATTTGCAGATGATCGAAATCGAATTACTAATTGGTACTCGATATTTCCATTGAACGACGCTGTTATCCTGAAGAATCTATCGGATAATCAAAATTTTCAATTTGATTTGAATGTTTGTGAAATCTCACTGACTTTCATTAGGAGATTTTCATTGTTTAGCACAAACTCAAATACGTCAATCCTCAACAAGATCTGACAGTTACTGAACTAGCAATAGAACCTTCTGTGCTCTCAACTCGTAAAGAAAAAGTAGTATTTCAGAAGAAAATCCACTCATTCAAACATAATAAAGTCTGTTCAAATCCGGAAAGATGATTTGACTTTGGAATGTTTAGGAAAGTCGTCTACATCGTACACGAAATGTTCTTGCTCGTGTGGGTTTGAGTGGATTTTTACCTGATAATCACAACGAATGCTACTCTCATAATAAGAATTATAACGAATCGACTAAATCGAAAACGATTTCATTTTGGAATTTAAGCAACGATCTTCATTATGATGATAATTGCGAACAAAGTTTCGTAACGAAACGACAAATGAACTCATCACAGGTCTGTTACAATGCATCGAAGCTAACACAATGGTACTTGTTGTTTCTCTTCACCAGAATCTTGATTTCGTATTCTATCCAGTATTTCGCACCGTTGATGAGCTACGTTGTTTTCATCGTCCGCTACTTCGTTCGATCGATCATCAACGTTGTTGGATACCGATTCAATTCATAAACATTGCTACATCTGATCAATCAATTCGAGTGAAATCAGATTTGACAGCTCGGTTTGGCGAAATCCTTCTGTTTGAATACAGTGAACAGTATCCAGTTTTATTAAATGAATCGGGAATGTTCAGCAAAATTCGAATTTATCTACGGCCGGTATAGTCGCGCAATGAACTTTATATCCAAGCAAGATTCTCTTTCGTTTGTCCTAGCAACATTTCAAAGCTGATACGAAATCACATGAGATCGATTATGGCGAGTTAGTTTATACACATGCATCACCTTTTCTCTGGTCAATTCCGCGTGGCTTCAACGTTCAAACGATCGAAAACAACATGTTCATAGCGCCCATTTATCGACAAACGTCTTCGCCAACAGATTTTCTCGTCATCTACAATACGAAAGATCAGTTTTACATACGTAACATCGATACCATACATATCGTTGGACAACAATGCCCATTAATTGAAGTACCTATTCCACAATCGAAACGTGTGAATTTATTCCAGCGTGACTTATTACAAATCTATATCTATCGATTATTTCTACAAAGTAATGAGAGACCTCGTCGGATACGGATTGAAGATATCAAACGAGTGTTTCCGCGTTTGGCCGAATCATCAATTCGTAAACGATTGAAAACAAGTGCAGATTTCCGAAGAACCGGTAATTTGAAAGCATGTATTGAACTTTCTCTGAAATGGATACTCTCTGACTATTTTTCCGATGACTGCAATTCATGGATATTGAAAAATGATTTTCGTCTACCAACGGAAGATGAAATGCGAGATCTGATCAAACCGGAATATTGCTGTGCATACGCATCCATGGTAGCAGCTGAACAACGTCTGAAAGGTACGTAACTCTGTCAACATCATTTCATCTCCACTCCTTTTACACCCAGATGCTGGCCTATGCGATAAGCACAACGTCGATTTCGACAATTATGACGAGGAAGACGATCAATTCGATTATCCTATGGAACTAAACAATGAAATTTTAGAAGCACCTTGGAACACGACACGTGCCTATCTCGGTGCGTTGAAAGGCAAGTATCTAATGCAAGCGTTCAGTATCGGAAGTCGAACTATTCAAAGAACGAAAGTACGAAGGATATATGTTCTCGTGAATCTAATCAGTAGAATATAGACTAACAATGATATGAAGCATTTACGCCGAGCTGTCACTGGCACCGACGCTGATCTCCGCCGTTTACAATTGAAAGACGCTCGAAGATTATTATTGAAGTTCAATATTTCCGAAAAAATCATCCAATCGTTAACTCGATGGGAAATCGTTGATTTGGTAAAAATAGCTCTCTGAAAACATGTTGTGCATTCCGTTGACTTAGATTCGAACACTTTCCACACATCAAGCGAAGGAAGGCATAAGTGATAGTATGAACTTTGCATGCAAACATTGCGCATACATTGATGTTTTTCTCGCAAAGATATGGTGAAATTTGCTCGTGGTGCAAAACATTTCCAAGCGCAACAATTTGAAAAATATAAAGAAAATTGTCAAAAACAATTCGAATTGCAGAATCGGTATGAGGACATTTCGGTGATTGGCCGTGAAATTTCAGTCTATTTCCCAGAATTTTCACGTGTACAAATGAACAATCGACGGATGATGAGTTGTCCAATGATAGCGATGAACTGAATGAAATGAGTCAATTGTTGGAAAACCTTCTACGAGAAAATCATGCATTACCACTCACTAGTGAAGTGCATTTTGTCATGTTTCATTTCCAAGTCACAGCGCGTTTATTTTCAGCATAGGAAAATGTTACACATTACTCGAACGTATCTTGATAATCAAGGAGAATCTTATCAACGTGACGAATTCATACGAAATAACGATTCCGTCATTCAAGCCTATGTTAAAATTCGACAAAATAAGAGCGATAAATTCATGTGAGATTAGCATATCTTTAGCGATCGAATCAAACGAATGAATTTTGTTCGCATTTTAGTAAAACATACTATACTCTAAATGATAATGAACGTGAAAAGTTAAAACGTGAACGTCGTCGTCTACAAGAACAACTTCGACGCGTCAAACGAAACGAAGCACGCTATAATCAATATGAAAAGCAACAAATATTATTACAAATTCGACAAGAAAATCTCGCTTTGATAAAATCAACTCAAGCATGTCAATCATTATCATCTTCACCTATAACTTTACAACGTTCAGCTAGTATTCTATCTAATTTACAATTAAGTCTCAGTGATAATGATGATGATGACGATGACAACTCGTCGTCGTCAAATCTCCACTTTTGAATGTTCCATATGTCAAAGACAATGAAATTCATGTTGCCAAACCAAATACATTCTCACTCGATGTTTGTTGACTAATCATAATGACAGCCAATAGCTGTTCTTTGCATAAGTACAAATCGCATTTGTGCCGTTAGTTAAATTACTTCAAATATAAAGGCAACGAAAATTGTTTTGTTCTGTTCTTTTGTTAAAGGTTAGATTTTGAACTGATGATATTCAAAGTTTCATTGATACGGAAAAAGAGAAGAGTACAAATAATGAAAAAGAAGATGTGCGATATCGACACGCGTATATGAATACACGGTCACATTATTATTGCGCTTGGCTAGTTCATTAAAAAATTATAATAAGCATTGCAATAAGTACCTGTTCGAAAAGAATGTGCGAGAAATGATATTCGAACATTCGATCCGAATATCAACGAAAAAGTTGTGATTTATGAATGCTCTGTAATTAACAATGTTTCTTTGCGATCTTAGCCGCGATTTGCTGTTAATCGTTCTATCATTGGCCTGAATTGATATGCAAAGAGTGTTGTATGTCGAAAGCGTTGTCATCGAACGTCCTCGGTGAATAGTTCCTATAGGAGTAAGAAAAGAATGTTTGAATGCATCTATTACTTTCATTGTTATTTACCACATCGCATCAAAACAAATGATCATGACCGATTCCTAAAGGCGAAATGACGTGTTTATTACATCGATGATTTGTTTTTTTGTCAAAATCATCGAATGTACAAGTTTCTTGTGCAACAACGACGTAACAGCGCTGTTCATATAGTAAAAGTGAATGTGATCTGTGTTTTATCTATTTCATTGATACTTTCTTCGTCAATACGATGATCGTTTATCTATGATTATATATCTTTCATTTAATTTACACATACCAACAACGTATCATCCCCGATCAATCAATTTCTTTTTCTACTCGCTTTTCGTATTCAATCAATGTACATTTTCTCTTTACGCTCATTGGCTTGTCGGTAGTATATGCAAATATACGCGCACACACACATTTACCAAACACGAGAGAAGAGAAAAAGAGAAACGCAAAAATCATTTATGATTACTAGAAAAAAAAATCATCTTTTCCATTTTAACATTAATGTCACCTATTCATACCTTTAGAGATACATTTTCTCGCTTGTGCGTGTGTGTCTACGTATGACGTTCGCCTTCTTTTTTTTTTTCTATTAAATATTTGCAAAACAATTATCGCACAAGAAAATCGACAAACAGCCAAGACATCATCATTGATTGGTAGAATAGAACAGAAAGCGAGAAAGAGAGAGAGAGAAAAGAGAGAGAGAAAGGAAAAGAAAGAGGGACGACGAACACGATCGATTAGCGACTACATTATTGACTACTGACTGTCAAAAGAAACTAACTACACTTACAAAACGATATACACACAATGTACCAATTTCCTCATTATTCTGATGCACTGAAACAATTTCCCTCCGCTGCATTGTCAGCCTATTTAGCTGGAACATCCAATATTGGCAATGGTATTATGCATAATACTGCTCATCATTCCCTAGCAGCAGCGGCAGCCGCAGCGGCAGCTGCTGCTGTTGTTTCACAAACGAATCCGTTCTCCATTGATAACATTCTCGCCCCACGTCCACGTTTACCTCTTCCATTATCATCTTATTATGGTTCAACGGGAAACAATAATTCTCCAAATGCAGCGGATTTCTACTGTAAGTATATAAAAAGCGTTCGAGCAAGACGTGTTAGTGTTGTTTAATTGTTAGTATGGTCAGTGATTTCTTTGACATGAAGTGATAGATATTTTCTTCCGTTTCATCACCTGTTTTCGTTAGTTAGTTATTAGATATGACAGGAATGTTCATCAAAGATGATTGTTTCGGATAAACAGACGAAGAAGAAGAAGAAGAAGAAAACTTATGTGTTTGCTTATTTGATAAAAGTCAATTAGGATTTGTTATATACAGAATCTCGTCTTTTAATCTTCATACGGGAGAGAGAACATGCTCGAAAATTGTTTAAATAAATAAATCATTCAATTATTTTGTAGCTTATCCTGCATTACAAAATTTCTTTGCTGCGGCTTCAATGGCTCAAAGTCATAAAAGAAAACGAAGACATCGAACAATTTTCACCGAAGAACAACTCGAACAATTAGAAGAAGCATTCGGTCGTACACACTATCCTGATGTAATGATGAGAGAAGGTAAAACGACCAATTGACATCGCTTAAAAAAAACGATCATTTCGGTTTTTCTTCAGATCTCGCAATGAAAATCGATCTCAAAGAAGAACGCGTCGAAGTAAGTTTATTATCTTAACACCGTCATGATCGATCGCTGAGTTTTGAGAACGTACGAGATTGATAGTGATTTGTATTGAGTAATAGCTAATGAAATCAAAACATTTCCTCTTTCAATATTTACCCGATTAGATCGAACAATATAATAAAACTTAAGAAAAATTGACTTTGCCTACGAGCTTGATTTGATATCGCTTGTTTGACGAGAGGTAGGCCGTGAGAAGCTTTTATTCTAATGCTAGTTTAATGGAAGAAAAGAAGGCATTTGCTAACAATGTCGAGTGATTTTGAATTCTTTCTTTCATTTTGTGTGTGTATGTCAGCGTATATATGTTCCTCTTGTGTTTAAAAAGTCGATTTCTCATATTCGCCTCTAGCTGTCAGAGTAGTCGATCGATTGCTGATGTTATTGTTGACATGACGACTTTTCGGCTACAACTCTGTTGCTTCATATATCGTTCTCCCTCTCTCTTTCCCGTTTCGTCTTATATTGAACTGTTTTTATTGACAGAAGCAATCGAACGATTTAGTTCATCGTTTGCCAATTATCCGCTGATTGCTGGTTAAATAAACTTGACTAAGATCAACTTCTCGCATTTGAAAGTGATCAAACTAAAGAATAGAGACAAAGAAATATACATAGAAGTGTCGAAGCCGGGATGATCTAAAGACAAATCCAGTCTTTACTTTCCTCTCATTTCATGTTCTTACTCTTATGTGAAGAGATTTTTTCCATTTCCTTTTAACGCCGCCTACTCTTTGTCTTCCATCACATCCGATTGCTCTTTTACTTTATCGAAACGATATGAATAACAACAATAGTCGTTTGCTGTTGTTGTTCGCCGTTATTGCCTTTAATAGGCTAACAACTCATCATGTCAATATCAGTATCTCTGTCGATTTCCGGAATGATGTTGATATACTATTAATAAAAATGACTTGTGATGAAGTTTTATGCATGATCACACATGAAAGAGAATGTACAACGGACGAAAGATGTAATGACCAATGAACGTACGCATATTGATCGATTGCACCTGCATTGCAAAGGAAAAGTTAACCAACCATAACATCGTTCTTTCACTTTTTTTTCTCTTTTCTCGTTTGATCATTGATTGAAAAAGTAAATGATGATTTAATATTTTAGGTTTGGTTTAAAAACCGCCGTGCCAAATATCGCAAACAAAAACGTGAAGCTACCGAGAGATGTAAGCGAATCTCTTCATCTGAGAGAACAAATACAAAACAACGCTTCTTTATTTAGGCCGTCGAGAAGCTCACGATAAATCACAACGAACGGATGGTGACAGTACGGCAACAGGTTCGTCGACACCAAGTGCAAACTCGAGTTCATCGTTGAGTAGTGTTGGCCAAGACGCACCCACAAATGTAGAGCAGACTTTGTCAACATCACACCACTTAGCTGTATGTCCAACCATACCTAGTCATAATAGTGATAGTTCAGGATCAGATTTATCACTAGGTAATTCCAGGACACATTCACCAAACGATAGTCAACAGCCATTAGCATTAACGACCAATGGAAAATCGCCGACGGTGACGACGATGACAAATACCAATTCGCGGAAAGAAACATTTCCGATTGATCAGATCCGACAACAGATCCTTTCGACAACGACCGACATGGCGAAGTCGACGGCAACTAACTCTGCACCATATGTTAAACTGTAGAATTTATGTATTTTTAAGTCCGTTTTTCTCTTCTTCGTGTTATTGTTGTATTTGCGTGTGTACTGTGTGTATAGTATTTCTTCGATTCTGATATTCTATTTTACTAGTTTGCTTGCCCTTGAACAGTGTCATCCTTCTTTCTTGTTGGCAATAAAATCTTTTCACAAGCAAATCAAATGATCAGTTGTTATCTCGACCTTACGGATAGAATACTTGTTCTCCCTATGACGAAAAAGGACAAGATCGCTTTGCTGATCTTATGCTTAATTCAATGGCGGAGCGTCATGTGAATATTTTCTTCGAAGAGAAAGGTTAATCACGATGATCAGATGTTTGTAATTAGTTTTTTTTTTCAATTTTAAGTCGATAACGAAATCTTGTTTAGTACATCAAATATCAGTGAAAGCAATTTAGTTAATATGCTATTTAAAATATACGATATTATCATCAGTTGATACTTAGAAAAGATGAGAGAGAGAAAAAATGTCATGTTGAAGATTTTCGTCATCGGTTGATGTTTAAAATTGTTTATACAAGCAAATGTTTAGTCACGCTTCAAGGTGTCGTTTATCAGATGGAAGTCTACCGAGTTATTTTCTTTAACGAAATGAAGGTAGATTGAGACATATATCAGGGTTATTTTCACACGAATTTAGCGTTATTAAATGTCGTAATTAATCGAAAGGTGGAATACATCATTTGGAGAAGAAGGTGAAGTAGGCGAGGAAAATTTCTCGTTGAGTTTAATTAACGATTTTATGGTTTTGCTGTATGCGAGAGATTGAATTATATGAAGCAAGAAAACTAGTTTTGACTAATAAAACTACTTCAAAGAAAAAGTACACTGTCGGCATGATCATGACTAATAGTATGATAAAAGTGAAATATTTTCGAGCTTTTCAGTTCACTGTTGAATCATTTTTTGGAAAGATTTAAAGGAATACAAACATGGATGATGACAGTTCTTAATGGTGTGCTAGTTTTGATATTAGTCATAAAAGTATGAATTTCCCGATGGAATTTGTTCTTCTGAAAGTAAATTATGAGTTTGAAAAAGTCTCTTTTCAGAAGATGAAATGATTATCCTTCTATTTATTATTTATTAATAAACGAATTGAAAAAGATCGGTCGGAAGGGAATTGTATGGTCACTCGTTGAGATCGTTATGATTGTAGAATATGGTGTCATGCAAGAAACAACTTATAGTGCTAACAAAAATAAAGAACACACATATTTAACATTTGTACGAGCAGTAATTACACATTGTTGAATATTTTTGTTGTCAAAGAACAACTGCACAACCTCCTGATTCATTTTTTCCTCACCCATAAAGCTTAAAACAGTCAGTTTCACAGTCATTCTCTATGATAAATCAATGGTAATCTGTGAAACAATCCGAGTTTTTTAAATCTTTATTGAGCAGACGCAACCAAGTATACAATGACTAACTATAATACAGAAATTGTTTAGATGCATAAGACAAAACTACTATTGTTGCTGGCGCCAGCTATCATTTGACTTCTTTGAGCTGAAAGTAGAAGATTTTCAGTGAATGTAGAGAATTTGTGTGATGTGATGATCGTTACATCGATTCTATTTTCGATTTTCTTTGAACTTACTTAATGAATTACTTGATCACAAAATGTACTTTACTATATAGAAAAACGAAAACTCAAAAAAGAAGAATTTATGAACAAACAGTTTATATTTCATCCAAAAAATATGCATTTTCTTCGGAATATCTGAAGATACTGTGGTAGACTATGAAACATCGTTTGCGAATACTCGAAATCCGAACGATAAACAAATCTAAACCATATGTATTGATTTCATATTCATTATCAATAAAGGAACTGCATCATCTGAATATTAACAATCGAAATTCTCAGCAAATAAGTGTGTTTCGCTCCAAATACTTCGATTGCTATTCTCAACATGATAGTCTATAATGAAAATCGACAAAAACAAAGAACAGCTAGACATGCTCAGCATTCAATATCAAAATAGGGATAATGATCGGTAACAGGAGATGATCATGAATGGAAAGTCAAAGATGATTTCCGAACGACTGCGTATCAAAGCATCACAAACATTAGGGTATCTAAAGGTAAACATTATGTTGCGGTATATGACTCGGGAAATGATTATTCTAGTTGAAAGCGTGTTATTCCAACTCGAAGTATTAGATTTGTGACAAAAAGAAGTTCCATTTGATCGCAGTAATAAGACTAAATAGCCTTCATTCTTGCTTGTCAAACTTACAAAATATCAATAATCAACGAGCATTGAATACAAAACATGAATTAACTGTCAATGTTGACAATTGTTCATTCCCCTGACATTCGCATGTCAATACACATTATGAAAGCTCATAGACTCGCAGTTTATCACAATAGAACGGTGGATTTTCATAAATAACACCATTCTACGCGTTCACACAACCTGAAAAGCATCTCATTTTTCTGTTATACTTCACGAATTTGTAACATTTATCACTGACAAAGTTCAAATTATCCCAGTAAATGAACGCAGCGACAAGTTACATTTATCTTTTCATTCGACAACCGCAATGTTTCTAGTTAACTGCCATTTCTGACCAAGAAACCCGTCTTTCTCTTCTTATTTTTACCGACCTTGTCCTTTGTCTAATTAAGAATAGATTAATTCCAATCGCATATTAGAAAAAAAAAGAACTTTAGCACGTCAAATTTGGTTCAACCAAGAAAAAATTCACTTTGATCAATGTTGAACTTCCTGTTGAGAAAGCGTTTCTCTCGTAGAAATAAAGAATGAAAACCGAAACTCTTTAAACTTTATTCTTACATATTCATATGCATGCAATTGAGTATACACAGAGGAATTACTGAATGTGATATGAAAGCAAGATTAAATGGAATAATAATAAGGAAAGTAGAATATTATAAGTTTTAGGAAATTGCTTTTTCTTCACACACGATATTCTTCGAAGCAAATTTCGCGAGTCTTTCGCCATACAGTTTGCTCTGCATACACATATTTTCCTGTTCTTGCAGTCGAATAAAGAACCGAAGGGATCAGTGCATGTCAACTGTTTACGCGGTTTTTATCTGTCGAGAAATCAATGAACTATGCGTATGAATATTATTCATGAGACAAGGTCAGAGGATTATTTCGGATAATTCTCTCATTGTGCGTTTTTTTTTATTCTTTCTGTCATTGATTAAACGATTTTCGAATTTCTAACGATCGATAATGATTATCCATCTTTTTCTTTCTTGCAATAATGATAAAGCTATTTTCTCATTCTTTTTTCCTCCTTTCTCCGCGTTCTCTTGCCTTTGTCCTATATTCTGTGTTCATTCATTTCTACTAGAGTCGATGTTGACTGGCCGATTACCATCATCCATACTGATGATTTCTCAAGTAGCAAGAGTAAGTTTTTTCTCGCCTTTGTTTTAAAATATCGTACTAAGAAACAGACAGATCTAATTGACGATTAATAACTTTCGTTCTCCATGTTTATGTGTTTTGTCGATATGCAACACTTGAACTTCGAACAAGAATAGAAGAGAATTGTTGATATGTTGACCTAGTCAAAAAACAATTATCCATCAGTCTTGCTCTGTGCCAACAATTGTCGACATCCGTGTACAATGGTGCAATTAAACGCACGAGAGAACAAAAGAGAATGAGCCGCATGATCAATCGATTAACTTGCATCTCGATAAACTACCTGTTTATGTACGTGTTAGAAAGGCAGATGGTCAGTGTAGTATATAGACAAGCAATCCTACACCTAGACATTTTTTTCCAATTTCTTCTCTTTGTCCAACTGACACTTATGTTTAAAACATATTTACGAGGTGAGTAGTAATACACACGAAAGGAGAAAGAGTCAGACAGAGACAGAAGAAAATTGACTATTTACCAGACGGACCGGGTGGTCCGCTCATTCTCAACAGGAGGAGTAACTCAAAAGGGTAGAAAAGAGTATAATAAATGTGTAAACACAAGTCAAGTAGAACGATTGATGTTGAAAGAAAGGCGAAGAATCGATCATCATTTAGTAATGACGATGGTAAAGTTGACTGACTGTCCAATAGTCGAATGCAGACGTTATCACACCCTTTCAGATAGAATTGTAGGAAAAAACTAAAAGAAGGAGAGGGGGGCAAAGGACAACTCGCAGTCTGTTTAATGCATTGAAAACAGAGTTATGATGCAATTTTCTTTTCTGTCGATGATCTAATTATCAACATAAGGTCATATTGATCAGATGTGAAGAGTGGAAATAAAACCGAGTCGAGATTGATCATTTGGCGACTAATAAGTTTCTTGTCTTTCTTTTCTTTCCCATTTTCAAGCTCATACAAAGTAAGACAAGTCGAACTGGCCTCTCGTGTTATATCCATAGGATGACATGTAATCATATTTCGTTTCGCAGTCGACGTGATTTAGTGATATAATCATATCCGGAATTGTTCTTTGTGTTCACAATGACCCTTTAACTGTCCTAACTAGTGTACATGAAGAGGCGGAGTTGTCATTTTTGATTCGTAATATTTCTGACATTGAGTGTAGAGCGAACGAAGATCGATTATCGTCGAACGGATTTCATTGTTAACTATTATGCTCGTCAATGAGATACTTTTGACGTTTATCAACACTTATTGATGACATTCAACGTCTCACGCTTTCTGACAGATTAGACCAGAACTTCTGTTCATCACGCATTCCAACTAGACGTCAACTAAGTTTTAATGATCAGTTCACACGCATCTGTATGCTTTTTTCCCTCGTTCTTGTGTGTGTGTGTGTGTGCGTTGTGTTCATTTGATATCGAACTGATAGACATCGTAGCAGCTGTTTATATTACATCAATTGTATATCATACGCAGAATGTGATCAAGTAGAAGATATACAAATGGATATCTTCAAACCGATCACTGCTTATTAAAAAAACAGAATATCAAAGACAAAAATCCGAGATATAATTATTATTCTAACCTTAATCATGACAAATTGATACTCAATGGAGCGTTACTTGATGGACACATGAGCTTTGTTGTATACATATCATTTATGTGTCAAGGTAAGTGATGAGAAATGAATCGTTTATTTGGTCAGGAAGGAAGAGAGAGAGAGAGAGAGAGAAAGAAAGAAAATATATCTCGAATGATTCAGATTTCTGATAGAATTTCTTTCGAGTTACACTCGTCAATACAATCTGTTTATCTTTATCCTAATCAATTGAACTTCGACGATACATACGACGAGATGCTTTGAAGTTAATCCTCCTATTGAATATTTATCGTTTCCTTCTGACGCAATCTTCGAGTGAGTTACATATCAAAATGCTTACAATTAACTTTTAATATTATTATTTCAAGTGCTTCTCTATAGATAGCATCCGTTGATTATTGACGATAAGTGTCAATGAGTTATTCGCATGTTCTGTGTGCATAGACAGTCTCGAATAGATTTGACACACTTAAGATGAGAAGTAATTGAAGACTATAAAATGTGATGAGAGAGAGATGGAGAAGCAAACATCCGTCGTCGCTTAATTTGTTGTCAATCGAAATTGTGTAGAGGAAAAGAAAGTAGTAAATTAATGTTTCTGTATTATAAGTATTGATCATACATCGTTGTTCGACAATAACTTGCCGGAAGTCGATTCAATCGCCGGTAAAGTACGTGATTTCTATTCTTTGAAGAAAGAAATTGGCAAAAACTTCGTTATCGAACAATGAACGACGAGCCGGTAAAAATAAAAATCACTTATTTTAATTAATTTTGTATCTCGAATAGATTTCTTGCAGAAAAAAAAGAAACGCAAAAAAAAGTATTGTTTTTTTCTACGTTGAACAATAATTCAGATGAATTGTTCACACTTTTTACACCAACCGTCATAGCGATGGCAACAGCCAGAAAGTTGTACATGACCTTCTGTCGCATACAACAGTAAATCATTCGTTGGTTTACCCTGTACACTTGGGATAACATCAGCTTTTGTTTTACATTTTGGACAGGCAGGCAGTTTGTCCCTAACTGTTTTGAAATGATCGTCGAATTCTTTTCGTTTAGTGTCACTTAGTTCGTGATTGCTAGCCATGGTGAATAACAGTGAATATGTAGTTTGCACTGAGTCAGATTTTTTGTTATATATGATAAAAGCCAAATAACAGAACGGTAAAAGAGAAGAAAAAAAAAGGGATTGAATAACCTATAATGAGAAATCATTTCAGATGTCTCGAGTTGACTACAGCGAACAATGTGTAAGAGTATTTTTTTTTGTTGCGATTAGCAATCCTTGGTAAGCGTAGGTTGAGCAGTGGAGAAAATAGACAAGTTTTCGTTTCGATTTAGTCAGCTAACATTCTTAGAAGTAGTGTTCACCGTTTAATCGTTCACAACTAGTCATATTTCAAATGGCTTGTCGTAAAATTAATGACAGTGAACGTATTCACATTTACGAAAGAAAATCGGAGCAGAACGATGAAGAAAAATCGAGTGAAAAAGAAATTGACAACTCATGATGAACTTTTTCTTTTTCAGATGCCTCGTTTCGACTCTAGTGTATCATTACAATGAACAATGTGATAATATATCTTATACAATGGATCTACTAACATGTTTCTTCTAAAAGGTACGAAACTGAATCAACACGACGCTGTTTTCATCCGATTTTTTTTCATCATATAGTTCCTTCGATTCTCCTGCTTTTTATAAACATCACATATTCAATGTACTATCTGACCAATTTTCATGCTCACTATCCAGACGCTCATGTTATTATTGCTAACTGTAGTGATACAGTGTCACTGGCATGTCCAGTTGGATTTGAGAGTAATACATCATCAGCAGTAAGAGTAGTCGTTCGTTTTATTGAAACGATTGAACTGTTTGGTTTAGGTACCGACAATGTGGTTTCGTTTATACGAGAATGCTTATCCTCAACCGTTAATTCTTGGTGATCGTCAATTGATTGATGATCAGCGTTTCATGCTTCGAACACAGAATACAAATCGGCATCTGGAAATCATTGGTGTACGAAAAGACGACGAAGGATATTACTTGTGCAAGTCAGGAAACGAAATCCAAACAAGCTACAACATAACTATTCTAAGTGGGCATTATTTGATTGTAGAAAAAGAAAGTGAATTTCTTGTTGTTTAGGTAATTCATGTATAGACATTATTCCTGATCAAATACATACGAATTCGGATGAACCTTTTCAAATCATATGTCGTGTACGGTCAATCGAAAATTCCGATGAAGTTAATTTTCATGTCGAATGGACACGTAACGATTATCTATTAGAGAATAATTTGACTGAATCTAGTTCAAATTATTCGTCAGCGGATGGAATTCTCTACGACACATTGACTATAAAAAACGCCACACGTAATGACACAGGCATATACAAATGTCGTTATGGTCAAGATTTAGTTGCAACAGCTCAAATCGTTGTCAATCATTGTAAGATTGAAATCAGTGAATGAAGTGACCTAATGTTTCTTTTTCAGATCCCGGCGGTAGTAAATCACGTCGTTTAATATCACAATTACGTGGTAACAGTTCATTATCGCGCGCATCATTACGAACAGTAAACTTTTGTTTTTATATTGTCTATGAAATTGTTCTTGTCGCACTTGTTGCACTCTCGTAAAAAGGAAAGAAATCTAATATATCTATATTCATAAATAGACCTGCATTTTTATTATTTCAGATGTTACAAAATCTTAATAATGACGTGTGAGGAGAAAGAAATGTAAATGATAATGTGTCTGTTCGCTAATACTTGTTGATTGATTCATTCAATGATATAATCGCCAGTGCGATGTTTATTTTTTGTCAGTCATTCGAAGATTTCTCTTGTCTAGAAACACTTATGATGAATTAGGACAAGTCGATTTAATAAATCAAGTGTCATCACGAAAGAAGATTTACCATACGCTGTTCGATCGAGACTTGGCTCTGCTTTCTCTAGGGTTTCAATCTGTCAAGTTTATGAAACGTTGCAAGTATATGATGATGCAGTCGAATGATGTGTGCACTGGTTTGTTTTCTTCGAAAAGAAAGAAAAACAAAGCGAATCGAATCTGCCGTGTTCGGATGGTTACTGGTTAGAAAGTATATCTATATTTTCTTTTCGAAATCAAGTATAGAAAGATAGATATCGATAGGACATTCTCTGCACGACATTTTTCATTTTCTTCATCTAGTAAACAGACATCGATATCTTCTTTTCATCGTAAGCAAGTCAATTCACTTTCATCGTTCTAAACAAACACGAAATTGTTTCTTCTCTTTAAAATAGAGCATGCATTTGATTGCCACTCTCGCTTTGGTATTCTGCATTTCAGCAGTCAACGTTCGTGCATTAGATTTATGTAAAGGTTCATCAAGTGACGCTCAAGAAGAGTTTCAGTGGAAACTTGATAATGCACCCATCGTTGTTTATGGAACAGCAACTGAAGTGAAAAACCAAAATGTTACATTTACCATCAACTGCGTACTTAAAGGTTCATTACCAGTCAACAAAATCTATCTCGGTCAACCCAGTATGTCGACAAAAGTCACGTTCTTCTCTTTATCAAAACAAATCTCTTCTCCTTTCCATTCTAGCCGATGTGCTCAATGTAACTGAATGCCACTATTTAGCACCAAACAGGAACTATATCGTCTTCCTCGAATCAACACAAACCATAGGAGCTGGCAGCACTACCATCTATAAATTTGCCAATATGGAAGAAATCGAAGTCAATGCAAACACAGCTAAGAACTTCATGGATGAAGAATGTGCTGACCAAGACGATGAAGGCATTGAAATGACCATGTTCTTTGCTAGTGATAAACTTCAATGTAACAAATTCACTGCTACATGCAATGGTTAGTAAAGAAGACACAATTTTGATACTATCTGAAACCATTCGGATCATTTTAGCTGCTAACAAAAAAGCAATTCTTGCTCAAACCTATCCACCATTGACCACAGGAACAACTTTCTTAGGTGGATATAAAAAAGTGTTAGGTGTTCCAAGCGAAAATGATGCCGCTATTTCGAGTAAAACCAACGGTGGTATTGGCGATGAAGTACGAAATGCTGCAGCAATGTCGACAATCTCCATATCAATGATCATCTCTTTTGTCGTTTTACTCATGAAATTTCGTCTTTAGATGAAACAAAAATGTCAGCTTTTTTACGATCAGGTTTCTCTTTCTTTCTTAATCATCTATTTTTTATTGGATGTTCTTAAATAAAACAACGTTCATGATTCATCTATGCCTTATCTTCTTCTTCTAATAATTTGTATAATGGATCATTGACTGCGACTTTGTAGTACAATGTCTTGATTTGATAATAATTACTTTGTAATTTTAAATGATCGATGACATCTTCAACAAGATGTGCACGTTCAACTTCACAGCCGCATAGTCGGTTTCGTAAAGCAGTGAAATGAACATGTAAATGATAAAACGTCGGTGGATAGTGAAAAAATGCTCGAATCGTCTTTGGTGAAATTCCATATTTCGAAGAAAGGAATTCCTTAAGTATACCTTAGTAGAACATCTCATTCAGCTTTGAAGGGAAAAACTTACTTTCGTCTTGGCAAGTAGCGATTCAAGTAGTGGAATATGTTCGGGTTTTAAATCTCGTATACTGTGAATATCATGGGATTTGACAAGACCGAGGATGTGTAAGGAGTCTATGGCTTTTCCATCCCACATAATATCCGGTAGAATAATGAATTGATCGTTTTCCAGGAGAATTCGTTCACGTTCTGATTTCCCATCGATAATATTATAAACCCATTGTGCGTTTAATTGATTTTTTTCGATATACGGTCGAACAATAGTTTCATAACGTTGTGACGTTTCGCAAATCAATGAAAACTCTTTCTTAGAATACTTTTTTATGTGTAGTGGCGCTGCTGGATAAATATACGCTAATTTGACATCTGAAAGTGAATAAACATGAACGTCTTTTGACAATTCCCTTTTTTTTTGTATTTTCGAAAATGAACGCACCGTTGCATGCTGATCGTGCTTCGACGGTATATTTATGATAAACATCATTAATGAAATCGACTTTAAACTGCTTTTCATCATCTTGCATTAATTTAACCAAATCGTCGAACTGAAAAGGTGTTTTCTCGAACAGAAGCACCGCCGATTTCTTTTCACCATCTCCATCTTCAACTTCACCCTCAACTGCAGCAAATTTTCCTTCATGATCATCGTTTAACGTTCGCAATAACCTAACATTCTTATTCCACTCTGCCATAACGAGAACAATTGTGTATACCCACTAGAACAATTCACTATAATCTGAAGAGAAAAACATGAGAAAGAATAAACATAAACAATAGGTCTACAGTCGCGTGTTTATGTATATGATTTTCTTTTTGTTTCACTCGCTCTAATTTATTCAAGAATATCCGTTTCAAAAAGTGCATTTCTAATGTTAAAAAGCAATATGACTATCGAATGCTAAACTACAGAAATTCGTCTTGACACCGTTGTTTATTTATTTATTTTTGATTCTATTTCCTCGTTCAGTTCCATCGATGGCAGCCATATCTAGTGCAGCTGTATAGAGATGGATCAAACTGATAATCTGCTTTAGAACCATAATTGGCGTGACAACGTAAAGAATAATGCGCCAAAGACCAACAGTATAACCTCCACAGGAAACAACTTGAAATAAATCAACGAAATGTAATGATTACTTTGCCATTCTCTCTCTCGTTCGTCTTTCAAACTACCTGTAGGGCCTTCATTAAAATGAAGAATGTACACCATTGAGAACCAAAGTTCATTACCAGCACACATGACAAAAAGCACTTTCTACGAACCGAAGAAAACATTCAGTTAAATAATGAGGAAACAATCCATCTTGACATACACGTGACGTGTAATAAAGTCGCAGAATCGGATTACCAGAAAGATCGATTTTCTTGTGACTAACTGACCCTTTCACTGTGGCTCTGAAACAACAAATATATTACCAAGGAGAACTGCATGTGTTCAAACGAAATCCTACGCATGTAAATGAAGCCAATGACTAGCAACATCGATAGCTGTCCAGATTTGAAAGAAAAATGTCCATTTTGGATAAAACATTGCCAAAACGAAGCACAGACACATTGTTGAACAACGGTCAATCAGCATATCGAACATAGCACCAAATTTCGTACCTAAATAGTCAAATATCAAAAATATGTTCCTCAATCATTTATTTACATTGACCAAGTATTCGAGCAGCATGTCCATCGACTGCATCAAGAAACTCGCTTGATAAATAGCATGCTATTGAAATATAAGGATGCGTCGGCATGAAATAAAACGAGACAATTGAAAGAAGCACCCGTGCATAACCTAAAAGACTGAATTATCATCCTAGAAGAGAAGTAAACTTTGTATTCGTACCAATCAGATTTGGAACAAATAAAAATACACTCTTCGTTTTAAGTAGCTTTTCAAACAAAGATTCTTTCATTACTTGACTGTTTTCTGGCGAACTATCCGTCATAGCTAACTCCTATTCTGTATTGAAATCTAGAAAGTATCTGCAATGGATCAATATTTCCACTCAACAGGCCACATCATTAGAATCGATCTGATAGGAAAAATATACATATCCGATTTCTATGATAACTCTTCTTCCTATTCCATACTTCTAGAACACAGATCCACTATCTCGTTTGTTGCAATGTCACATCTGCATGGAATTTTGTATAGAATGAGAGATCACACGATTACTGTCGAAGATTCCAAGCGATTTAACACTTGCAGTGCAGAAACATTTCCTTGTTCAATGTGATGTCGACAAAAATCAATAATAGCATGTTCAGTGAATGCGTGAATGGTTGGAATCAAATGCATCTCTTCTTTTTCTTTCGTTACTTCATCATCTACATCATGTTTAAAGATGAGAGAATCTCGAAGATACAATCAACCAAGAAAAGAAAAAAGAAAACAACAAAAAGAGACTCGTTTTTTCCTTTCTTGCTTACCAGCAAAAAGATCGAATGATAGGAAAAAAACCATAACAACAAAATGAGAAGAAGAGAGAGAAAACCACAATAAGACCTATCTGTATATTCCAAGAAGACTTTTAACTTTTTTGCTTCAAATTTTTTCAAACAACACAATGACAAAACAACGAAGGAAGAGAAAAAAAGCAAGAGACATCTATTCATCGACAAGATAATGAACATAGAATATGTAGAAAGAAGGAAGATATCTAGCTAAAAGCATCAGATACGAATGAATACATGAACAAAAGAGACACAATTAACAGGTCATAGAATTGACCTTGACAAATAAGGTAATGCGCAGCAAGAATAAAGAGATATTTCAACATATACAGACATATTTAGTGTTCGTTTCTATTTTCTATTTTCTTGGTCGTAATTTTCGCGTGTATTCTTCACTGGGTGGCTCAGGTGTCTTCTTAGGTACACTTGTACGTGCTTTCTTCGGGGGACTTTGAATCGCTTCAGCTTCACTTGTTTCAGCTCCGTTATCAGCATCACTTGCTGGTGTTATAGAATTTTTACCTCGTGCTTTCTTTGTTGCATTAGCTGCTGGCACAGACGGTTCGCGTTTTTTACGTCCTGGAGTACCCTTCTTTCCTTTGCCAGCAGTTGCGTCATCGTCGTCATCACCCTCGGATGGAATCACTTCTTGATCTTTTGCATCACCAGCATTGCTGTTGTCTATGAGAAAAAAAGCCAGAATTCAATGCTTTATTTTTTGCAATAATGAAAAAGATCTATTCACCAGATGTTGAGTTTGGTTGATTAGTTGCTGCTATAGCGTCACTAGCAGCTGCGGCTGCTTGTCGCTTAGTAGGTTTAGACGATGATTCTTCTTGACTTGATGATGCTGTTGATGTTGCAGCAGTATCGTCATTGGATTGATTTTCTTCAACGTTTGTTGATGATGATGCGGCCGGTTTTCGACCACGTGTCGATTGACGTGTTGGTGCTGTCGAAGCTACAACAGGTGCTGCTTTAGCTCTGCCACGAGGAGACTAGTTGCAACAAAACCCACAAACATTCCATATGATTAGTATGAAAAAGAAGTCTTACTTTTGCTTTCGACTCTGATGTTCCGGATTCGGAGGCGACAGGTGCAGTAACGCTGGATGGTTCTGCTTCAACTACAGGTGTTGTCGATTCAACAATTGAAGTTGGCTCTGTACTTGTTACAGCTGATGAACTTTCCATTGCAGCATCGGTGGATGTCGATGTCGCTGGCTCCGTTTCAGTCGATGGAACAACTGATTGAACCTGAACTGGTGCTTCGGTTACCATTGGTTCAACTTCGCTTGCTTTTTCAACAACAGGTTCGGAAACTTCTTCAACAATAGGTTTGTCATTCTGTCCGTTGACATGTACAGCTGATGGTTCCTTAGTATTCGTATGATCTGTGGCACCATTCGTAATAGGTTCATTCGTTTCCATTTTGCTATCATTTTGTCCATTTACAGCTGATTCGGACGCTGGAACTGCATTTTCATTACCAGTACTCTCGTTATTAGTTGATGATTGACTTTTCGTTTGAGAGATAAGTCCACTACCGAACACAGGCTCGGTTGTTGATGGCGTAAATTCATCGACGGATTGCATTATTTATATGGATATATATATATGCGTAAATGGAAGTAAATCTAAAAATGAAATGAAATCACGCTAGCAAAATAATCTGACAAGAAAGACAACAGTCATTTTCATGTTTGCTTTTCAATGAACAATCATTCTTTTTCTCAATCGCTCGTCTTGTATCTTTGTTCAAATTTAAGTGCATAAGCATGTTAATGACTTGACTTGATTTTGTCAAAAGAAAAAAAAGGACAAACTGAACTAATTTTTTCATCAAATTTTGAAAACTCAAACAGTCGTCAATGACGAAATGTCGATTTCCGATAAAGAATGACGAAATACGCTTTGGTATAACAAACCTGTCCGCGTACACGTCAAATGCACTCGAAAAAAAATGGCGACTAGCACAGTTGCATCGCCATTGTTAGCTTTATATACACTTCTTCCGCCAAATGACTCATACTGTCTGTCTTTTTTTATCTTCAGGTTCGTGTGTGTCGTAGAGGAGGAGGGTAGCGGGTATTCAACAGACAATTGAAAGACAGGAAGAAAAAATTTTCTATTGGTTGTTGGCAAAATCCAATGAGGCAACTAGTCAAGGCGCTAGTTGTCAATATTTTATGTTTCGAAAACTTTCCAGAAAATAAATTCACAATTGTTTAACCATCGACCGAATTTCTCATTTTGAATTTCATGGGATGTTAGATTCCAAAGAAAATCAGCATGCGAAACGAGCAGAACTTGTTTGTAAAGTGAAGATTTGCTTGCTAAATCGTTTTTGAGTTCGTTGACACGTTTGTCTACACTTTCGTCTGTTTCCTCTGGAAATATCTCTTCAGTTTGCTCTCCATCGAGTAGATCGCATTTAGCTTTGATTTGTTCGCGTAAGAGAGAGCAAACTTCAAACTTAGGTGGAGGTGTGGATTTGAGAAGTGAAGAATATTCAACTGTTTGGCGACATCGACGCAACGGTGAACAAAGGATCAAGTCAAACGAATACGAAGATAAATCTAGATTTGCTGCTTGTTGTTGACCATTGCTGGTAATTGAACAATCGATAAAATCGTTATTTAATGGATCGACGTTATATTCGCTCTCGGCGTGACGCAAAAGATAAACTTCCATCAGTCGATGTTTTGACGAGAAAAATGAGAAAGAAACGAACTTTGTGATGCAATGAAACATACATATTGTGAAAGAAACATAGTGCATCGAAAATTTTAATTCATCAAATAACACACAGAAAAAAGAAAATCATAAATAGTATCAATAGTAACATTCTCTCTACATAATAGAACAACGTTGCTGTTTTTTCGATATAGCATGTTGATGTTTATGTTTCCGTGTGAAAATATGCGAGAAATCATTTAGAATCGATGATGAATGTGCGGGTGCTTTCATATCGAAATCTGTGTAGAAGTCGTCTGTTCGAATGGTTTGATTGTCCAAATGCATCTGAAGCGAATTATTATCCATTCGATCGACAGTTGATATTGGCACGTAGACATCAATATCTGATGTGTAGATATTTTCTTTGACCACAGTTGGAGGATGTTCATGTTGAACTGGAAACGTTCGATTTGGCTGAAATGTTGCAAATGTTGGAGTTGGTGGAGTTGGATGTAACCAATTGAACATAGACAATGGACGGGACAATCGTTTCTCGAAATAGGTAGGTTCAGGTAGTTTAGAAAAATTGTGATTACGAACAGGTTGAAAGTGTGAAACTTGAAGTAAAGTTCTTTCTCCGGTTTTCTTTTTAGGCAATGCATATTCATGTTTTATCTCTTCAATCGGCACTTCAATAATTGGTAGAGGACTGTACGATGGAGTAGGAATTGGACTGCATCGTGGAACTGGAATTGGTGATAGTGGATTTTCATAGATTTCTTCTGTAGGTTGGGTCTCTTTGATCGGTGATGCCTATAGATAAGAAGAACGATATGAATGCGAATAGAAATGAAGAAAACGTACAGATCGTGTAGATTGATCAATAGGACGCAGTTGAACTTGTCGCAGAAGTTCATCGAAGGTTGGCAGCGGCGGAATATTTGATGGTGGTTTTTGTAATGTTTTTCTTTGTTTACAAATCTTCGATGGTATAACATAGCTTATTTCTCGAGTTGGATTTAATGCGCGTAGTTTATTGAATTCGCGATCTAATTCTTCGGCAATACAGGATTTCTTTTGCTTAGCTATCGATATTGACGATGGAGTATTCAATATAATGGATTGATCAGATGCTGATGTCTGACGAGAAGTATCTGGTAAGTTTGTTGTCTCTTTTGATTTAATTGTTTTCAGAAATTGACGGATTTCCGAACGTTCGACTGATGTAAAACTCGATTGACTATGGCTCGACAGTGTAGATGTAGACGATAGTGCTGAAATGGACTGTTGACTATTACGATGGCGATCAAGAGATGGTGAACTAAAGGATGGAAGAAAACTATTTTTATCGTAAATTTTAAAATGTGAGATTTACATTGTGGAAAGATTTTGGCTCGATGATCGACGATAATGACGCAATTCTTCCATCGCAGCACTGATCAATGGATCGTTACGTAATGCACCGTTGATACGCTGCTGTAACGATGAACGACTACGAATGGATATTGATGATTGAGTAGTATCTGTACTGGTTCCTATTCGAGGGAACAGAAGAAGTCACTTTTTAAACATGAAAAAATCCAAACGGTGCTTCTCTTACCAGCGTCATCATTGTCTTTCGTGTAGCTTTTTCGATTCTTCACTGAATTCGTTCCTTTGGTTTTTGTACGATGTGTACTCGATGCTGATATACTTCCCTTCATTGACAATCGATCATGACTGATGCTACGAGTTTTCTTTTGTATAGGCGGATTACTAACTGGCATTTCATCCAGCGTCGAAATACGAATAGGACCACATTCAGGTAGTTCGATCGGTCGTTTTCGTCTATAATTAAACGATGGTCTTCGTTTTGGTGATAACGATGATGACGATGAGAGAGGTCTTGGTGGAGGAACTCGTCTTCTTTTGTGTAAAGATTGTTTTCGTTGTCGCTTTGGTGATAAATGTAATTCATGTGCATAGGCCACACTTAGATTTGCCCGACGATGGTTCATCATCGCATGCCATGAATGTGCTTTTGACAAAGCTACTGAAGGCAGTTCAGTGGCTGGTTCGAGTTCGGAAATAGATTTTGTTCTGGATGAACGATAAGGTCGGGTGTAAGTGATTTCATTATGATGATGTTGACGATCATCATATGATTGTTGTAGAGCACGTCGATTTGAATGATGTGTCGATTTTTTCAAATGCTGATAACGTGTGTTCGTGTATGGTGATGGTGGACCCATCGATTTTATCAGGGATTTCTTTGGTTGAGAAAGGGCATACGATGTGATCGGACGAGTTACTGGATAGGCTGAACGCATTTGATATTGAGGATGAGCAGACAAACGGAATGGAACTGTAGACCAGGTATTTGCCAATGGCATACGAGGTCTTTGCATGTAAAATGGATATCGGATCGGCGGTTGCATAGGTATATTCATGGTAAATCTTTGATGTTCGATACAAAAGCTTATTTAATCTATGTCGATAAGTTGTAAATTTTAATTTTTTTCTATGACATCGTACTCCGATGAGTCAAGGTAATATTTTTTTCTCCTCTCTCTCTCGCACCTATTCGAGTGCACACACACATTTGAGTATGATAATGGACACGGTAAACGCTCGGTAAGTATGAAAGAGAATATGTTCGGTTGTAAAGGTCAAGTTCATCTAGTTGAAATGTGCATCGAAGCGCAACTGTAGCAACAACGCCTACTAAAGAGAATATAAATGTATGTATGCATGAATTTGATGTGCATATGCACCTCAAATCTATCTTTCTTTGATATAGACAAAAAAGAAAAAGAAATCCATTTGTATTGAATTGTCCTTTTCAAATGAAAGAATTTGTTAATTATGCTTTATTGGTCTGTGAAATATTCGAATATTAGTTCGTTATAAGAGTACACAATCAGTTTTTAACAATGTACGACAAATATGACTTTGTCGCGTTTCACAACGACATGTTAGCATACTAAATACATAATTTGCTGGACAAATAAAGTCATAGCGAAGTAATGTTCCATCGAATGTTTGTTCATTGGTTGTACAAAAGTAAAATTTCGTACAATCATAAATATCCCGATAGAGACCCGAACGTCGTCCAGCACAATCAAAAGCTGATGTACGACCATCGGATATATCCAATAGTTGACCAAGATTACTCAATGTATCAATTGCTGATTGAGGAAGATAAGGTGTTCGCATGGTTGTGGTCGTTGTCGTAGTTGCAAGTGAAACACAAAAGGTATCACCACCTGTCTGACATGAATGACCTGTTGGCCAGTCGCAAGTACATCCATCCATGGAAAATTCCAAACCCGGCGGACAGAAAAAGATATGATAACGCAAAGGATTCACATCATCACCTTCACAATAATAGAATATTGAACAATTTGTACGGTCTCGGTGAATTCCGTTACGATGCATGCCATGACGACCGCATATATATTCAGCATTGTACGTTTGATGAGCGACTGGAGGCGGTGGAGGTGCTGGCGTCGTCTGAATCGGAGGTAAATAACGTGTTGTGCCTGATAGAGCATTGAGAGCGTTCAATAATCTTTGTATATTCGCAGGTAAGATTGCAGATGCAAACGATTGTTGAGACTGTACGTTGAGGAAACGAACTGGTGCGTTAGTTTGTACAGGCATTTGAAGTGCAATGGCTGGCGCACTTGTAACAGGAACTGGTAGGTTTAAAGTAGCAAAAACTTGACGAGTAATCGGAAATGGCTCGGTATTGCATAAAAATCCAGAAAAGTCTACACAGATCAACTTCAGAATTCTCCGTCAGAAAAGTAACATGACGATCACTTACCATCATTATCGACACTCCAAATGAACACACCAGCTAATTGTTCTCCTTTTGCATATTGTGCCTAATTAAAACAAACATAAAATTGTATTTAACATATGTTCTAAGAATAGTACTTTCAATATTGCTGAATCCACATCTTCAAACGTGATCCATTGATCGTCACTGGTCATATACCAAGCTTTTTCAGTATCTAGCCACACTTTTTGCCAACTTTTTGAATTATTTTTTTCACACACCTAACAAAGGAAGTGATGAAATTGAATAGAAAGGAATATATCAATTTACTTCGTAATACGAAAGGAAACCTCTTGTTTTCGTGTATCGACCAGGATAACCTGGACCGCTGGCTAAATGAACAGCGATATTTCCAAATTTTACACATAGTAAATGATCTTACTCGGTGCATGAAGACCTTTCTGCGAACTAGTCAGTGTGAATGATCGCCCGTAGGTCGGTATACCAATCAATAATTTTTCACGTGGAATTCCAAGACTCAACCACAATTTAACCAATCCATCCTATGTGAAAAGTAAAAACAACTGAATAACAGAGAAACAAACATTTCTTACGACATTTCGAAGCGACTCCGATTCGGCCTGATATGGCTGATGATACAGAGGAGCAGATACACCCGTTCTTTCATCCCACGGACCTATAATAATTAAGAGAGAAAAAAGGTAATTAATACCATGATGTTTGATCTATTCAATTTACCATAAAGATCGAATGTCATTAAATTGACATAGTTGACTAACCTGTGAAAATTGCAAAAGATTATGACGTGATTAAGAAGATTAACAATGAGACTACTTTTCAATTTTTTGAATGTCATATACTTTCGATAGATGATCGATAAATGGTGCTGCAGTTAATGTTACGATCATCTGCGGCATCAATCGTTTCTGTTTGGCTAGTTCCTAAAAAAAGTGACCCTTGTCGTTTACTTCCCATTTGAAATGAACAAACTTCAAGTAGAACAGTCAATGCAATTTTATCCTCTGGAACATCATCATCCGGAAATTCAAAAGCCACATCAACGCCATCAAAACCGTATGATTGCATGTACCTACGCAACACAAAAGGAATCAATTCAAATGAAATAACAAAGAAACAAGAACGATTACCAAATAAGACTTCGTACAAGTTGTGAAGCAGTTTTCGATCGTTTGAGATATCGAGTGTACGCTGCACTCTTCCCACCCAGTCGAATCGACACTTTCAACTCGGGATTCGTTTTTTTCAGCAAAGCAAGTTCTCGATAATGTTCTAAAAGAAATTTGAATAAACAAATTCCTTTGAATTACAACGAATTTCTATTCACCTATATCATCCTTTTGTATCGGAGTAATTTCCGGTTTGTCTTGATCGACAGTTGCATATGCATAGATAATATGTGTGCACATATGTGGATCGATGTACTCCAGTTCAAATTTCGCTTCACCTGGACGGTATCGTGACCAATTGGTAATGTAACAAACACGCTGAACTTTCGGATTCTCATTCGTTTGTTCTACTGGCAACTGATTCGGCGCAAATTCCGTCGTTGTGTCAACTTCTTCGACATCGATATTTTTTCTCTTCAGCTGACTAACCCATGCTGCATGAAATGGAAGTTTGCTAGGTCTACGTGTCGAACTACCAACTCGTTCGACTTGTTCGAGTTTAGTCGGACGCTTTGTCGGCAAGCGTGATTTCTTTTTCGCAACCTTTTTCGCACATGTCGGATCAGTAAAAGTATTTCGGACACAATTTTGTTTTTTCTCATCGAAAATTTGATCGTTTGGACAGCGCTTGATGACGTATAGATAACTAAAACCACTGGAAAAAACTGCGCATGGAAAGTAAGTTTGACAATCGCGCAGATCTCGGCAATATGATTGTTTCAAATCTAAATCTCTCAATCTTCTTAACTCAATCTTTCGATGAATTCATTTCACATACTTATCTGATTTGCATCAATAAGCTCTATTTGTTCGATAAGGACGATTAGAAAAACTAAACGAAGATGATACACCAATGAATAATATTGACGCGTATTCAAATTCATCTTTTACAAGAAAAGAACTGATCAGACGCGATGCAATATAATTAACTATCTTTAGTTCGATTGAACAAAAAGAAAAAGAAAGGTCTTGCTCACTAAATCAAACAAACGTTGAAACGATCCGCGTGTCAACAGCTTAAACTATGTATACACAAACTTGTACATACAATTGAACATCAAATGTCATATACATACACAAACATATATCTAGTTGATGAATCAGTTCGGACAAACGTGAATGTTAACTATTTAGATGTCATAAAACGAATGTCCATTGAAAAGGAGAACGGAATTTGATCCTAATCGAAACAATAAGAAATATGAGAATGTAACCAATGCAGGTTCTATTTGACGAGCAATAATGACCTTGCTTGCAACAGATATATGTATATATACATATGTAGTAGGACACACGACTAAATGTTCATCAAAAATTAGAAAATGCTTTGCATAGATCGGATGGTTCTTTTTTTTCGTCGCAAGGTATATGTTCTATGGTTTTGTTTCGCGTGGTAACATTTTTTTCAATACGATCGACCAATAGATTCAATGATGTAATCAGAAGTTCATTGGGAAGAGAGGACAAAGAGAGAAATTGAATCTCACCTTGTTTGATCGAAGAAACGAACGCATCTTTGTGGATTTATTTTAGTATATATATATACTTCTAATTCGACTTTAGAAGATCACTCGACAATGAGTCGTCAATATTCTCTTTTTATCCTATTTTTATCTTCTTCATACTTAGTATATTATCAATTAGCAGCTCAACAATTATCTCGTAAGGATGGGCAACTTTCTCCTTCTAATCTAATCTCATCTTTCTCTGCAGAATCGCCTCGTCTATGCGCTTTTCGTAATAATCCTTCCCAGTATTATCCTTGTGCACTTGATTCCCTTGGTCTGAACAGTTGGTCGTTTTATCGATGCCCAGACGAGACAATATTCGATGAAATTTTGCAACAATGTTCGAAAACTGCTTTGTCCGATTTATATCCTTCGCTCTCATCGACTGACGACGCTCAGCTCGAAAGAATCTCGAATTTTATCGTCTCACATCCTGTTTCCGATGCACGAAGATTAATCACAGACTTCGAAGATCCATTTTCAATAAAAAAATTCTTACATGAAGTAAGGCACATGAAAAATAGGAATAATTATCTATTCATTCATTCATTTATCATAGCGTGTGGAACGAGCAGGAGGCATTTTCTGGTCAAATGGTCAACCACTGATGGAGTTAGACGAAAAATCCATCTTTGATTCGAAATCATCGATAAATTCCAAATTGAACTATTTCTCGTATGAACACCCTTATCCTCCGCCTGTTAGCGAAGGTAGGAACAAGTGATTATTCTTTCTCGTCTCTTCATTTCCTATTCAGATGAGTTGAAATATAAGAAAATTTGCTACTTTACAAATTGGGCTCAATATCGAAGTGGTTCAGCGAAATTCGAGCCCGAACATATTGATCCGTTTCTTTGTACACATATTATTTATGCATTTGCCTACATTAGTAACGAAACATTTCTCATCCGAAAAGTCGAAGATAATGATGAAGGTAATCAAATGAGATATCCATCTCAAACGATAGAATAGCGTGTTTATTTCAATAGATCTCTATCGTCGCGTGAATGCCTTGAAAAAACGGAATCCAAAATTGAAAACTATACTTGGTGTTGGCGGATGGAATATGAAATCCTATGCGTTTTCGATCATGGTTCATGATAGCGCCAAACGAAAACGATTCATTTTCGATACAATCAAGTAAGTTCAATAGTGGAGGAGAGAAACGTTCATATATGAAGATTTCATTTCTAGCTTTCTACACAAGCATAATTTTGATGGCTTTGAAGTGGATTGGGAATATCCAGGTATACGCGGTGGATTACCAGATGATAAATATTACTTGACCATATTTTTTCAGGTGAGAGACTAGTTAGAAAGAGTAATAGAATAGCAGTTACTAGTTTGTTGTATAGGAGTTCAAAGAAGCGGCTATAGCACAGTCGATTGTGACTGGACAGCCGAGATTGTTGATGGCAGCAGCGGTAGCAGCAAATGCGGAAGTTGTATCAAATGGTTATGAAATTGATAAGATTGCCAAGTAGGAAACGTTGTTTTCCATGTCATTATTTCTTTTATCTTTCCTGCATTTAGAATTTTAGACTTTATCAATATCATGACTTAGTAGGTGCTGTTTGTTAGTTTGTAAATATTGATGAGAATGTCAATTGTAGTGATTTTCATGGAGCCTGGCAAAACCATACTGGTCTAAATGCTCCTCTATACAGACGTTTTGATGAAACAGGACCCGAAGCGATGTTAAATCAAGTAAAAAACGAGAATATGCTTATGATCATTGGTTTACTAAGGATATTTTTCTTTGAGGATTTCGGCGTTGCAATTTGGTTAAAAAGTGGTGCACCAGCTCATAAACTTGTCTTGGGCATTCCATTATTTGCACGAACATTCCTATTAGCCCACGCTGATCAAAATGAACTTCGTTCGCCAACAATTGGAAATGGTACAGAAGGTCCATACACACGTAGTGCTGGTTTTCTCTCCTATTTCGAAGTAATTTTCCACTATAAAATCCATCTGCTTTCTCCTATGTGTCTCTGTAATACATCTAGGTATGTTTACTTCAATCAGATCCCCAATGGACGAGAATCTCTGTGCCGGATGGGTCCGAATCAGAATATATGTATAAAAATCGTGATTGGATTGCGTACGATACTCTTTCGAATATTCAGAAACGAGCAGCTTATGTCGTAGCAAATAATCTAGGAGGATTATTTGTTTGGTCACGTATGTATTCGCCATCTAAACGAGCAAGTCTAACAACTCTACATTTCTTTAGTTGATATGGACGATTTCAATGGCATATTCTGCAGTAATGGAACATATCCATTTATAAGAAATTCTCTATCACTTCTACCAGCAAACATGGCTTCGTATATTTGAACATCTGTAGATAATACAATCATTGTTATAAACATTTTAAAAAGTATTTTATTGTATGCCTTCTTCTTTCTTGCCTTAAATTATCACTAAATATACATACTATCAAAACTCTAAACTAACGACATCTATAGTAGTGATCGACGCAATCCATACTTTATCTAATCTTATTCTCTGTTCCATAAAGGACCATTTCCATCTTTCGTAATTTAACAAACCTTTCGTGCGTACTGCTCGATATACGATATTTTCAATGTCTTCGGATATACCTGGCTTTTATTACGATGCAGTTCAACGACGTTATTATCGTATAACGTCTCAATCGTCGAATGCTGTTCCCAGTGCTCGTGCGATCAGTGATCGAGCTCGGCAAGAAGAGCTGACTAGCAAACAGCTCGATTTGATCAATTCTCCTTCGAAACAGCATTCTGTACGATATAAAGAAAAGAAACGATTGATTCGATCTCGTCTATCTCTACTTCGACAACGAGAATATGGACAACGATCGCGTGGTAATTTTCCAAAAAATTCTCACTTTCCAAATTTTCCTTCTTCAATTAAGACTTCTGTCATAACTATCTTCGATGCAATCTCATTGAAACACTTTCATCAACATGTTTCATCGACACTGCGTCGTCATTCTCTCTCGAAAATCCAGCCGAACCTTCCATAAACTATGACATGACAATTACGACTTCTGGTCAATGCATCCGCTTGATAAACTACAAATTCTATCTAAATCTACTCAAAAATCCAACTCACATTTATCAACTGCAAACGAATCCTATCGACGATCGTCGTTCATCGTATTTTCTTGATTCATTTCCTCCATTCATGTCCGCAACACTACTACAGGATGAAAATCATGTCAATATTCGTTTTCTTCGCTTTTCATCCAGCCAATCAGCACATACACTACCAATGCTATCAGCCGATGCATCTGCACCTGACTATTACTACGAAGAAACTTGCCAAACTGTTCAGTCATCGTCTTCATCATTCACTCATACTTCACCATTGATGATCAAGTGCTCTGGTCCATGCTGTTATTCGAAATTATTGAATCAGTTTGCTTTTAACATTAACAATCATGTATACATTTATGATTTTCAAACATTTCAATCCATTTGTTCGTTGCGCGTGCCTATTCGACGCGTGACATTAACTGATATGAAATTTTCCTATGAAAACTCGAATATTTTATACACAACGAACGGACATCAATTTCAACAATGGGATCTCCGTCAATCGAACTACTCCACCTCTACCCGAATTCCTATTCTCTGTTCAAAAATTCAATGTTTACAAACGCAATCAAATTGCATCCTAACCAGTTCATTCGACGAACGAATCAATCTAATTGATCTACGACGTCCAACGAAACCTTTACTGACCTATGATCTTTCATCAACATCGTCCAACAATCCGCATTTTTCGTTCACAATCGATACTGATACTGAGCATTTCATCGCTGCATGCTCTCAGCATCATATTGTTCACATCTGGGACTTGAATTCAGGTCGATTGTTAAATCGTTTACGATGTCCGATACCTAAAAATTTTCTCAACGCATCTGCAAAATGTTCGATAACATCTTTTGATAACACCCCCGTCCTAGGAATTTATCATCCGGAATATTGTCGACTGACTGGCTTGATGAATCGATAAACATCGTCTCAGAGAATGTACAAATGTATTTTCTTATATTTTCTAGATGGCTTTAACATTAGCTAATAATAATTTCGAAGTGAACATTCACCCGGTGGCCTTGTTCAATATTGTTCATGCATATGAACGTCGAAGTGAAAAATTTGATACCATTCTTGGAACATTACTAGGTAGAAAAGTAGAAAAATGAATGTCTTTTTTAAATGGAAATTTCGCTTTAGGTACACGCGCCGCTGATTCCATCGAAGTGTTCGACAGTTTCGTTGTACCACATTCAACGCATAATGATGTAAGACAATTTTGATTTACCTGCGGGAAAATAAAGCATTGGATTTCATCTTAGGCTCTTTACAATGTCGATTATGCATCAACAATGGCGAGCTTTTATCGAAAAGTCAACTCAACTCAAACAACGGTCGGATGGTAAATCGAAATACTTTCTTTGTTTTTCTGCTCAATCGAAGGAAACTATTCGAAGGTATTCAACTGGTTCTGATATGATATCAGGTGCCAATTTGATTCATGAATATTACACACACGAAACACGAAATCCGGTTTATCTTCTTGTTGATACAAGTTTAAAAAACGATTCGAGTTTTCAAATCAAAGCTTATATGGGGTAGTGTACATTGTCAACAGAAAAACAATTGTTTCTTGTCGGATTTTATTGTAGAGCATCATTCGGTATTAAAGATAAAGATAGATTGAAATCACATGGAATTATTTTTACACCAATACCTGTTCGAATTGTCACTTATGATGAAGAAAAAGCAGCGAGTAATTGAAAAACAACAATTTGATTAATCCGGTGACAAAACTCAACGAGTTTCTTTGTTTATTTAGCTGATTTATTCCAAGCTGGAAAATTCAATAAAGATTTTCAAGTAAAACCACCTAGTGAACTTGATCAAGTTCAGTCGGCTTTAGATAAACTGTTACTCATGTTAAACTACCTGACATCATACGTCGATGGAATCATAGTTCGTAGTTCAATGTTTCTCAACACTTCTCTCAATCGTGCTTCATTTCATATAGGAAGGTAAAAAGCCATCGGATCCAAAGATTGGTCGAATGTTAATGAACTTAATCAATACAGTACCACGGGTTGATCCTAAGGATCTTGAAAATATGATCAATACGAGCATGAATGTATGTTATTCTTCTTTTCGATCGATAGACATGCAAATACGATTGGTTCTTCTTTCTTTAAGGATCTTTTGATGATTCAATATCTATCTCAAGCAGTCAAGGCCCAACTAGTTCTCAACGAAAAATTAACCTCAACATAAAGCAAGACGGAAGATTTTTCGTTGTTTTTATTCTTCATCTAAACAAAAAACAAATAAAAGAACTGAGAAAATGACAAAAGCACGAAAAATCAGCTCTGTTTAACATCGACTCCGAAACACTTCCAATATATTTTCGTTTTGATTCACACTGATATTTGCTGTCATGATTAAAATCTGTTGCGGATAACAAATGCTGCTTACGCAGTTACATAAATTTTCGCAGGAGATTGAAATGTTCCATTCCCGTAATCGTAGAGCAGCACTAAAATCAAGGAATGCGTCTTTATTCCAGCAATTTCTCATTATATTTGTCAAATACAACTCGAATATGTTGTGGAAAGTTTCTGCAACCAAGATTGAATCAAACACTTATCGGATTGCCATGATGAGATTTGTTAGATAGTTATTAGAAAAATCGAAATAAATATTGGCACTCGCACTCTGTCGATTGACAACAACAATAACGAAATAATAATCATTATTTCAATCGAATGTTTTATTATCGAAAGAAGATGTTTTTAAGAATAAGAGAATATATTAAACGTTCAGTTTCGATTAAATTATCGACGGTTACTAAAGGTAGACAACGGTACTGTTGATGTTACATTCAAACGTCAATATCATGTAGCTGGCATAGTTGAATTGCGCAAGGTAGCTCTAGTCGTTGTAGTCGATGATTGTTCGTGATTGAAAAAAACAAATACGACCAAATTTACAGCTCCAATAGCTCCAATAACAACAGAACAGAGAATAATCACTGCGATTCGCGGAGGCAGTGCTCGTTTCTTTATTAGTTTGAGGAAAGTTTTAGGTTGGGTCGATGGAAGAACCGTATTGATTTCAACATCTGGTGATACCGAAGTCTATACAAAAGTAAAGATCTTACACAGCGGACAACATTCGAGAATCGACTTACACTCATACGGCGTGAGGAAAAGTCAGAGACTATGTTTAACTCTGCAGTTAGTTGGAAAAATGAGGTTGTTTTTTCAAATAATGTTAAAGCAGAAAAGCATTTTTTTAATTTCATAGAGTGATATTTCTTTTTCTCAGAATAGCAGAAAACTAAGAGTGAAGTTGCAAGCTTCCAATCAAAACCTGCAACGAAATTTTCATCAGGATGAATATGCGTTGATTGCATATCATTTTTCGTCTAGATTATTTTGTTTTCCAACGAAAATTTTATTTAATTCACAAACATCCATCTACCGACAGCGTTTGATGTTTCTAAAATGAATTGATCAACAATGGTATGACATTTATTGTCAATAAATCATGCATAGGTGGGGAACACATACCTCCGGTTTCAGTCAGAAGAGATTAAAGTTTTCTATATTAACTATTCAGGTTTATTACTGGTCATTATTTATGACTATGTCGAATTGTAAATCTGTCGAAGCCGGTGATTATCGTAAAAATAATCGTAAAACTGATCGTGACAACAATTGATATAAGAAGTGAAAACAAATACTTTTTTCAGTTTAGTATACTGTGTTGAAAGATCATGACGTCGATCCTTTGGGCTTTACTCCTCATCAGTAGCTGCCAAGCGGCAGAGGTACGTAACTTTTATATACCAACTACGATAATATGAGATTTTCTTTAGAAATTAGCGGCATACAATGTTGATCCAGCAGAAACAACGGTTTCTGGTTTATCATCTGGTGCATTTTTTGCCACACAACTGCACGTTGCCTTTTCTGCTTCAATCAAAGGTGCAGGCATTGTTGCCGGTGGTCCATACGATTGTGCTGCACAAATGAGTTACGCAAGCTGCATGTATTCTGGTACTCCATCAGTCACAAAATCGATTTCGAACACCAAAGCATGGAGTGGAAATAAAATCGATGATATTAAAAATCTTGCTAAACACAAAGTTTACATGATATCTGGTACATCAGATACAACTGTCAGTGCATCAGTTATGAATCAATTGTACAAATATTACGTAACCGAAAGTCAATTTATTCCTAGTGCAAACGTTGTTTACAAGAAAGATCTGAAATCTGCGCACACATTCCCAACAGATTTTGACGGAACAGGAAACAATCCATGTACATCAACTAGCAGTCCATACGTCAGCAACTGCGGTTTCGATGGTGCGGGTGCTATTTTAGAACATATGTATGGAAGCTTAAAACCGAGAAATAATGGTGCACTAACGGGAAAGTTCATTGAATTCGATCAACAGGAGTTTATTGCCAATGCACGAAGTGCTGGCATGAGTACAACAGCTTGGGTTTATGTTCCGAAAAGCTGTGCCAACGGCGACGTTTGTCGATTACACATTGCATATCACGGATGTCTACAAGGTTATGAGAAGATCGGTGATAAATATGTGAAGAATACTGGTTATAATCGATGGGCTGATACGAATAATTTGATTATCTTGTATCCACAAGCTGTCGCTACAACATCACGATCAGCAACACTTCGAGCACCTTTTCCCAACTCGAACGGCTGCTGGGATTGGATCGGATGGTATGGAACTGATTTTAATGTCAAAAGTGGAAAACAGTCAACAGCAATGAAGAAAATGATCGATCGAGTTGTCAGCGGTTTCAATCCCATTGAAGCACCAAGCCAACTTCAAGTCAATTCAGTAACAGACAATTCAGCGACATTATCATGGAAACAAGTCACCGGTGCATCAGGTTATAACATCTATCGCAACGGAGGAAAAGTCAACAGTCAAGTTATAACTAGTACGACTTACACCGACACAAACTTGAATTCCGGTTCAACATACACATTTACTGTCAAAGCTGTTTCATCTCAAGGTAGCGAAAGTGCTGCATCGAATTCTGTCATCGTCAAAACAACAGGTGAAGCACCTGCCATCGAAACTCCCAGTGGTTTATCCATTACTGGAACTACAAGCAACTCTGTTAGTCTACAATGGACAGCTAGTGCAACTGCCGAACAATACAATGTTTACCGTGATGGAAATAAAGTTGCGACTGTATCTGTCTCGTCCTACACCGATACTGGTTTGAGTGCCGGTACTCAATACAAATACCAAGTTTCATCTGTCAAAGGTGCCCAAGAGAGTGATAAGTCTACAGAAGTGACATTCACCACGCAAATCCAGAAGGTTTGCTTCAGTGCGAGCAATTACAATCATGTGACTGCTGGAAGAGCACGACAGAGCGGTGGCTATGTTTTTGCCAATGGATCAAATCAAAGTATGGGACTTTACAATATCTTCGTTATCACTAACCTATGCCAAACACAAGAAAATTATTATGTCATCGAGTAAATGACGGAAGTTTTATTTCCTATAAACTGTCATTCTTTCGATCATTTTACAAATAAATCTTCCTTGTCCACTATTTCTTTCTCGACAGTTGAATTATTCACTTCATTGTAGGTGAAGTACTATCGTTTCGTATTACTGGTAGAATTTTGACAAACGTTTGATAGAAAATGTTTTCTATTCACATAATTTAAACAACAAGAAAATGACACGCGTTTGTATCAGCGTTTAGGAACATCATAAACCGACGCGCTTATCACTAAGCACACATTGCATTATCAAAGTATCGATCACTGATAACAGTTGTAATTATTTAACATTCTCCTAATTGCTCACTTTTATCCATGATCTTCTCGTCGTTTTATTGCTAATTCCGAGTATTGTTCTGTCACTGGTATCAAATGGACTTTATGGAAATGCAATGTGACATGTTCGCAATGCTTTTGAGACATTAGCTTGTTCTCTACTGATCAACAGCGGCAGTTTTGAATCATTAAAATATTATTCACGAACATTCGAAGTTCTTGTTCGCTTTTAACTACGATGTGTCAGTTTTTTGGCTCTGACTGGTAGAATATTCACACGCATTCAAAAGAACATTTATGTTTTCACTGAAGTGGTCCATTTTGACAATTATCCCGGTTGAAATCCACAACTTCTTAGTTCCAAACGCACTCGAATTAATGACTTGCAATTGAAAATTTCCATGTACACTTTCCAACAAGCCGTACGTTACATAAGGATTAACTCTGTCAAGCCCATATATTGATCGTTGTTGAAATCAGCAAAACCTAACTGTTTGGGATTACTATTGAATCCTACGAAAATCATTAACGGTGATGAAAACGTTCCATTCATATTTTCAAAATTTACATAAACCTAATCGATACATCCGATGAAAATAATAATAACTACCACTTGATTTTTATTAAGATCAACTAACGATATATCTACTGGAACGTCACATAGATTTAATAACAGCGTATTTTGCGTTCCAAAAACAGTTACCGTCTCTCCGTAAGATATCTAGTTGCTTCGTGTAATCACAATAGAAAACTAGAGCCAGTATCTCATCATTATTGACACCTGTGACAGCGCCTGGAATTGACATTGGATGCGAGCATCGTGTATCGACTGTTATTCGTTGGAACTGTGGCTGACACAACGATCCTACGAATAGAAATCAAGAAGAACACTTTCAAGTTCTTCATTCACAAAAGCAGTATAGAACTCGATTTCCTCTATAAACTAACCTATTGGATTTCAAGATGCTTTCATTGTTGTGCTTATTGTCGTATTCAAATTTCCATCCGATGCTGAATTCATCATTATCGAACCTATGAATGAGATGTTAAACTTTTTAGAATTAGTATATCGCTACTTCTCTTCCAACAAAGAGCAATACGATTACACAGTCAACTGACTTTCAACAATCATCTACTACAATTCTCACATTTCTTTTCATACCTTGTCGAACATGAAAGATCTAGAAAATCTAAAATAATGTCATTCATAACTCGTTCGTATTGGACATTCATCATGTTTGACGCAGTCGAAAATTATTTGTTGCATAGTTGTTGTAGGAGTTACACCAGCTGATACTCGTACTAAATGTTTTCGTCTCTTTCGGTAGCGGTGGATCTTTAGGGTAATTCGAACAAGATTTGGACAAATATATGCCAACACGATTGTCAAGCCACCTTGGAGGCTCAGTATTATAGTATTTGTATACAGAATATTCAATCGTTCAATTGCGGTATATGAACAGACTGAGGGCGAACATTGTTCATAATGTAATGAATTATTTATTTGTGTCGACCATTCGTCGCGAAATAAACCATGTGGAAGTTCGTTGATTGTTGTGTTCTATTTAAATTGACTATAAGTTGTGGAGAGAGGAGTTGAAGAACCATTATGATTTGTATACTGTTGAATGAGATCAAGACATGAGCGATCGTAAAAACATTCGAGAGTATAGGAAAGAAGTGATTCATTCGGTGTACAACACAAGAAATCTTCTGCAACCATTGGGGGGTATATAAAAAGTTTGTTCCATATGTTGAAATCAAAGCATTGCCGTGGTTTATGCTTCAAGTCAGAAAGAGAACTCAAGCGAACAAGACAGGAGCATTCGATTTGGTTTTCTCGACCAGAAGATTCAGACGAGCACGGATATTGTCATTGGAGAGAAGTTCTGCAGCGGTCAACAATGATGTTAGAAATGAATCGATCGAATCGTTTACTAATCGGATCGAAAATTGGCATAATTCTTGGAGATATTGTAAATGAGCAGAAGGAAATCGGCGATAATCTCTTCGGTCGCACATGGATAAATTTGCGATCAGACCATTCGTTAGTCTAACTCGCCCTTAATTTGCAAAACAGTATTTTTTTGTAGGAATTTAGATCTAAAACAAATTATGAAACAAAATCCTGAACAAAAGAAAGGGAAAGAAAGTTTATCGAGTAAAGCTTCGAATTGATTTCCAGAAAGAATAGTCCAGTCCGATGTTCCTTTGTTATCTCTTTCAGCTAATGCAAATTGATCTGCATCTGGATCAGTCTCACTAATAAAATCTGTCTTGTTTTCATTAGCTGTTCGTATAGCACATTCAAGTGTTTCTTTTCCTTTTTCACGATTTGGATATTTCACTACTGGAAAATCAGGATCTGGATTTTGTTGTTCTTTAACAAAAATAGATGGTGTACAATGAAATACAGCAAATACTCTTTCAGTATAGGGTTGACCTTTTTATTGGATAGTCAAGACCAGCGAACACATCTTGATCACCATCACTATCAACATCAACGAAAACAAAAAATGTAGCTTGAATGTCACGTAACCGTGATTCATCACTGAAATCAGTAAATGTTCCATCCTTATTATTAATAAAGACTAAATGCTCGAGTGAAATGTTTTTCAGGATATTGAAATATAAACTATGCATGATGATATCATCACCATTGATGTCTACGAACGCTAATCTACTCTGATCAATTAATTGGATCCGGATTCGGCCGATTGATAATATATTTTCGAAAGATTGTGTCACTGCTATTCGATATATCAACAAGTGATGGTGTTCGGCTGAAATCGATCGGAATACAACTAGCTGAATCAATCCCATAGTTAACGGCAACTGCGATGATTACTAAGAATTATAACACCGTTTCAAATAGAATATTGTAAAATGAAATACTAGCGAGCGCTTTCATGTTCTATTCGAGTTTGCCCAAAGAAATTCTTTACCAAACAAACTGTGCATATATGTAAAACAACAAAACAAACAGAAAAGTGTAGTACAATTCCATAAGTACGTATTACAAAGGTATTCGGGAGTAAAGAACAATAAAAACACAATATTCATTAAAATAAGTAACGAGAATATTGAACACTCTTCTGAAAATCTTGAGAGATCAAATCGATGTGGAAGTTGCAGAAGCATTTGTACGTATTTCAACAGATCTTCTTCGACAATGAGATCAATCGGTTCATGAAGGTGTCACAAATGGCGATGAACAGCATCGACAGCAAGCGATTTTGAAAGCTATAGACACTCTCCGGAACCTCGAAAACGAAACTAAGCCAATCTTGACGAAAACCAATGATCACTATTAGAAATATCATTTCATCGTCAACATTCATATTCCCCTGCTTCAACTAGAATCTCTTTCATCATGTAACTCGCTTTAGTTTTCAATCAAATCTATGTCTTTCTTCATGTACGAACACAATTCTGTGGTTTGATATAACCACGCCTAGGATAAACGGATGCGACAGCCTACCTCTGTCTCATAGGTTGTACACAAAGCATGACTTTTTTTGTTTTAAAAATATTGTTAATCCAACTAGTTCGTGCGTCCTTGGTATTTGTTATTGTACTGAGAAGAGTTTGCGCGAACTTTTTGATATCTCTAACAAGAGGAAAAAGATGAAAACAACGAATATATTTGTTGATGTTAATTTGACATGATGATTAATAGGTTAATCTTGTTGTCAACGACGAGATTTAAACATAAACTATTGCAAAAAGTATCATTCTATCACATCGTAGAGTTTCACCAAAGAAATTGTTCGAATAGTTTCTTCATCTTTAACCTATATGCGGATATCTGACGTTTTCAGATGAAATTCATTCATTGTTTGTTGTTCAGCCTTTTTACTTCACTTTCATGGGCCAGTGATGATCAATCATCGAAAGAAGATCTAACTGAACTTTTATCACTGAATTGTCAAACACCATCAGTTACTCTTCATGTTTTTTCCACGAAGCTCAATCCAGTTTGGATGATAAACACAACACAAATAGTCAATATAAAAAATGTCACGAAAAAGATTCTCAAAGAATATGACCACCGTCAATTATCACCTGCCAATTCAACGACACGAATCATGGGATACCATGGTTTTACCATTAGTTGTTCTCCTGAGAAAGAAATATTCATACATGGTTTGACTTCTCTCGAGAATCATCTTTTAGAAACCGGCCGATCTCATCTTTCCCCGACCATTCTTCGGCATGTTAGAGAACATCTTGGACGATCGATTGCGGTAACGAAATACGCCGTATTGACGCGTATCAATTGTGATCGAGTACCGATCAAAGGTTCTGATAAAGTTCCCGTATACAACCCACTCACCGGAAATGGTGGATGCTTCGTAAAAAAGCAATCGAAAAATAATTGCTACGCCTACGGTAATTATTATCCATGATAATTACATGTAGATAACTGTCCGTTTCAGGTACAAATATTGTTACCAATACATTCCCTCAGCCAGGTGATACAAACGTATATCTGATTGAGCGAACGAAAAGTCAATGATGTGTTCTTTTTTTCATAGGTCGCTACAGCGGAAGTAGATTATCGTCCATTACATGTGAATCTGTACGCAGAGCTGCAGTTTTAGACGGTCTCGTTTACTATGGAACATTAATACCAAAAGGACATCCGAAAGCGGGTCATTTTGTTGCTTTGCTGATATGGCCAAATGCAGATTATCATTGGGTACGAAGGGTAAGATTTCTTTTTGTTTTAGCTAAAAGAAAGATTTTCAATTCGTTGTTTTCACTCCAGGATGCAAACGGATACTGGTCCCATAAACCCGGAGGTAGGTTAGTAGTAGGTTGAATAGAATGTAATGTGAAGTGAATTTAGCTGGAGCAATTACAAACAAAGACAACACTGGATCACTGATTACCAATCCAGCACTATCAAATCTGGCACCATGGAGAATATTCTGCGGGTACTATATCGCCCAACCATCAAAAATCAACATTAGATAATCTTTTCTCTGGTATTGATGAGCTTCGTCCAAACAATGAAGATTCTTCATATGATTCAATGCATGGAAAAAACATTGATATCGATCATATTAGTTTTATTTTATCTATTTGAATAATAAAATCTTAGTACGAGTTATAATGATATACATAATCTAGGATAGGTCAGAACGTGGCTAGTAAACACAATTTCGAGTAGTGCTAATACGAATACTACGCCATCTTTTCTTTTCCTCACCTGATTTGTTATTGCTCTTTCCTATTTTGGGTGCTTGTAACAACACACACGCGTGAATGAATACATTTATTCGCATAGAAGTGTATCGAAAAATTTATATGATGAAGAGTTATATTAAATGGCTGTTTTCGAATGACACTGAGACTTCCGATGAAGTGAAAAAGATCGACTTTCCAATAGAAGATCGGTGCATTGCGTCTTTACTTTGTCATATGATTGGCGATCAACTTGGTGCTGGAGTCGAAGGATATTCAGCCTCGAGAATTAAATACGACTATGGAATCGTACGTGACGATATCGAAGCACCACACATGGGCATACATGAAGTAGGCCCTCGTATTCACATGTATACTGACGATACAAATGCAATGCTCGCTCTAGCTTCTAGTCTAGTCTTGAATAACGGTTTGAAACCAAAACATGCTGCTAGGTCCTATGCTGAGTTTTGGTCCACGGGAATCAAACGTGGTTATCCGGAATCAGCCGAAGAAAGTATGAAAGTAATGTTGTTGCCTTTCTAGACCAATGTTTTTTATTTGAAATTTTGTCATCAAGTGTGTGCTGGAAGGTAAGATAGACTATCGGGAATGTGGTCGTATCACTTTTGGTGAAGGATCATTTGCAAATGGTGGTGCAATGCGCATTGTTCCAATTGCGCTCGCTTTTCGACATGCATCTAATGAACAATTGTACAAAGCTGTTCAAATGGCTATTATTTCCTCTCATGTTCATCCGAATGGTATAGATGGAGCATTCGTGTTGGCCAAGGCTATTATCTTAGCTCTCCGATGTCCATCAATCGATGCCTTCGTACCTGATCAATTTCTGAACGTTTTGCACAAAACAGCCAGAACAAAAGCTATGAAAGATCAAATGAAGAAATTATTAAATTTCTACAGTATGAAACACAAAGTCGATAGTGGTGGAGCTAAGCACGAGATGTACGTAGTTTTTTCATTGATGACCGGCTTCACCGTTGTCTTTTCTGCTCAATAGAACAGATATCGATGTAGTTAAAGCACTCGGTGATACGTTTCAAATCAAAGCTATTGAAGCAGTTCCCTGTGCTCTATGGATCATTTGTGATAGCTATCAGGAGCCTGAGGAGTGTCTCGTAAGAGGTGTTAACATGGGCGGCGATACTGATACTGTGGCCGCTATGATTGGAGATCTCGTCGGTGCTTTGCATGGTTCACACTGGATTCCTGCTCGATGGTCGAATCACATCGAGCCAAATTCCGAAGAAAATTTGAATCGAGGAAAAGAACTTGCCATTGATTTAGCGAAAAAATTAGCAGCTATGGATCTGACTGATGTATTAGAAGATGACGATTGAGCGTAAACAAAACTGAAAGAAATCATTGAACTTGTTATAATCTGGAATATTTCTCTGTTGTTTTCGATAGCAATCGTTTCGGTAGTAAACAAAAACGTTCAAAGGTCTGTGTGTGACTTGGCTAATTTTCATAAGCTTTTCGGATACAATCAGACTTTTATGTCGGACATCACATATATTATCTAGTGAAATCGATGAGTAAGTAGAATTCCGAGAAACAAATATTATCAAGGCATATAGAACTTTTTCTGAAATATACCATGATATGTATTAAAATGCCGCTGCTATGTCATCGTACACTCGTAAATCTGTGAGTTGTTCTCGTTTCCTTCTTTTGTCTTGGATAAATGTTATGAGATGAGAATCATGAAGAAATATAGAAGAGTCACTTTGGAAGTAACTCATCGCGTTTATAAGCACTGAGTGCACTATAAAAAATAGTTCATTAACCATTAATTCAAGTTTAGATGGTCATTTAGACAAGTACCGTTAATGGAAAAAGATGCAACAAACATGATATTCAAACGCGTATATACTTATAATTGCTTCCTGGACTTGAATCACTGTCATGTGCGTTGATCTCTATATTTACTTCGCCTATGAAGAAAAAAACTGCTCTATTACTAAATTAATGTATATATAGATCCAAAACTTCGTCGTCTTCCCGCTATTACTGATCATTTGTTACCCCTTTAACAGAGTTATGTATATATTCAAATAACTTCGATCTAGGATAGAGCCACAATGTTCTTTCAAATGGTATGTTGTTTTTTCAGCCTGACATCCGTGCGTGCTGCATAAGAAGAACATTTCGGCTTAGTTCACGATGAGTCGTTTCGAATTGATGCTTAGTTTTATCTTCTAAGACAAGAAACAAAAGATTATAGATCCAAACATTGAGATTCGTACTTGAAGAAGGAAATGGACGCTCACGTGGAAGTTTATTGTTAATAAACATCACCTGACACAAATACTAGTTGGTATTGTCTTTATGGAAAGTTATTGAATTTTAAAAGCGCTAATGGTAAATTTAATATCGGAAGAAAAAAATCTGTTAATGCTTGTCATGCTTTCCAGCCCGATGAATCTCAGCAAAAGATGAAGCTTATTATATACACGTTTCTCTACCTACAGATACATCGTGCCAATCCTATATCTATCTATTTTTATTTAACGACGATGAGAAAGAAAGACAGATGAAAAGAGAGAAAAGAAAATGTGTTCTGAGTAGATATGTTGCTAGCATAAACAATAAGAGATGGTAAATTATTTAATTATTATAAGTGAAAATTCATTGGAAGAGTCGCGTATTGCAGATTTGACTTTAGTCGACAGTAACCACTTTGAATTCTAAGCATCAGAAAGACTTAAATCATTTTTGTTTTCTCATTCATTTAGAATATAATCCGCTTACTCAATAAAAGTATGTCTCCTACAAATGATTCAGATGAAATAGAACCTCGTCTTGCCGAATTGAGTTGGAATGAAATTCTCTATGATGATGGTCTAGCTGCACGTGTCACTGGTTCGTCATTTCGATCGATAACCATCGGTGTTTGTTTAATCGGTATCATTGGTATGCTTTGATCAAGAAAAAAACAACCATTTCCCAAGCATTTTCTTCTGAGTTTTAGGAAATATTCTAGCTGTATGTACATTACTTCGTCGACGAATGCGTACACTTTCAACGTACATCTACTTAACTGCCTTGTGTCTGTCGAATATCGTTGCGCTAGTTTCAGTCATAATGTTCGAAGGTGAAATGTTTCTTGTACCGACTCGCCAGAATTGTTCTATTGTTCTGACAGCCAAAGCACTTGCCTCCAGTACATTTGCGCTATCAACATGGTAGGAAATTGACGTATTCTCCTTTGATTATTATTATTTTTCTTCTTCTTTTATTAAGGATTACCGTTGGCTTCACGGTGGATCGATACGTGATGATTTGCTTTCCGTTTACTGGAAAAAATCGCTGTACACGTCGTAATGCCATCTATGTCATTCTTATTTGTCTATTATTTGCTATCAGTTATTTCATACCGCAATTATTGGCTCAAAAGTGTCATCCACTCATTCAATATCTTCCAACGGATATGAACGCATCAGCGAACGTCTCTCTTCTCCAACATAATTATATCGAAACGCCCGTCTATTGGGTAACAGGCCTGAGTGATCATGGAAAATCCGCCGTATTTCGTGTTGTAGCGACCTTATTTGCCAACTGTTTACTTATTCGTATCGTTCCATTTCTTGTCATCTCGATTCTCAATTTTCATCTCGTAAAAACGCTCTCCGAAACAAAACGACGACACCGTGAAATGAATCCATTCGAACAAAATCGAAATGATGTAACTCATATGCTTGTCGTCGTCATCTCCACGTATCTTCTCTGCATAATACCGTCGATTCCATTCGCAGCCTTCTTCGCCTACGATCCACATCAATACATCGACATCTCAGTTCACTACATCATATTCCAACATCTCGATGAATTTACGAAATTCTTGATCATACTCAACTCTGCCTCGCAGTGCTATCTATACATTTTCTTCGGGAAACGTTTTCGTCGCGAACTATCGAGTTTTCTATGTTTGTGTTGTATTCGTCATTGTCATATGTCGATACCACAGTCGTATTTGAGTGATGAATGCGAACTGTTCAACGGTGACGTTTGGAGTGCAAACGAAACATACGAACTCGCTTTGGAGGGTGAATGGGTAGCGAATAGACAACATGATGGTTTAGCTGGAATTGAATTCAGCTTCCACTATGTGAGACGAACGAGTCGTTTACCATCGACAACTGGTATATCGCTGCTAGCAGATTCGGATGAGCGATATAAACGATTTAATAATAGTTTATTAAAATCTTTTAGAAAATCCTCGTGAATATTAATTCCGTTTTGTTCAGACGAACATCCGTCCGTGTTTTTAAGTTAGTAATTAATGTTTTCTTTAAATAGAACTTCATTTTGACACTATTTTTAATATTAGTTTGTATGTTTTTTCAACATGCGAACTTAGCTTTTCCAAATCGGTGCTTTCCTTCTTAAACGCACGACAAAATCTTTTTCAACATGTGAAGACGAGTTCTATTGTGAACGATATGTGATTTCTTTTGTTTGTTTTTTTTTTTAATGTATACGATAGAAGATCGAATCAATTCTCCGTGATCATAATTTACCGTGGCAAAAGACGGAAAGAAAGAACAACCAAATGCACACAGAAAAACGGCTTTTTTGTAAAACAAGTGACAATAATGTCTGTATATAGGATAAAAAAAAAACAGAAAACATGAACGTATTTATTTTTCTTGTACAGATAAAAAGACGAGAGAAGGAAGAGAAGAGAAGAATAAGATGGAGTTATTTGTCCTTTATTTGCTTTGTTTCTCTTTGCCTAAGACGAAAAACGAACAAGAAAATTTTTATTTCACGAAACGAAAAGAAAAGATAAAGAATGCATTGTAGAAAGATTTCTTTTTTGTGTTTGCCATATGCATGAATGGTATTTCTTTAATAATAGAAGAATATAAGTTAGAAAGGAATACAATATTCATGAGACGCGAAAACAAAGAGAGATTTTTTTCTTCTATCTTCAAGAATTAACAACGACAACCACTTTGATTATCATTTGTAGGTTCATGTGGCGAACTATGATTATTAAGTTTGACTTCAATTACTGAAACAAAGAAAAAGAAGATGAATGCAAAACAAAGGAAGTTAGTTGAGAGCCTACAATCTTCTGGTCGACGTTCGGGTGTTTCCATACCAGGCAAAGCGGCTGCTACGCGTCGGAATAACTGAAAAATCAACCGATAAAAGAGTTTTTCCTGACGAACAAAACAAAACAGAATGATTTACTTGTTTAACATTATATCCTGCTTTAGCACTTGTTTCAATAAACATAACATTCAATTCTTTGGCTTTTCTTTCACCATCTTCTGTTGAGACTTGTCTTTTATCAGCCAAATCTGTCTTATTACCTACTGCAAAACAAACACAAAGCATACCGTTAGTCGTACACGACGACGACGAAGAGAAAGAATTTACCAAGCATTATAATAACATCACTTCCACGTTCTGTCCGAACGTCATCAATCCATTTTGAAGTTTGTTGAAATGAGTTGGAATCTAAGCATCGAAATTCACATTGATGCTTTTCCCGATCGTTTCACTCTTACTTGTAATATCATAGACAACAACAGCAACAGTCGAATCACGTATATAACTTGGAATAAGACTTCTACAAAATGAAAACAAACAGTTTGTAATGAAATGAAACACGAAGAAATCGACGTACCGGAAACGTTCTTGTCCAGCAGTGTCCCTAAGAGTAGATCGATGATAACAATATAGAACTTCTCAAATTAGTTACCATAATTGTAGTCGGACAGTTCGATCTTCTAAATACATCGTTTTGGAAAGGAAATCAATACCAATCGTTGCCTAAATGAAGAGATTTAGTCAATAGCGATGAGTAACGATCGTTTTACTTGATATGTGTTATCGAAGCTGTCATACATAAAACGAGTGATTAATGAAGTCTTTCCAACTAAATACAAACCAAGATGAATGTTTTCGATTCGATAAGTTTCATCCTACCGCTTTGTTCACCAAGAAATACGAGTTTAAACTTTCGCAGCGGATTACCACCTTGTTCTGATGACATTCTTTATATGATCGAAGGATTTCAAAGACAAGAAAGATCTGCAAACGAAGAAGAATACATGCGAGATACAGTCATGACTACTACTGATTAGTTTCACGATTCAACTAAGACGTAAATCATGACAATTTGCAATTTGTTTTCGATGTGGTCCATCGCTTCACTCATACGAACATAATAATGATGTCTGATGGCAAGCTAACGGTTGATCTAATTCTCTCTCGTTTGACTTATTTGTTTTGTAGACAGTTTCAAAATGTAGGCGTACAAACGAAGTTCGTTTACTTCTGTGAGTCACTAGAACAATGATGCAGATTTGTTTGTCAACGTGTAGAAATGATTAATCGAAAAAAACGAGATGTTTGAAAAACTTTCTTGTTGTAAAAAGCAAATAAATAAATAAAACGTGTCGATTGTAACAACAGTAGGTCAATGTTGATCCAATCAGATTTCATTGACAAGACTTCTGCATAATCTCCATCCATTGGCTGTTTTTTTAGGGATAGATGCCGTCTCTAAACATCATCATGCGTCTGTGTTTCTTTAGAGAGACAGATGTGAACAAAATACATGATGATTATCGTTATCAGTACTGATTCAAACAACAATACGAGTATGATTGGTGAGTCACTAGCACAACATGTTTGACCCTCTCTCGGGAAATCTTTTTTATGATCATATTGGAAACAGAATGCAAACATAGTTACTCTCTTGAGTGGTTAGAGTTGTAAATGAAATGTATATGCCAGTGAAATTTACTGTTACTATATGCTGGAGAAAAACAAATACAATATGTATAGAAGTGATCTATTCGGCGTGAATGATCTTTTTCAGCGGATGCGCACTGATACTTCGTCGACGTATGGATGTGATGTTGATGTCGGGAAAACGAAAGTGACTTTCTTTGTCTTCGTTGGTTTCGTCGAGATCTGGAATGATGACGCTTTTGCGACTTCTTGGCGGCGATGTAATATGAGTTAAATCGATGTTACTTTTGTGTAAGCGAAATTCAATCGCGCCTGTAGCACTGCCTGTAGGCGAGACAAAGGACTTGCGTGTTTCATCATTGAGGATAATCTCGTTTGGATGTGGCGTGATTCGTGGTGTGATTGTCGTTTCGGTGCGGATCGTCGGAGATGGTGAGAAGAGTCGTGATAAACGCGATGAAGGTTCGTTTTTCGTCAACAATAAATCATCATGTCGAATATTTGTCAGATTAATCGGCGTTGAAAAGTTAGTATTGATTGTAAGGGGTTGCGATGTTAAAAGAGGTTTTTGTGCGATGTTATCGATTAACTAGATTTTAAAAAAATGTCAAGGCATAGAGAGATATTGAAGAAAAAAGATGCAACAAACTTCAGTATGGTTGTTGGTCTTTGGTTCTCGATAACTGAGAAATTGTCTTTCTAATTGCCTTAATGTTGATGAAGGGTTTCGCGGTGATTCGCGTAAACTTCTCGAACGCGAATTAACGGAAGTGCCGTTTTGATCGGGATGATGACGATTATGAACGTATTGTGCTTTCTCAGCTGCTGCACGATAAAATTCAAAGCTATTACAATCACCACGCTGTTTTCGTCGGTAACAATCTAGTTGAACGAGAAAGAGAAGAGTCGATCTGACGATGCAAACTTGTACTTATTTACTTCCACAATAGATATCATCACCTTCTTCGTTGAGCGAATATTCCGTGAGATGTCGTTTACATATTCGACAACGAAAACATCGATTATGGTAAACCTGAATTGAATCGAAAGGTATTAGCTTCTGTCTTCATCATCACTTACATGATTTGTTGTTAGTTTCTTCTCCACAGCGTAAACGAGTGATCCACAAGCAAAACATCGACTGTTTTGATTGCCGAATGTATCAAACAATGTCGCCATACTCGTTTCTAAATAGACAACAAATGATATACGAATGAAATGTTAAAATATGTTAATCTTTTCCTCAATGGAAAGAGAGAATGTTAAATAAAACGATCGACTTTCTCCAACATACATCATGGGACACGAACAGCATCATCTCTCCGATCATGTTTTATTGATTATGAAAAAAAAAGTAATGTCATTAATTCAAACACTTTGCCTCCCCTGTCAACTACCTGTCGATGATAATAATGATGACGATGTAAAACACTGGCTAATGATGTTTTGTCAAGTCAAAAATGCGAGTATCTATTGATGGAAGATGATACGGAATGTTTGAATATGTCATAATCGATATCTAGAAATATGTGCGTAGACAGGCATGTCTACATGTGATTTGACTCTCAAACTGACTTCTATCGTACGATTTGATCAGAGCCAGCAGGGGAATATACATGTGTTAATGATGAGTCGTGTGATAGAGAAGCAAAAATAATCGTTGTCGAGCGTAACACGACAACGTAGCATGTATATATACATATATGTATAAGTATATGTACATATAATTGTTAACATTGAATGAAAACGTCCTCTGACTGAATCATCAAACGTGGGTAACGATGATAATGATAACCTTCAAGTGAAAAAAAGTCACTAGATTTGATTTCTTCGTCTTTTTTCTTCTTCTCCTTCCTCATTTTCTGAACGATCAGTACGTCTATTTATTTATTAAACAACTAATCAATTTCAAATCATCCCTAAGTTGAATTTTGAGACGGATGAAATTTACATATTTCAATACAGATATAACCTTCATGAATTGCCCTTGATGCCGCGTCAAATATCATCGTTGCTCTCGAAAATTCGATATTACATAAATTAGGTTTTTTCTTTTCGTTTATAAGAAGAAAGAAAAAAACGTCACAAAAACCTTTTTTCTCGACTTTAACCTTGAAGTATACCATCTTTTGTTTTGCCTCGAGATAAGCGCCATGAAGCCAAGCCCAAAAAAAGAAAAACTTGATAAGAGAAATAACTTGTCATCATTATGAGTGAGCAACACTCAGCAAAAAAAAACTGGAAGATGCTCGACTCTTATCAGGTGTATATATTAGGACGAGTTTGTTGGTAGTTTTGCTTGTTGTCGACAACATATTCAACTAAAGCAAGATACAAATGTTTCTTCGTCTTTGCCTTGCCGTCTGCTTGGCTTTTGCCGCTGTCAATGGTCGAGTTGTAAAACCCAAACCATTCCTTACTGAAAGCCTCGTCAATGAAATCAATGCAGCACAAACAACATGGAAAGCTGGTTCATCGAAATTCATGTCATGGTCAGAAGCATCCATCAAACGATTGATGGGTGTTCGTCCAGAATATTTCGAACAAATCAAAGCAATCAAATCAATTGAACATGAAGTACCAAACGATTTACCAGATAACTTTGATGCTCGTACACAATGGCCAAACTGCCCCTCGCTCAAGGAAGTTCGCGATCAAGGAAGGCAAGTTTTCATTATAGATAGGATAGAATTTTCAATGAAGTTTTATCAACATTTTTAGCTGTGGAAGTTGCTGGGCTTTCGGTGCTGTCGAAGCTATGTCTGATCGTATCTGTATTGCTTCAAGTGGAGCTCAAAATGCTCACATTTCAGCTGAAGATCTTGTTTGTACGTGAACGTCACTTCTATGTTTGCATGTGTGAAGAAATTTCTTTTCTTTGTGTAGCATGCTGTTCATCATGCGGTTTCGGATGTGATGGTGGTTTCCCACAAGCTGCTTGGTCATACTACAAAAGCTCTGGCTTAGTCACCGGTGGCAACTATAATAGCAAACAAGGCTGTGAACCATACACAATCCCTGCCTGTGATCATCAGTATGCGTTTTATCTGGAGACAATTTTCTTTAAGATTATTACTTTTTCTCTTTTAGTGTTAACGGAAGTTTACCACCAGTAAGTGATCTCATCGAATTCGATTTACAATTTTATGTATTTGTATTCTAATTTAGTGCCAAGGTGAACAACCAACACCACGTTGTACCAAGAAATGTATCGATGGTTACCCAACGCCATTCGCCAAAGACAAACACTATGGAGAAAGTGTCTATGCAGTTCGTACAGAAAAACAAATTCAAACTGAACTCTTCAAAAATGGTCCAGTAGAAGCTGCTTTCACCGTCTATGCTGACTTCCTTACATACAAATCAGGTGTCTACAAACACACATCTGGCTCGGTTCTTGGTGGACATGGTTTGTATTCTTTACTCGCTAAATGATTCCCATCATGCAACTCCATTTGTTTTTAATTTGTAGCCGTCAAAATCCTCGGTTGGGGTGTTGAAGATAGCACACCATACTGGCTCGTTGCAAACTGTAAGTAGACTCGTTCGTTGTATAAACGAATCTCAATTATATATCTCTTCTTTTTTAAGCATGGAACGAAGATTGGGGAGATAAAGGTTTCTTTAAAATCCTTCGTGGCAAAGATGAATGTGGTATTGAAGATGGTATTGTTGCTGGCGCACCAAAACTTAATTAAATATTGAAAAACAATCGAACTAAACATTTTCTTCTATTTTCTTCTCCTTCTTATATCTTCTTATCGCTAAACACGTGAGACAACATCCTCCACTAGACAACTCTTTCGATTCAATACATTCACTGCTAAGTTTTCAAAGTTATTTTTTCTTGTACAAAAAACAAACATTCTAATGACAAATACATAATGGGAGAATCTACATCGAATCTTAATATGTTCATTGTGCTAAGAACTATTAAGCACATTGATAATCACTCCAGCAGCTGATCTTTTAGAGATTACATCTCTATCTCTGTAGAAATTGATAATCTGTACTTCCAACAAATCACCCAGATGTAAATTGTGTATGGCTGAAAAAAGTTTCATAATACCTTCATACACTAAACAGTAGCAGGATTGTTACTTTCAAAACAAGTCAACCACCTTCCGTTTCTACCTACAAACTAAATTTAGTCCCAAAGTAATCTTATTCATTCATAAGACTGTACCGCCTTACAAAACATTCTGTATTGGTGAGCGTCAACCATATACGATTGACGTTATCCCTCATTTACAATGCGAAAAGGTTACACCCTTTGAAATAAGTCAGCAAATCAGCATCCTCATGTCTCGCTTTCACGCCAATCAATGTACACAGTTTCCAACCTGCATATTCCTATCCTATTTACACAATACTGGCAAGAATTATCATGCACTTCCGTAGTTTAGCCAGATTAAATCTCACCGACAAGAGCTACCAGAATCATTATTGAGAGAACAATGCTTTATTGAAATACTCACATCTTACATCACGGATTTTCAACGATATCAAAAAGCCATACACACGAACCAATAAAATAAATCACTTTTATTTTCGTGCGAACTCACATATGCAAAAGCACTATATTTTCAATAATTACTTCTATCTGTCACCGAGCTCTTTCTACTGATCATAAATTAATTTCCACGTGTTCGTTCCTCTTTTTGAGATTATTTAAAACTGATTTTTGTCCATATCCGATTTAATTCCCACTGAGGCAGAGTGTGGTGAGTGTCTGATACGAAGAGAGATGTGACCGAGTGAGAGAAAGTGCAAAGAAGAGTGTCTCACTGTGTTGTGCGTTAATGCATCAGCCAAATGCCTGGCGCCTTCATCTCCGATTCCATTTCCACGAGAGGTCGAGTGTGGTGAGTGTCTGATACGAAGAGAGAAGTGGCCGAGTGAGAGAAAGTGCAAAGAGAAGTGTCTCACTGCGTTGTGCGTTAATGCATCAGCCAAATGTCTGGCGCCTTCATCTCCGATTTCATTCCACGAGAGGTCGAGTGTGGTGAGTGTCTGATACGAAGAGAGAAGTGGCCGAGTGAGAGAAACTGCAAAGAAAAGTGTCTCACTGTGTTGTGCCTTAATGCATCAGCCAAATGCCTGGCGCCTTCATCTCCGATTTTATTCCTCGAGAGGTCAAGTGTGGTGAGTGTCTGATACGAAGAGAGAAGTGGCCGAGTGAGAGAAACTGCAAAGAGAAGTGTCTCACTGTGTTGTGCGTTAATGCATCAGCCAAATGCCTGGCGCCTTCATCTCCGATTTGATTCCCTCTCAGGTAGAGTGTGGTGAGCGTCTGATACGAAGAGAGAAGTGGCCGAGTGAGAGAAACTGCAAAGAAAAGTGTCTCACTGTGTTGTGCGTTAATGCATCAGCCAAATGCCTGGCGCCTTCATCTCCGATTTGATTCATTTCGAGGTTGAGTGTGGTGAGTGACTGATACGAAGTGAAAAGTAACCGAGTGAGAGAAAGTGCAAAGAGAAGTGTCTCACTGCGTTGTGCCTTAATGCATCAGCCAAATGCCTGGCGCCTTCATGTCCGATTTTATTCGACGAGAGGTTGAGTGTGGTGAGCGTCTGATACGAAGAGAGAAGTGGCCGAGTGAGAGAAAGTGCAAAGAAAAGTGTCTCACTGTGTTGTGCGTTAATGCATCAGCCAAATGCCTGGCGCCTTCATCTCCGATTTTATTCACTTCGAGGTTGAGTGTGGTGAGTGTCTGATACGAAGAGAGAAGTGGCCGAGTGAGAGAAAGTGCAAAGAGAAGTGTCTCACTGTGTTGTGCGTTAACGCGTCGGCCAAATGCCTGGCGCCTTCATCTCCGATTTTATTCACTTCGGGGTTGAGTGTGGTGAGTGTCTGCATAATGAAAGGAATGTAATGCTTGCTTTAACGAAACTGTTTACTTTGTTTTGGTTTTCTTTTTCGTTTGCACCGTTTTGTTTGTGGGTTCCACTGAACAAAGATGTTGTCTGTAAAATTGAGAACTACAGGAAAGTGGGAAAACTATGTTTTATATGGGTAGAAGTTTGCTCTGCATTTGAGTATAGTGATGTTTTGGCTCTGAATGAGATCTTAGGGTGCTAGGAAATATGTGGTACGAAAGATGAACAAATAATCTTTGGACGCTTTATATATATGAAGGTGTTGCTTTGAGATGCTCTCGTTAGGAGTGATATTTAACTGTTAGATGCCACGAACTTTTGCGAAGATATTCGAGGGTCTGTATTGTAAATTCTTTTGCGTTAATTGGGAAGGTAGCTCTCAGGTTATAGTCAAATATTGTTTCTTATACGCGAAAAAGGAGTCCATCGTCCTTAATAGCTATGGCACGTGGTGAGAGGAAACCTAGTAATTCATGTACTTGTAGAAATGTTGCAATTTTTACGCGAACGAGACAGGAATATCTGTGATTAACACGTGAAGATATGCTATTTCACGCTACATAGGTTTACTAGAGAAATGAATTGAACAGTAAATATTTCGTACATTTGGTGAAGTTGGACATAAACAGTGTAGATGAGAATAGTTTCACGAAGAAATAATGAAAAAATGCATCATTTTCTTAAGAATGTGACATCGTTGATCAGCAGAATCGTTTTTCCAGTAACGTATCCAAAGTGTCAAATATTGGTTTTAAATATGATCATATGTCAGAGATGACTCGTCTCTCTAGGTGCAAAATCTCTATGAAACTTGTGTCAGATAAGCATGAGTATACGTTAAAGTAAACATGACTTTGTCCGCCTACTTTAGAGATTTCTATAAAATAGTATAAAATCAATTTGTAAATTTGACAGTTGGGAGGGAAACAATGTTTTGTGGTAACGTAGCATGAATGTGTGAATATTGGGAGTCAGTCAAATGAGAACACTTTCTGGGTAGTTGATGAGATCGTTCATGCTAGAATTTCTATGTTGCGGTATTAACTGATCGTTTTGAAAACATAGAGATGAGGACGAACTTCTTTAGGAGATTTGATATCTGGAAAGATCCCTATGAGAACTTACTTTAAATATTAACCATTTCATACCAGTGAAATCGAATTGATTATTAAACATAAGATAGTATACCACAATTTCCATATCTTGTGCGGTCAGATTTTTCGAACACAAATCTACACAAGATTTGCCTTTCTGTTTAGATATATTTTCTTCAAGATCCCTGTTTCGGTGTTCAGGTTTCGATAATTTAGGCGATGTGCTAACATTTGCACTTGCGATTGGCTCTACAAAAAATACAGTATTCATGATTCTACTTTTTTTTAAATAAACGAATATAGAATTTAAAATATACATTTATTCGACAGTTATGACGTCTTATCAGTTGATATCCATATTCTTCCTCTAATACCTTTTGTACTTGATGAAAGTATCTGATTAATGCTGCTTCTCCAATAGCAATCGAAAGTTTTCTAAATAGAGTTTTTCATTTACCTTGTAATACCGGACCGTGTACTGGAGGAACAATAAGTGGTACTGGGTGTAGCAGTGGGAACGGTGGTGGAGTTTCTCTAAGATGAATAATACACAGGTTACCTTGATTTAATTTGCTAATCACTTTGAACTGAGTAGCTGCCATAAGTAATAATTCATCTTCACATGGAAAAAACGAATGATTACGAATGTCCCTTGCTGATTCATATTCTATGTTGAAAATTGTTCTCTCGCCGGTCAGTCCCAAAAACTGTTCTGATTGGAGAACATCAAGAGTGATGGTAGTCGACGAGAAGGCCCACCAAACGATCAGTTTATCCTTATGGTATCTTTCCTTTATATTCAACTTCACACCTCGATATGCGATGCCCCGAAGTGGTGGAAGACGGTAAAGGGCATTGAGAAAAAGTCTCAAATAAAGATACCATGGCTTAAGGTTTTGATCTCGGTTTTCTGATGATCGTAATGTTTTATTAAGGGCAACATAGAGACATTTATCCTCTGGAACCCAACTCATTGTATAGAGCATGATTGAAGCTGATTCATCTGATGTCAAGTCATCGGTAGGATGTTCACATCTTTGTTTAGCGACGTAGGCATGACTTTGAACAGCTGGTAAAAGTGGAACCAATGGTTTAACTGCTTCTTCTAACGAAACCAATGGCATATTCTCATATCCACCAATAGGTGTGAGAAATGCTAATGGTTCGTTCACAACATCTGTTATGCGTAAACTGTGTTGAGCAATAGCTTCACTTCCTTGACTGGTAGCCATACTAAATAAAGAGTATGAAGTTTATCAGTTGGCAGCTTATCTTGAGCACAACTCTATTAAAGAAAAACCAACACAGAATAGTCGTTAACTTCGAAATAACGACTGCTAAAATACTTTTTTTTCCGGATATTTCAACAGGACGCTTACGGTATCTTTAGATAGCAAGATTTATCTTGAAGAATGTTTCTTCTTTGCAATATCTAAGCAGAATGTTGATATTGTCCGCTTATATACACAGGTAAATAATGCTTGGAAAAAGAAAACGTTCCCACTTGCGAACGTCCTCACGAGTTTACTGATAAGAAAAAGATAAATATCTAACCATTTTTGGATGTCTTTCTCGTTGTAAGATAAACGTAAAACTGAGATTTGAATAGAATTAACGCAATTATCGAACATGTCTGTTTATATTTTGATTTATACGAATTGTTTTGACCATATACACACATTTGGAAGATTTCTATGCATATCAATATCAAACACATTGAACACAAATTGAAGCAGTGAGAAGAAAAAGTGAGGCTCAGTTATGATGAGATTATAGATATGAGAGAGCGAACAAAAATAGAGTAGGAAAGACATGTAAAACATAGGATTATGGCTACAAAATTACGCTGAAGTCAATGGTATCGGTTCAATGATGGGCGATGAAACATGCTGATTGTTATTATTCATTGCTGTTGTCGTTGTCGTCGACACTGATAATGGTACTAAATATTTCCAATGATTGTAGGGTGATTCCATAGATGAACTAATACCACTCGATGAATTTGATGAACCAGTACTGGATGGTGGCGCCGATTGATCAACGATTAATCCTCTGTTGACTAATGATGCAATATTTCCTTTACATTTACGTTGCTGTTGACACGTACCATGATGGTAGTGTGTGGGTGAAAATGGCGCCTCACCCATTTGCGATGAAGATTCCATATTCGAGGACATTTTCAAAGGAAGTGTATCAGACGAATAGTTACCGAGATGATGATGATGATGTATCGGGCATGATGAATTTGACGATCGTTCGTAGATAGCTAAGCATAGAAATAACAAATATACAATGATGATCTAAATTGTATGTGTTTTTTTTTCTTACTTGAATGATTTCGCGAGCATGTATGTGATTGACAATCTTCATAATGACCGTGTGCGTTGAGAGGCGTTAATGTATGATAAAAATTTTCCTGTGTGTTATCATTATCCAAACGATTCATTGGATTTGAATTCAAGCGTAATGTTCCGTTTTCATTAATCGTCGAATTTGCTGGTATGCGATGATAATACAGTTTCGGTGATCTTGGATTAGTTGGATAAGCAAATGGTACTAATTTACCATCGACTGAAACAACGCCATGCTGTAAACAAGGAGTTGTTGCATAATCAGGATTGAGTGGTTTATGTAAACCATCGCAGTAGTAGGCCGAACCGTTTGCGGATTTAACATGCGCTATTATGAAGAAAAATGGAACACGTCAAGTTTGTCGAGAAAAAATATGAATAAACGTACCGATGAGTTTCTTGCGTTGTATTAATCGTAGGATGCACATAGCGATTAAAATAATGATGAGAATCAGTAGTACACCAGAAATGATACCAATTGTCAAATAAAGCATATCCGAACTCTTTTGTGTCGAAGGTGCCGACGAAGCGATTATATGGTGTCTAATGGAAGACGGATGTTGGATTTTAGTGATGTTGTCAAGAATTTCATCGAGATTTGTAAAAGAATTTATCTGATTATTGCGAGAACGATGCTCAGCAGGAACGAAGATTTTTATAGAATTACTCATTGAACTTGCACCACGACTGGAGTATGTGGACATACGTAATTCATACTCTTGATCAGCTTGAAGAGTTGAAATAGTAAAAGTATCAATTGGTGGAAAGCGCATGTTGGGTACTGAAATTGTCGTAAAATTTACTTTCGATCGTGTACGTCGGTAATAGATCACAAAACCGTCAATCATTTCACTGCCAGTGCTATGTAATAACTAAAAACAACAGCGAGATTACATTTCTGTCCATCCCAATCCAATTCAAACTGAATACTAACCTTCCATTTCAATCCGATTTGTCCATCATTCGTAATCCAAGCTTCTGCAATTTCGGGTACGATCGAATTGATTGGATTTTTCATTGTTTCCAATGCAATTCGTTTTGCTGCACTGATCACTAACTGTTTTCCATTCATATCAAATCCAACTAGACGAAACTTAAACGTTTGACTTGGCTGCAAATTCTGCACAACAGCATAGTTCGTTGAGCGGTTATAAATACCATCAGTGGCCATCCAGGATGTTTTTGGATGAATGAAACGATACTGTACTTGAATTGAACTGATATAATTCTCAATCGTTTCATTGATCTTCCAGGACAAACGAACAGCATGATTATCGATTTGTTTCATATCAATAATTTCCAATTTGGATACTACGAAAGAAAATCACAAAATTTTATTCAACATTTTATTCGTGTCAAGGAAACAAAGCAAGAAACTAACCAGGAATATTCAATCCTAAACCATTCACATAGACAAAACATTTGGCTGCACTTGTATCATAACCGATCTTTGAAGCGATACATTCATAGATTCCACTATCGGATCTTTGTGCTGAAACAATGCGAAGACCACCAGACGAAAGCATTTCAAAACGACGCATCTGATTTAAATTAATTATTTCGTTGTTATGTAACCATTGTACAGTCGAGCCAGGTTGCGTTAAACAATGAAGCTGAACTGTTTCACCTTCATATACAGTGATATTGTTTGGTCCAAAAATGATTAATGATTTCTTTGTGGGTGGAATATCCATCTCATTTTTACCTGAAACAAAATGAAGAAAAGATAGAGAAGGAGAAAGAAAAGTTTTGCTCGTACTTGAATCATCTGGAAGAACGACAGCCGTACTGGCATGAGCAATTCCATAGGCATTTCGACCAACGCATTGATAGATACCTTCTTTTGGTTGGTTCAATGACAGAACACCACCTACGAATACGATAACCGAACATGTTTCATTGGTTCTATCTTATCTTACGAATTACCTGTAACTGGCGAACCATTTATGGAGAACTCTTCTCCATTGTATAGCCAACTAATAAAAGGTTCAGGTCGACCACGAAAACCACATTTAATCGAAACGCTGTCACCGTCGTTGACTTGGATCAGTGAGTCAGGTCGTTGAATAACTTTCGGTGGTTCTACAACACAGGTTGAATAATTCATTTTTCACAATCGTCATCATCTTCATCTTACCTAGAACTTCCACTAATGCTGTATATGCGATATCAGACTGGCCGTTGGAACTCGATGCTCGACATATATACGTTCCACGATCTTCCAATCGTATGTTGTACAAATAAAGTGTACCAAACGTTACTTCGCTTCGCTTTTCCGGTAGAACATCTCCATATTTTTCCCATTCAACTACCGGTTTGGGCCAGCCAGCAATAACACATTCAATAGAGAAATTGTCTCCGACAAGTACCCTATTCACAAGTAAAGAATGAGATTATTTCAAACTTCACGAAAAAATATTCACTACCTTGAAGCTGGCGGTGGTTTTTGTACAGTAAAAAGTGACTGATATTCTTTCTCATTCCATGGTCTAGGAGATACTTGCAGAGTCGTCGTTTGACTATTATTTACAATTTGTCCAGTTAAGACATTCTTAGCTGCACATTGATATTTTCCTGCGTCCGATAGTTGTGCATCAATAATATGTAGATTTCCACTTGGTAAAATCTTGTAACGATCTAGAAGAAAAAGTTAGATTTTTCTGCATCTATCCGACGAGATGGTCAATCACTCATACTTGAATTCGGTTCTATTACAATCGGATTATTATCGAGCGAGAATAATGGTATTGGCTTTGGATTTCCATTCGGCAATTCACATGATATGACCGCGGTATTTCCTTCGGTTAAGTTTAAAATTTTATTATCATTTTTGCTTGGTGGAAATGAGTCCAATACTAAAATAAAACGAAATGATAATTAGTTTTTTGCCATCGGCAAATAAGACATTCTTCAATGAACTAATGAATTATTTATTCAACATGCCATCGTTTAGAAAAATTCAATTGACTCGACATTCTCAATTAACCAGTTCATCTTTGACAAAATATTCTTGAACAAATGAAATAAGTAGGCGCCACGCATCTTTTTCTTTAATCACCCGCTGTGAATGACGCCCCAAATGTTTGTAAGTAAAATAAAGGCATCGGTCAGTGGCCCAATATGTGTAGCCGTTCATTTCCGAGCCCAATTCGCTTTGGGTGTTAAGTGAATTAGAAAGAAAATAATATCCGGATTATATGTGCATGACCGACGGTTTAAACAATATTTACTCATTACTCATTTCTGCTAGAAATGGCATTTATCATCATGATCATCATGATGTCGTAACACAATCATCTGCTGATGTGTGTGTGTGTGTATTAATGATAAATTTATATTAAAATATAAATCGTGGTCTTCACTGATAATCAAGAAGACTGATGGTCTGTCTCCTTCTCCGTCGCTTTCTTCTTCTACCCGAATGATCGAAATTAATGATCATTCAGCTCTCCGACTGGTCACTTATCTTTCCTTCACGTCGTTCCATCATTTTGATCAAGATAGCTTGCAGCAGCTCATCATGACCTTTGTCTTCTAACTCTATCAAGACAAAACAATGACGACAGACTTTTCACTCACGGGAATTCCTTTCTGGTCATGTCGAGTGACATTTTACTAGTTTGTTGATACATTTTCATGATCATCCTAGCAAATATCTCGATGTTACGCATCTATTATTGTTCACAGACACATGATGAGCTATTGTGTGTGTGATACAAGTCAAAAATGAACTGCTGTTACGTAAGCGATTAAGCTCACTATGTCCTAATTGCAAGCGAGCGAGTGAGAGAAAAAAGACATGTGTCTATATTCTCAACATCATACTGTTTACATACAGATTGCTGCGTCATTCACTCTCACTTGGAAAACATGAGAGTCTATTTGAACAACTGTTTGTGATTTTGATGATGATAAAGGCGAGAAGAAGACGTCTCAAATCGGATCTTTGACTAGACAATTTCATGGTTCATAGCATCGGAATATATCTGTACATTTCGAGATTAATCATTGCGAGACCTTTCTCTTTTATTCCATCGTGTGCAGACAATCAAGCTGCAATGCAACACACAATTGTTGAAGGCAATGGAATCAAATTAACTAGAGTAACCACTAGGACGCGACTATCGTTTTGACCGGAGGGATGATAGACTATTTTAATGAGTCATGAAAGGTGCTAGTGCTCTTATCGTTGGTCATTATTTTATGTACATAGACCAAATAAAATAATAATCAAAAGAAAGAATATGTCTCACACCCTTCTCTTAATGAACCATTGAAAATTGTATTAAAAATCCATAAGAAGAAATCAATTCGATGCTCTTTCAGACGAGTCAACTACACTGACTTACTTGGTAAGCTCAACATTGCTGGTTCACTCTCCAACAGACCATAACGAGTCGAAACAACGCATGAATAAGCTCCCGGCTGTGTGTAAGCAGTATCACCAAATTGAAATAGACGTAATTCATTCCCATGCATTTCAATAATCGATGGATTCAATTCTATCCGTTGACCAATATACGTCCAGTAGGCAACAGATATGAATGGTGTATCAGTACTTTCACATATCAGACGTGCTTCGGATGATGAAGGTAAGACAGCCGAGTTTGGACGCACACGAACTTGTGGTAAACAATCTAAAAAAGAAAGAATCAATATTTCTCGAAGAAGCACGTTTTAATCGTTGTTTTACTTACAAATGGTATTCAAATAGATTACGACGAGAAAATAGACGAAGTTCATTTTACTTACTATCGTATAAATAAATCAAGAAAAAAAGCACATAGTCATCTAAAACGAAACAGATCTTGAGCAATGACGATTTGTTAATATGAGTGAATGTCGACATCATCGATGTTCATAGAAAATAATAATATGAACATTAGTAAACTAATGCATAAGTTTAATGNTGTCGAGTGAGAACATGCCTGAAGCAATTTGAAACTCTCATACCTATGTGATTTTGAACAAATAACAAATTGCTCATGCGACTCTATGATCTTCTTGCCGATATCGAATGTGTCAGTGATTATATTCCCGCAAGGCTATTTGATGACAATAACCTTTCGCATGAGTAAATTTCGTTTATATCATCAGATATTCTCTTTGAACAATGAACATGATAGAGCGACGCAGAGAGAGAGAGAGAAAGAAAGAGAAAACACCAAATTCAAGGTGAGATATATCACTGATATCGCTTGTTTTCTTTGCATAATGAATCTCCATACATATATCTAAGGTAAACATAAGCTGAACGCTCTTTCTCTTTAATATTGACATTTGAAAAACAATACAAAAGCACCAAATTGAAATATTTGTTTTCATTCCATCTAAAGGAGAAAATATGCACGAATCGATCGAAGAACAATACTCATCTCTATGTTAACATCACGAGTGTTCATTGAACATGAGCTGATGTGTTTCTAATTATACTCTAGCATTATGTTTTGAAAACGAGTGCTAATCAATTTCGGATGAAATTTTATATCCTTTTGCTTTCGAAAGGAAAACGATGTTCATCGCATCGATTAGATAATTGCAGAGGTGAAGCAACCTAGTGTGACACAAAATGAATGAAAATTTAGCGTTTCATGCCGAGAGAAGTGTCAATTTTTTCAAAAAATTTAATATCTGCTGTGACGTGATGGTGTGAAGATATTCAATTGTCTCGCTTACCGTCTAATCAGGAAATTTCCTAACATTGCGGACAAATATTCGATGAAGTTTATTACTACTTAATAAAATAAGTTTATGTGTACATGAGTGAATAGTATAGACTAAATAAACACCGAAAGGAGTTCGATGTATTACAGTTAAATATTTACAAATAATCATATAATTCTAATAAAATGATACTGTTTGTTTGTTTGTTTCTTTTTGATCGAATTTCTTGAGGATAAATGTATTGGAGATGATCTCTTGGAGTAGTGATTGTATCCTGTAGCTTGACATCGATCGCTGGTGACATCTATTAAGCAATCCATGAATATTTAACAGATAATTTTTCTACAACTGGAACTCGGATGTATTTTAAAAGTGAAAAAGATTTGAACGAAATCAAATAGTAGCAGTGACGGAGTTCAAATTTTCATTGTGTTGAATTTGAGTAAAATTTCAGGCATGGTAATTGATGGAAACAGGTTATTTACTTTTATCGAAGTGTAAGTCGATTGTCTTACATCAATCGTTGCAAACTCATTGCAATTCGTTAGAGACAGTGATATTTGAATTCTATCAAAGAAGCTCCCTCTACGATTTTCTGCAATCATTTTAGATGTCGGCAAATGATTTATCACCTAAGATCGATGTTGACGTGAAACGTTCGACGACTGGGGTATGGCTTGTAAAAATGCCGAAATATCTTTCACAGATTCTCAATGATTACGGTGATTCATGCGTCAACGGCGAAATTGGACGTTTAATTAAACCTCCACAATCACAGCTTGCGAAAAGTTCAGGATCTGCTGAACGTGTCCAAGGTGTTTCTTTTTGTCTCAATGACCAAATTATGAAGAAGATTCAAGAGAGAAATCCATCGAAAGATTTTCAAATGCCACCACGAGAACATCGATTCTGTCTCAGCAGCACTGCGGATGACGTCGTCCGTACTGTATATACTCGAACAACGAATAATTCCAATTCACCAACAGGCGAACAAATAGCAATTGTTGGAAAAGTTATTCAACGTGCTGAAGTTCGTCCCGTCGAAAATGAACAATACATGTCTATGAAACGCAAACAGTTCGAGTCCTCCAAGGAACCAACCCGCAAAGCTTTGATGATCAACAAGAAATCGAACGCCCCTCTACCTAGACGTGATCATGAAGAAAATAAAGAACGTCTTCGTTTGAAGAAACTCAAAGGCAAACGTCTGCGAGGTTCGGAAGACGAAGTTACAACTAAATTGTTTGAAGCGTTCTCCAAGAATCAATATATATCCATGAGTGGACTCGAAGAAATCACGAATCAACCGAAAAATTTCTTACAGCAACTTGTTAAAATATACTGTAATTATAGCAGTTCGGTAAGACATATGTTTTTCTCAAACAGTCAAATATTTCTCTTGTTATTAAAGGGACATACATACGAACTGAAACCTCAATTCCGAGAGCGAAGCATAGCAAAAGATGACGATGACGATGACGACATGGACGATGATGATGACGACGACGACGATGATGACAACAGTAACAACAATAATAATGATAATAAATAGAAAAATATTCTTTCTCTTTTGCCAAATATTTCATTCATGTCAGCAGCTGTTTATATGAGACGATCTATCTCATTCTAGATTGAATATTTCTATCTATATCAATCGCAAGAATGTCACCTGTAACAGGTAGTGCGACAACAACTAAAAAAACTACCACGACAAAGACAACAACGTCGAAAACGTCTTCATCAAGTGGAGCTTTGAAAAAGGGCAAAAAGAAGATCGCCGCTGCACCACTCAAAGCTAAAGCTGAAACAAAGAAACTTGTCAATCCACTTTATGAAAAACGTACCAAGAATTTTGGCATTGGACAAGGTAAAAGAGTTCGAATACATTGATGATATTCGATTTCATTTCGTTTTATCTCAGACATTCAACCAAAACGTGATTTAACTCGTTTTGTTAAATGGCCACAATACGTTCGCGTTCAACGTCAACGCAGCGTTTTACTCAAACGTTTGAAAGTTCCACCACCAATCAACCAATTTACTCAAACACTTGACAAACAAACATCAACCCAATTGTTCAAATTACTCGAAAAATACCGACCAGAAAGTCGAGCAGAAAAGAAACTTCGTTTGAAACAACGTGCTGAAGAACAAGCGAAAAGTGGTAAACCCGATCGACCAACCAAACGACCAAATGGTATTCGTAGTGGAATGAACACCGTTACTGCATTAGTCGAAAAGAAGAAGGCACAATTAGTACGTAGAAAATTCATCTATTTCGAAAACATTCTCGTTCGATTTCTTAGGTTCTCATTGCCCATGATGTCGAACCAATTGAACTTGTCCTTCATTTACCAACCTTATGCCGTAAGATGGGTATTCCATATTGTATTGTCAAGGGCAAAGCACGTCTTGGCCGTCTTGTTCACTTGAAAACCTGTTCAACCATCGCTTTGACCGATGTCAACTCTGAAGATAAATCTGGCTTAGGTAAGATTGTTGAAGCTGTGAAAACCAACTTCAATGATCGTTATGATGAATTACGTCGTCATTGGGGTGGTGGTGTTTTGGGAAACAAATCTCAAGCACGTATCAACCGACTCGAACGTATCAAAGCTCGCGAAGCCGCTCATCAACGCAATGCTTAAATGAAATTCTTCGAAAAACCAACACGAGAAGAATCGTACACAAGAATATTTTTTGTCGTTATTTTTCTTCGTGTATTGTTTTGATCAGTTAACATCAGAATAAATGAGAAAAAGAAAACGGCAAATAGCAAAACAAAGAAAAAAAGAAATTCTTGTTAATTTATTTAGATAAAAACGAAATCATGTCGTCAGATGAAGAAGAACGCAAATTGAAAAAGTTGATTTTCAAAAATCCAGTGGAAGTGCAAAAAGCCCGATTGGACCGGTTGATGAACAATCCCGAGAAAGCTGTGTTTATACCGGAGAAAAGAGATGCCAAATTGCCACGAGCGTTTCAGCCGCATGAATACGTGCGGAATGTGATGGGTAAGAAAGCAATTATTCGAAGTGTATTTGTTGGATGTAGGAATATTTAGGTGCAAGTGCCGGTGCTGGATCAGGAGAGTTCGATATTTATCGTGGTTGCCGACGTCGACAAATGATTCGAGAAGCATTCCTTCATCGTGAAGCAAAAGAGGTTTGTTTAGAGAAGACTTGAACGATCGAACATATGATTATGTTTGCTTTTCAGAAAGAAGCGAATGAGCAATGGCTAAATAAAGTGGAAACTAGCAAGAACAAAGCTGAAAATCAAACAGCCAAAAAACGAAGAAAACGGTTCGTGGAAACGATATTCTTCTAGATTGTATTTCTCGTCTGTTTGTTTGTTTGTTTCTAGTATGAAACGAAAGCAGAATATGAAGAATAAGAAAAACACGAATGGACAGAAATCCAATAAATCTGATGAAACGGATTCTTCTTCATCGTCAGGTTCAGCAAGTGAGGACGAAGGCGAAAAGCCGTCAAACGTCGAAGCAGTTGTATTAGAAACTCCAGCCGTGCAAAAAGAAGATAATCAGTCCAACAAGGAACCCTCATCACCAGTAAAGCAGAAACAACAACAACAACAGCAGCATCATGAAAAAACAGACGTTCGTAAACATCTACGACATCGACAAGATAGTTCAAGTGACGAGGAGCAAAAATAGATCTATCATTGTTTTTTGTGTATTATAAATGCAGTGTAATATACGTATCGAATAAAATCTGTTTTCTTTTCTCGCTCCAAAGCAGAACTTCATACATCCTTTCCAACTGTCACACATATGACCTGTTAAAGTTGAAGGGCCACGAACAAATCTGTCACATGTATTTGGGATTGGTATGCTAAATAAGATAACAAAAGCAGCCCATTTCACATTGTGTCAACTGTTGACAGCATTGAAATCGATTAGCCGCAAAAATAATATTCTTCGTTGACCTATGAAATCAAGCGCATGAAGAAAACATCGATTAACAAAAGCGCGAACAGCTGCTGATTTGGTCTTATCCAAATGCTTTTCCTTTTTGGTCGACTCAAAACTGCGGAAGAACTTATCGATTCTACATCAATCAAGACGTATTTTTTTTGCGAGGAGTGTTTTTCTTGTTTTGCTTCCAACCTATTGCCAATCATCAGTGTCGAGAATAATATCTGATGCTCGAACTAATAGCAAACTTTCATCTTACCATTGGCAAAAAAATCTATAGCGGGATTATCGTGACCCTGCTCTATGTGCAGCATCGGACTTTCCCATCCAAAAATGTTCCTACAACACAACGATTTCTCTCGCTCTCTGGGCAATAAACACACCCCTCGTAAATAGATATATAAATACACAGACAATCCTTCTACACTATCTTCAGTTACCAATCGAGAATATCGGAGTGATATTCCTCTGATTTTTGTGCCTTGTGTACGATGTCGAGTCTTTAATGTATTTTGATTTAGATCGTCCAGCTTAGCAATAACTGAATCAAAATAGACTATGGCCAACACACGTGAACATACATTTATCATGGTTAAACACGATGGTGTTCAACGAGGACTTATCGGCGAAATCATTCGTCGATTTGAAAATCGTGGCTTCAAACTCGTCGCCATCAAATCTATTCAAGTAAGTTTTTCTCAGAAATCCAACGTGAAACGTACAAGAAACGTTTGCTTATTTCTCTAGGCTACTCGTGCTCAACTTGAAGTTCACTATGAAGACCACAAAGGTAAAATCATATCGATGAATATTTTCTGTTCATTTTATTGCAAATCTTTGTAGGCAAAAACTATTTCGAGTCACTTTTGGGCTATGGTTCATCAGGTCCAGCTATTGCTATGGTTCGTGATTGTGTTGACTTTTCGATGATGTACTAATGGATATCATTTCAGGTCTGGGAAGGCCACGGTGTCATCACTGCCGGTCGTTCTATTCTCGGAGCCACCGATCCAATCAAAGCTCAGCCAGGTACAATCCGTGGTGACTATGCTACCGCCATCGGCCGGTAAGATCTGACTTTTTCGCTCTTGAAAATATCGATTATCATTTTTCTGTGTACAGCAATGTTGTCCACGGCAGTGATTCAGAAAAAGCTGCTAAACGTGAAATTGATGTTTGGTTCAAACCTGAAGAGATTCTTACATGGCACCGAGCTGGCGCTCAACATTTACATGACAAATACAATGAATAAACGACAACATCAGCGGCATGGAATATCAAGAAAACATTTGCCCTTTTCTTTTTTTTTTCTCTTTTCTTTTACTAGTCATATAATTTGTAGTGTAGATGAGGGAATATTATCACATTTGATAGAATCAATTAACAGTAGATACTTGCAGAATTACTTTAATAATTGAAAAAATAAATTATCTTCATATACATATTGAAAACATAGAACAAACACTACTGAAAATCGCTTTTATTTGTTTATTCAACCGATCGACAGGAAACTATTTGAATCCAATGAGCAAATATCTTTCACGCCGTCGATTATTAGCTTCATTGGGACATTTATTAAGCATTTTAACTGGTTTTCCTCTTTACTTTTTTTTATGACATAAATTAGTCTGTCATCGATTTGACAATGGATCCATACATATCTCGCGCTTAAGTGTTTCTGAATATATGTCCGATCTCCAAAGTCAGCTTACATAAAATATTGACAGAAGAATAATCTGAGTAGTTAGACACAAGTATGGTCTGGATTAAATGACAAGTAATTGTATCAATGAAATGGATAGTTCTGATCATAGATATTTGGAGATAGATGATACTGAGAATTATATTAAAGATCATTTGACGGCTTCTTTGAAGGCGTCACTCATGATAGAAATGTTTAATGTTAGCGTAAAATTAAAGACAATTTTAAGTATGGGAATAATTCATACACAAATATATATTTCGTTATAGTTTCTCTTTTTTTGTGTATGCATATACGGAGTCGAATGTTGACAGATGTTTACCGATCAGAAACAATTCAGGCTTTGTTATTTTTCTCGTCTTCTTCTTGCTTAACATATGGCCTATTTCTCCTACTCCTTCCGTATATATACAAGGGAAACCTCCCAACTATCCAAACCGCTTTCTGAATGAAATTATCGACGTTTGAGGTTAGGTAATATGCTGATTTCGAATATTGATATGAGAAGAATCTTTAAATTTTCTGTCTACAAGCTGATTGAATCTCAGTTTTTAGTATGTGTTATATCATAGGCTAGAAAATCAACCAAATGCCTTTAACCCTGAACAGAGATGCTAGGGGCTCTTCTCACACATAGTGTTAATGATGACGCACACCGAAAAGAAAGAAAAGGTGCTTCTCGTATTCAATTGATTTGGAAATAAAAGAAGAATTCTTGTTGTGTTTTTTTTAAAACAAATATCATCACAATAGTTGATAATCTCACATCCAGTAGTTTTCATTCAGAAAGTATTTGGACAGCTGAAAAGGTTTTCTCGTAAGTGTTTTATTCGTTCATGATCACTAAACCTGTTTTCCACCTGAGATTGAGTTATTAGACTCTCTTCTTTCCTAAGGATAAAGGATCCTATGGAAATTACTCATGAGATATTGAGATGCATTCGTTTTTACTAACAAACTGTTCTTTTGAAAAATTGAAGAGCCATCAAAACGCATTTCCCCGTCTTGTTGCTAATGGAAGTAGATACTTTTTCTGGAAACTATTTTCAATTACATAATACATTAAAAACCAATTCTTACGATTGTCCAACTGTCAAAATGAATTTACTTTTTTTTTTGAATTAGCATCTTGAAGTTTGTATATTCTGCTGAAAACTCCATGTGCGTTAGTAGATAAGATGCGAGAAACTTATTTGCCAGAGATTATCGCTGAGTATTCATGATATTGTTCAGTATATCAGTTAAGCTTATAAAACAGTTGAAACAATTAGAATGTCGAACAAGGCTCATCTGTCGTTTGCCGTTGTGCTATTCTATGTAGTTCAGTAAACAGTTTTCGAAAGTGATTATAGTCTTATTTCAGTATAGGTATGTCGAGTTTGCTTGGATGCCACGACTGCAACGTAAAATTTATAAATGACTAACAATTTTTCTCTCGGCAGCGATGGAAATGAGGAAAATGAATTATTTCTTGGAAAACTATCTATATAGAAAATTCTCGTCTCGTTGTTTGTTTGCAAGCGAATCTCTTTATTCTATTCAACTGAAGTTTTTTTGTTAAATATCACACAATAAATAAAGACATTGTTTGTTAGAATTTTTGTTTCAACAATCATGGAGAAACTCAAAAAAGAAAATCTGATTTGATTCTATGCGATCTATTCAGTAGGGGTCGGACAGTTCAGTTTAGTTCCAAAGAACTGATGTCTGGTGACAGTTCTTCCTCAAGAACTGTTCCCATAACAGAACAATATTACTCACTACCCGGAAGTATGATTCTCATAACAGAACAATATTACTCACTACCCGGAAGTATGATTCCCATAACAGAACAGTATTACTCACTACCCGGAAGTATAATGCCCATAACAGTACAAATTTGTTCTGTTTTGGGAATTGTATTTCCGGATAGTGAGTAATATTGTTCTGTTATGGGAACAGTTCTTGAGGAAGAACTGTCACCAGACATCAGTTCTTTGGAACTAAACTGAACTGTCCGACCCCTACTATTCAGCGACATTTCGAACAGATCGAGTTAATGACGAGCCTATTATAAAACAGAATATTCCTATTGTTTTATTCAATACTATTCTTCATCTTATTCAATAGAAACTTAACAATGATGAACAATTTATTTAAAAAGAATCCAACTATTTTTCGTGCCATCATATTATTATGTATTGTATATGTATTCTTCGAATGCTATCGACTCCTATTTCAATCTGATATGATATTATCACCTCAGAGTAAAACTCAATTAAAAGACCCGACAATTACGTTTGATTTACAAATAAAAAATCGAAGTAGTCTATATCCAATCTCTTCATATTATCGTCATGCAACATCGGTTCGAAATTCATCGCATCCTTTTATCAGTGGTGATACAATCCGGGCGTTTGCTGACTATATATACGACGAGACACGGCAAGATGATCTCAAATCGGTCAAATATGGCGATATTATCTTTGTCAAAGGTGATCAATTATCTGTATTTTTTGATCAAACGTTCTCTTCTATTCCTCAACCATTTGTATTAATTTCGCATAACAGTGATGTTTCAGTACCATTAGAACATCAACGGTATTTATCCAATTCTAAGATATTAATGTGGTACGCGTCTAATCCAAGCCATAAAAACCTTGAAAAACTAGTTCCAATTCCCATTGGTTTAGCAAATACACGGTGGAAACAGGGAAATTTAGATATTATCACCTATGCTTTGAAAAATCATCGAAAATCTTGGTCACAACGAACAAGCCTATTATATGTCAACTTCTCTCCCAATAACAACCGGGCTCATCGTGATAAAGCATTTCATCAAGCGACTATGATTCCGCAAGCACAAATCATCAAAGATCGAATTTCATTTCAGACATATTTAGAACATATAGGCAATACGAAGTTCGTTTTATCTCCGCCAGGAAATGGACTTGATTGCCATCGGACATGGGAATCACTCTTGATGGGCGCTGTACCAATTGTTCTAACATCGGAATTAGATCCATTGTTCACTAAAACGAGATCTGTTATTATTAATAATTGGTCTGATGTAACCAATAAGTTTTTATTATCATTAAACTTTTCGTCGAACGATCATCTCTTACCGGACGTTCTCTACGCAGAGTACTGGCGTCAAAGATTCTTGATACACCGAACAAACTTGTCAAAAACTTGAAATTTCACTGTTATCCAATGATAAAGCACTAGAACTCGGAGAATACATGTGAACCAACGAGCTGAATGCATTCTTTTCTTCTCAAATGTGCAATTTTATGTATGTGATAAAAAAATGCATGCGCGGTGAGGTACAATAATCGCAATTAAATCAAGGTTTTTCTTGTTTTGCTTATGCGTAAGAATAGAACTTTTATTTTCCTCATTCTCAAACGCAAAGAAATGTGCTTATTGTTAGGTTTTTCACTGATCAATGTGTCTACACATACGCAAAAAAAAGAGGCCGAACAGATCAGAGGATATTTTCAATTCTTTGAATCACGTGATCGTTTCTAAATAAAGCTTTGTTTTTTTGGAGAAAAATATTCAACGAGGCGTAATTAGATACCGATTGTATAATCACCGGAGACTAAGGAATCCTGTAAAAACCGTACTTTTTCTCGAATTCCATTAAGTGAACAACACAATAATTAATATCTAATGAAAATGAATTTTGTACATGGTTTGCAGACTGCATCGATAGTCACAGAGATATTAGTTCCGTTTTTTGTGTCTTTGTGTAGTTTTCTTTTCGAACAATTCAATAGTTACAAACTTCTGAACTGGGACATCTCCAGGGACGGTAACAATAATGATGACGAGTTTTCCTTATTCTCAAACGGAACCATATTTTAATTTATCGAGTAATCACTCGACGTGCGTTTGACTTTGTCTAGAATAAATTATGAAGGCTTAGCGAAGAAAAAGAGAAAGAGAGAGAGAGAAAGAAAAGGAGACACAAAATCTACCCAAGAAAATATTTTCCGGTGCGTTCATTGAATAACAATCGATTTTCAATGCTCCATGCATGTTAACTCCCCAAAGAAGTAGAAAAACAATATTATGACATTGGCACGAATACTGAAAATATTCTCAAATCGATCACGTATCATACTCATTTATTCTATTTCTTGATCAATTTTCAATTTTCGAAATGCAAGTTGACACTTTGGATTGGTACAAATTAAATTCTCTGTCCAGTTTACATTTCATCATATTTCTAACTGGAATCTGCCTCATTGTTGGTAAGATTGACTTGCAATGGTGATTTTTTAGAGATGAAATTTGCAATTTCAATCTTAGATTCTGCCAAACCAGTCAATCCAAGTTCCAGTCGTCAAATGTGTATGAAAGTATGTTCGAGAAAATCTCATTTTCTTTCCTCGCAGAAAATAAATGTCCGTTCTTGAATAGTTTCATTTCCATTCAAGAAATGATCATTATGATATTGAAAGCAGAGCAATCTTTTCATAGTATTGACAAAACTATTCGATTTCATTGAAATCTTCTCGAGTGTACTTGAGTCCTTCTGACCTTATTTTTCTTGGAGAATATGATTGTTACTTGTATACACGACTTCTTAAAAAAGAAAAACAGAAGGTATTAGAACCGAGTAATCTGATTGTTAAACAATTAAGATGCATTGCTTCTTCAAGTGCATGATTGATATTGTGTACCATGCTGAAATAAAAGGAGAATTTCTTCTTTTTTTAGATTCAATCAATGCTCTCGCTCGGAAAACATCACACATACCAAATCTCATCTAATTTAACTTATGTACCACGAAACTATGCTCAAAATTTTCTTGCTTACTCACCTATCGATGATCTACTCATCTTTCTCGAACCGAAATATCAACTGCATGTATATAGTGCCCAAGCCGTTCATCTTATCGGACGTATTCCAACAGCAAATATTGTCTATGCATCATCATGTATATCTATAACGACCGGTGATCGTTATGACTTGTGTTTCATCTATGAATCCCGTATCAAACCAAATGTTATATCTATACGTGTATGTGAAGTACGCTTTAATACGACGAAACTGCAGTTTGAAGACAAGAAATGTATTGATTCAACAATACGCAGCGATCGAACAAACATTCGCATCAATGGATTTACAATAAAACGTGATCATTTCGGAACGAAACGATCTCTGCTATTTGTATCGACAAATTTCGGTCTGGTTTACACAATATTTGATTTGCGGACGGGAATCACTATTCGGAAGCCGATTGTTTTGAATGATACACTAACAGAGGGAAGTGTTGTTCTAACATCAGCTGGTGTTGTCTATTATGCTAATAAGGAAGAGCATACGATTCATGAAATACATGTTACAAGAGATTTTCGGATCCGGTACGGGAAAATTATCAAAAGTAACGCGATAAAATCTCCATTTGGTTTAATCACGGATGAATGCAACCATTTGTAAGTTTCGATCGATGATTTTTTTTTGTATAAAAACATGCTCTCATTAGATTTATTTCGACGAAAACAATGGTATTAGTGATGTATATGCAAACATATACAACTATTCGGAGTATATTTTCGAGACCATCGGAGTATCCTATTACAATCGAACGAATAAATTCATCGACGTATATCTATCCAACCGTGAAGAAATTACCAGGAAAAGCGCCAGCAAAGTGGTTATTTAATATATTTTCGTTTGCTGGTACGAGCTAGCAATCGATTGCATAGCAATATGTTGCTCGTTTTCATTCTAGATCCAACTGTACTGACGACGACAACTCCACGTTCCGGTAGGAAATGAACACATGCTTTGCTATGCTTTTGATATTGTCCTGCACGAACACCTGTTTTGTTTCTCACTAAACTTCACTTCTCATCACTAGCAACTCGTATGAACAGAACATTATTTTGGAAAATGATCAGAGCCAATCGAAGTACGAAACCAACTTATAATATGTCAATGTTCGTGACAACAGCGATAACGCATCTAACAGTGGAAACAACATATACAAGTCCTACTATTCAAGAGGAATCGATGCAAACTGATGATACTCTACCGTATTCGTCAACAGAACAATTATCAACTATTGCAGCTGATGAAATTCATAATGATACAGTGGATGAAAGTACATCATTCGACACTGCGCGTTCATCTGATGATGTTTATAGCAGTACACCTCCATTATTTGATCAAGATTATGTCTCGGAAAATGACGATACAACAACTGGATATTCGGAACCAGTCGTGGACGATCATAGTGTCAGCTTGAATCCTAAAGATAAAATAGATGTGGCCGTTGATAAGGATAGTCATTCGCAAAACAATTCAACACCTGCATTACAATCCACTCAAGATACTTATACGTCCACTGAATCCATTAGTATAATGTATGAAATTTCTTCTGATGAAACAACTCTGCCAGCTGATGGAACTTCGCAATTTGTGACATCGACTGCGATAGAAGTAACGTCATTAACAGATCAGTTCGAAACTACAGCAGCCACTAGTCAGTCTAGCGCACAAACTTTCACCTCTGACCTGATACTACAAAATGACACGGATATGACTTCTACATCACCAACCAAATCGTTACTGACAGAAACGGTATTTTCAGATTTTGTTACTATAATGACAGTCACAGATTCCTTAGCTTCATCAATAAAATCTACTCAACGCGAAGATACTGATTCAACTTCAACACTACCGTTATTTTCACAAAAAATCGACTCACTTCTAACGAAAACAATTCTTACCACTTTTAGTACACATCAGGACAGCTATCTAGATTCTCATAAAATTAGTCATGACAACTCTTTGTCACTGCCGATAGAGAATAGTAATACTGCTGCCTTGCATTCATCATCATTGTCTCGTATGTCTAGCACAACGTATACACCTTCACACCATGTTTCTGCACCAACATCATCGCACTCCTTACTTACACTCTCGAGCACCTATTTAAACTCATATTTATCATCCGAACAATTTTCAGAATTGGATACAACAGAATTAATTCTTTCGACTACACAAGTAACGTCAACAAGTACTCTTCATACCACTACACCAAGTGTAACGTCAATCATTACGGAGCACAGTTCAAGGACTACTTTTTCGGAAAGACTGTCTTCTACCGTGACGACATCTTCTCTTTTCGACACATCCATTGTCTCAACATTAGTGACAACTAGCAATTTAATAACATTATCAACTTCTAATCATATTCCTGAAACATCACTTGCCTCGACAACTGTAACAGAACCGCGAACTACTGACTATGAAACAACACTGACGAGTTTGATTACTACCACTGTCACTAGTCTCGATCCGACTACAATCATTCAGACCACAGAGGAACCATCTACTCCTCTACCGACCACAAGTATAGCAACAACTGATGAAACAACTTCTCTGACCACCGATTCGCCAACCTCCGACACAACATTCATATCATCGACATATCCAACAACGATCACGAGCACGTACACAGAAGGATACACTTCAAGTATGGCATCTACGGAAACTGTACTAGAGACATCAACGCTTTTCTCAACTTTACCTACTGATGAGCCTACTGAAACGAGTACAGAGATTACAACCGAACTTACTACCGGAGACTTTTTGCTATCTACTTCGTCAGCTACCGATGCATATATGGAAGACCACAACACATCTACCCAACTATATACCGATGAGGTTTCAACCACTAGCTCGGATAGTGACACAACAGAAACGGCAACTCCTGATTTGATTAGTGAGACTACAGAAATGTCAACCACCGAGTTGGTCAGTGACAGTACAGAAACTGAATCGAGTACTTTGCTGGATACAAACTTTTCTTCAGAGTCTGAGACTTCAATCACGACTTCTTACCTCACTAGTCAATCAGACATAACTTCGCCAAGTGTACAAACGACAAGAGAAGATGCGACAACGATGGAAACTTCTACAGATTCATTTACTACGACCACTGAGACAGAGTTGATTACATCTTCTCTTCCCACATGGTACTCCACACGAAAACCTGTTCCAGAACAACAAACAACCACATACAAATCAGCGGTACATTCAAATCTATCAAATACACTCCTATCCAACGAATTATTCGACACTCTTCTGACAAATTCATCGAGCGATCAAGTGATTAGTTTTGATCTATCAAATCTGCCGACATCATCTTGGAATCTTTCTTTACAAACAAACAAAAGTATTGTTCTCGATATCGCACTACCAGATGCATCGACTGCTAATGGCACTACCAACTTATCTATGACAAATATCGTAGCAGAACGTTTCACAACAAATATTGTCGGTAGTCCAGTTAGTTTACAAGTAGATCAAGTTCAAACTAAACAGTTCTCTTTAGCAATGAATTTAACAAGTAATTTAACAAATCAAATGTCATCCGATGTGGTTATTGGCCATGTTAAGAGCGAACAATTTCAATTGGATATTACCAAATCCGATAATATGAATATTCATGTTAAACAGGTCGATTCCGAAACCGCGGAACTATTTTTCGATAGTAAATTTTGTACGAATGACACAAACTTACAAATTAATTTGAATCTAACCAAGAATGGTATGAGGTCTATGAACGAATCGTTTCTCTCTTTCTCATGTTCATTTTAGGAACAATTCGGTACGGTAATCGTTCGCCAATTCGCATTGGACCTGTTTTTACACGTGTACACATGCTAAAACAATCGTGTGATCTTGAGCAACCATTTACAGTGTTCTTCGATATTTGTCAAGGTCAAAATCCATGTTTAAACGGCGGCACTTGTCAATCGCAAACACCTAATTACGATGATCCATCTTATATACCCAAAGAATCAGAGATCAGTTATACATGTCTCTGTCCAATGTATATCTTCGGCGAACAGTGTGAACAATCCCAATATCCGATGGGCTATTGTATTAACAATGGTACATTGACTTATATCGTCGATTCGAGTAATCGATCCATTGAAAGCTGTATCTGTGCATCAGGTTTTCACGGTGAACACTGTGAAGAAAACATCGATGATTGTGTCAATGTTCGCTGTTCGAACCATGGCATATGTCATGATGAAACCGATTCGTACACATGTTCATGTTTCGATGGTTATTATGGAAGTGAATGTGAGCAGAAGAACGTCGAAACTGTTCTCTTGCAAGTTGCTACGAAGTCTTTTGCGACTGTGGCCATCTTATTGATTGCTGGTATTGCTAGCCTGGTCGTTGCCAGTGATATACATACATATTTCACACGAAAAAAGCATGTTACTCGTCGTAAAATGTATCAATGCCCGCGTGCAGAATCGGAATTATATGAAAACTCGGTGCTTTTACTCGGCTTTGGTGATGCTCCTGTAGAATTGAATGAAATTCGAAGTTCTCGTGGTCGACGAAGGAAACGACGGCCACTACCACCTCCACCGTCGACATCGAAAGGCAAGAAGAAACGGCAGACTGGCCGGCAACGTACTCGCACAAAGAAGTACAAGAGCCCACCGCAGAAAATCTCTTCAAGAACTCGTACAGTTACCAATCCAGCTTATGAAACTATTCTATGAAAATTCTTTTTCTTTTTCTGTTTTTATTTCTCGTTGCTTGTTTGTAATAATATTTCACATATATTAGTTATTTTTTCAACGAAATGCACATTTTCAATAACAACAGGACATGTCTATTCGATGAAGAACCATTTTCTATCAACTGAAACGACAGTATGAAGACTAAACAACGAAATTTATTTATAAACAATAACTGATTTCTTGTGTAGTCACACAATTTTGACATTGAACATGACAACACCATTGAAAACGACAGTTACATTGTCTTTGGATTGTAATTATTTTCGATTGATAACCACGATTGCAGCATAGTAAATCACAACTATCGATCGCTCGTGAGTTTCGATTACAGACACGTCCTTTCGTGCCAAAGGAACCGAGAGATAAATTCGATTCACAATAATTGGGACTTGAAATAATAAAAATGAGCTTCTTTCCATAAAAGACTTGCTGTTCTCTATGGAATGGCACGTTCTTCGGTGTAAATCGTATTTTCGAGTCGAGACTACTGCGTTGGAATTGAACTTCAATGGAATTATCATAGAATTCTTTCAGTTGCTTCGCTATCTGTGTAAATGGTTGCAACGATTGCCAACATGATTTAAATTCACAAGAGCCCGATACTCCGTGACATTTACAACGACGCTCATTTGCTGAAAGAATTGTCTGAAAAAAAGATTTTTAAAGTATTGTCCTAAAACGGAATTATGTCGAAAATTTACTCGAATTCCCACTTGATTATTGTACCGATTGAGTAAACTTGTTGCAGTTTTCTTTCGATTCTCGCGAAGATTTACAAATTTTCTTGCCATTTCTGTTCCATAGAAAGTATTGTCCGAACATCCCATCCAGCGCATTGAATTATTTCGATCCTGATCGATCGTTGTCATATCACACCCGCACGAACGAAGCTGACCGGAACTACATGCTTTTGTTATAGCATAGGCAATACCAGCTGATGTTAATGCATGAATGTATGCTGATTCTTTTGTTTCTATTTATGAAAGAAATTGATTATTTCATTTCTTTGTTTCTCAACAATTTACCTGAATCGAGAATGTTTCCTATCAACTGATTATTTTCGAATAATTTGCAATTCCAATGGCGATTTTGGAATTGCAATTGACATTCCTCTAGTGCTAAACTAGTACCAATGGATACATAAGGCATCAGATGTAAATTTCGTTGACAAAATTGAATTTGTCGATGATGGAGACCATACTTGATTTGACATAGATCTTCTTCGGCGACTGAGACATTCGATACTTGAATGATTGATCTTAAAAGCGAATCAATAGATGATTTTTAATCGTTATACTTTTGAACAAGTGTACAGATACGAAAGTTGAACTACTCCGTGTATGTATCTCGAAGATAACTGATAAATTTATCTCATTTGTTTGAACTTTTAGTTATTCGATGTTCAAAAGACTGCGTTTAGAAAACGATACAAAGGCAAGACAAGAGAAAGTTGAGAAGAAAATAAACGAGATTCCAGTTTTTACTTACAGCCATTGTTGACTTGGATGGATGAAAATGCCGAACAAAAGTAATAAAACAGGTGACTTCTTCATAAATATGGTGGGACGGACGAGCTGAACGGATAGTGTTCGGGTATGTGAAAGAAGACGAAGGCGAAGAGAAATAAAAGTGATAAGAATATAGATGTTAATACAAATAAATATAAAAGGATATCGATTGGCTGCGAATGAGAAAAAATAATCAATTTTTTTCTCTTCTCTTCTCTTCTCTCTGAAAAATAATGAATTCACACTGAGAGAACTTTGTGCTCGATTTCGCATCTATACGACAATTGATTTGAACAGATATCTTCATATGTACAATAGAATCAATGACACATGTGTCTACTATTTGATAATTGCTCTAGCTTCTCTCACGTTGAGATGACAGGTTTCCTATACAGGAACTTGACTATTCGTCAGTCTAAGATTTCCACTTCTGACTCATTTGTTATGGGATATAAAAAAAAAAGAAAATGTGCTATAAGAATCATTACAACTTGATGAATTGATTTGAAAATGAGTGTAACAAATGTCGGTTGTAGAGTATGGCCCTCTATCGTTGAAAAAATTTCTTTCGTCTGTTTGAACAGTTTGTCCAATGAAAAAAAACTTCGTCAGGCAAAGCAAATAGTTAACGCTACTACTGGTTATCAAATCATTGCGGTGAAGAAACAAAAAAGAATAGAAGAAATTTCACCTTACCTGTGAAATTACTTTTTACTGTTCTGTTCGGTGTGTTTTGACCATATTTATATCGACCACTCACATGTTCTATTTTATTCGATGAGTCGTACTGCTTGAACAATTTGACAAAACTCTTCTGTGAGTTTTTTTTTCTCGAAATTCTACTAAAGAAAAAAAGTTAATACACAACATGCGTCATATCATAGAATGAACATTGATACAAGCGATTCATCCGACGATGAGGAAAATCCAGTCGGCGGCAAATCATCCAAATTGAAAATAGTCGATGTAATCATTTTATGAAGGATTACTTTATTTTTGTCTATGTTGACATGTTCTAGGTCGCGGAGAATGACGAACATTCTCCTGTTGAAGAGAAAAAAGAAGAGCCAGTGACAACTGTGGCTGAAAAAAAACGAAAGAAGAAAACAATTAAAACAAAACGAGTAAAATTCGATTAAGACGAGAGATATGAAAAGTGATTTGGCTTTGCATTTCAGAAACCTGGACAGCCAAGAGTAAGAAATCCTAATGCAAAACCACGAAAGAAACCGAATCTAACTGGTTTAAATGGAAATTATTGGAATGTAAATATTTCTTTAATAGATAAGTATTCGACATGAGGCATATTTTACTTCAGGTTGTTCAAATTGATCGAAAGGCGACTACTACAATGTTTAATCCAGATCAACTCGTGGACGATGACGATGATAATGGACATGATGACATAACGTCGTCATCCGAAGAAGAAGAAGACGAGGAGAAACTGAAGAAACTAATGACTTCAGTATCGTCGTCATCATCTGCTGGTTCAGATATTCGAACACTCTTGTATTCCAATCGAACATTTATCACAGTTCGAAGCCCAGTAGATTCCTTTTTTCTTTGTCAAGTTCTTCAAGATGTTTACAATGATACACGGAAAATTCGTATTCGTTGGTGCGCATCTGCAGACGGCAAAGGCGACGACGCTGAAATCGATGAAAATACACGTTTTAAATTCGAATACGAAGATACATTAGAGCCACAAACAATTCTCACAGGAATACCTGACATCATACGTCATGCAGATAAAACTATGTCGCTCAGAAAACAAGATATCTTCGAAACAAAACGTTTGTTAGAAAAATCAATCAAAGGTGAAAGTCCTTCAACGGATGAACCAATGGATCTAACAACTGAAAATTACGACAAAACATTCGAAAAGGCGCAATCAGATTCAAGCGATGATAATTCCGTAACGAAGAAAACACTGCCGAAACCGAAAAAACGGAAAATCTCACCAAATAGTCCTCGGAAACAGATAGTGAAGAAACGAGCTCGAAAAACTAGCGGCGAGTCAACTACTCGTACATAAATCTATTCATAGTTCTTTCTATGACTGTGATCTTTTCTTTTTCAGCTTCATTGAAGAGACAAAAAACATTGAATATCAACGAAATCGTAGATGACGAAGAACAAACACCAAAGGCGAAAAAATCACCGAAAAAAACAGGTTACTAATCTTGATAAAATTATTTTTTCTATTCTTTTTTTCTCAATACATTCTCTAGTGGCAAAACCAAAGGCCATACCGAAAGCACAGTTATTCAAAGTTCAAAGTAATCGTTTTCTCACGGAAAACTTGCAGATCACTCTTTACCGCAAAGAACCATTCTTCGAAGACAAGTGAGCATTCGATCGCTGATCATTATTTAATAAATTCCTTGCTTTTGTTTAGTTTGTCTGTACCTTTCATTTCGTCGATTGTTCAAAGTAAATTAGCGATCCGTGCTGTACTTATCAACGATCCAACTTTGTTGAAAAGTCTTATTAATGATGTTAATCGTGTTTGTTCAGTAAGACGAGAATGCTTTCATATGTAAAGCATTGACTGATTGGCTTTTTCTGTCTCGATTAGGTTCATGTAAAACGCAGTCTCAACAATGACCTAACAGCTGTTCACTATGCAATTCGGAATAATAATATCGAGATGCTGAAAATTCTTCTTGAAGATATCAAAACGCCCAAAGCAGATCGGTGTCCATTTCCAACCGTGTCAATGTTAACACAGAGTACAGGACGGTGAGAATTACTCGAATATTTATTTTGTTTTGCATCGCCGAATCTATTCCAGAGCAAATATTAATACATTCGGTTTTCGAACAGCTCAAGTGATGGCTGGCCGAGGTGCTAAGGAAGGCAATAATGCCTTGAATAAAGTAATCTATTCTTATTTTATCTAGATTCCATGATTGGAATGTCATTTTTGTTAAGGATACCACGAATCAATCGGGTAACCTTGGTCATGAGATAATTCGTTATGCAGTAAGAACTAACAGTTCACAAGAAGTGTATGCTCTTCTTATGGAAGCGTTTCCTCACTATGTAAAATCACTGTTTTTTTTTCCCAAGTGTTTCATCCTCTTTTCCCAAACTATTTCTTTGTCTCATATAGAAAAACCAAGTCTACGAAGACATAAGTCATATAGTTCAAGGTGGTCATCGAGAGTTAGCTGCTAGTATTATTGGTGAAATCAAAGACAATGCTTTCTATGGTTTCAATAATCTTCATCATCAAGTTCGTGTGATCATTTTGTAAAAGAAGCATCTTCATGTCCATCAATTTTTAGGTTTTGCTTTTCAATGGAGAGGAGTTAACAGTTACTCGCGCTGCAAGTGTATTGAAAAAGACGAAAGAAAATTTTCAAGTAAGACATCTCTATTTATCGTTTGTATTTTCAATTCAGCATCATTCTAGATCACACCGATCCACTGTGCAGCGATCAACCCAATATCAAAATATTTGAAGCAATTATTGAACATTATGCCTGAATACAATGTTCTTGATAAATACGAACGACGACCGATTCATTTCGCAGCTGCATGCGAAGGACCAGATCCTCTTGAATATCTTCTATCAAAGTAAGCTATTCAATGAAAAAGATATCGAAATGAAAACGATCATCGATTTTATGTTAAATAGGCAGGTCAGTTTTAACGATGCCGATCGTGGTGGAAACTCTCCATTACATATTGCTGCTACGTATGGTCGAGCAATCAATGCTGAAATTCTTTTACGTACAGCGAAAGACAAAGCTGAATCGAATGATGCTGAAGATCAAGTTGTCCACCAGAAATTCGGTCTTGCATCGATCAATCGTTTGAACAAAGCACGATACTATCCACTTCATTTGGCAGTTCTGAATAATCATTTGGTACGAATTCGATTTTTGTCACTACGAGCGAAATCAAGTGAAACCTTTTCGTCTAGGAATGTGTCAAAGTGTTACTTCAGTTTGGTGCTAATGTCGATGCACCAACAAGTACGACGTCAGGCAAACTAACACCATTGATGTTAGCTTGCCAAAAAGGCTATATGAATATTGCTGCACATCTGATAGAAAATGGTGCGAAAGTTGAAGCACGTGATCGTTTTAAACGTACACCATTGATCCATGCTTCTATGTGTGGCAATGCTCATATCCTTTCACATTTACTTCGTATGGGTGCAAACGCCAAGGCATTTGATTCATCAGCGAACAGTGCATTACACTATGCTGTCGCATATGGATGGTATTTTTGTGTACGTCTATTGATTGAAGCTGGTGCCAATGTGAATTGTGTTAATTCATGGCAAACAACTTGTTTAGCAGCCGGATTTCTAAAAGGACATTACGGTCTTTGTGATTATCTTTTAACCGAGCATCATGTGGATATCAATTTCAAAACTGAGGACGGCTTAACCCTAGTCATGTTAACAGTCGGCTTGGAAGTATCAGCATCATCAGTACAACAATTAGAATATGTCGTAGGTAAACATAAAGCCGATTGTACATGTGTCGATTCTAATGGAAACAACGCCGTGAGTTTCAACACGAGGAATTCGATATTATCATCTGTATTTGCTTCATTTAGTTTCATTATTTTGCCAGCAACACACTGGGACACAATTCATTTTTCACCGTGAGCTGATTCTTTTCTTTGTATAACAGTCGAACTTTTGTTCTGATAGGGCCTACAGACGAAAACAACAGTACGTGAGAATGTATTTCAAATGGCTCAACTTCTTTATGATCACAAATGCGATGTTAACAAGATGAATAATAAAGCTCAAACCCCGCTGATGGTTGCTCTCGAAGGAGGCAACTTTCTTCTTGTGGAGTATTTCATCAATCAAGCTAGAATTGATATTAATTGCGACGTCAGTCATGATGGCAAGACTCTTCTACATTACTTTGCAAACGCATGCGACAAATACGATCTCGTACAAACCCTAATGAAATTAGTAATTCAGATAATCTTCGTTTTGCTTCTGTATGTTTGTCTTTTCCTAATTTTAGCCAGTCAGTGACGATTTGAAGAAAATGGGTCAGACGTTTGATAATAACGGCCGAACACCATTTCATTATTGTGCATCGAAATACAATCAATTTTGTCAGGGGAATACGGTCTGTGTTAGGCAAAATTCAGCAGATCTGAATATTTAGTTTCGTTTCTAGTTTGACACAGGGGCACAGCAATTGAACCGACAATATCAGGCGATTGTTCAAATGATTGATTATTGTCTCAATACGGTTCAATGTGATCCCGATGCTGAGATCAAGTCACCAAATACGAGTTCGCTGGACACACAAATTGAAGCAAATACCGACGATGATGAACAATTTACGGAGAACATTCAGGCGGCAAATCTCGGTCTTGATAAAGAAACAACTATTAAACCTCGAGAAACAAGTATATTCTCTTTGTTACGTACGACTTCACTCGCCGGTCAGCATCCTTTGGAAATCTTTCTTAAAAAAACCAAAAATATCAATGTTCTTCATCATGAAAGCCAACGAACACCATTGCTCGAGGCTATACACTTAAACGAGTATCAAACCGTTCGTCTGCTAATGCAACATCCCCAATGTGACATCAATTTATCAACATCAACTCTCTCCGGAGAACGTCAACAAACACCGTTAATCTTCGCATGCAATCGACAACTATTGCCTATCATTCGTGATTTACTAAATCATGAACAATGTCATATCTTAGCACGTGATTATCAACAAAATCAAGCTATACATTATTACTTAGCGACCAATCAACGTTCGAATTCATACATCGATCTATTGAAATTATTCATCGAAAAAATTAAACAAACAGATAGTTTGAATAGTCCAGGATCGCATGAACGCACTCCGTTACATATCGCTGTTTATCATAATTCAGGTGCTATCGATTCAACAACGGATGTCGAAGAACTGTTAATTGATAATAACAGTGACCTTTATCTGAAAGATGATCTAGGTAATATTCCGTTGCACAATATTTTTCTAAACAAGAATACGGGTGATGATCCTGTGGAATTATGTGTTTTAATGTTGGGTGCAATGAAAAATGGACAAGTAGACACGAAGAACAATGATGGAAACACACCATTACATTTTGCTGTTGTAAGTGATCGATGAACATAGTGAAAAATTAGTTCTTTTGGTTTTCTAGGAGCGATGTTCCACTGTATGTGTTATGCTTTTACAACAACATAAAGCAAATTTGCTAGTCGAAAATCATCAGTTTAATTCAACTATTGGCACTTGCATTGCAATGGGCCATTTGAATCTATTTATAGCCTTTCTACAGCAAACGATCGATATTGATCTTAGCAAAATCTTTACAAAACACTTAACTTCCGATGCAACGCAAACTCAGTCAAAGCATGTTCAACGCCAAGATAATTGGATATGGAAATACGCAGAAAAGAAAAGTTCGAAAAAGTTCCAACAAGATTCATTAATTTATCTGATAGTTCAACGCGACTGGCAAGGTGCACTATCATTAATACTGAATGATCTCGAACGTTACCATCTAGCTTATATACAAGTTATCGAAGCTGCTATTTTAAATAACAAATTGAATCTTGTTCTTCGTTTATTATTACGTTTGAAAGACAAGCTCACTCTAAATGCGAAAAATCTCGAACGACAAAATCTTTTTCATCTACTAGCAGATATAAACGCATATGATCAAGCTTTATATGTACAAATTCTTTCCTATCTTCATGCCGAATGTGTCGATTGGGATATTCCGGATAGATATGGTTTGTATCCAATCCACTATGCATGTGTGAAACGAAATTTCGCTTTTCTTCGATTTTTGCGTGAGAAATATCCGTTGAAATTCAATCTTGACCGAGTCGATGGATCCGGAAACTCAGCCATAGGTTCATTATTCTGGAGAGTCGGATCAGACACAAGTTTATCCGCTAGTGATATTCAACCGTTCTTGCAGTCCAGTAAACAATTGGATTGTTTGTGTAATTATCAAAATGAAATCGCAACGAATCCGTTGTCATTTGGTTATAGCGATGTATCTACTGAGAATTATACTTATCCACCACCGAAAACGGATATTACACCAACAAATGTTCGAACATCACCGTTGATCAATGCAATTGTTCATAATAACTTTACACTCGTCAAATGCTTGTTACAGCTCGGAGCTAACGTCAATTTTGCCGATGAGGAAAAGCAAACACCACTGATGCACGCTGTTCGACAGGTATAGTTAAGAAATGAGAGGAACTTTGACGTAAAACCATCTGCTCTTTCCTATTTTAGAATAATATCGAGATTGTCAAATTGCTACTCAATAAAAATTATACACCAATAGTACAAAACAACTCTTCGGAAATGATGTTTGGTCATGGTCAACACGCTCTAAAGTTGCGACCTCAGCAAAACTTTTTCTTTGGTCTTACAACCATGGCAACAACTACGTCTCTATGCGATGCACCGAACAACGATATAACTGAGAAGTCCGATCGTTTCACCATGACCACAGATATTGATTTGAACGCGAGTGATTCTCTTGGTCGCACTTGTATTCATCATCTAGTTCAACCGTTTCCTGACGGAACATATACAAACAACATCGAACTACTTCGATTACTTCACTCATGTGGTGCTTCGATAACTAAACATGATCTTGCTGGTTTATCACCATTACAATACGGAGCAATCAATGGATATCAACACTTATGTGATGAACTAACAAAACTTATCAATGATGGAACTGATTCAACGCAAGCGACCATTGAACGATTCTACATCAATGATCCCAACAAAAATCTTCTCGGTCAATCTGATTTTTACTCCGATGCTCAGAAATTAATTGATCAATACGTCGCAATGCATCCGTCGCGTAGTTACAATTCTGCATATGAAGTCGACCGTTTATCTGGAATGAGTCAAACAGGTGAAGTTGTCATTGACGAAGAGAAAAATGAACCATACGATGTTCGACTAACGAAAACCGATGTAACTTATGGTACGCATGGCTTATACAATTTCTACCGTATGCAAATCATCAAGCATAAAAGCAAAAGCAATTTATATTTTCTGTTTACACGCTGGGGACGGATTGGTGATGCTGAAGGTCAATACCAATTAACACCGTACTCCACGTTAGATGAATGTCGAAAGGAATTCACAAAGGTGTTTCGTGAGAAGACCGGCAATGCATGGAAAGATACAAATGAATTCGAAACCAAACCGAAAAAGTACACGTTGATCAAATTAAACGATCGAGAAATACATAAGCATTCAAATTTATCCCTTAATTTCAAACGTTTACAAACTGAATATTGTCCATCGAAACTTCAATCGCCCGCATTCAAAGATTTTCTCAAAACATTAATCAATCCTCAAGCCATTCGTTCAAATATCAATAAAACTCAATTGGATGTTGAATGGATGCCTGTTTCTCAATTGAAACGCGAAAGTTTGCAGAAGGCACGTGATTTACTACTCGAATTAAAGAAAGATATCGAGAAAAAACAAGAACTAGCTTTAGCATTACAACACCCAAAACCGACCGAACAACAAAACGAGTTGAAAGCGATTTTAGAATCGATCTATCGACGCACAAATGAATACTACTCCATAGTACCATTACGAGGATACGCAGATGAGAAATTGCCTGTTATCGTCGATGAACAACAATTGAAGCAACAAGAGAAAGTGCTCGATGATCTACTTGAACTCGAATTATCTTACAAAATGCTTTTGGCTGCACAGGCACATTGGAAAACTACTTCACCGTTGGATTATTTGTATCGATCGATGAATTGTCAATTCGAAGCAATGAATAAAGATGACATGGATTCACAATTGATTTTGCGCTATATCTGGGCTAGTGCACCGACTGTTCAAGTTGAACAAATATTCAAGATAGCGCGTCCAGATGAAGATGAACGGTTGTTCAAATCCGATCTTGATAATCGATATCTTTTATGGCATGGCACTAATATCTGCAATTTAATTAGTATTTTAACAAGAGGTATGATGATACTCGATCAAATTTTTGAGAAAATGAACTGAACATCTTTCGTTTTTAAGGACTACTTGTCAGACCATTGACTGCAACATCCACTGGAAGTTTATTTGGAAAAGTATATTGAATGAAATCAGAAGTGAAATATGATTTATTCCTCTTCTTCTAGGGAATCTACACAGCAGATACATTTACTAAAAGTCTTGGATACTGCTCAGGCGTTCAACAAACCGACGGATATGGTGAACGTTGTTTTATGTTATTATGCGAAGTTGCATTGGGTAAAATCAAGGAGACTGGCTTGAACTATTTTGACGATCAGACAACTAAATCATTGGATATGAGTGAATATCAAAGCCGTAAAGGTGTTGGTCGAGTTGTTCCTGATCCTCGATACACAATAACATGCAATTACGGTTGGTAGTTTGTTTTCGAAATTCAGCACCTTGAAAAAATCCTTTTACCTCTTCTAGGTGTTCGTGTGCCATTAGGTAGCTTGATTGATAATCCTGATTGTAAAAATAATTATATTGCACTTAATCACAATGAATATATTGTGTATGACGAGTCGCAAGTGGCACTACGATATCTCGTGCAATTTCGACGATAAGTCATTTTCTTTTTCGCAAATGCTTCAGTGATATTCTATTGTTTAGCAAATACCAACATAAAAGTGTCTTTAGGCTTCTTTTTCTTTCTCTTGGTTTTGCTATTGTCGTACGTGCTTTTTTTCGTAGTATGCTGTTTCACTTGAAGTCTTTTTTTCTTTTGCTAGTGTAACAACATAATTAACATTGATTGTATCTGTTTTAATGATTTGTCATTTTTTTGTGTTTTGGAAAGTTGAAAATAAAGAAAAGACGTCTCGTTTTTCTTCGAGTATGAAATAAAACTATCCAAATAAAGATATTCATAGACTACGTAGCCTAATCGAATACCGCAACGGGGTAAAACAAGTGAAACTGTTCTTTTCTTAAAAGTGATATATTTCGCTCAAGATAGACTAAATTCAGTCCATAAAGGACAATGGTCACTGACTAGACCCCCCAACGTCCATCCGGTGGGAATCCATGGACTAGTAAGACTATGACGAATAACCCCTGAGCTTCCTATAGGAACGACAAAGTATTATCAATGAGTAAATCATGAAGAGTTTTTACCTGTGTACAAAGCTTTCGCCTCGATTGAAAGCCAAATATTATCTACACACGAAGTTCCTTGTAACATTTTCAAACTGATATCTGTATTTTCTGCTATGACAGATGAATAATTGCATTCGATCAATGCCTCGAAATCCGATGCTGTCGGTATAATGTTAAAACTACCCAGAATTATCTTATGTTTTTGCTCTGAAATATTTAGAAAGAAGATAGATATATCAACTGGAGAGAATATCTGATTCTTACTGATGGTATCTTTCATCGCCCGGGCTAAAACCGATAATGCTTTGGCTTCATATTTTGTTTGTTCATTTTTATCTTCATCGGATTTCTTTGCTGTTAGATGCATATTGACCAAAACTAGTTCAATTTTATTATAGATTCCGAAGACAGCTATGTAAGGTGAACGCTCAAAATATCCTTGACATCGTAAAGATGAAGTTTGCTTTAATTCAATACCACTTGATCCATCATACAGAAACCCGAGATGTTCACATCCCTTTTCCGGTAAAAACGAGTCGAAAACGAGAAGAGAGATATTTTGACTTGGTTTACCTGAACTATCTGATCGACGGCATCACTAATGGTATATTTCCATTTACCTTGAGAAGAATTCGATAGGTTTTTTATGGATGGAATCGTGGGATTATTCAATTCATTGATAATGAAATCGAGCGACTCTTTACTTCCAATTTCTTGAATAGCAATTATTGAAAAACTAAACGAATAACAAGATGACATTAACGAACGTTGTTAATTGACTTGAGATATATATACTTATTTAAAAGTATAATTCGACAGATAACTTCTTGAACACCGGGATTTTGCGCTTTGTCGCTGGTAAGTTGTTGTAAATTCCACGATGCGATGCGAAAATGTTTCGATCTACTTTCTCCATTCGCACGACGCGTCGACTGTTGAGATGATGAAGAAACAAGCATAGCGTGTATTTCAGGTGGTAGTGTATCTAGGAATAGTGAAGCACGCGAAAGTGTTTCTGTTTTATCTGATGCCGTTGCTGTTTGTTGATATTTGATCGTTACATGCGGACGAATCGTTGATAGAATAATATAATCCATACCTTTGACTTTGAGTAATTCTTCAACGCAATGAAATCCTCTCTTTTGATGTCGACGATTGAGAATTTTCGTTGCTAGATTTGGTGTCAGACCAGGTAGACAGCACAGTTCTGTATATGTGGCTACATTGAGATCGAGAAGTTGTTTTTTCTCATTCGAAGTCGATAGTGTCATTTCTGTACAAATGCTTTTAAACAATCTTGGAGTCATTCCATTGACTTGTAAAAGTTCGTTCGTTTGTTTAAACCCACCGTTGGCCTGTCGATATTCTACTATATGATGTGCTAATTGTCGATTTACGCCTGGTAATAGTAATAATTCATCTTCGGATACTCGATTGATATCCATTGCATTGATTCGAATTAGTTCTTCATGTTCAAGTTTCTTTCTAATGATTGAATTACGACGACTCGCTGAGTGACAGCTGCATAGTTTCACTGGTAAACAACTATTTGACAAACCCATGGACTTCTTCAATTGCACTTATATACCTATATATCTGGAAGAAAAGTGACTTGACAAAAAAAGCAAAAGAAAAAAGAAATGAATTTGTCCTTGGTTATATACACGTGTGTATTAGTAAATACGACTGATGATTCATATCATATATGAAGGAACAACATAAATAAGGCTCGAAATGATTCCATAAACAACGACTGACTAGAATATTGACATCACGATGACACCAGTTGTTTGCAGCGTCGTAGAAAGGTATTATAGAGTAACAGTTGTTGGAGCTATTAGTCACAATAGAAAAAGAACGAACGATTACATATGAGAACAATTAAATTATCTAAAAACATTAATATGTCGACGGCGTACTGAGCTTCTCGATGATATCTAAGCAAGTTCACGGTTCACTTTGCAAAGCTCATAACACTGATAGTAGCAACAACAGTTGAAAATCATGATTAAATCGTAATGAACAAATATAGTCAGATATGCACAAATCAAATGCCAAAGGAGACTTCACTTGTGTATGAGGAATTACATTGATTTGGTTTCGATTGATTGTAGTATGTAATCGAGTCCGATGCGATGTCATTTACTATGATTAATACAAATAAGTATAGAAGAAAAGAAGGAGAAAAACAAATGCTTACCTAAAACAAATAGCACGAGCAGAAAGAAGAGGTAATTGATTAAATTATACATTAGATCAGTAGTACATGAAATTGCGTAGCTATTGGCTATGCGATGCTTTTTGAAAATACACTATTTAGTATTACACTTATGTCTGTTTATGGGAACCATAATATGCAAAATATAATGATACGCTATGATCTGGATAAAAATATGTATATTGGGAATAAAATGTCATGTTTTGACAGTTGCATAAGTCATAATGCCATTCTCTCTTGTAAATTATGCAGGAAGAAATCAGCACAATGGTACTATCTACATGTCATCATATATACTATATGTCTATGTACAATATATTGGAATAGGAACAAACTAGGCTTTACAATATTTGCAAATCGATCTTTGTACTTAACGACTAGGATCTTCCAAGGATGAGCATCGTAATTTCGACAGATGACAGCAGATCGTATTTTATTACGCTGTTGCAAAACGTCAGATCACAAAAGGCATAACTACGTTATTCGTAAAAAGAAGCAAATATCATATGATTTGAGGCTTAATATCAACCTTTTCATTTATCCAAGGATAAAACACTCGTTGCATCTTCACATTCAACATATTCGTCCTAACAATGGTTTCGCGAAACATTGCTGTCGCTTCAGCTGATTATTTACGTTTGAAGGAACGCCGTGGTCATTGGCACAACGAACCACGTCGTCCTTCTATTGATGATCAACATCGTGAACGGCATCTTGCTATGCTCCAACTGCAGGAACACCTAGGTCAACCGGGAACGACCACCCATGAAATCGAACGTTTAATGGGTACACCAACGAAAATTCTCGATCAACCTGATGAAACACTTGCTCATGAACTGAAACGCAATCATGAACAATACGTGTTTCCTCGTGATGCGAAAATCTGGATCTACGAATGGCGCAACAATCATGATTATATCTATTATATTATCTCGAAGGATAATAAAGTTATTCAATCAGCTTGGTATTATTCATTTGAATAAATATCAATTGGACACGAGATTTTCAAAATTGTGTATGTCTATTTAATCAGGATTTTGTATCATTCGAATAAATGAATAGATGATAGAAATAAACAGGAGCAGAAATAAAACAAAGAAAAAGATGTAGAACGTTTGAAAATTAATTTCACGTCTAGATGCTTCCGTACAATCTTGTTGTTGAGAAGAGAAATTGATATTTTCAAGTAATGTGTGCCTTCTAAAGAAGAAGAAGAAAAGCAAAAGAATTTTATTAATACTCGCATATATTTGGCCAAATTATATTCGGCAGTGATCCATAATTATCACGCGATGCAAAAGAACTCACTTGTAAATACGATTTAACATGAACAACAACGTATTCGTGAGATAGAAATTTCCTGAATGACGAACTCGTCTTTCCTATTTGAATTCTGAAACCAGCCTCGTGTGATAGAGCGAAGTCAAACATAACAAAAGGTATTCAAATCATTTACCTCTTCTCGAGTATAACGTCGTTTTTCTTCCAATCTTGATAATGATCGTTCACATACGCAACGACAGAACTTCGACGTTTAGTTAATGAACCTACATTTGATACTTGCTCCATCGGTTGATCAGAATCTGTACTGACCGATACTGTTCGTCGTCCATAACGCATTTGTTGAAAAGATCTCATCGTCGTTTTCAAATTTGAGCAACAACAATGCTTGTAGAACTTTAATATTGCATCTGGCAAACTATTTACTAATGCTGAATGTAACCGTCACAAGTAACTAAATAATAAATACCAAAATATAGTCATTTCCTGTTTCTTTTCAAACTAGACACACGTTGGAAATGATCAAGAAAAAAAAATATATGGAAAAACGCACTCCTTGCGTTCTCGGTTTTTTTCTTTCCTCTAATTGAGCTAGAAGAACGATTCTGACGGCGAGTATCGAATGAATCCGCCATGGTTTCACTGCATCTCTCAAAGACACAAACTTTGTCAATTGCTATGTACACACTTTATTGTTTAATAAATAAACTAATGAAAAAAAAAGTGATTGAGAAGGAAAAAAGAACAATCAACTAAAATCAACAGGTTCTCCCATCGCTTGTAGTTTTCGAGCTGCATTCACATCGTTTTTTAATTCTTCGTAGTCTCGTTTGAGTTTAGCACGTCGATTTTGAAACCACTAAAAACAGAGAAATGAGTGACAATTGTCGAGAAAATCGATTGAACTTACTGTAATAACTTGAGCAGGTGAAAGTTGCAATTCATTCGCAATTTGATCACGATCATTCGGTGTGAGATATCGTTGATGTGCAAAACGCTTCTCCAATGCGTAGATCTGTTGAGCGCTAAACGCCGTGCGGTTCTTTCGACGTTTTCGTTTGTGCAATTCATGAGTTATTTTCAATGAAATATCCGAATCCAATGAATCTAATCAAAGTGAATCATAGATTTTAACAGATGTTAGATGAGAAATGACAAATGAGCTTAACAATCGATGACGCACATCGAACAGGAGAGAAGAGAGTCTATCAGCAGAAGCTAATCATATTTGTTGATAGAAAAAATATTCTTCAATGATCTATGTTCTCAACAGTGGTGATAATCATATATCAAATTGATCGATATCGAATCCACACCGAAGAGGAAGATGAACAAACAGTGATATCCAATTATGAGGAAGACGATGTATACTTGTATACATACTCTCTCAGATATGCCGAAAGAAATAATTAATTTATGCCATGTCGATCGATTAATGATGAGACTTTCTTCTCTAAAGAAGACGAAAACTCGTTTGTCATCATCATTCGTCTGTTGTTTCTAGTCCAAACAGTTGTAATTGGTATACACATGTTTGAAGTAACTGTTCTCATTTTCTCAACAAGATTAAATATGAATATATGTGTATAAAACAACATCGAATGCTTCATTTCAATCTCAATTCATTCGTTTCGCCGTATTACCAAAGATAAAACGAATAGACAACATTCACGCGTCGAGATTGAAAAAGGCAAAGAAGAAAAAGATGAACTTCTCTTGACTATCGGGAGTACATGTCAGACAGTTGACCTTTGAAAAAGAATTCGATAATCAATTGGGGTACGAATTGAAAAAAGATTTAACGGACCGTAAATTAGATAACAAAAAGGAACTTGTTAGAATGATTAAATACCGTTTTGATTAATTCTTTCCATGACTTACTTATACTTGTTTTATCAAATGTTTTCTTCGTCATTTCAAAGAGCGCATCTAATGGCGAGTTTTGCGCGTCGACAGCCAATCGACGATGGGTATTGCGTAGCGCTGTTATTGTGGCCGCAGATGATGATGGTGTTGTTGTTGTTGTAGGTGTTGATTTAGACAACAATAATGCACTTGGTCGTAAAGGAATTGGATATAATGGATGTTTGAAATACCGACGAAGGTCGATTGGGTTGGGGAGAAAAAGTTCCCCGTTATCCGTACTTTCATCTGACGATGTTGAGTCGCCGTTTTCCGAGAGAATATCTTTGATTAGAAAGGATTTCGATGCCGATGACATTGATTGGTATAGTTACACTAAAGGCGATAACATTCACGACCAAACACTAATGATCATTTGAGGGGAAGCCAATCGACGTTAAATATATTTTTTCTCTTCTCTCTCTCTCTCTTTCTTTCTTCGCCGTTTGGCCAGCTCGTATAACATACAAAATCGATAAATGGGAATATGCACGAATAGGAAGAAGAAGAACAGAAGAAGAGAGAAAAATAAATATGTATGATAATTTATTTTCTATGCAATGAATAAGGAAAAAATATGTTCTCTCGTTTGTTGAATATATTTAATCATTAAAAAACAGACTGAAGTTCGAATTTCAAACTTTTACATCCTCTATTCTATTAAAAACAAAGTATTCTCCTGTTTTTCAGCGTCTGACTGGCAAATATATGATTTATGCATCATTAAATGCCGGTAAACCAAACAGATCCGGATCAAATTTAAGAAGACTGTCCAATGTAACTGTTGCCTGTTTGATCACTTCTGGATCGTAAGTATTGATTGGTAAACTTGGCACGAATACAACGTGCATTTGTGCCGCAAGAGCAGCTCGAATACCATTTTCAGCATCTTCAAATACTAAACATTGACTCATTGAAAGCGGCGGGTTAGAAAATTGTTTTGCACAAGCAAGAAATATATCTGGTGCTGGTTTAGTTAAACGTAATTCCATTGGTTCAGTGCATATTATTGGATCAAATAGTTTGAATAATTCAGTATGCTTGCTTGTTTTGAGTTTGTACAATTCAAACGAAGATCCCGTAGCAATGCCTCAATGGAAAAACAAATGATCTAGGCTAAACAAGTTTTGGCTTGTTACCTATGGGAATCTTGTGATCAGCCAAGTGTTGAATAAGACGTTCAACTCCGGGTAAAAGTTCTGATGAAGGAAACGTTTCCATATAGAGTGCATTTGACTTAGCTAAATATTCTTCATCTGTTATTGGCAAATCCAACTCGCCTATCGAAGAAAACTTCACGAAAAGATTCGATATCAAACATGCTGTACTTACGAATTAGTATCCGTCCAGCTTCTAATGACGACTTGCCCATCATTTTCAATTTCGTTTCAGTAGTGAAATTCTTTCCATAAGGTGCGCATAATTTCTGTAAACATTCTGTATAAAGTGATTCGGTGTCCAACAAGAGACCATCCAAATCGAAGATACAATGTGTGATACTCATTATTACTTAGAAAGAAATCTTTATCTAAAGATAGAATGTTTATTTAATGGTTTGAAAATGGAATGGAATAGAGATTAGATTGGTATCACGACCTTCTACTTCATCATGTCACAAAAAGAATTTCTTGTTTTTTTTTTCTATGAAAAATAAAAGAAAGCTTTTAGATAGATTCATAACCCGGCATTGGAAACTGTGATGCGAAATTTTCGATTTCTTCTTTTAATTCATCCAGTTTTTTGGCATGTTGATCAAGTTTCATATTTGCTTTGAAATCTTTGAGCAATTGATTTGAATCATTTTGATTAATCTCTTGAGCAATTTTGACAGCACGGTCAATAAATTCTGCTACGCGAACAATATCATTTTCTCGGAAACCTCGTGTTGTTAACGCTGGTGTACCGAAACGAATGCCCGATGGCTTCAAAGCCGACTTATCACCTGGACATGTATTCTTATTCACGGCAATGGAAACAACTTCTAAAACACGTTCAACTTTAGCACCATCAAGGCCAATGGGACGTAAGTCAAGTAAAGCCAAATGTGTATCAGTACCACCGGCGACGAATGTATAACCTTTTTCTTTCAATGTTTGAACGAGTTGTTTTGCATTTTTAACAACTTGTTGAGCATAAGCTTTGAACTCTTCAGATGCAGCTTGTTTCAATGCAACACCGATAGCGCCAATCGCATTGTTATGTGGACCACCTAGAGAACATTCATTCGTTTCTGGACAAAGGCCTCTTTCCTACTTTTACCTTGCAATCCGGGAAAGATAGCTTCGTTGATTTTCTTCTCGTAATCATACATTTGCACTGAATTATCACTTTTATTGACGACCTGTGGTCGTTTCGGTCCTTTACGGTAAAATATCATGGCCGCTCTTGGTCCACGAAGACTTTTGTGAGTTGTTGTTGTCACGATATCTGCATACGGAAATGGATCAGCAACAACTTTGGCAGCCACCAGACCACTGACATGTGCCATATCAGCAAGTAAAATAGCACCAACATCATCGCATATTTGTCGAAATTTATCGTATTCAAGATTACGTGAATAGCATGAAATACCAGCAATGATAATTTTTGGGCGAAAAAGTTTTGCTGTACGTGCTAATTCTTCGTAATCAATTAAGCCTGTTTGTGGATTGACTTTATATGGCATGTTTTCGAAGTAGACACTAGTGAAAGAAATCTTTTTCGACGGTGTCGCATAGCCGTGACTAAGGTGGCCGCCATCGGGTAAGTCCAAACCCATTATACGGCTATGAGGCTCGAGAAGTGCTGAATAAACAGCAAAGTTTGCTGGACAACCAGATAATGGTTGAACATTGACACCCCATTCATCATCTTTGAGACCGAATGCTGTTAATGCACGCTTTTGAGTTAAACTTTCGATTTGATCAATAATTTCATTACCACCATAGTATCGAACACCGGGATAACCCTGTCACAAATAGATCTTTTCATTAGAAAGGTAAACTGAAAGTCATACTTCACTATATTTATTTGTTAAACATGAACCGAGTGTTTCCAAAACACCGCGCGATGTAAAATTTTCCGATGCGATCATTTCCAAACCACGGATCTAAGTTAATCATTGAAAATAATAAACAATAAGATTCGATATGATTCTACCTGTCGTTGTTTTTCCTTTCGGACTAACTCGTACATTTCGGGATCACATTGAGCCAATGGTTCAGAGAGAAAACTAGCCATTTTAGTATCTTCACTCATGATGTTGATTCGATTTTATCTGAAATAAACGGCGCACTCAAATCATTGCATCTCGATTTTTCACTGTGAAAAATGTCATTAAAAAGTACTTTTCTATCTATTCTAAGGTTATCATATTTCATGGGATACCAAACATATTGTACCGCCAAGACGTTAATCGTGATCCTTCTAGTTTGAAGGTAAAACCGTTTAATTTCTCTGACGCTTGACAAAATCAACTCAACTGGCATACAGTAAACTAGGTCATAACATTGTATCAGTCAGGCGAAAAAAAAATCGTTTCAAACTTACAAGTGAATAACAATATTTAGACTACATTCTTCTTCAATATATTTAATCTTTCTCGTTATATGCGAGGTATTAACTTTTCTTGACGATACGTAATGCCCACATTAATAACAGCACTTTTGTAAAGCATTTGGGATAGAAATTCATACTTTAAAATGATTATGTAAGGCAGTGGTGTTATCGAGAAAGAAATCACATACTTTATTAGATAAACGATAGACTTTGATTCTCATCGTTTCGTTATCCAGACAATTCCGTATTATACTCATTTGTCCTTATTATTGGTTTAATAAATACCAATAAAAAACACGTACAGAAATGGACGTTTAGCAATGAATGTAAAGTGAAACCTTTTTAGCCATGATATCAACCGTTCAAATCTTTTCTAATACTATCAGAATGTTCTAGGTCAAGATGATGTTCTTGAACACACAAGTCGAATTTTCTTTTAAATTTAGGTCAAGTACGAACAAACATTTTATTTTCTATGATTAACACTAATTAACGACGATGACAGCAAGTAAATCCATGTGTCTGTCAAAACCATTGCTAAGCTATTTTTGACATCACAATCATGATCAAGAGAAGTTTTGAATTAAGTAGAATTTGATTGCTTTTATTACAATAATCCGCTTGGCAACATACACTGCTGGAAAATGTTCCTAGTGTATGTGAAATCGCACAGCGTTTGTTTGCACATCCTCGATAGACATTACCTAAAATGAATCACAAAGGATTGTAGTCAATGGTTCAGTTCGATTTTGTTACCTAGCGAAACCGATTTCCAACAATAATAGTCGCAATCAATTATTTCGACATTTTCTGATGCATGGTAATAGTTTTTTGATGATACACCATTATTTATGGTTCTACATTCGTCAGAAGCATCACATTTATAACAACGAATTGTATTTGTCATCAGCGGAAATAGAACGACGAGAAGTATCAATGCCCAGAAGAAATTCATCATCTAAAATGCAAAAGAAGAACGATCTCTACATGCACCTCGATCGAAGAAAACACAAATCGTATATTGAAAAAGCTAACAATAGACAAACATACTCTTGACAAACAGGGTTATTAGCCGGTCAATAGGCCAAAGAGTCTAAACATTCAATGCAGTTAATTGATTAATGACTTCGGCACGATGAACGACGCACTAATTTAATAAATCATCGAGCGGATTGTTTAGGTTGACTCTTAAGATCTTTTCGGTGGATCAAATATTAAGCAAACACTTCAATTTGTTTTATTGACGAAATCTATTGATGATTATTTTCAATGAAATCGATTGCTAACGAGTCTCTTACCATTCATCATAGAAACTGAGATAAAAAAGCTAAGGAAGCGAGAAGAGTTTCTTTTCTTTCTTCTTCTTCGTTCCAAACCTCGATCTCTATGATGTTTTCACTCATTTAGATATTGTCTAGTGAGAGATAATACGGGAGCAGACATAGAAATAGCATAAGAGAAACATACAGATGAATAGAAGAAAAACATGCACTTCAATAATGGAATTTCTAAGAGGATTTACGATTACAGCTTGTAGCCGTTTTCTATTTTTCCAAAGGAAACATGTGTGCAGATATAAACGAGATTCTTTGCGTAGATTGATTGATTTATATCTATTATGGGTAATACAACTAACACTGACAGTCGGCGTCTGTCGTCATCATCACCTTCGCCACAATCATCATCATCATCATCATTATCACGATCTTCTATACATAGGCAAGATTCAGCAACAAAAGAAATCCATATTAGCACTAATCATGTCGATGGATTTCATTACACTGGCGAACTATTGAGTGGAACGGTAAGGATTCCTCGTTCGTTTCTTCATCGCCATTTGAACAGTATTAAACACCGTACACCAGCGGAAGCGTTGCACAAACGATCATTACGAAGTGCAATTATGATCGAACTCGTCGGTGATGCAACTTATTCAGCAGAAATCGATACAGCTGCTGACAGCGATGGACATGTTGAACACAAAGTCAATCTGTGTCGAGAACGCTGTATAGTTACAATAAATCAAAATCGAATAGCATCGGAAACATTAGTTCATTCGTCTTCATCACCCGACTCGATCTCAACACCAACCAATGCACCGCCAATCATACATGGAACGTTCCAAATTCAGATTCCGGACGATCTTCCACCGTCATTAGCGAATGAACATTCACCATCGGTTGTCTATTCATTAGAATTGAGTATATCATCAAGTCGATCTCGTTATCAAATACCGATCGTACTCAGCTCGAAAGGTTCGATTCCACATCCAATGACTGGCATCGAATTGCATAATAGTGTTGTCAACCGAAATGATATACATTTACGTGCTTCCGTAGCAAAAATCTTCTATCGACCTGGCGAGCAGATTCCAGTGCGAATCAATTACTCGAATCCGCAGCAACGTTCAGTTCGCTCGATAACCGTACGGCTTCTACAAATCTATCGTATTCACCACGATCACAAACGTTTACAGATCGATGGAAAGGAATGGACATTCGATACATCAACAATGTTACCACAACGTGAATGGATCGGCGAAGCAAGTCTACAATTATTCGATCGACAACTACAAGCGTCGTATCCCACTCATTATGTTGGCACTACGCAGACAATCGAATGTGCATTAGACTATTCGATTCTCGTCGAGTTAATTGAGAGAAAAGGAGATGATATTCAATTAATCTTATCACCTATTCAAATAACCTATCAAGTGTAGGATTTCACTCTTGCTTTTCTTTTCAACTTGGTTTGTCTCTGTTAAATCATGAACAATAATAAAAATCTATGTATTCAATAAACTTACTAGACGAAAAAAAACAACATAACTCATTTCCTACCTGCACTGTCAATTAGACATATTTGACATTCTTTGATTGCCTAGATGATATCTATTATCGAATCAGACATGACTTTCCCAAGGATTCATAAAAGATTTTCATTCGAAACCTCGCTTCCTAGTTAGTTAATTACAAATCAAAAGCGCCTCGAACTAAGAGATTATTTTCCCTTGATTGTATTAATAAATGACAAATGTAAGATGTGCGTAGGTTGACGTAGAAATTGTTTTGATCGTTTTCGATTACTAATATACGATTTGATTATCGAACGATATAAGAACGTCTACGAAATAGGAAAAAAAGCAATACATTGAATACTAACCACGTGGCTTCATACGCATCTGACGTTCTTTTTCTCTCTTTTTACCTGTATAAAGATTCATACTATTATCCCCTTCATTTCAATTTCGTTTCGTATTCCGCCGATCCATCTCACGATCGTACACAATTCATAGAAGGGAAAATTGTGTAGGTAATAATAATAATAAAAAGAGACGCAAAACTTCATCACTCGGATGACAACATATGTTTAGAATAGAAAACGGAACAGTAAGAGGAAAATCATGCTATAGCTTTCAATCATTTCTCCGTTGTTTCTTTTAGTTTATTCGATGATATAAAACTTGCCAAGATGAATGTTTTATCAAATTATGATTTGCCACCTCTTCATTTCAACCATAATACATACACGTTGAAAGAATTTCTGGCTAATTTGAACCGTCAACAATACCAGTTACCGATCATAGTAAACATATCTGCCTTGAATAACTATGGAAGATCGATAAAGAACATTTTGACTAGAAATACACCACTTATTCTGCTCGAAATCGATCAGTTGGATTCGGTAATTGCGGATTATTATACTTCCACAGATGGACATGGTCGATCGCAACGTAATCGATTACCTTTGTCGCATAATAGAATGGTTTCGAAATCCACAGCGAAAATTCGTAACATTAAAAAACTATCGAAGTCAGTAGCTAGTTTATCTGGAAACAATAAAAATAGCCATTCAAAAGATAGAAATCATCCCAATAACGGTCATGATGATGACGACGACGACGACGATGATGATGAGAATGCCTATAATCTACGTGCTTTTGTAAAACTTCTAAACGAAAAACGTTCGTCATCAGTCTCTCTATGCCGTATCCCAGCACAATATTGTAGTTTTTTTGAACTACTCAACGCAGATAATGAATCCATCGAACCGTATAAGAAATTAAGTGAGCTACCTGAAATGGAGCCTGATTATGAGGATGCAGATCGGCGTACAGAAAAATCGCCGGTTCACATATTTCTTCGTCGTTCTTGCAATGCATACAAAAGAAAGGATTCTGTGGATTATCTACGTATAGCAACAGCTGGTGATTACAATTCGAATCGGACCGCTAGCTCTGATTCATGTTATGGTTCATCGTCTGATTTGGATGCACACAAAAATGCACCTATACTAAATGAAACTCCCGAAACACTTTCTGCAGGTCAAATTATCGCTCTTCTTGATACTTGCTACGCTCATCGGACACATATATTAGGTGGAGATATCGAACAACGCGCACCACCCACACCATCATCACCGCACTTCTCACCCATATCCTGGATGAGATCGACGTCGAAAATATTTTCATCGAGAAAGAATCGTCATTCTAATGCGAGTGATTCGTCATCGAGTGAACATACGCCTAAAAGAGTCACTTTCGAAACATTTGAACTTTATATGAAGTGTCAAACGAAACATGGTCATATTGTTTACATCGGTGTTGATGAGCCTGTCATCTTCAGTCCACTCAGTCGTAAAGCTCACAGTTCAAGAGCTAAACCATCATGGAAGGATGTTGACATATCGGACGTTTTTAAAATCAATGATCTACTTTCAAACTTTCGTTTTCCAATCAACGTTCGTCTTTTGGACGGTCCGCTCTCGTTCGATAATATTTACGCACCTGCTCTTATCAATCGAGACGACGAAACTCGTCTAACACCAACGAAATTTCGTCTACTGGGGTCACATAATGAACGCGTGGTTTTTGCTTGTCCGCTCAACAAAGCTGCGTTGAAAGCGTCGAAAAGTCCAATCAGTCATATTCTGCTTCCGCTCTCCGTCAATGCTGATATTGACATTCAGCCTATTGCCAATATGAGTCAGATTATGCAATCGGCTGGCTTTCATCGAATTATAGAAGAGTGCTCGCAAATAATCAAATACTATCAAGCTGAAATTACTCTCGTGCACTTTCCGCTCTCATTAATAGGCGATTCGAATCAAGATAAACAAGCATTGTACAAAAAGCGTTCACAATCTGTTTCGTACGATGACTATTTCGACGAGGATTCCAATTCTGAATATGAACAGTCGGCTCCACGCCTTAGCGATTATCGACAACGTCGTCGTTATTCGGACGAGGCAACGTTTTTAACAGCGCGTTCATTGCATAATCGCGATAGCGACAATACAACTGTCGAAAATACACCAAGAGATACTGTTCGGCAGGAACCGAAATCATCACGTTCAAATTTACATGTTCGAATCAAAGATGACAGAAAATATCGATCTACGCGAGAGTTAGATCCTGATGAAGAAAATCGGATCTTAGACGATATGGATACAATTTACGATTTTATTCGTGTGGGCGACATGCCAAAGGATTTGAAAGAAAGGCTCACTTATGAACAGTTCGACGATGATATTCCTACATCAAGTTCGACAACAAAGGTTAGTTTATTGAGGAACTTGAATGAGAAGTCTCTTGCAATAATCATTTCCTTATTCTTTTAAGACGTCCAATCCGTTCACACCTACGATTAATGTTACTCCAGGAGCAATCGCAACGCATCGATTTTCTCCGAGAACTCCTGATCGTCATCGACAGAGTCAGCGTAATAATGACGATGACAATGATGATGGCGATGGTAATGTCAACAATGACCAAGCTCGTGCACTCTACCTAGCCGAGAAGCACCGTAAAAAAGCTCAATCACAACACGATATATCTCATTCGAGTTTGGCTGCTAAATCGAAAAGGAAAACTAAGCATTAAGCTGTTATCTATTTGTAAACATAATACTTCTTATTGTCATTATCGTTCACAAAATAACAAGACTGTTTGAGTTACAAAAGAAAAGAATAGGTGTATACAGAATTGAATATCTTGGTTTGTTTTGTTATCATTTAAAATGTTACATGCTTGAATATGAACAAAAGAAAACGAAAAATAGCAATAACCAAAAGGAGAAAACAAAAATAAAAATGGCTGAAAATTATGTTTAAGATGATGCGGCCAGTATATTTCGACTATTTCGTAGAGCAAAGAAGGATGTTTGAACACGTTTTTCCAGTTCAACTAATTCGGAAACAGTTGGTGCTAACGAGTCCACGTGACCTTTCGATGCTGATACTAAAATAATTGTAATATATTGAAAATATTTCATTCAAATAGATCTTTGTTCAAACCTTCTTGCTTGCGTCTTTCACCATAAACAACTTTTCCATCAAATTCATCTACAGGTACCTCCATTTTATCATCTGTTTGTGATATTGTCACGCCTATGAAAAGGAAATCTCAATATCAAACGACCTTGTTCAGCTTGCGTTCTTACCGAGATGTTCTTCGATATCAGATAGATACGTCATTTCGGTATACCATTTACAACAACCATGTTGTTCAAGTAATTTTGTATTATGACAATTTTTGCCTTTACTTGGACATGTGTGATACCAGACTTTCTCCGGCACAGTCGAGACAAAACTTATGGCTAAACCCATTCTGAAATCGAAATAAAATGATTATATTTAGAATTTCGATTCATATGACAAGATTACCGTTCGGCACGACCAACACGACCAATTCGATGAATATAACTTTCTTTTTCATCCGGTAACGTCATATTAATTACTAGAAGAAATGAAAAGCGCTTAGAGAAGATAGTTATTTTTAATAGCACCTTACCGAATGGTAAACCACTAACGTCGATACCTCGAGCAGCAACATCCGTACAGATTAAAAATCGAACTTGATTGGCTTTAAATTTTTCTAGATTACGTTGTCGTTCATCTGGATTACGATCAGAATGTAAACATACACAAGATAGTCGATGATTGTTGACTTTCGGTCCTAGAATATAAAGTTTGTCGTTTTCTGTACAATCATTATGATTTATTACCGCCGCCTTGCTTGATGAAATATCGTTCGAGATTATCGCAATCAAGTTTTGTTCGACAGAATATCAGAGCACGATCCATTTTAAATCTCTCGATAGCTTGAAGACAATATTCACCTTTGAGAATTTTCACCGCTTCAGAAAGAGTATCTATGCGAAAACGGAGACTAAATTTGATAGTTCATTTACGAATATTACCTTTCGAGTCGCTTTGAAAGTTCAACTGATCGTTTAAATGCACATCATCAGTTTTGATATGATTCCGTAGTCCACGCCAGACTGTATTTTTCTTTGGATCAACAACACATATCTAATTAACGAAAGTCAAAACAAATCAATACTCAATCTGTAAAAACGTACCACATGATGAACGGTTTCTGGTACAGCATCTTGCCCTTTCAGATCGACCCAGGTAGGAAAATGCATAATGGAATCAGCTAATTTTTTCACTTCGAAATTGTGTAATGTAGCTGAACAGACAATCATTTGTAAACGTTTGCCATCTAGTGTAACACTAGGCATTCTACTATGGAGTTTCATGACTAAATCTTTATATCCTTGACTTAGTAGACCATCCTAAAGCGCAATGATAATGGAAATCAATTGAAGAAGTAGATAATATCATTCGTACCGCTTCATCGAGGATAAAAAATCGCATATGGGTTAAATCAATTTCACCACTACTGATCAATTCATCTAGACGACCGGGTGTAGCTACGATAATATCTACGCCTTGATGTAAGATACGTGTTTGTTCTCCAATAGCAACTCCACCAATGATAACCAGTTCTCTAGAATATTGATTTGAATCGAAGAAAACTTCTTCATTTCTGATATATTTCATCTTACCTCACTCGGGGATTGTCTAAGTATTTTTGGAATGATTGAATTTGATTCGATGTTTGCTGCGCTAATTCTCGAGAAGGCTATACAAACAAAGATGTTTTCAGCATTTATTCGAGCTGCCACTTACTTCCATAATAATGGCAAGTGGTGCATTGGGTGGACGTTGTTTAGCTGCTGCATTACTACCGATACCTTTGACTTGAGATTCAACGACGCATTCTTTTGGTGCGTTATCAATTGAAACAGCGCCGTTCTTAAGATATTCGCATTCTTTTAAATGTTTCCGACCGAGAAAAGCTTTACCGGCACGCTTTTAAAAGGCTGCACTCCGAAATTAACCCGAACATCGCAGGATTTCATGCAAACATGAGCGAAAAATGGTTTCTCTTGTAATGGTCGAGGAATGTCAAATGCATGACCGAGATCCTTTCCTACACGTACAAAAAGCATCATCAATATACAACAGAATTAACGATGCAAGACGAACCATTTTTGAAAAAACGTATTTTCATTTGATCGAGATCTAATAAGCTTCCAACAACATCATTCACACCGAAAGTTTCACCATAATCATCGAACTGTTTGCCAAATGCTTTCTTTCCTGTACCACCGTAGCCGAAACCTTGATTATCATTTCCCAGATCGAGTTGAGCAGCGGGTACCGACCATCCCATACGAGCAATACCATTTGGATCAGTTTGAGTGATCTCGTAGTAGTATTTACCTTTGCCTTTCACTCCTTTCGTAGATCGAGCACCGTTCCATATACGTTGATCACGACTTTGACATGTCAAACCATCCGTATCAATAGCTAAACGACAATCAACAGATCATCGTCATATGAGATTCGCTGGAATTTACCTAAACCATGCAAACGATCATGAAAGCTGAGCTGTACTGGACTTTCTGCAGTGGATGCGCTTGCTTGTTTGCCTGATCGAGGACCTTTGTTACCCTCTTGAATATCTCTCAGAGTTTCATGGACAATTTGCAGAATTGGTAAACAGAATGCACCGGTTTTTCCACTACCGGTTTCTGCCGCCTAAAACACACGATGTACAAAGCACTTCGTTTCGATTTCACTTGCCATCAGAACATCGCCGCCACCTAAGATCATGGGAATTGCTTCGCCTTGTACATCAGTGGGTAGTAGCCAGCCCATTTCATCAACTGCTCGTGCAATTTCAGGCTGGACACCTAATTCGGTTTCGAAGGCGTTCATAGCTTTATATCTAGAAAAGAAAACCAAATCAAACTAAAGTCCCATAACATCTTTCACTTCATTCAATGTTTTATCCGCTATTTCTCGTGCTCGTTCACGACCATTCTCTAATATGCTCAATAGGTGCGACCGATCATCGAGTAATTTCAAATATTCTAAACGTTTGGGACGAAAGTGCTCGATAATTAATTGTGCAAGTTGCTTTTTAAATGCACCCGTGTTTAAATTATCACGTTGTGCTTCCTTCACAATGGTTTCGATTGATTGGCCACTTATACCAGCGAAGATATCAATCAAATTCGACACACCAGGCCTCTGTTGACGGTCATATGAAATTTGAGAATTAAAATCTGTTAAAGCTTTCATAACACGTTCACGAATGACATCTTCATCATCCATAATATCAATACGTGCGCGTTCTTCAAAATCCGATTTCGACATCTTTTGGTCAGGACGACGAAGACTTCGAATACGATTGGCTTCAGCTTTGAAAATGTTTAATAGTACACAGGCAAAGTAAGGATGTCATACGTACTAGCTAGCAATTCGGGCACCGGAAAGATATTTTGTTTGTAATAATGATAGAATTTTTCGATCATATACGTGCACAGTTGTAAATGTGGTATTTGATCTTCACCAACAGGTAGATGAGTTGTTTTGAAGAGAAGAATATCAGCAGATTGTAAAACTGGATAGAGAAAAAGACCCAATGGAATTGGAGCATCATCTTTTACTTTTGACTAAATTTTAAAAAAGAACATTCATTTACTGTCACAAAAAAAACTATTCGAGTACTTTGTATGTCGGAATATGAGCAACTTTTTGAACAGTTGTCAATGTACTAAGCAACCAATTCAATTCAGTATGATGAGGAAGCTACGAAGAAAGATTTCTTGATAATTCATAACATCAAACATCGTTTCGTACTTGCGATTGTCGATAGATGATACTACGTTTCGGATCAATACCACAAGCTAGCAATGATGCTGCCGTTTCTAAAATCGATTTCCTATTTGGATAGAACAATATGAACAAAAAAGCTCATCTTCATTCTCTTAGATCACACCTTAACACTTCAGGTTCACGCGGAATAGTCACGGCATGCAAATCAGCTAACATGACAACTAAATTATCACCACTATTCTGCAAATCAATCCATTTCTTCACAGCACCTGTAAATTCATAATAACAATAATTACAGCTAGCCGTCGACAATCATTACCTAGGTAATTTCCAACATGTGGAACACTAGAAGGTTGTATACCACAGAGAACACGTCGTGGAAACATCTGCAAAAAAAGTAAAACCTTTAGGAAGGACAAACTCTGCCATCATGGAATGGATTCAGATCAGATTTTTTTAAAATAATAAATGTAAGAGATTTATGCACATGGGTGATCACTGTGTCCTATCGGTGAGTACAGCATGAAAAAGTATATCAGCCGTTTCAATAACTGTACGACTTTCTATCAAGCTCAGTTCATTATTACACGTGTTGTGAACATTTATCGATTTCGATAGTTCTAAAGACAAAGAGAGTGTCAATTGTTATGAGTCGTATTCTGGAATAAAAAAGGCAAGTTTACCGATAGTTTTCAATAAAATTTGATGTATAATCGAAATTGATCTTTCACAAGCAGACTAGATAGAAATATCCATTTAAAAAGAAAACATATTAAGTGATAAACAGCAGTCATCTTACAATGAGATTTTTCTCTCTATGAAACCAAGCAAGTACTAAAGCAGAAAACGAGTCTCCTGTACCAGTAAAACATCCATTGAGATACGGAAAATCAATTCGGAAGGTTTGGTAATCATGATTTGACTTTTTTGAACTGCCATACATCTGTAGCATCGTTTCTGAGCCACCTGTTTTCGATGCCGATATACTGGAAATAATCACATGAGAAGGACCGATGCTATGTAAAGACTGTAATGTTCGCCAAAATTTTTGTTCCTTGTTGTCATTCGTGTCCGAAGTACATTCAAGTGTTCCACCGATAAGTTGTCTACGCAAAATCGAGTGAAGTAAGAAAGGTTGATAATCCAGTTACATTGTATTTATTTACTCGAATTCAAAATCGTTTGGTGTAACAATATCTGCGAGAGGCAAAATGACGTTCTTGTAAACTTCGACACAGGATTGATCGACATACTATAACTAACAAAAGTGAACTACTGTTTCATAGTATCTATCTACTCACTAATTTACCATTATCACCAATGACTGGATCACAGACTAGAAGATCAGGATATAGACAAAAGAAATACCATTCTCACAATACAATTACTATATATGACACGAGGAGATTTCGATTTGATCAAGCTAATGTACTCAGCAACGACATGAAGTAATTCGCCCGAGCCCATGTAACCAGTCAGGATATAATCATATTCGAACAGTTCGTTAGCCATTAAACCTTGAAAAACTGACCGAAGTTCGTCAACAGTTAGCCGACTACCTTTAACAACGCTGTAGCCTAATAGAGATTAGAGATCTATTTGCAACGAAAACGCTTGAGATTAAATTTCACGAACCAGTATGATTAGAAAAATGAACGGAATTGATCACATCAACTTCGAAACCATATAACTAAATGGAAAAAGCCAATCTTCTGGTTAGAGAGACATCAGTGCACTGAGTATCAGAAACAAACTTGTAAGATAAATGTAGCACATCTGTTACCAACATATCCATGAACGACGTGACTCTGAATTGATAATACTCGTGGTATCCGATTAGATGTACTGGACATATTAATCGAGAAAATTAGTGTACAGTACGGAAATCTTTCTTGTTCTTGCAGCAATTATATCTTAAACTTTCAGTTGCTCTCTTAACTGTACTGTATAATGTGGACTTGGATTTTGTGAACTAGATGTCGCGCTGGATCAGAAGAAACTTCCTAGTTAAAGTCATATCGTGAAACTCTGTTTTAATATTGTTTTGTATTAAAACATCTAAATTGTTCTTATGTGGCGGGTCGTATATGAATCCTGCAACCGAATAGGGTGAGGGTGTGGTTGGTTGAGCGTGATGAATGATGGAGTTTGATTATGGTTAGAATCGATAGGGCTGTCGAGATTCACTCGGAACCCGTGTGCGGTCAGAGTTGAAACGCATACTCATGCGAATCGGACTATAAGATATCCTACAAATGAAAACGATCTATAACAGATAATTTTTCTCGACAAGAGAATGTGACAAATCAGCTAAATATTAACGAGAAGATTGACAAAATATATCCTCACGCCCCTCAAATTTCATTTTCATAAAGAATCGAATAAAGTCAACGTGCATGTACAAGTAATCGGTAAGCTCTCTCTATATATAGAGATTCGGAGCATTGAATCGTGTGCAGAATTGTATTTCAAAATCTGGCACAGTGATGTTTCTTTTACCTTCGCCGGTCGAGTGGTCGGTGGTGACTTACGCTAAAAAAAGTTTTTGGAGGAATCAACCCTCAATTCCAGATTTTATCATTTTCCGGAAATTTTTTTCAGGGCAGGTTTTGTGGTTGAATTAATAAATAGCGCAATCCAGACCGAAAGGTCCGGTAGCCAGGCCTAGTGTCGTATATATTAATACTGATGTAATGTACGATGGTATAAAAAATTAGATCGTTTTATGTTTTCTACGCGTCATGATGACCGTCGACATTGGATCGACAATCTTTCGTTTTTTCTTTTTACATTTTGTTGGTTGTCTCCTTCGAACACCTAAAGAGGTGTCGAGCTTTGTATCTCTCTACCTCATCACATTCAGATCTAGCTCTTTCTTATTCTATAATTTTAAAGCATAATGATCCGTACGTTTTTCATAAGAAATAAAAAGTTGTGATGAATGTTCTTATCGTTAACATACAAATAGACATTCTTTGGTCATATCTTTTGATGGTATCTCATCCAGATACAATGCATAACTCCACTTTGTCATATTGGTTCCACCCCCTTTAATATGTTGATGCCGGTTGAAAGAGTCTGTTGCTAATCATCTCATTCGTTTTATTGCAATATGTGACTATCTGATAAATACAATGTCAAAAGAAAATAAAGAATACTGAGGGAACAAGAATCGAAATATGATTATCTGACAAAAAAAAAGAGTATATGTTTCTAATCACAAATAAGCAGCCCAGCCGATGAACATCTGACATAATAATTCGTTACTAGTGGCTTGCTAAAACGGCAAATCAATCAATTCAGATACATTCTACTAACTTTTAGCATACTTGAATTAGATGATCAACTTGTCCTTCAACCGATAAGGGTAATACCACACGTTTTCCAGTCAATTCATCTGTACAGTACCCACGAACACGTTCCAAGATATTTCTAACATGTGTTTGAGCCTATAAAACAATATTTGTCTTTTATATAGAAGAAAGATTTCATTTTAGTTTACCTTCATATTCACAACTTCACCGCCTTCAATTTGTTGTTTTTTCATAATCGCAACTTCTTCCCTTGTAGCTGACTTCCATTCAACTAAAGGATCATAAATAAATGTTTTCAAAACTGATACGAGTAGTTCACGTTCATCTCGTATCAGATGTAGAATAATTTCACATGTTTTACGAAAAACACCTTCAACACCCAATGTGCCCATTCCATCGACGATATTATGTGTCAGACGAAATGGAACTTTCTCAGGAATTTCAAACGTTAAACCTTAGGAAACGAAGAGCCAATAGAAAATTTATTTGATGTTTCCCTATTTTTACCTTTATTGAATAGACAATTGAAATCGACATGAACTGTTTCCCCTGTACATGTGTCAATAAGAATATTTTCACAATGCCGATCACCCAAACCCATTATATAGCCAATCATGGACATGACAGCTGTGGAACGAACGAAATTCATTCGGGTGATGTACCAACGATTTGGATCAGGATAGGCAGCAAAGAAATACTGATGAAATACCGCTGGTTGATGGAAGGCCAATAGTTTAAGAAAGTCCTTTGAAAGATTTGAAACAAAACATGAAAACATGCTATTTTAATTGACTTACATTATATCGTGCTTCTTTTGTTTTATCTTTACTATTGCCGTAAACTTTGATTTCACGATTGGATACTTCCGAGAAATTTGAACTTCGTTGTCGATAGAATTTTGTCACCAATGAACGAAATGTACACAAATTAGGCAGCCATTCAATGAGACCGCATCGTTCATTGATTGGATAGACAGCATAGGTTCGAATATTTAATTGACGACGACGTGTTTCACTGTTCTTCTTCAGACATTTGTTGAATAAATGACAAAAATCGAGACAACGTGAATCGACTCGTAGATCGTCTTGTGATTTACATAAAAATGGATATGCTTGTCCATCACTACCTCGTATAACAATTTTCTTTGGTCGTTGAAGAGATGATAATACATCAATAGTATCGTCGAAACTAAGGATAGTAACAACAGCATCAGGAAATGGTTGATGCCTTGCATCATAATAGGTTTTCTGTTGAACTTTTGTTGCTGTCGTTGTTGCTGCAGCTTGAGCATTCTTTCTTGCAGTTGTGCGACCAAGTTGACCCTGTTTATTCGCCATAGCTGTTAGTTTAACTGCTGCATCCGATGATAAATCAGCATTCAGTGCATGCTGTTGAACGTGTGCAGCTGTTGTCGACAATGAGAATCGAACGGGTGGCGGTGGTAAACAAACTTGCATTTGAGATTGGATTGGTATAAGTATTGGACAGGCTGTGTCACTTGCATACGAGCGTTTAAATGATTTAAATTGTGCAGAGAGACTTATTTTATTTTGTCCATATGTCACAGCATGCATACATAATGTATCTAATTGTTTGATAAGTACGGTTGCTTGTATAACAAAATCGTGTAAACCAGGCTCGATCGTTGATGCTTCATTCCAAATAGCGATACAACGATCACGTCGCATCGTATTTGATGAACCGTACAAATTTATCATCATCCATAGTGTTTGTTGGGGAAAAGCAGCAAATACTTGAGTAATGATGGAGTTTAATGCTTTCGATGTCATGTCTTCGCTATGGCATATACGAGAGACCATGTAAGGAAATGCAGCAAGAAATAAATATGGCGGTATACGAGTTGTCCATGAGGAGACTTCACGTGTTATTTCAGTTAATTTTGCTTGGCCATGTTGTTTGATTTGTGCGGCATCGGGCAGATTCGCGGCTGGTCCGGCCGTCGATGGTTGCTTGCGAGATGCATTTGCTTGTGGGGGTTTAATAAACGGTACAAGATCAGAGGCAAAATCAAGCCACATGGTTAACAAACGTGTTAAGGATTGATAAATAAATTCACAACCATATTTTAACGAACGACAATATGTATTCACAGCTAGGCGAATATATTCCATCATACGTAGCTTATTCTCTAATGTAAGTCCATTGGACGAGAGAAAATTGTTTGTCGTTGTTGTTGAATTCGAAGTTGATGATGTTGAATCGGATTCAATACACGATGAAAGTAAAGTATCATAGAATTGTGCTAAGTAAAAATGTGTTTCTTCCCAATGTGGAGCTGCTTCCTGTGCATGTTTATACATTTCAAAAACAGCTTCGTGTGGAGAATTTTGCTCACTGTAACGAGCTAACAATAACCATAACTGAGCTTTTAAATCGGCTGAAACTGGCAATCGATTTTCCGTTTGATTTCCGTCGTTTCTCGTATCTAGCAATTCAATTTTCTTCTGTTTTAAACTCATGATTGCTCGATCTTTTTCTCCTTTGTCCCACATCCATTGTGCACGTTCAATCGCAACTTCGATGGGATGCGATTGATTTGCTTTCATCAGAGATCCAATTGCTGCCAAGGAATTATTCTGTGCACGTGCTATCCGTGCACTATGCAACCAGCATTCACCGATTTCTAAGGCATGTTGTTTACGGTCGTTGTTATCATCCAACAAGAGTAATGTTCGTCGTAGGGCTAACGATGGTTCAATAAATTTACTATTCGGCGGTAATAATGCATGCCTTTGTGACCAGAAATCGTCGATATTGTCATTGTCAATGATCATAATTGAGGTGTCATCGTTAAAGATATTCCTTAAGACATAGAATTCTAGATCTTTAAGTAAATGTAGTTTGGCTAGGTAATCGTAGGCGCGTTGATACGAGCCAACTTCCATACTGGCTGCTGATATGGGCCCCATGAGAGAATTTAATGCTAGACGAAATTCGGATGAGAAACCTTCACGATTTTGTTTTTTCGCTTGACTGAGAATTCGTCCAAGATATTCTTCAAATTGTTTGGAAACGTTCAAATCATGAAGAATGTTCATTTTCGAACTTTCATCCGTCTGCTCGACTTGATTTGAATGATATGTTTCTTCCTGGTACGAACAGAATTTTTCTAATAGATTCCATTTCGATAGTTTCCATGCAGCTTCAATACGCAACGGATTCAACATATTGATCCATGTTGGATACTGCACAATGATACCTGTTGCTTGATCAATTGTATGCTGCAATTGTTGTTGTGTTAACAAATTATTTAAATAGCCGAGATATAAATGTATATTTGTTTGGTTTAATTCATTGATTTCTAGAACATTTTCATAAGCAACAATTGCTTCATCGATTTGTCCAGTGAGTTCATATGAAAGAATTTCCTCGTAAATATCTGTTCGCGGCTCATCCAATCGTTTGGGTGTCATATCACGTATGCCAATGATTCCGTACGCTGAATCCTGGTCGTTCAATCGATGGAAAAGTTTTAAAAGGAGTTCACTGTAAAGGGAAACATTGATTTGTTGATCGCTTGACGAATACATCTCGAAATGACGGTAGGCACGAGTATAATGATCATATTTAAAAGCAATTCGAGCAAGTGATAGATCCGTGTGTAAGAGACGAATATAATCACGTATTCGAACAATGCCTAGATTATTCCAAGTTCCATCCTGGATATTCAATGGATCAGGATTAGTCACTTGTTGAACCTGTTGGCGTTTACGTTGATTTGCCTGTTTCGCCTGTTCATTCGGATCGATGGCATTCAGTGAAGAAAATAACAGAAGAAAATCGATTAAGGTAAATATAATTTGTGCAATTTGATGAAGCACATCCGAGGGTGGATTAGTTTCATTCGAATCGTACTGATTTGTATAAAATATCAATGCTTTGATTTCTTTATCCAACACTTCTTGGCCAAGATTTTCACCAATTAAATGTAAGACAATATACGGCAATAAGAATGAACCAATTGAACTATTGAATCGCACAGCAAACAGACACGCATGAAATAAATGATAGTAGTTATTTGTCGGTAAATGTTGAATCAAATAAGGAACATATTGTGTTAGCCATTGCTCGTACGTTCGAATAGGCGATTGTTTCAGAATCGCTTCTTGCGATTTGTTTTTGTTCAGATTGGTTTCATCCGTTAAAACATATTTCGATGTTCGTAGTGGTTTGAATAAATCCTGCTGTTCTTGGTTTAATTTCGGCCACAATTGTTGATTGACCTTCACTTTCTCATTATCATCGGACAGATTTAAATTGTAGAATTTCAAGCATTCTTGGATCGCATAGGAGATGGTATCCTGTTGTCGGACTTGATCAGCAGCGAGAAAAGCTCGTGTTAATTCAGCGAATAATTCCAGCGCAAATTCTTGCGAATGTAAATTAAAATAAGAACGTTTCAGCTCATCGGTGTTGATTTCGGAATTCGAATTAGATAATAAACGATTGATCAACGATGTTGACGTGGCAGTTTTCGAGTATAATTTGCGAAATTCGATTCGACCAGGATCGATAGCTCCAATTTCTCCGAGACAATCGATAGCTGTAACACGAATGTTTTGATTGGAATCGTTCGAGCGTTCAAGTAATGTTAGAATCAGCCGAGTGATGATTGAAGGAACAGTATCACGAGATAAACACATCTGCAAGAGATGAGGTCGATTCGTTTTCAAAAGATTTTGTAAACTATTCAATGCATGAATACGAATATCGACCATATCGAAGTTGAGCAGCGTTATTAAACGTTGGAATTTGTTTCCTAACAATGAACGTTCGTCATTTTTCAACTTCGTTTGGTTGTCGTCAAGTTCAGCATGTTGTTTTTGACATTTGATTAGTTTGGTTCTGATTTTGTCTGTTTGACTTAACTGTGGAATTAACAACAAATCATCAGTGATCAGAGCTATTTGACTATTTGAAATATAGCTTAACATGAGAAGAATCAATTCTTGAAAATGTTCAGCATTGATCGTATGTAACGGCAATAATGAAGCAATTAACTGTAAGATCATTGACGAGAGGATATCGAGATTGGTGCGTAAATGATGAATGAACTCTTGCCAAAGATTGAACACAATTAAACTTAGTTCCGACGAACATTGTAGAGCCAAACGAAGAGATCGGAGAAGTTTGACACGTGTAGCAACGATCTGAGCCGGATCTAAAAGCAATACTTTTCAATTGTAGAATACTTCGAAAATATAAAATATTTACCCATGATTTTCAATACTTCAGTTAAACTCAATAGAACGCGTTTCTTCGAATGTAACGGCGTACTAGTTGACAGTAATTCCGTTTCAAAATCACATAGAATTCCTAATAGTTTCGATTGTAATGCTTTATAAACTTGTTTTTTGGAAACAACTTGAGAATAATCTTTATCGGGTGTCAATACAATCCCATCCAAGATCCCCACAGCCATTTGTAAACCTCTCATCACATGTTCCGGATGTGTACTGATGTAAAGTAATAATTTACTAAAAATTGGCGGACCACCGAATCGAAATACAGCTGCTAGATCTGCTCCGGCTTCTTGTTCAATAAATTCATTGACTTCATAGACACGATTGACTGAATAATCTCCATTGTTCGGATTGACATTTTCAAGACGTACATGTCTCCACACGTGAGAGTAGATTGCAGGGAATGCATCGAAAATGACTTTCTTTTTCGACATTTTCACCGCTGTGCGAATATGTTGAACGACTCGACTGGCGTTCAATGAACGCTCTTCAACAATCCACGGTAGTAAATCGGGAAGAATACGTTTCAAATATGTATTGAATGAACTTCCGTTGTGCTGCATCATACTAAATAACAAATGTAAATGACGTAAACATATGTCCGATGGTTGTTCAGAATTCAATAACAACGATTGAGATATCAACCGATATAAACTGTCGGTATGTTGCTGGACGATCGATGTAAGATCGATTTTTTCATTTAATGTACGAAGGTTTTTATTTGTTGTTAATGACGATTTCGTATGAGTTTGTAGGTATTCATCTTTGGCAATATTCATCAATTCGATTTGTGCAGTATGTTGAAACGATGTTGCTAACCCGTTGATTAATATGAATAAGACGAAGACAAAGATGTCTTCGTTGCATGTACGTCGTGCGATCAAACCACAAAGATGGATTAAACGACTGTAATCATCATCGTGATGGTTGGCAGCTTGTCGAATAGCATCGTTGTTTAGTTGTGTTAATGTATCGAATAGAAATTGATCAAGATGATCATTAACTGAACTCTCCCATTGACGATGACCGGAGAGAAATATGGTTTTGAATAGATAAGGCATTATCGTTAACAGACATAAACGTTCCTGATTGTTTTGACTGAGGTAAGAATTGAAAAGAGATTTTAGTTGAAGGAAGTTTTTATCTGAATCGTGTAGAGGACGAATAAATACCGGATGAGAATCGAATGTTTGGAAGAAAGCGATTAAATTCAGATAATTACATGGGATTGTTGTCTGATTGAACAGATGAAATATTGGAAGTATGTTCGTGAGAGAAAAGGACGTCGAGTGAGAAATCGATATTGCTTCATGTTTACGAATGTAACAGTGATCATTATGTGGTGAGCAAGCAGTACAAATCAATTGAAATGATGGAAAAACCAGTTGATTGAAATGATCATGAATCTAAATGGACGAAAATTGTTCAACAAATCTCTTTGTTCAGATCATTTACCTTTAGCTGAATTGCATTTGTGTCTGTATCGCATAGACATCGGTGCAAACGCCAAATATCCATTACTGCAGGTCGAAGACGTTCGTCAATGTCCTTGGTACAGTATTTTGTGTAGAATATCGATAGGAAAGATGTTGTTTGTAGATTATGTTGCACCATCGGTAGAACTTGCAATGCCATGATTTGTGTATTGATATCCGAATCTTGAAGGCATGAGGAAAAGATGTGAAGACGCAATTGCGGGTAGAATTGTACGTTAAGTAGCGCTAAACATTTTAGTGATATTAATCGGTCGTGTTGATTGAATTTCGATTGGAATGTTTGAGCCAGTTGTTGAGTTATTTTACAAGTATCTGGTTTAGGCTGGAAGTCGTACCAGTTTGGAAGTGATGATAACCAAGAAAGACATAGAATTGATAAAATATCCTCCCGTAGACGAGGATGTAATTGATCTACAACAACAGTTCGTCTTCGATCATCAAGGCTGCTTTTTTTGAAAAGTACACACCTGAGATATAAACTGACGTTGCAACCATGGTGGCAAGAATATACTCGTATGCAAGAGAAAATAATCCAACAGTCACACTATTGACTAGATAGACAAGTGTATTGATAAGATAACCATAGATTGAACTTATTTCGTCGATCGTTAACCAAGACGCATAAAAATCGTTTTCTTCTGCTAATTCTAATTTAATCTGGCGTATCTGACATCCAATAAAAGCTTGACAAACTGAGGTTATTAAACAGTAAACATTAAAAACGCGTTGCAAAGCATCCTAGAATTATTGATATGATTCAGACAGAATTGATTTTCATTCAAATTCCAAGATCAAACCTCTTCGCTGTTGAATGTACTCTTTTCTAAGGTTGTCTTCAAATGCTGCCAGATTGTTTTCAATAATCGTATTCGTCGCACTCTATTGACATCGGATAAATTCAAATATTTTCTCTCATTTACAAAACATACCGAAATGATTGCTGAGAAGAACGATGCTTCTCTTGAATCAACCAAACAATTCCTTTACCTAATGCATGATTTAAATACTACAATCAATATGAAGATAAATCCTTCGGTGAAATATGTTATTGACCTACTTTTGCTAATAGACACTCATCCAGATTCGTCAATAGATGTTCGATGATTTCATAGGCATGTGCAACAAGTATAGAACTGGTTCCGACATCTCTTTGACCGCATTCGAATAAGATTGCTAACCAGATAGAAAACTGTTCGAGATAACCTTCACTTTGAACTTCACCAAACAGTCTTAATGGTCTACTATTGATTTGAAATTCAATATCTGCTTTGCTTGCGATGCTAATGTGAATAAGTAGATCTTTGAGTCGAGGTATAACAAAACCGATATGTTCGGAAAAAAAGTCAATTGCTTCGGCGTGATTTTGACATATCGTTTGGATTAAGTACGAGAAATCTTGTTCAAGTTGAAGCGAATGTCTACAGAATGAAAACTCTTCAATAAATCTGATGACTGAAAGACAAGATTGGACAAACTTTGGTTCGGTATGAATGAAATTCATGATGGTTAAAAGTATATCCGAAATCGCAAAATGAACATGAGGTGTCAAATCAGTAGATAATAATCCTAATGAACGGTGTTGAATAAAAGAAGAAAAAAATCGACATGTTGCCTGAAAAAAAAAAGATTACTTAGGTAGATGTGGAAAGGAAAAATATATACAATCTTATCAACAGACCGATTTCACATGTAGATCAGCGGTGCGTATCAGTTCACATGTTGTTCCAATAAGATGTGAGATTGTTTGTCGATCTGATAGCGTCGAAAGCGTACTCGCAAGATGTTTAAATACTGATCTATAGAAATGAGAAGAAGAAAGATGGAGGTTCATGTGAAATATATACACTTCGTTACATTAAGTTTAATTGGAAACTGCTAATATCGTCTGAACAAGTGAATTCAATAACGCATCGTTCGATCGTCACATTATTTGACAATGATGTGGCAACTTGTTCCGGAACAAGAAAGCGATAGAGGCGTTTGGGTTGATGAATTCCTTCTTCAATGAATTCCACGTCATATTTAATTGTATCTATTGAATTCATATTAGAAAAATCAAATTCGAAGAAGAAAACAATCAACAAACCATTCAATGTATCGATCAATTCATTTATAAATATTCGAAAGAGTGCAGGCCAACGAAGTGATAGTTCACCATAGAGATTCGCAAGGACACCGATGGTATTTTCTTGTATCGAGTTGAACTTCTTCGATGACAATGTCCAAACGAGTAATGAAACTATGTAAACATCGAAATCTAGACAAAATCAAAGAAAAGAAGACAAGCGTTGATCAACGGGTTTCATGAATCGATTACAATAGGAATTAGTTGTTCGAATAGCATCAAGAGTATGTTGTTTATCAGCATCTGTAACAAAGACGCTTGGTGTATTGATAACAATTTGATTGATTGAATTGAAAAATTTCTCCTGTTGAACGTCAGTGACTAGGAAATGAAATTGATGAACCATACGAACATGAGAAATTGATCAAACCTCGCGTTAGACTTCGAAAAAATGACGATAAAAAATGACACATAGTATTGCGACCGAATTCTACATTGTCAGCTGGTGGAACAAGATTAACCGTACTGGAAAACAACGAATGAAATCGTACTTTTGTCGTCATTGATCGAATATCAAATTGTACACTAACCTGTTTGCTGCATTATTCTCCGCTGTTGTCATCTTTCTTCAACAGCAACAACTACTTCTAAAGCAGAAAAACAAAAACGCAACTGTATCCATAAATTATTGTTTATATCGGTTTTTTCCATTCGTTCAACCAATCTTGTGTTTTTCATGCAACAAAGAACTTCACGTGTTATTATCACTTTAGGAAAAGAGGCATTTTTGTGCTTTTTTTTCTCTGATCAGTACTAATCAAGTTCGAAAATATGCATGGAACAAATACATATACATATACACACACATACACAACAAATAGGAGAAAACGAAAACCAATAAAGACAACCGTCGTTTCTCTGTAGAAGAAAAGCAAAAGAGCGAGAAGGTAATCATGATACTTTATACAAGAAAACGCTCGGCTTGAACTGAGGCAATCATACTGATTACATTCGAAATACATAGTATTTGTTGCTTTTCAAATCGAACGGACTCAACGCAGTAAAAAAGAATGCATCTACAGATTTAAAGACAGGATGATCAACTGGTACTGTTCGAAGACGTATTTATAGTGGTCGAATCAGATGTTGCTGATGAATTATTAGTATTGACACTGGCTTGTTGGATTAATTCGACAAATTTATTTTTATCGACTGTTGATGATCCTAATAGGGCTTGGGCTACTTCAGGAATAATATGAATTGTGATCATCGGCACAGTTGATGACGACCCATCAGTAGTCGTTAATGTTGGTGTTATGCGTGTCAGTGGCGCAACGGCAAGTAAATCTTGCGCATTGGTAAAATTGATCGTAACACGTTTATTGTTACCGTTATTATTCGAGTCTAATAGAGTAGCTGTGGGAAATACTTTGAGTTCGGGTTTCGATAAGTGTATTGTATTGGTAGTTGCTGTTGTGATGGGTAAACGTGTCTTCTTTGCACAGGGATGACGAAGTAAAATCGCTTCGAGTTGATTGCGTTGATCATTTAATGTTTGCACTGTATGTTCTAGATCTTGTTGTTGTTCCATCAATTCTTTTTCAATCTAATTATACAAAGAAACATTAAGAAGAAATGATTTTAGATTTCGAACTAACCTGTTCTAAATCTTCACGAAGATTATTTCGCTTTCGACGACATTTAGCCGCTGCTTGTTTATTGCGATCACGACGCTGTTTACGCTTCAATTCTTCGTCAGGTGGAAGCTGCAAAAGAAAAGAAAGAATTCGAATAAATAGAATTGAAGACGACTATTGATCTATATAAACATACAGGTTGGTCTTTACTTTTTCGTCCATTGGCAAGCGTCGGTGCCACACTTTTTCTTGGTTTAACCAATATTGGTCCATATTGAATTGCTTGCACATTTTGTTGCTTATCAAGTTTAGCTGATTTATTCGATTTTCCTCGTCGCAATTTTGATGGACTTTTCATGTCGTTTTGACTTTGATTATAATCATCAGTAGACATAGATACTTCGTCAGTATCCATCTCACTACCATCTAATAATTCATTGTTCTTTGAAGGTGTAAGTTTTGTTTGATTAGCCAGAGTCATAGCGGTAGGTACACCTCGAGCAGTAGTGTAATCGGCAAGGGCAATGATTGGTAAGGTTGTCTGATTCGGTAAGCTGATGACGCTCTTTAGAAAAGAGAAGGAAATAACAAGTGAATGATCTATCGATGTTAAACTTACTACTTGTTTGACAGTGTTAGTCCGTTGTCGCCCAGTAGCCATTGATACGAGTGTATTGGCAACCTCTGCAGCTGTATTCTCAGTATGAACATGCGTGCCAGGATTATTGTTTACTAGCAATGTTGTCGATCCCGATGAATCTTGTGTTTGAACACTTTTCTCGGCTGTTTGCTGCTGTTGAGTTGACATTTTAAAAAGAGTTGGAGTCAATGTTTGTATCTTTGATCTAAATGAATTCATAAAAAGATTCAATTTTAGTTTCTACAGTTTTCCAAGAGAGAAATAGATGGCTGACAGAACAATTTTTCTATAGAAAACGATGACACTTGAGAGAAAACACTCTCGTAACTCATCAAGAAAGACAGAAAAGGGACATAAAGATTTTCTCGTTCCACGAGACGAAAGCATTAGTCAGTCTGCTTACCGCCCGTTGAATCAGAGGTCTATCATCAGAACGCAAAGTATTTTAGATAGGCAAAAAAAACGCACTACACAGAATGATAGTTGTGTGTATGAGGCATACTCCTTAACAACACACACACTACACGCATTCGTCGTTTTTGCGATTGCTTCGCCTTCGTGTCCCTGATTGTTCTCTTTTCTTAGCTGTCGAGGAGGCGGGAAAAGGAACAGAAAGAAAAAAAGAGAAAACGAAGGTTTGGAGGACGATGACGCATGATTTTTTTTCGTCGTCTTTTTACATGCTACGTTCTTTCCTACTTCCCTTAGACGATGATTAATGACGCATATGCAGAGGAGAGAGAAAAGCAAAACAAATGTTGATGATGAAATCCGCGTCAGGCTTTCTACATGGGTGTTGTCGTCATGTTTGCTCTATGAATCATTTCATGAAAAAATCTTCCATTACATCAAATCGAATTTGTATTAAAGCAAAGCGATAAAATAAATACTATCTACATGTCATGTAAGGTTTTCAGTAGGAACCGAAGTAATAACCTAATGATTGTTAAGAAAGAAAAGGACACGTTCGTATACCGACATACCTGTCTTGCACAACACTAAAGACAACGTTTCGACCATCCATTGTTACCAATGTTTTATCATTGATCATAATCTGAAATAGAAGTCGTTTAAGTTCACTGTAGATGAACGTTCTTATATGACTCATGATCTATAATTCGAGGTTTTCATGTAAACGATGAATCATTACGGATGAGGTTCTCATTATTCATGAATACCAACCAGTTTAGTAAAAGAGAAAAAAAACGATTGACTCATTGGTATGATATCTGATATAATTATCAAATTATTTGAAAAGTCTAGCGTGGATGTTAAGTGGAAATTAACTTACACTAATAGTGTAGAGTGTGAGTACGTACGTTAATTTCAAAGAATAATATCGTTAGATCTATGCAGAAAGAAAAATGATCTAAAATTAGAAACAATATAACTAGTTTAACAATCACTTGATATCACTGTAGCATATGTATGTATATCAACAAAGAAAGAGAAGAAGAAGAAGAAGAGAAAGATAATCTTTTGGTAACATAAGAAACAACGTCAACAAGATTTTACTATATCGAATAGATGAAAAATAGGAAACAAAAGCAGAAAAATATCTATATACATCATATCATTCATCATTTGCTGTCAACTGTGTCGAAATTGTTGTTGCTGGCGGAATCATTGTCTCGTTCGTATCATTAGTTTGAAGTTCAAATGATTTGACCAATTGAAAGAGTGTACCTGCTTCTCGTATATGACGGAAGTTAATACAAAAACCTTGAATGTCCACAAGAAGATCATTGATGTCAATAACTTTGTTACGTATTAATGATTGAATGAAGACACTAACAAGTCGAACGAAACGATTTTGAAGATATTTATCTTTTGTTTCATCACAGGTTTTCGTACATTTTGTAATGTATAGTTGAAGAAACTCTTGTGGCAATTCCATTGTTGTTGATAAACGGTTCACAACTTCCATAGAATGCAAACTCATGTTCGTATTGAGCAACGAAGACAAATATTCAGGCATTTGGTTCGACGAGATTAGTTTCAACAAGCATTGTATGCTGATCAATGGACTATTTTCGACTAGGATTGATAATTTCGATGGCACCAGACCAATATGGTAGACAAGATTGGGATCGTTATCGAGTTCATCCAACAATTTTTGTTGTTGTTGTAGATTCAAAGCACCTTGATATGCTTTTTCCATTAACTGACGAATTTCATGATTACCCGTATTTGCAATACACATTCTCGAGTCCCAAGTAAAGAGAAACGGATCCTGATCGATAGGTGAAAGCCAAACTAATTCATCTATAGTACACTCATGTAATGGAGGCACAAGACGAAGAAATTCCGGGCGTATCGTTTGTTCCATAGCGTTGCTAGTCAGTAAACGTTCAATCGTTTGTCGACTATCATTCGGACGTTGACGTGGTCCACTAATAAGACTATCGAATCCGTACTAGATCAAATCAAAACAACAAGGAAATTTTAATCGAAGAAAGATCATGAGTATTCTTACATGATTGATTTCTGGATCATCAATGACAGCTGGTAAATGACACTGAACAAGGACAGGCAATTGTTTTGATCGTTCGTGAACTTTTTCTTTCAACTCTTCTCTACCGAGATCACTATCAGACGTTGGCAGTCCTGCTTGAAGGATTTGATTCGGTGTTTTCTTCGTCAGGTCTTTGAGATTATTACTATTATCGATTAGTGTTTTCACAAATAATCGTTCATGTAGTGTTACAGGTGATATAAACCGGTGAACGTGTTTTTGTGTTGACAAATGTTCTCCATTGGCATTTTGTAATATGGATACAAAGACGGGCGCGAATGGATTGAGGTGTATGGCTTGTTGTTCAGTTTTGTACATATCATTAAAAAGAAATAGAATGATTAGACGTTGTTGTGGTGTTGGGATTAGATCGCGATTTTGTAGTAGAAGTACGAGCGCATTACCCACTCGCAAATAATCTGATTTTGAAATGTTATGTTGAAATTGAGCAGAGATTTGTTCGAATGTTAACGATGAACCACACGTATCTTCATTAAGAAAATTTAGGAGAAGATTTGTGTCTTTCGATGACAAACACATGACTGATTAGAAAAGTTTCTCTGATCGTTTTTTTTTTATCAATTAAAATATACAAACAAAAAAAAAAGAAGTTGTTATCCTATATTATACAGAATGGCAAACAAAACTGACCAATGAAAAAACTAACCAGATGGCGCTGGAGCAGATGATAATAATTTATTTTGGAATTTTTTCTCGGAAATTTCTTCGAATCTATGTAAATTTGACATTTTTATTGATATTTGCCATTGAAATCGATTTTTTGAAGTCTCTTCTTTAATGAACAACTGAAATGGCAGATATCATATGATAAAAATATTGCGAAGACATTTTGCTCGTTCGAGTACTTTTCTTTTACTAGTTGTCATATCAACTACAGAACATAATCTCTAGAAATTCGACTGATTGAAATTATATCAGACCATGGCAGATAACGATCAATTCATCATAGACACGGACAGTGACATCGATCAGGATGACGAGGATGAAAACGAAGGATCAGATGATGATACGGGATTCTTTCCGATTGATGAACCCATCGTGTACTCATCTCAATCATCAACAACAACGTCACAAACGCACAGACAAACGAAAGGAACATCTGAACAGTCAGGAAACAAACATTCAACAAGTATCAATACGACAAGTAGTCATTCACAGGATAATAATTTCGAATATGTCGGTAAGTATCGATTCAATCAAAAGAGAATCGGACGACGGCTTTCATTCTTTGATTTAGTGTTAACACAAGACGATATTGTAAAATACATGGTTGAGTGCATCAAAGAAGTGAATGAAGTTATCAAACTACCGTCAACAACAGTTCGGCTTTTACTTCATCATTTTCGTTGGGACAAAGAAAAGTTGATGGAACGTTTCTACGATCCAAACCATCAAGATGAACTATTTCGACAAGCACATATTGTTAATCCGTTCAAACGACCACATTTACAAACTCAAGTATCAACATCATCATTAAATCGTTCGACACGTCGTCAAATATCATCAAGTTCTCCATCACCTTCGGTTTCAATAACGACCAACCCATTACGCCCTTCAACTGAACAAACATGTCTAATCTGTTGTTCAACCAAACCTATCAGTAATATGGCGGGTCTCGAATGTGGCCATACGTTTTGTATAGCTTGTTGGCAACAGTATTTAACCTATAAAATCATGCACGAAGGCATCGGACAGACTATTCCATGTCCATCGAAGTGTGACATTTTAGTTGATGATAGAACGGTTTTACGTTTGATTGATGATGCCGATGTTCGTCGGAAATATCAGCATCTTATAACGAATTCATTTGTCGAATGTAATCGCAATATGCGTTGGTGTCCAGGAACGAACTGTACGAATGCGATCAAAGCATCCTATTGTGATGTCGCAATGGTAAGAAGACAAGAACTTTTTAAACGCATTCTCACGCTTTTCTTCTTTCGTAGGTAACGTGTACGTCATGCAAAACATCCTTCTGTTTTCAATGTGGTCAATCCTGGCATGAACCAATCAAATGTAAATGGCTGAAAAAATGGCAAAAGAAATGTCATGATGACAGTGAGACGAGCAATTGGATCGCAGCGAATACAAAAGAATGTCCCAAATGTCATGCAACTATTGGTAAGTTCATAGTTTTAATTGCTGATCTTTCAGAAAAGCACGCCCTCAAGCTCTGACTATAACCGAATATGAACGATTTTTTAGAGAAAAATGGTGGCTGTAATCATCTAATTTGTAAAAATCAAGCGTGCAAATATGAGTTCTGTTGGGTATGTTTGGGCGCATGGGAACCACATGGTTCATCATGGTACAACTGTAATCGTTTCAACGAGGATGATGCGAAGAAAGCTCGCGACGATCAAGATCGATCAAGGTCAGCTCTACAACGATATCTTCATTATTACAAACGTTATCACAATCATCACGAATCATTGAGATTAGAAAATAAACTGTTAGAACAAGTACAAAAGCGTATGGAATCGATGCAACAACAGATGAGCTGGATCGAAGTACAATTTCTTCAAATTGCTTGCGATGTTCTCCGACAATGCCGTCAGACATTAATGTATACATATCCATTTGCGTTCTATCTCAAACGAAATAATCATTCGTAAGTTTCATATGTTGATTGACAAACACTCACATCCTCATCTATTTAGAATTATTTTTGAGCAAAACCAAGCTGATTTGGAACATGCAACGGAGGAATTGAGTGGATATTTAGAACGTGACTTTTCTCAAGCAAATGCGAATCTAACAGAAATGAAACAAAAAGTACAAGATAAATATCGTTATTGCAGTACTCGTCGTAAAGTTTTGCTTGATCATGTTGCCGAAGGATATGACTGTGACTATTGGTTCGTATAGATTACTTTACTAACTCGTCTATGATTTACTTCGATTTTCTAGGGAGTATAATGAAGATCTATAAATTCGATGTTATTCTTGTCCTAGTGTAAATGACAACGGCCATTATTTATCTACAATGTATATGTTTCACCCATGTTTATCTCATTTGTCTTTGTTGGAATTATTCAGGCAAAATGTTTGCGCTTCTTTGTTATATTGCATTCAGATTTGTCTCGTTTTCTTTTCTGTTTATTTCACTCAAATGTCTGTGCTATATGCTGTATCTTTGTTTGATTTAGGCTGAGAAATAAAAGAAAGATCTCAATAATAATAATTTCGAATTCTGTCATTCAAAACGATGCGATGATGTTCAGTGTACTTCAAGACACATGTATGTTCTTAATATGTATTTATTCTTTGAAATGTTTGAGAGGGATAATTGAGAACGAAACTTTAAAAAAAGAGAGCGAAGACGGTGAATGAATGAACAAGCAGACTTTGTCTTTCTTTCTGGACTTTCCAATGAACAAGAAAAGAAAAGAGTAACAAATAACACTATGGAGTACTTTTTTGGTCTAATCTTGTCGACCTTTCAATTCTCGCACAGTAACCTTGTCTTTTTCGATAACATAAACTACTGCACCCCAACCACTAGCCGAATCGCGATCAACACCATTTAACAATGCTTGTGATGTAGCTTCGAATAATTCATCTGAATTCATGTTTGGCTTAAAAAATAGTTCACCTAAATGAGAAGATTGTTGACTATGAGAGAGAAATAGTCGATCAAGAAACATACCAAGACCAAAAATATATTCACTAGCTGTTCCGACCGTAGCTAAATTAACGTTATCACTGACAGCTCCAATGTTATCGGAATCGTAAACGTATGTTTCGCCAGTTTTGGGATCAAGGCCAACAACGAGCGCAAAGACGAAATAAGGTCCAAATCGTCGTTCATATAAGAGATTGGTCAACATATTATAGAGAACAACTGGCTTCAATTTTCGTTGTTCGCGCAATTCATATAAATTTGTACGAAATTTTAAACGTTCGGATACCGTTTGGACCTTGAAGAAAGCATTTTATTGTATTGTAGAAACATATTTCTTCACGAACACTTACATCTGTAGCTAAGCCACAAAATGCCACGAAACAATGGTCACTATATTGAAATATTTTTGTAAAATTCGTGGCGATTGTTCGATTTTGTACACCATAACGTTTATCACATGCGATGGCGACGCATTCTTTGCCCTTCATTGCTAAAGCTACACCACCATTGTACGACAGTATATCATCACCCATATCGGTTGTTTATTGAAAAAGATTATCTATATGTTGATGATGAGATCTACAATCATGTCATATATGAATTTCGATTAGTTATATATTTACGGCGAAAAATAATCAAATATAAATATAGAGGTTCAGAGACACCGAGGAGGAAAAAGAAACGAGGGACACATTGTCTTATTCGAATGATCATACAACATAAAGAAAAATAAGATTAATTTAAAATAATACAAGACAAACAACAATATTGCACTGTTAAGGAAGGATTGGAATGTAATTATCAATTCTAAAACACAAGAAGGAAATGATTGCAATCAAAATTCGAGGAATGCTTTTGTTTCTTATTTACCGTGCTCGATGCTTTTGTGCGATACATTCAGCGATCCAAATAATGTTTCGACTTTCTTGTTCTTTCAGTTTTAAATAAGCATAGAAAATACCGAAATGAAATTGACGAAGAAAAGCATTGCGATTAAGTTCGACCTATTCAAACACATTGAGAACATATTCTGATTTTTTTTCATCGTAATTGAACACCTACTTCACGTTCGAAGAATTTGTCTTCGATCGTTTTCTCGCCTGTACTTGTTCCGGCTCCTTCAAACAAAGCTCGATATAGCTAAAAATAAATATCAAAACAGAGTATATGTTTTGCGTGGACAAGCCAAAAACTTACCGGATAACGAGCAGCAACGTCTTTTACAGCTTCATAACTGTCTGTACGTCGCAATTCTTGTAAGCCATCAGGATTTAAACTACCACATCGTGGATAAAGTTTAAATCGTTCGTCCTGTGTTAGGCCTGTATCAAATGAATTGATAGTAATCATAAATGCACGGCGATCAGCTTCGAACTAAACATATACGAGAAAGTTGTCTTTGTAATTTTTCTTCAACCGGCAAATACTTACAGCGAGGATTTCACACATCACTTCAGCTGTGACACCACCGAGTTGTTTACAAAACTTATAGAAATCTTCCAAATAGGCCTAAATGGAATATTTCCATCCCAGATCCTTTGTTTGATTCGTCATTTCGTTTTTCGCTTACCTTGTGAAGTGTACTACGAATGATCTCGACATTTAATTCATCAAGATCATGTTCGGAAATGCAATCAATGAAATATGGTGCTAAGCAAAACAAAGTGAACGGTTCACATGTTGATGGAAAGCAATAGTTTCCATACCCAATGGTGTGTCAACAAGTACAGCATTGTAAAGCTGCGCAGGTGTATCAGCAATTGTAATAGCGCCAAGTTGTTCAAAACTGCCCAATGGATGACAGCGTGGTAAAAGATCTCCAACAGCACGTTGATGTAGTGTACCCGTTATTAATAAAACGATGTTATCGATCATATAGGCATATCTTGAATAACAACAACAGGCGGATTTATTCCGTTTTATTGGATTGAAATTGATTGAACTTACGTTATATAATCGAGAAAAGTTGATAGTGGCTCATAGGAAATGTTACGTAGATGTTGGAATTCTTGAACGAGTTTTTCACGTAGACGATCATCAATAACATTGACTGTTAATGGACTTGCATCATTAGCCAGGAAATTACCATAATCTGTCGATTGAAGATGGAGTCGTAAATCTAAAAACAGCAGAGATTATTAGCGAATGCAATGTTTCACGATATTGGACTGTTACCTTCGAGCGTTTCGCATTGGACAAGATTGTGATAGTCTGCTGGTTTTAAAATACCACTTTTAAAACCACGGCATAATCCTTCGGCATAGCCATGATCAAGATTGAAGAACAGATCGTCTTTCATTATTAAATACCAATGGAAAAAACTATATCTAAAAATACGAAGACTGTAAGAATAACTGAAAAGGTCCGTTGTATCTGATAGGACACGAATTTGAAGGATAAGAAACGAAGAAAAAAGAAAGTATTTGCTTAGTGAATCACATTCAGCTGATAATATGAATTACTTCTTGCTAGCCCTAAGAACATATACTATCTAAAATAAATTATCTGAATGATTACAGCGTGGTCGAATCGAAAGACTAGATGTACATCGTTAATAAGTATATGTTTTGTTAATTCTCCTCTGGAAATGTTCCCCAGCCGTTAATGTTTCTTCATTCTCATGATCAAGTGCTAGTTTTGCATGTGCATCTTTCTCGAACGTTCGATTGAGAATTAATTTCGACGGAACTGGTGTCAATAATGTAGAATCATTTGGATGACAAAAATAAGCAATCGAAAATCGTTCATTCTCTTTTGCCGTATCCAAGATTGGCATTGCGACACGATGAACTGTACTTTTAATGAAACCTTTCGACCAATATTCAAAAGCATCACCAAAGTTAACTACCAACATATCATTGTACGGTTCAACGGGATACCAAGTATTCGTTGAACGATCAAGTACTTCAAGACCTGATTGATTTAAATGCTGAAAAAGAAGCGTGATCGAACCATAATCGGAATGTTCACCAGCACGAATTGATGCATCGGAATAGTTTTGTACAGCCGGATAATGAAGAAGTCGAAGCGTATCTGCTGACTTCTCCTCCCATTTATGTCTCGAAGTGAAATAATCGGAGTCGACTTGAAAACTTTGAGCAAGATAAGTTAATAATGCCATACACAAAGCATAACAATCTTGTTGAAACTGGAGAATGAATTGGTAATTATCCGGTTGAGCAAATATGGTAGGTAGTTGATCTGACTGAAAATATTTCGCTATATTGAAAGCTTCTTTCTCGTCGATTAATTTTGCCGTACTAGTTGTAAGATTTTCTTGTCCACGTCGAACGTAACCATGATTATCCTTCGTAATTAAATGTTCCTCTTTAACATTTAATGGAAGACGAAAAAATTCTTTGGCTAATGTAAACATGCGTTGTTGTGCATCCAATAGGCCATGATTACGGAGATAGAAAAATCCGGTGGTCGAACAAGCATTCAACATCAACTTTACGATTGTTGATTCATCGTCTTTAAGATCAATGATCGGTAACGACGAAAATGACATGACTGTTTTTTGTTATGAAAATGATGACGATAATGATAATAAAAAAAGAGATCTAAAGGATCAAACAAGTAAACAGATGAATCATAAACTTTGAACAAATACTGACATCTTAGTGAAATAAATTGAAAATTTCAGTTTTTTTTATCTCATAGGAAACTTTTTCTTTTTTGCTCTGATGGAATTTCAGACACAAACTCAAATATGATTTTTCTTAATTATTCAACCAATAGATGTCGCTAGACATCACGTATTCTACTATGTGACTTATTGTCCAAAATTTTATTTAAATAGATTTACAATTAGACATAACTATACAAAATGACAAAAATACATTGAATTTCATGAATCAACTTTTGTATGCAAACCATGGAACTGGCGGTAGATTATGATCAAGAATTCCATGTGAGTACCAAAGAAAATCTTGAGGTAGCTGATGAATGACAACGGTTTTTCGACGAAGATAATTAGGATAAATCTGGAAGACAATAGGAATTATGATGAACGAGAAGACAATCAGAAAACTGTTGATGATAATTATGAGAATTGTATACAAAATAATCGTTCTGTTGATTTTCTTTAAACATCCATCTGGATAATAATTGTTTGCTAGATTATGAAAGTGAGATGGGCAATCTGAAAAGATTGAAATAACAGACGTAGCAGTGAATGATTCTACTAGTTTTCCAAGAAAATTTTACTCACATAGGTTCGACGAAATGTCTATGAAAACACTCGACTCCATCGTACAGCATGATGGAGGTAGGTAAACATCATGTGAATTTTGCGGTGTTTCACCATTTGTATGATTTTCGTTAGTAGAAATCGTATTATTATTACCACTATTTACGGTCTTCAAATCTAAGCTTGACCAATCCATCCAATTATTCTCACCACAACATCCATGTTTCGTTTGGATATAGTTTATAATGTGTCTGGCATTTTGATTGCCCTTGTATTGATTCATATAATTTCGAAAGCGAACGCTTGTATATGACGGTGACTTTGCTTGGAAAATTAGTGCTAGGACGACGGAAATGATAGCAAATATTGCGAGTGAAAAGGAAATAGCTGCCACAATTCTACCTATAAAAAAACCGTATGTCGTAACGAATGCTGTTAGATTTTCAAGAAGAATCGTAGTGCTTTCGATATAAGCAAATTTCATGAGACTTACCCAATATTCTATGGCGACCTAATACCGCGAACAGACCAGTACCGCTCACTAGAATTCCTATACAGCCGATTGCCATATTATAAATAGACAAATCAATATGTAATCGCAAAACTTCTTCATAATGATGGTATTTCACGATCATGATGCCATTCGCAGTCAACTGTACCACAGAGACGATCAATGTAAGAACTAATATAATAACTCCGAAAAGGACTTTCTCCATTCTTATGATCTATTCATAATCGAATACTTAATCTCACATTTTACACTAATATATACACTACAAGAGTAGCAGATGCGTAGTACTTATGATGGGCGACAGAACAAAAACATCACTGTGTGTGGGTGACGTAATATTCCCATCTATCAATCAATAGAGTGAAAGCGTCATCATTTTTTCGTAGTAATATTATAAGCGACGCATTTGTCAGTATAAATAATCACTTATGCACATATATATTGACCTCCTGAGAAAAACTTGTAGCAAATATCGTTTTTTATTATGTTTTACGATAACCGAAATGAGCACATTTTGTGTAGTTAGAAGCGCATGGTTAGTAAACATGCACATAAAAGAAAAGATCCAAATAGATGAACGTTCTTAGCGAGCTTAGCATATGAGTATTTTAAAGTTTTTTTTTTCTCTATAGGAGACGTTGCGATTTAATTATTGATAGATTGAGTAATCGTTGTGAGGATTGATAACTGATGTTTTTTGATCTTTAGAAGATATATAGCTGGGGTGATTGTCTTGTGAAAATGGATGATCAGCTAACGATGAATTTCGGTAGGTTTTCGGTGGACGAACATAACCACCGTACGTTCGTTTTAGTATTGGTACAGCTATAAAAGCAAAAACCACGAGAAATCCATTCATAAAGGCTATGCTGAGAGATTGACTAGCAGCAACAGCTTGAATCTTTTGTGAACAACCGCTATGATGAAAGCTGCTTGGCACGTTATTAACATTTGAAATACAGTCTAAAGATGTTACAGATAACGTATTTATTGATATTACAAAGAGAACTCACATGGATCTAATGAATTGAAAAACAGAGGAACATCATTTGTGCAACAGGATTGAGGTAATGTAACAGGATACGACATAGGTGAACCATTCGTATTGTCATATTTTGTTTGAGCAGCTCGTTTATTTTTCGATGATTGCACGAGGGAACCTAATCCCATCTGAGCAAGTATATCATAATAATAAGCTGTATGTGTGGTATTATGATTTTTCGAATTTTGCTTTTTGATTGTCGTAGAGTATACATATGGGGTTGTTATTGTTGCTGAACCGACATCTGTTACCTTCGTTGTTTCAAGTCCGTTGTCCACAATGACTTCTACATCTGTATTGACTATTGCATTAGTTGTTGATCCCTGCTTCGAAGTACTTGTTCGAGTCAACATTGTGTTCATGATTGGCGTTGTGTAAATTCCAGACTGACTCGAACTGGTCTGAACGACGTTACTATCTGTATTCGATGGTACTGTCAATAGTGACACTACATCCCAATCTAACCACATGTTACTGCCGCAACAATCATAATCTTTTTGAATATTGTCAATACTAGTTCGTACATTAACATCGTATTTGTAGTTATTCATGTTGTTTAAAAATCGGGAGTTGATGTAGTTAGCTCCTACAAAATTGATTCCAATCGCAGCAATCAACGAAGCCAACGCACATAGAGCAAGTAACAGATAACCAAACGCAGTAATTTTGCCTTAGCGAAACAAAAAATCAACATTCCTGTACAAAACTTTTCCCCACAAAATACTCACTAAATGTAAGTCGACGTGCTATAACAGCAATTAAACCGAAAAGGCTAATCAGAATGCCACCTGTACCAATTACGATATTGTAAACAGACAAACTTCGTTCACGTTGGAAAATGTCGCCATACTGACGAAAATTTCTCACAATACCGACACTTACACCCAAATGTATGATCGAAATGATCAAAACAATGATCAATATGATTATTGCAAATGCACGACTGTACAGCTGCATTTTCCTGCGATCTGAAAAAGATATCGTGTTAGATGAGTTACATAGTTTAAATAAATGCACTTCTTCATATAACGCTACTGATGCATATCTGTATTTATTAGCATTTCGATTGTATTGCGTACTGATTGACACTTTATATTGTATATTGTATATTAGTAATAACACGAGATGAACGAACGAATAAAAGACCAAATAAGAAAATTAGCTTTGTTGACTGCGTCATATCGGATAATGTATCTTATAAATATATTACTATCGTTTTAACGGTCATGTTAAAAACACGTGAATAAAAGAATATATAATCGAATATGTTCTTCTGTGGGGATGCTTTTTACCTGTAAATGTATAGATACATTACCACTGTTGTATACCTTTATTTTCGTTTCTCCTGACATAGTTGAATGTGATACGGCATTGGAGTGTTTCACTTTGTAATTAAACCTTCTTATGCGACACAGTTGTGAGAGATAAATATGAAATCCTCTATCATTGTTTGTATGAAACAAAACAACTTCATGCATCTATTATCGTTGTTTATCAAGGTGACGCGCTGAATACAAAAAGCGTATTAGAGTAAACGTAATATTAAACAATAGTTCGGAGTCTTTTTTATGTAACAGTAGGGATATGAAAAAAAAAACAGCGATTGTTTCAAGTTAGTAGACCGCTGATGTTCATCATTACAAACAAAACTCCAAGGTTCTAATCCTTCTGAATGAAATACAAGAAATCTAGATATGATATTTTCGGATTTTAAAAAAGATCAATCACAATAGTTTTTATACGTATCTATTTTTAAATACATATATATCATTTTCGCAATCGGTACTAGTAACCCGAATACGCTGGTGGGTTACCACCATAGTAATACGCAGGAGCACTGCTGTCCATGTAGTATCCTTGATTAGGTTGTCCATATTGATATTGCTGTTGTTGCAACGTGTATGGTAATTGCTGTGTTTGTTGATATTGAAGCGGTGCTTGCGGTTGATACTGCATTTGCATCTGTTGCTGTGGTGGTTGTTGTTGTTGTTGACCAGCTTCGTTCTGTTGTAATTGTTTGTTATTTGGATCATTCGGATCAGGAACTGGAGTTATTGTCAAAAGCAAAATAAGAAAAACGACGGCAAGAATACTGAGACATGTGTTTATGACTACAATGCCTGTCACTTGAGAAACCGAAACATTCGCCACATAGGGTAAACAACCTTCAACGTAAAAGTTATCTGTACTTAAACTAGTATTGTACTGACAATCTAAACAATGCAGGAAATAATGTACAAGCAGAACATATAAATATTCTATCCTATGACTTTGTACTTACATCCACCAAGAGAAGTGCCATCAGATGATCCTCCGTTTGTACAACAAGATAGTGGTAGTTTAAAGCCGAATACACTAGGAAGATTATATATGTTAGACCCTGATGTTACTACTTGTCGTCTTCGTCGAGGACTTCGCTTTAGAGACTTTATTATTGCAGATAATTGTGCACTTTTTTCACGACGACGACGACCAAAGCCTAATTAATATGGGAAATTTATTTAAGTAATAAATTTTATTATTCGTACTCGTTCCTGTCGCACTTGTTACGCCCAGTTGTACACTGGACCAATCAAGCCATAAGTTAACACCACAACACTCGTAATCTGTTTGAATCCCATCAAAAATAGTGATCGAATCTTGATTTGAATTATAAGTTGACATGCGATATGTTAACCGGTCTTTGATATCATCAATCGATTGAGAATTGATAACTAGTCCTGTAATAAACGAAGCAATTGTTGCAATACCCAACGCTAAACACAAAATTGCCAATGGTCGACCTAAAATAAAAAGCGTTTTTGCCCGATGTCGTCTGTTTCTAAAACACGGTCTCTTTACATAATTTAGTATTTCGTTTCAATACAGCAAATACAGCAAGTGCGCCGACAGCTAATCCAAAGAATCCGATGACGATATTATAAGCGGCCAAACCATATGATAATTGCAGAACGCTCTTATATTTGCTATACCTAGCTGTAAGACCAATTCCGACGCCCAAATGTATAATAGACAATATAACAACAAGAATGCCAACAACCAACGCGGCTGTATGTTTGCTCATAACTCGTGCGTATAATGGATCTCGTTATGTGAAAAAAAAAAGAATCGTAATGTTTTCTTAAATACTATAAGCGAGTCTGGCCATACAATAACTCGCTTTGCAACGGATGAATGAATACGTCATTGAAGAACGATCGAAAATATATGAAAAGATTTTTATGATACCGATGAATCACTCGGTTACTCCTCGAGTACATGTATGAAGTGTTAAATCGGTCTTCTCACACGAAATCAGTTCTATGGACAACTTTTTTCTCCTTTAAATCAACGAAACTATTTCGAATTTAAATGAAAGTAAATTGCAAAGGATCGATTTCCTACTTTCGCCCGACAACATATTTAATCAATCAAAATCAAGTACAAAAATAACTATCAGTCACCCTTATTTATATCGATAAATGATCAAATTAAAACATGAGCCATTTCAGATCATTTAGCAAATAGATTTTATTTTCGTATGGCAAAAAAAAGATCAAATATACACAACAATCAATTACTAAACAACACATTCCTTAGCTGAGATGAAACAACTTTTGTTTAGCTGTCTTGGTGGGGATTGATCAACACCCATTTCAATACTCCATTCTAATGGATTGACATTTGGATAATCGAATTTCGTTGATGAACATGAAGTTAATGATGGGGAAACGTCAGAACCACCAAATCCATGATCAGTACTGATCGATTGCGCTGGTTTGGGATTTAAGAATACACACGGCGGGTTTTGGTTATGGCGTATCAATTCCGCCAGTTTCAGATCGTAAAGGCAAGTTTTTGTTTGATAAATTGGAATATCCGAGGATTCCCGACGATTTTGATACCAAGAATTCGTTCGAATTGGCACAATACCGGTTGAAATTTTTGTATTAATAATACAAGCAGAATCTCCTACAAATCATAAAATGGTTTATTCGAATATTTGATTTCAAAAGTCAACATACGATCATTGTCTCTCATGGTTGATTCGGATGATGTTTTGAAAGTCTAAATAGAAACAGAAATCTAATACAATATATACTTTTCAGAAACTTCCTACTTTTTCACTATGGAAATCATCGGTGCTTTGCGAAAAACTTCGCTGAGTTATCGATTCATCTTTCTCATTTCGTGATTTTCGACAACACAAGCACGTTATAATCGAGAATATGAATACACAAACACATGTGATTATCAACGCCAAGCATATAGCCCAAAACAATAGCAATTGACTTTCCTTTCGACTCGTTGAGGTGAGTAATTGTTGACACGAGTTCTCGATTGAACTGTTGCAAATGTCAATTTGTAGTTTGCTTGAAAATGTTTCTCCGGTGTATTCATCAACAATATTCAGTGATAATATATATGATAGTGCATAAGGTCGAGCAATGAGACGGACTTCACCAGTGGAACTAACACTCCAACATGTCGATAAATCCGTATTATTCAAGAACATGCTGGGTTGAATCGATTGATTAGCGGTAATATCGATAATAAACGAAACATTACCGAGAGAATTGGCATCAACATGCGTTCGTTGCATTAATAGAGGTAATAGTCGTGGTAAAGATTGAGCTAGAAATGGATTTGGATCGATGTTAATCGTTAATAATTGTTTGGTCGAACGAGGATTTGGCGTTCCATAATCACTTGCGGTTATTTCGAAGATGTAGGATAAATAGGAACATGATGATTGAGAAAGAATGTAAACATATCCTAATGACGTGATATCTAATGTTAAACATGAATCAAATGAACGAATTGAATAATGAACAATTCCTTGTAAACCCGAATCGTCATCATGAGCGATGACTCGACCAAGAACGGCATTCGATTGCAAATTCGACTTCGAAAATGTCCAATTATAAGATTGATAGGGGTCGAATTGAGGTGTATGATCATTTAAATCATGAACACGAAGAATGAGTTTCCGTTCGCTTGACAGTGATGGTTGACCATGATCGAAGACTTGTATGTAATATACCAGATCAATACTTGTACGGTTTTTCTGTTGATTGAATGTATCAAAATGGATCGACTGATTTAAACTCAATTGGCCCGTTTGAGAATTAACGATTAATAAATCAGTGGTATTCAATAAACGATATCCGATTTCTGCATTCATGCCGACATCACAATCGTATGCGGTTAGTGTATCAATGATTAATCCGATCGGATTATTTTCGTCAACATCATAAACAGTCGAATTCGTCATTATTTGTGGCGTACAATCGTTGACATCGGTTATGTTCAAGAAAATTGATAATCGTGTATGCAACGTCGGTGTACCCGAATCATGAGCGAGTAACTGAATATCATTATAGGATGCTTTTGTTTCTCGGTCAAGTATCGTGTGAAGAATAAGAGAGTAGAATTTAAGATTTTGAAACGAATTTTGATAGATTAATTTGTAAATTAATGGCAACGGATGTTGAGTTGTTGTCAATTGTAAATATGGATTTCCATTGGCTAAATAAAAAGAGCGAACATGTTACATGCCGATAAAATCAACTTCAAGTATCCAATTCCGCCTCGCTCTTCTCTTTCGCTTAATTGTTTTAAAGGAAACACTTTAACACCTCTCCGTACAATTAATTATGTCATTTTCGTTCGCACACAAAATTGCTTACCGATCGAATCGAAATCTTTGAGAATAACATGTGCCAATGTGTTACCGATGGGTGTATCTTCTGGAATTGAAATAATAACTCGATCAGTTTGAGTTTGCTCTAATGTTGTGTTGCCTGGGAAAGGAAAAACACGAACTTTTTCGTGAAAATCAATTGAGAAAAAAAATGTCGTGTTCTACCTTGAACGTTGATTTGGATTAAAACTGGATTATCATTGACATCAATAACACGGATGAATACGATTGCATAGACAGGTACCGAAGTTTCATAAGCTTTCACGATTAATCGATACGATTTGTCTCGTTCATAATCAAGGAATTGTTTTAATTGAATATTTCCTGTTAAGCGATCGATGATAAATGGCGAATCAGTTGGCAGTTCGTAGAAGATCGGTTTATTTTCATCACTAATTGCTTCGACTCTCAATAAATTCGTTCCGATGGAAACATCCTCCCGAACATCAATAGTGTAAACTGTTTGAAGAAATGTCGGAATCGAATCATTCATAATACGAATATCAAGTTGAATCGAGCCCGAACGTGGTCCAGGCTGTTGACCATTGTCAGACGCAATTAATGTTAACGAATAAGTTGCTCTTCGTTGACGATCAAGTGATGAACGTACGATCAAGTACGGAATTTCAATCGTTGAATAATCCACATCGAAATCATCAGAATTGCTTCCATAAAGACGATATGATTGTATACTGTTTAATCCTAAAGAAAAATAAATAATGCTGGAGGGTTCATACATCGAACATCAATAAACATACCTTCATCGGGATCATTTGCAGTTGGTAAAACAATTCGATAGCCTAGAGGAACATTTTCTTTTATATGGATGATATGTATCATTGATCGATTATCGAAACTTGGTGAATGATCATTTCGATCTTCAATTTTAATTTCGATTATTTTCGAAAGAATCATTTGCTCGATTGTGACAATTAATTGAAAAACCATTTCACACGATCTACATGAACATTGTTGTTTCAAACACATATCTTCGCGATCGAGATTGCCAATAGTTCGTAGCTGACCAGTTTGATTGTGAATGGAGAAGAATTTCGCATTGGCTGAAGTTAATTCTCTTAATGAATAGGATGCCAGCGCATTCTTAATCGATAATTGAGTCGATAAGTCCGCAATAATTGTATTAATCGGAGATTTTTCTTCAACGGTAAATTTGAAAATTTCTTTAGTCGAAAACGAAGGTATAAGTATGGTGAGAAAAAAGACCAGCAGTAACATGATGATGAATTCAATCTGAAAAGTGAGAAGAAACATGATGTAAGAACAGATTGCAACAGCCTTCGAATTCAATACACTCAAATCCTTAGACAATATATGAAAGAAAAGAAAGCGATGCTCTATCCCTGATGAAAATTAAAACTTCCTAATGCTTGCTATTAATACTAGGACAATTACTTCTTCTATCATCGATCTGTCCGATATGTATGGTCACCAGTAGCTATTCTCTTCTTGTTCTTCTCGTGCATATATTTCAATCACTCAACGTCATCATCTTCAAGTTGCTTTTTCGAACAAACAAGAAAAATATGAATGAAACAAGAAGGTCACTTCACACCCGTTGGGCAGAAAGCGAAAGAGAAGGGGGAGAGATTGAATTGGTCAATATGTTCGATAATCATTGATAATCAGAAGTTTCATTCGAAAATAAGAAAACAACAAGTTTCCCTATTTTTTGTTTTGAATGAGCTATATGAATATGAACTATTCTGTTATTCTCACGAGATACAATTTCATTCAAAAGATTCGCTGATCAACCCTTGAACTAAACAAGAAAGAGCGAATCCACTTCATAGTTAAGTCAACAAAGAAGAAGAAATGAACAAAAGAATGGAACCTGTTTGTGAAAGAAGAAATGAGTATCAATACCAGTACTACAATCGATGCCGATGGATAGAATGTATCAAAGTAGTGTGAATTTGATGAAGTGGTCAACCTTCTTACCTTTCTTCTCAAAATGATAGGTAATGTATGTTTGGAGAAATGGAAGAAAAGTTGAAGTTATATAGATGAAGTTTAACGTGTGACGAATTCGATTCATTAGAGTTTAAGTTCGTCTCTTTCGAATTCACTCATTTACTCAACATGAAAAGAAATCGACCGGAAATGCAACTGTTACACTCTTAGATAATCATTTGTTATGTGATAATACGATGAAAATGTGTTGCTCGAACTTTCTCTCTTCTATTTGATCGTGCCAATGTTGAATAATAATAACACATGTTCCGCGCTATGGCACAGGAAATATGTATCGAATAAACAAGTCAACAAACACCTGAGTGTATCGACTTATCTCACTCAATGTCACTGTCTCTCTTCAATGTTTGTTCATCAATTATTAATTCCTTCGTTTTCATTTTCATGCGCATGAAAACACTTCATCAAGCCAATCGAGACAGAAACACATCAAGGGAACACAAAAGAGAAAATAATTTCATCCAACGTTTGTGTGTCTTCCTTGTAGAGATTCTTCCTCCATCGACTGTTATATAAACTGAGGAGAATTTTTCTCATGCGATCGGTCGTGTCTCTTTTAACGATACAAATCAATTGTCGCGAGCACATTCGTTTAGAATTATATTCCTATTTTGATACATTTGACATTGAAGATAAATGTAATAGACCTTCATTCGAGAATTTGATATCTATCATCGATTAGTTTATGTCTATGGAAAATAATCTTCGTTGAGAATGTTTTATTCCAATAATAAATGTGCGATTTACTTTGCTAGATTACAGATTACAAACTATACTAAGTAAAACAAAATAAGCGATCGCTTAAGAGCTTTGCTGTGGTTTGAAGGCGGTAACGATCATTATCACGTTACCGTCTGCAACATTATCGACATCTTGATCTTGAGTTTCATCATGAATATCTTCAAATCCTGCATCTGTTAAAGCCTCAATAACCACGGTTCTATTCAATGGTAAAATCGGATGACGATGTTCATTTTCAACATAGAAACTCTGATTTAATTCGTGCATCAGAATGATGAACCCGTTTTCTTTTAAAAGTGCATAGAATTGCTTGATTGTTTGTTTGTAAATGAGATGTGTCGAACAAACTCTTTCCAAACACATACTGCTTGATACGATGTCGTAATAATTGAGTTCGCCATTTAGTACAGGACAATCGTGAGCACGAACATTAAATTGTAACAATCCGCCATTGACGATTGCTTCTCGCAAGCGGTTCTCCCAAAGTGATCGTTTTGCTGACGTATCACCTGTCTACAGTATACAAAAATAGGAGAGAAAAACAAGACAGTGTTTGATTGTCAAATCGAATTTACTTGTGTATGATATTCATGGATGGCTCGATCGAAGAGATCACTCCAATCGTGTGCATCTGGCTTTTGATTGATCCAGTTTCGAACAGCAGCTAAATTCTCTAGCGAGCGATCAGCGAATCGAATCGATTGAACCTTTTTAGCTAAGATAAATGAAGTGAGAAGACATGGTCCATCACCAAATTCCAATGCGCGTTGATTTCCTATTCGATGGTCATGATCGTTTATAATACGAATGAGATTTTCAATGATAAACTTGAACGACGGTACCATTTTTGAATATGCATGTGTTGATAAATATTTTGCTGTGTTTGTATGTTCGATGCATTCTTCGAGATTCATTGGAACATCTGAGTCAGGATGCTGAACTGTATTCATGTCAAACAGCTGCAAATTCAATGGATGATTGAGAAGAAAAAAAGAATAATCAAAAGATGTGCATGAAACGAAAACAAATCCGTGTATAAGATATTTTATCCTTGACGGGGTGGGCGCAGAGTGCGATTATTGAGACACAATTAAACAAAATCATTCATGCATCTCCTCAATATAAAAGCATTGGTTAAAATGATAGAATGAATATTATTTGGAAATTATTCAAAACAAAACAAAATGAACAAACGAGAAAAGAAGTGAAATAGTGTTTATAAACAAGACAATAAAAAATAAGGCAATAGGTACTAAATTATTCATGGACCAGAAAGAATTGCATCATCTGCTGTACCATAAATTATACTGGTAGTAGTAGCCAGGCCAGCACTCATGAAACCGGCAAAGGTTCCAGTATCCATAGTACAAAGACTCATGGATGTGTAATACAAGACAGATGCTGTTACTACTCCTGTTTCAGTTTTTGGAACCATACCAAGTAAACTGAATATCAGGAAGAAAATGGATATCAGTTTAAGAATCATTATTGTGTTTTAACCGAGGAATGAGAAGATTGTCTTGTTTATAATGAATAAATGCTTCAATTGGCATCTTTGATTCGACGCCCTCATATACAGTTAGTTGCAGTTGCGAAATGCAGGCATGTACTATGAAATCGCGCTCTTAGTATGGGAATTTTTCCTTCAAACATCGTGTGTTGGCACAGCCAAAAGCGCTATTTATTTATTTTTGCAAGTGAACTCTGCCATTAGGCAATGGCATTGTTTTAACAGCAGGAAAAAAGTTCGATCATTACGTATGCAGAATTTAAGTTGGAAAGAAAACGTCGTGATTCAAATACAAACTTCTTCGAGTTCAAACGAGATTTGTATATCTCCTTATCAGTACACGTGCTATTCACTGGAAAAGACGAGTTTCTGGTTTTATTTTATCATGAAACAATGGTTGAATAGTTTCTTTTATCTCGAGGAAATACAAATAGTAAAAATAAAGTTTCATATGCATCGTCCCAATCACATTCGCTTTCGTTTCTTGTCCGTTTCACGTTTTTTCTCAGCTTCTTTTGCAACAGCCTATGTAGAAAACAAAAGAAATTTTTCCGATTTCTTTTGTCAAATTAAACAAACCTTTTCTACGGTCGATACCAATACTCCTTGTGTTGCATATGCTTTGACAAGTTCAACAATAAATGGTAACCAATTATGTCGTCGACGAAGATTTTCAGTCTATAACAAACTCAACTGATGAGCACAAGAAACAGCTCGACCGAGGGAACAAACTCGATAGACTTCTCTTTTTCGTTCCTCTTCTTGAATGAGCATGGATAGATGGGACGTTTTGGCGTTTCTTTCATCATCCGTCATAGCAGAATCTAGATGACTCCAGAAATTTCATTATGGACAAGAATACCGAAGAGACGTATCTTACCATTTAACACTCGTTCTAACTCGCGTTCATATTTTCTACGGAGTTCGCTGATAACAGCCATTAAACTAAAGTGAATTTCACCTTCACTGTATTTTTGCATACGTTGTTGGACGATTGGTCGAGCAACATCAGTCCATTCAGTACCTTCTGGAATTGAACCATGATCAATCGGAGCCTGAATTAAAGATCACTAGCTATCAAAATCATTTCGTATTTCATTGTCACCTCTTGTAAACCATCGAGTTCGTATAAACGACCTACGATTCAGATTTAAAAGTTGAGTTGATCTCTAAAAATTGATGAATACCTTTGAATGGAACGTAGGCGATAAAATGAAAAGCATCTTCATCTTTCTTTTCATCACGTGAATCCATTTCAAATAATTGTTGTCTAAAGAGCATAGCAATCGAATACAAATTTCCATAGGCAAAAAACGCAACCTAGCGAAGCTATTGTGCACATCGCGAATTTTGTCACTATTTGATAAGGTCAAACCTCGCATCTGTGAATGAGAAAATCAGAATTGAAACGAATCCACGGCTCATTCAAACCCACTTGAGGATCGAATGCTTGAGCAAACTCTTTGAACTCCGACAGGGTCGAACCAAGTTTTAGATCTTCATGTGTACAATTCAATAAAACGGAGACGATAGCTTGTGTGGCACAAGCATTTGTTATAACCTAGGGAGGATAGGATGGAGAACGAAAGGTGAGAAGAACAGGATCTGAATTACTTGTCTAGCGAAGAAAATTTCATCGAGACGTGAATCTTTAACCAGGTTTTCAGTTGGTACATCTGTTTGTTGCCATTTAAATAAAAAAATTAAACCATGACATGGCCTATAGAGAATCATCGTTTCTTTTTTGGCGACAAGAAGAAGAAGAAGAAATCGGTTTACTTCATCTGTTCTAGACTATCGTCATCAAGTGAGAAAATTTCTTCAACTTGAACACCCTCAGCACCTAAATCAATTGAAAATAGGACATCTTTCATACGCAATATCTCTGTCTACCAAATCCATGAATAAGATCAGTAAAAACACCTGGATCCGATTCAATTAAACACCATTCACCTGATGCCATAGTTATCTCAAAGACTAATATTCAAAAATAATCTAGAATGATTCGACAAACAAGAAGAAAAAACAAAGTTAACACAATGTGTTTCACAATCTTCGTTGTATATATTTCTATATGTGTACATTTCGAAAACTATGGACACGTTAAGAATCGTCTATGTCAGGTATCCCGCATAATTCGTTCCGTGCATGTGTCCATTTTTGAATAAGATCGGTTGGCAATGTTTTCGCTGGTTTCTAGAAATTCAGAATTCGATTATTCAACAAATTTGTCTTCCACTACATACAGATTTTTTATCTTTATGGTGATGATGATGATGATGGTCAGGTTTGGTACCGATCGATGGTTTTTCCTTGTCAGAAGTGAACAGTGATTGTGGTAGCTCAGTTTGTTCAGATTGAAGTTGAGCATAGAACATCTGTAGAGCTTTTTCATTTTCGTTCGATGACAGCTGCGGGCAAATTGGGGGTGGTGGGGGGCTGGGCGGTGGTGGGGGTGGAGGAAGTGACAGGAGAAGTGCCATTTCACTGGTTGTTAAAGATGGTTTTGCTGGTTCTGTGGTCATTCTACAATCAATCATGAGCATTGCATTCATTTTGATGAAATTTATCACGTACGGTAATGGATTAGTAGTTACATATAGCTTTTCTAACTCTTCAATTTGTACAAGTGCTTCGTCTAATTTGCTAACTGCATAGGATTTAGTAAGATGACCAGCAAGAGTGTCTTCTAATCGAGTCTAAAGCCAAAACATTAACAATAGCACATTTGCAAAAAGTTTAGTGGTACCACTCACTTCTAATTGAACTCTTAAAATTGAAATCTCCGCTGATCTATCGCCTAAGTCTACGAGACGTGCAATGGCAGCTCGACAATCAGCTTCGAATAATGGATATGGATCCACTGGTGGAATTTTGTTCTTTTGCATTTTATCATTTTGATCAAGTACCTCTTCCAAAAGTTCGTCGATATCATCTTCATCACTTTCACTCTCGGATGACGTGTATTCAGCTATAAGCTTTGGTTTCTTAAGTTTCTTTGGTAACTTCGTATCAGCCGCGAATTCTCGATCTCTTTTCTCTAAAAACAAGTCAACATAATAAAACGTCACAATCGAAAGAATTTCACTATACTTGTTTCTTCATCGATAGATGTTGACCTAAATCGATAAAAAACAAAGACACTAAATGCAGAACGATCTGCGAAAAATCAAGCTCACGTTGATGATTCTACTGGAGGTGGATCCCATGAACATTCATTCGTTTTTGTATTCCAATAATAGGCTGTTTGCGATGTTTCATCAAAACATTGTTTCCACTCAGATTCTTCTTCTTCTTCTTGTTGTGGCTGTTGAGCATCTGTTTTCTTACCACATACGATTTCATCAATGTCCTTTTGAAAGCAAATCATTCAGAACAGATACAACAAACAAACGTACGAATACATACAGCCATAAAATCTGCAATTTTTGAATTGATATCATCATTTCGATTCTTTGTAGGCAGTTCACTCATCGTGACATCAATTCATCGATAATCTGTCTAAATAAACAATAAAAAAGATTAACATTAGAGAGGATGAAATGAAAAATGAATATTAAGAGTTCATTCTTTTTTTTTGTTCACCGGACGCTGATAGATGTACCTTTGAATGAAAGACGTAGATTGGCAAAGGGAAGAATGTACATTCACTTCAATCTCTATATATATTGGATACAAAGAAAGAAAGTAGATTTATTTAAATTAGAAGAAAAAACGAAACAAATATGACAATGAATGATTCTGTTAAACTCATTATTGATGATTAGGACTGTTGCTTTTGTCAGGCAGCTTCTCCCAAGAGAGTTCAAATTGACTTATGGCAATGTTGTTAAAACCTAAAACAAATTCCAAAACAGATCAGATAAAATCGATCAAGTGTTTTCGGAAGAAAAATTAACCAACTTCAATTCAAATTCTTAAACAAGAAAAAGAAGAAGAAGTTGTTCTTTCTCCCATTTTCTGATGGAAGTACATATAACGAATCTCCTTCAAATATCGCCTAGATGTCACTCGTAGACATACACAACTTTCGTATCAGTTCACTATCAAAATCTATGATTCAATGTCATTTAGCATTTCTCTTTACTTTTTGTATAAAAATGATGTGCAAACAGAGTACAAAGAAGACCATTGCAAACAAAAAGCAAAGTAGTTTTGTCTTTTTCTCATTATGACGTGTTCGATCGTTGTCACATGATGGAATGTTTATGGTTATCGAAGTTTCTGTTTCAGCTTATGAATTATTTCATCTTTCTCAATGATTAATTGTTCCAAATATTGGCATTCATTCTCTCGCTTGAGAATTATCCGATTTTTTTTATCTAAATTGTTTTCACATTCTTGTAGTAGTATTTCGAGAGTTTCTTGAGTTTTCAATTGTTTTGCAATTTCGGGAAGTTGAACACTTGACATAATAGCTGTCAGCTTGACATTTGTGTCCTGTTCGATTTCTCGTACAGCTTCTGCTAGTTCATTTAACTTCTTTTTTAGTTGTAGGATATCATTTGGATGAACATTTTTCTTCTTTTCGATTTCATTGGAATTGGTGATCAATTCTTGAAAGACTTTGTTCTGGATCTTCGTCTTTCTCTCAATACTTGCTGTCCAAGTACTCTCGATGCGACTTTGTTCTACCAGATAAACGGACATGACAAGTTCTATCTTGGTCGTCTTCCAATTTTCTAATTTTTCCAGCGTTTTCGCTTTCATGTCATTGATCACTGAATGGTCGTTTGAGATTAACTTTTGATGATTGATATGATCGATCATTTGATGAAAATCGAGACGAACTTGTAGTTGATGTTCAAGAACATGTTCAAGACAAAGATCAAGCAAACAGTGTGGACACTTCGAATAACTTACATCGGGGCAGACAGAAGTGCTACTATGTTGACATAGTGTATCTTTCGTGCCCATATCTAAAACGAAACATGCATGTTAATGGAAGACCGGTCAACAAACTGAATTTCCCGATTCGAATCGAAATTTGAAATGTTTCCCTTCGTTAACGAAATGGAAAATATTTTATATGACGCCATCGAAACGTACACTTACGCACTGAAGGACTCCGTATTGTAGATAGAAACAGAAATGACAAATTGCATACAGCATATAAATATAGCCTGCAAGAAATCAATGAATGTTAAGAAGTTCAACTATCTCGATAGTTCTTCAATATGATTCTTTTGTTTTTGAGTACACATTCATTAAAACGAACAAATACATAGAATAGTTTTATACTACAATAAAAAGTTCCGAGATTCGAAAAGTAAAACGAAGCGTCTTATGCTTCTGGACGAATACTATTTCTATCGACCAGCATCAAATGTGTAGCAGTCCGTTCGCTAGGAGGCATTAATGTCACTTGTTTGGTCATTGAAGCTGATTCTTCAGTTTGATTAACGGAAATCAATTCATCATCGATCGATGACGTCGTCGTCGATTTCTCTTCTAACTGTCGTAATCGTCGCATCAGTTCGATAAATGTTGGTCGTTGTTCGATGATCTCTTCCCAACAAGAACACATCAATGCATAGATCCTCTTTGGACAGTTGTTTGGACATGGTAATAGTTTTCTGTCGCGTATCATTTCGATAACTTCAGGATTTGTTTGTCCGTAGAATGGTTGCATACCATAGGAAAACATTTCCCATAGTAAAACACCAAATGACCAGACATCGGACATTTCGGTATAAATACCTGATAACAATGATTCAATGGACATCCATCTGACTGGTAATAAACGATTGGCTATTTTGTAATAATCCAGTTGATATTTTCGACGATAGCGTGCAATGTTCGTTATTTTAATATCCATATGTTCAGAAATGAGAATATTCTTGGTTGATAAATCATTGTGTAAAAGTTTCTTTTCGGTTAGATATATCATTCCTGAGACGATTTGTAACGCTATGTAAAGAATATCTGTTAGATCAAATGTTTTCGAATGTTGTAAAAGTAGGTATTCATGTAAATCTCCGTTATTTAAATATTCATATATCATTAACGGAAACGAATCATCTGGTTGGACACACAATCCAATCAAGCAAGAAATATTGACATGATGAATATGATGAAAAACTAAAAGGCAATCATTTAGATATTCGAAGCTCAACATCAACTCGTACTTTCGATTTCACGTAGATAATCTTGTTTGATACTTTCGTTTTGTAGTGTTTTAATAATACATTTGTCCGTACTATTGACAAACTCGCCAATAAAGATTTGTCCAAATTCACCTATGAAAAAGTAAGCGCTGGATGATGTAAATCAATTGCTTGTTTTTACCTTCGCCGATTTCTTGTACGAAACGGATGTTAGTCGGTGAAATTTCACAAAGTGAATTATCGCCGGAAGGAAGACGTGTTTGTCGAGTGTGAACGTCAGGTTTAAGTAATGCTTGACGATAGTGCAGATTTGTCAGATTTGTATTTGTTGATGACGAGGATGATGAAGTAATATTATGGTGATGATTTGGGATGATATTAATCGAAGAATGAAATACCGACGATGGGATCGGATTTAGCAAATGACAAGTTTTTTTAATCGGTGTTATAGTTGTCGAATACGATGAGGAATGACTATCGTGACTTCGTTTATGACAGCAGCGATAGTAGAAGATGAGAAACAGTAACCCGATGAAAATAGCAGGTAAGAAGACAGTTAGAAAGACGATGATCGGAGACTCTGATAACAGTAAATTTCGAATAATCGAAGAATTTTTCGATGGTATTGAAACTAGAAGTGAAAAAGAGTATGAAGGATTCTCTTATCTTTTTATTTACCATTTCGATATTCATCTATTTGAACGCACGATGCATCATCGCTTGACGGTGGTAGATTTTCACACGTTGGTATATTGTGCGACACTTGAACTATATGAATAAAGAAATTACCTCGAGTCATCTGTTCGTTTTTTTTTCTCGTGATGAGATTTTAACTCACAACTGGAATAAAGATGTTCGCCTTGATTAGAAGACCGTAACATACAAGAATTCTTCTGGAAGCGATAACAAGATTTGCGACAAATAGATCGAATATTTCCCTGATTAATATCGCAAAGAGGATAGACAAATAAACAAACCATTGGTAATAGAAACTGTCGACATTCATCGGACAGAAATTCGATATTATCAGCTAAATTTTGTTCAATATCTTTCTGATCAAGATTTGTTATTGAAATATATTTTGACGCTATAATCGATCGACAAATGTTTCCTGAGTACAGTTCACATTTTAATTTATCGATGGGTTCTTCTTGTTGGGAGACAATTTCAGGTTGAAATTCAACTGATGGTAATCTAAAATTCATTAACACATTTTTTTATCTCATTGCAAAGATCAATTACGAACACATCATCGTGAAAATCAATTGGATCGATATCTATATTAATCAAAACAACGAAAATAGAGGCAAATTAAGAAGAGGAAACCACTCTACCGAGATTTTGCACGCGAACAAAACCAGTGGATGTTAATGTTTGAAAACCGTTCGATGCTTCGCACGTATAAAATCCCGCTTGCGATTCTTTCAAATGTTTCAGACGAATACTAAACACGGTAATGTTTTCTTTCCGTAAACTCGAAATGTTTCGTTACCTTGATCGAGAGAAGTGTTCATCGACTGTAAAATATTTTCTATCAAGTGGATTATTGTACCGATACCAAGTGAATGTTACCGGATATAAAGATTTCACTTGACATTCAAGAAGGACAGTTTGGCCACTGACTTCCGTTTGATTTTTTAATGTTTTCATCCATTGCATGTTCGTAACAAGAGTACTAAAAAAGAAAAAGTCAAATCGTCAATACCTTCAGATTGATAGACATCAATCTCATCATTTGATAAGATCTTGTCGTCATCATCAGTGATGATATTTCGTCAAGGTAGTTTGTCAATTAGCTCGATATTCGAGTTAGGTCTTTGTCTTTTAGAAAGGATTCGAGACAAGACAGAGATTTCGTCTATACCTAAGAATAGTAGACGTAGTGGATTGATTGACAAGTTTATTTGTTATTTGGATTGGATGTTGATTATTATTGTCATTGATCGGTGACAGATCGCATAATGACAACAGTACCATCAGCAGAAGAATCAAGGCTGAAAAGAAAGCAATAAATGAGATAGAACTGGTTCTATTCGAAGCTCATTAATCCAACTGAAAATCAGCAAGCGGTAAAAGCGCATTCAACAGACAAGGAACTAATCTACTATATAAACATGTGTGGATAGTCCTATCTTCGTAATATAATTGCAATATTCTACATACAGATATGTGTATGGAATCAGAGAGAAATTTTTTATCGATAAGATACGTACCGTTGAAACAATTGAACATTGTTATGAGTGGAGAAGAATAATTGTATTGCGTTTCAATGAATATAAAATCTAGAATAATGACAAATATCTGCAAGTGTCGATAAATCATAGTATACTGTAATGCGTACGGTGTTCTCTAAGATATTGCGAATGTCAGCGCTACCATGAATGCTGTACGAGTCGTTTCTCTTTCTTTTTCTCTTTCTATATGTACAATTGCTGAGTAAGGTCATCTTGTCAAATTGGCATGAAGAAGAGAAAACACGAGAGAGAGAGAGAGAAGGGAGAAGACGACGGCGACTATTTTAATTCATCTTCATCCACTCCTTTTTTTTCTACAATGTCTTATTATCGTGCACGAATGAATCTATCAACTTTTCATCAAGGTTGATATGTGATCATAATCAAGAAGAAACACAACTGAAACAAATCTATTTTGGATTTATTGTGATAGACATACATACGATCTATCGAGAATATTGACGCCGGTTCACTTCTTATCTTTCAATAACATACACATTCATACACGTTCACTTCACTATGTTTTATAGATGAACATTATTAACACTTATCGAATCTGATAGTAACATGTAAACGATTTGAAGAGATCGATCATAGCCATAAGAATAAACTATATCTTCAAGAATAAGAGCGGCGCGAGAAAAGTTTACATGAGTCGATAGGAGCTACTTCAAAAGAATAGAACGTATATTCAGGCTATTTTAGTTTATATGTTCAGTTCTGTTGACCTTCAATGTGTTGCTTATCTTAATCGTAGGTAGAAAAATGATTTTAACCAGACGGTCAACATGAATTTGTCAAACATTTTCAATGAATACAAATAGAAAAGCAATCACATTCATTGGACACAGTAAGTGTGCGTGTTGTGCTCTTATTTTGTTCGAATTTGCTATTCAACATCTAGCGTGTTGTATCTTAATTTATTTTTCTTTGTTATTACTAACAAAATCATCTGTGATACTACTACCGAAGCTTACTACTTACGTGTTCTTGCAAGATGATGATATGCTTGCGATATTGATTCGTCCTTTCATTTTATCTCGATAGATATTTGTAATTGTCATATGTATAGATTAGTCAGTAATGCCAGTTGTTATTATAACAATTGACTGGAGTAGTGATAGCATAGTTAGGACAGTGCAATTATCGGATGGAGAGGAACACAAAAAAGGCTTCTGAGATTCTCAATGTTAATATGATTTTCAGTTATCTATTCGTGTTACGCTAATCATTGATAATGGACAAGGTTAAACTGTGTGAAGTCAAGCTGTATGCAATTAATTATCGTCATCATTATTATTTAATAGACTCCGAAGGCAAATTTGTGATCTACTCATTTCTATTTTCCATCTCTTGAGAATTCATCAATCGAACAGATGCTATTGATATGAAAGTAACTTGATGTTGGCAGTGAATCAAGTACTTGTTCCATCACTTCGTTTCTTGTCAGTTCGACAAACAGCGACACGAAGAAAATCTTCAAATGAAATTTGTCCAGATGCATTATCATCAGCGGCTAATTCAATCATTTGCGGTAGATCAAAATCATTAATTGAAGTCTTCAAATACTTCTCGACAGTCATCTGCAGGTCATCCAATGTAATCATTCCGTCTTGATTTTGATCAAATAAATTGAAGGCTTGTCGTATCTCTTGTGTTGTCTCACTTGGATGCATTTTACGTGAGATAATATGAACAAATTCGTAGAAATCAATAGTACCAGAATTATCGATATCAATTTCACGCATTAAATCAATCGTATCAGCCTCAGTCGGTGTTTGTCCAACTGATTTCATTGTTGAAACAAGTGCTTGTAAAGTTAAGAATCCTAATAGGAAAGATATTTTCTTTCCATTCAACGTTTATTTGTCTTTTTTTTACCTTGATTGTCTTTATCGAACATGTTGAATAATTCTCGAAATTCCACCAATTGTTCATCTGTAAATCTTTCTAATACATTCTGTTGTGTACGTTCGGTGACATCATTAATTTTGTTCACAGCTTGCTTTTTACCCGATCGTGATCCGATTAGATTACTTTCGATTTTACCAGATTTTGGAGGCATCTGTCTGTCTATCTACTTCTTCTAATCACTTCACTAGACGCACACCAAGTGTTCATTCATTGACCACCTGCTGAGCAAAGATAATTCAGACACACACATAAGTAGACTGACAATTTTTCAAATGCATTATTTCGAGCCCGTAGGCAGAAAAAAGAATGAGAATTTCTGAGCGCGCCTTGTATAATACAGAAGCGTATGAAGGAAATTGTAGACCGTCTTCTAGCGATCTCATTTACTCTGGTGTTCTTATTGATTCTTTGTTTGTCTTGCGAAATATGGGAAGAACAAGAAGGACGGCGACGACGAGTCAAACAGTTTATTTGTGCAGAGGTAAATCAGTCGATATCATTCAACCTATATTTTATCATTTACACATACAATGACTGACGAGAAAGTTTTACTAGAAGCTTTATCCTCCAGTGATTTTAAAGTTTCAGTTCGTGATAAAAATCGAACCGATAAATTGGAAACGGAAACTGCTATGGAAACGAAAAAGCAATTTGGAGAAGATACATCTTCAACATCGCTCGACAGAAATGATGATGCAAAAGCACTTCTTTCCATGGTCAAAGCAATGTCGTCTAGTCAACGTCAAACAGTGATTGATACACTCAAACAAAATGGTTTAGGCGATCCGTTAACCAAAGAAAAACTTATTCAGAACGCATTTACCGTGGAAAAAACGATTCGCGATAATGCTTCTAACTAAACAATTTATTGCTTTCTAATTCCATTAATAAACAAGCAATCTTTTCTTTTGTGTCTATCCATTGTATCTTAACTCATTATTATACAAGAAAAGAACGAGAAAGTCATGCATGTATCAGTCGAGTAAGTATATATCGATCGCTTACGGCCATACCACGTTGAATACACCAGTTCTCGTCCGATCACTGAAGTTAAGCAACGTCGGGCTCGGTTAGTACTTGGATGGGTGACCGCCTGGGAATACCGAGTGTCGTAAGCTTTTTATTTCGTTTTTTTTTCTAGACTATTGGGCACAAAAACGTAGTGATGACATTAAAAAACTTATATCAGTTCATGTTTTTCAATAAATTATACAAAGAAAAGATAAACAGAAATAACAGCAACAAAGGATCATTTCCGTGCAATGCCTGATACGTGAGCACGTAGCAGAAAAGGAATACCATGTGCAACAAATACGTGTTGTGTAATACCGCCAAGAAAATGTGCTCGTTCAATGTATTCAGGAATATTTCGAACCAATGAAATTCCGAATAGAAATCTGTATAGTGGTAAACAAAGATATTGAATAAAAGCAAAGAAAACATTTGATGAACGAATATTCTCCATGTATATGAAGATACCGCCCTATAATAAACAAGAATGACGAATTAATGGAAGAAGAAAAGCATGTTAGTTTGACATTTACAGGTTTAAGAATTCGACGAACTTCACGTAATGCTTGATTGACATCTTTGCAAGATGAGAGTGTTAGCGTTGAAACCACAGCATCAACTTGATCATCTCGGATAACTGAGGTGAAATATAAAAAAAAAAGCTAAGTGCATGGAAGTGGAACGAGCGTTATTTAATTTGTATACCAGAAATATTTTCTGCACCGCCGACTAGTAGTTCTCTACATTTCACATGGGGATTTTGTCGAAGTGATTGAGTTAAATACACTTCAAATTCTCGTATAGGCTCTACACAAATGACCTCCACTTCTGCAACAAAAACAGACAACTCATTTGAAATCTAATCAAGATTCTTTCGTTTGACTACCGTGTGGAGGATAGAATGCCATATTAGCACCATGTGCAGCACCGATTTCTACAACTTGAATTTTTCTTCCTTCTTCTCTCGTTTTCACATGTCTTAATTCGTTGAAGAGTTTCTCTTTTTCAGAACGAAGTGCATCATTATATCGCTGAGAAAAGTTCCTCGTTGATGACATGTAATATCGCCGATAAGCGCCAGGTAAATATCTATAAACTGTATAGGAACCAATACATACGACAACGATGGTTCCTATTTGTGTCCATGGCCAATGTCGATATTCTTGTTGAAATGGTGCAAGTGTATTCGAGAGAAGATTTCGTATCGAGCCTGTCATTGATGAAGGGTTTTCCACAACAAGCGGCTGCGAAAACGAATGAACAGTTCCTCCTGCCATCTAAAAAAAGGTTAAGTATGAGTTTATATGTGCTAGCGTAAAACAGACGAACAATTATATTCAGAAAATAAAATAAATATATGACGAAAAAGACTTTATTTCTCAAATAACTTATTGAATGTTGGCCCAATTTCTTTTAATACATCGGCACTAATCATTGAACGGCCAAGTTTACTGAATATAGCTTGACACGATGTACGAATTAATGTCGATGCAGCATAGCCGGCAACTTGAGCTGGAGTTAGTTTCGATGTGCTACTTTGTTGATCTATGGTTTTGGGAGATTTGTCCGCATTAGATGATTGATTTCCAATTTTATCTTGATTTTTGACAGTCCAGTAATAAGCAGCAACTAAAGCACCAGCTAGTAGATCACCCTGACCACCACAACGTCTAGGCGATCCATCGATACCACAATGAATCAACTGAGAACTGTCTGGTGAAGCAATTGTGTCAAGATGTCCTTTCATAAGAATATTTACACGCATCGTATCAGCCAGATTTTGTGCTAAGTGTGCTTTGTCTTTCTCCTTTTCCTGATCTTTCGATTTCATACCGGTTACTTTTTCAAACAAACGTTCGAATTCGATTGCATTCGGGGTTAAAATACAATTCTCATAATTTTTGATAAGATCCGGTTTTTCTGTGATTAGATGAAGACCATCAGCGTCAATAACAAGCGGAATCGGCTTCTCCTGTTTACGTAATACACCAATGAGATGTTCGACATTGGATAGAATCATCTTGTCCCGTCCTAAACCAGGACCAATCACTAGTGCATGTAAGCGTGGCAACCATTTATTCATATCATCAGAAAACGAAGTCGAATCCTAAATAGATGTTATTGAAAACGATCGAGATGTTTTATGCTATTCTTACAAGAATTGGATGAACAATAAGATCAGGTGAAAAACTTTTGATTGGTATAGCCGCACTACTTGTACAAAAGACATGAACAAGATCGGCACCAGTTCGAAACGCAGCCATGCTTGCAAAGATTGGTGCACCAGTATATTCTTCACTTCCTCCAACAACGCCAATACGTCCAGCTTCGCCTTTGTGTGCGTCGAACAACAATGGTGGTATCACCTTTTTAAATGCTTGAATCAATTGTGTATGTTGCGAACCCATAGCCATCTGGAATAGGATAGACAGTGACAAACAACATATGTACATGTATATATCTACTTCTTCTTAACTCTTTTATTGAAGAATTGCTTTTCGTAAACAAAAAGAGAAGAAGAAAGGACCGGATTTTTGTTAGATAGAATAGTAGAAAAAAAAACATATCAAACGGAAAGAACGAATGCGCCGTGATCACTGGGCAGATAGACCAAAAATAGGCAAAAATTCACAAGACATGTTGATTATTCGCTCGAACAGCACTCATAAGTTCCTGTGATTGAGCAAAAGCAAAACAAAAAACAAGCCGACACCTCACTGTTCTGAAAAAAGGAATTCCACGATATCAAATGTACTTTTGTTTGTAAGGATAAGAAATCGAAGAATTGCATAAAAAAATACAGAAGATACATAGAATGAGAAAGAAGACAAAGGCACCGAACAGAAGGAACATGATTATGATTGAATCATTGTCTATTTATTTATTGTTATTTTATTTTAAATTTGAAACCAATTTGTACACTTGATATTGCGGACCACCAACATCGGGCATAGCAATTTCAAACACGAAGGCGAGACATAGTAAAAGTCGTTCGGAATTATCTAGACATTTGATCACTTGAAGGACGGTAAAATTCTAAACAGAAAACATGCAGATATGTGCACAATAATCTCGATAATCATGAGATCAAATATAATTCACTATCTTTTATCAATCTTACTTCCAATACGCTATTCATCATGTAAGCATTTGGTAGTGAGCGAAGTTTTTGAATAAATTGTACCATATATTCACACAAAGGTGTTCGATCGAACCGATGAACGAATTGTTGAAATGAATCAAGTTGAGGATTTTCACTCATGTCAACTTTTTCTAAAACTTGTTTACCAAATGAACATAACCGTGTTGAGATATGTATTGGTCGATTCGTTGAACTACTGTACGCAAATGATGTAAAAAAGGATTCGTCACGAATATTCAGGGCACTTGTGATTGGTGGTGGTATAGGTACATCGGCCCAAAATTTAATCAAATAAAATGATCCATCAGGATTTCGTTCGAATAGATCTTTTAAACCATCATTACGAGGAAATTTATCAAAGATTTGATCGATAGATATGGTTTCGAATGCATGGATATTTTTCATTCGAATGTCATTGGCATGTAAATGAACGAGATCGCGTTGTTCGGTTGTATAGATTTCTGCGGGTGGATAAATTAATGATTGATGTGGTGTTGTACCAATTGTTCGTTTGATTTCAATCACAGCACTTAGATCATGCAACCGAAAGTGCTCGCCACCGATGGCAGCTAATGGATATATCACTGGATTCACCATGGTCACAGTTTGAGAACCTGTTGAACCGGAGGACAATGGAGATGATGAGGATGCATTTGATGAACATCGAGATCGACCTGTGCCGTGAGTGTGAGCAATGGGAGAATCTAAACAGATGCAATCAATAGAGTTAATGTCATTTAACTAAAGATCTTTACTTGGTAAAAACATTGGCCTAGAAGTATTCATCATAGGTGCCATCGGAGTATCGGCTTTATTGACAGGAACTTCTTTTTTAACCGTATGTTTTTTTAAAACTGGTGTTTGTAAAGGTAAATGTGAATCTTGGCTTGATTTTATAAGATCTAATTTCACTGGTAATATCGGCACAGATTTCACCACATGTTCATCTATTGGAACTGGCTGAAGGAGATTCTTCACTGGACTCGTTATTTTCGGCTTTTTTGATTCTCCATTGTCATCAGAGCATGAATCATTATCACTAGCTATTTGTTCATTGTTTAAGGAAACAATCTCAGCCGACGTATATCGTCTTAATCTGTCGAGAATGACTTGTTGTGCAGCTTTATCATTACGTAATGATTGAATTTCTTTTGAACGACGTTTAGCCAGCACTTGTAAATGTGACGAAACTTGTTTGCGTGTTCGTGTTTTGCCTGTGCGAATTTTAATATAACGTGCCACTAATTCATTCCGTCCGTACATTTTTCCTTCCTCAGTTAAAATGATTTTACGCCGTCCACATGGAGGATAAATAGCTAATGCTTCAAGAAAACTTTGCTCAATATCAGCACTCCATATACCTTCGGCTTCATCACCTATGCCATTATTCGTTGATAATGTATGATTATCATCTACACTGTTTGTGTCCATTGGTTGGATTTATTTATTCAAAGATAATTCATACTAATCTAGAAATACTAAAGAGAAAGAATCATAAAGATAGAACGTTTGTTTATTCAATATACAACACAAAACGAAATAGTAGTCTTTACAATGAACGTTAATTAAAAATACAGCGGATTATAAGTAACCCAATGTGCTTTATTTTTTTCTTTCTTTTTCGCTGCATCACTTGTGGTAAACAACGATTTGTATAGATCCGATTTAGTTGGATCTTGTTGAATCGATGATTTCGTATTTGTAGCATTCGATGTCGGAACTATTTTCGAAGTACTAGGTTTTATTGTTGTTGATTCTAAAAGACAAATTCGATGATGAATACAATTGTGAGCAATAGTAGAATACTTACCAGTTTTGACCTTCTTTTCAGCTGAAGGTTGTTCTTCTGCTTCAGCTAGTTTTCGTTTTGATAATACGTTCTTTTTCTGATTTACAGCTAGTCTTTCTCGTCTTTGTTCCATTAACTTGATATCTTCATCTTCGGGATTGAGAATAAGTACATCATCACTGGATGAATACTCTTTACCACAGTGTGGACAGGTAAGTTTTTCTTCGCTAGTAGCTGACTTATTGACGGATCGAAGTGCTCGATCCGAAAGAACACAACCACACGTCCATAGAGCACAAAACTTATATTTTCCATTCATTTCGACGAATGTTATTGGACACATAAATGGAGACGAATAAACATCCAAATATTCATTGCCTAATTCATTATGATTCGCTTTGAACGACGCATTTTCAGTTAATTGCAATTCTTTAACATCTTTCAGCTTTTTTATATACGCTGGTCCATGTTCAAAACTTCCACGATCCAGTAAATACTCCAGAATAGCATCTTTATTGTACAGCAACCCATACGAATCAACAACAATAGGTTGCCTAAGTGTATCATGTTTTAACGCACAATGACGCCATTTGGCCATGTTGGCTGCATCTTTATCTTTTGCTTCCGGCTTTTTCTTCTGTTGAACAAGTTCGATTCGTTTTGGTATTGATCCACCATCACCTCCCATGTTGATTTATTTGGATGTATTATAATAAAAGAAATGATTTTTCAGTTCTTATGAGTCAAGACAAAACACTACAATATACAAATATATATATTCTCATGTGCCCCATAGGAAAATTGTCTTAGACTCTACGGGAAAATGCACTAGCGACATCATCATTCATAAGTGAGAAAAATATTGACAAGGTGAGTCATATTCTATAGCCAGTAAGCATGTAAGAAACGCCGCGCTGGTTTTCTTTTCTTCGTATTCTGGTAAATTCTGTTTACAAACACAATATATCAACGAAATTGCAACAACAGTGTGAAATTATCATGCCTGTATGTGCTCGCGATGATCAACCCTCGTCATTACCACCACCCGGTTTTGCTGAAGATAACACAACACTGAAACGCGTACGTTTGATCGACTCATTAGAAAAACTAATACAGAAATTTCAACGTGAGCCACAATTTATCGCACAACAACCAAAGGAAACTGATTTATTGTTGTCAATTGCACAGTTTATCCTTCTGTCACCTTCAGCTTCACATATTGATCGACGAATATCTTTTGATACTATCCTTGCAATTGGGAAAGATCTGTTGATTGACCAAGATCAAATGAATAACAAGGAAAATAACAGTAAAAATTGTTCTTCTAATCGCTAAACAGTTTGCGTACTTTAATCGTCTCGTTAATTATTTGTTTAGACTCTTCATCTATTGAAATTAAAGATATGACAACGGTAACAGTACCTCTCTTGCCATCTACACCACCAAATAATGGCAATGATGATGATTTCTCGCTCGATGATCTTGCTAATGAATATCTTCGAAATGATCCGTCGCCACCTTCATCCAACGAAAAAGAGAAATTCCGTGCTGAAACGAATGAATCTGATTCAACTCCCAACGATGTGAAGAAAACCTCTATGTCATCCGCACCTGAAAACGATATCCTTTCAAAACTATTCTTTGCACCAATAAAAACTGAACCTCTGACCACGAAACCTCAACTTGAATCCATACTTTTTTCGAATTTTTTATCTGTTCATAACGATGATGACGGTATGTGGAAGGAGCAGTCAAGTCAATTTGGTCAAATGTTATGCTCCAAATCGATTGACGTTCAAAAACAAGTTACAAAACGTGTATCGACCTGTTTACTCGATCGTTCTTTATACGAAAGCTTAACACGTGTCGTAGCTCTTTTACCCAAAGAATGTATCCGTACTAGCTCGCAACAATTCTCTGTTCGACCAAATAATAATGGACAACATTATCGTCCACAACGTTCGAATAATGACAATCGACGTTTTTCAAACCGGCCGTCATTTCAACAAAATTCATTACAGATGTATCATAATCAACGTTTTCCACCGGGACAAAATGTTCGTCAGCATATGAATCCAAATTATTCCGATCAAAATAGCAGTGCAACTGGATACTTTGTCGACCGAAGATCACAACAGCAAAACCGATACCCACCAGCCCCATATTCGAATGATCATCAACCAAGAGGAGCTGCCCCCAAACATAATCCTCACTCTGGAGGTCAACACCAACACCAACACCAGCACCAGCAACAAAAGAAAAAGAATCCGCCTAATGACAATCAACAGACACAACGCGGCTCAAAAAAAGGCCAGGGTGGTAAGTGTCGTCTATTTTATTTTCTTGTTTTTCAATCACAATGCACATGAATTTTCAACTAATAGGCAATAAATCCAACAACGAAAAACCAGGTATGCCTGGATCTGGTCCAAGTACAAATCCCAAATAGGTCACTAATGAAATGAAAGCCAACTACACTGCATATGGACTCTCACCAGATACTGTCTATTGATTTTATAACTTTTCCAGACAAACCATCTGATGATCTTGAAGATAAATTGAGTTTGGAAACTACACCTTCTACGTGAACTGCTTTCTGCCATTCTCAGTGATGATAATAGTGGTTTTCTTTCTTTTTCCTTGTCTGTGCTTTTTTCGTTCGTTTTGCTACTCGCAAACCACGCTCAAGTTGTACATACTTCGAGAGAATGTGGTGTATGCATATAATTTTCACGATTTCTGGCGACAGAACAAAAAGACAATGTAGTTTCTCTTGCTTCTCTGGATTCTGTTAATATATATGCCAACAGGAAAAAAAAAGTTACAGCTCAAAAAGCGACAACGATTAACAATGGGTCAGAGACATAGCAAAAAACAAAATAAACTAAGAAATGTCACTGTGATAATAATGTAAAAACAAGGTGAAAAAAGACTCCACACGTGTTTGGTTAATTGAAGAAGATCTGCTCATCAGATTGCCTGTTTTATTTGGAGGTACAAAATTTGAAAAGAGCAGGTCTACCCATGGGGTGTAAGTATATGCAACCGATAGAAAAAAAATGCTTTCCACAAAGCGAACTATATCAAAGACAACTTTGCGCATGATCTCTGTTCGCAAGTAAGCTATAAATATTCATATGTGTTCAGATCAAGCAGAAAATTTACTGGAGCAAATGCAATCATATATCAAAACAATAAGAATACCTGTTCATCAATGGCAAGCATGTTCTTATGAGCATAATAGGATAAATAGTTACAAGCATCTCCTTCTATTAAATGAACATCATCAACATCAAACAAAGCCGTACTATGAGTTTAGCTGTCTCTATATGCCCACACTCTCACTCTTAGTCTTAATTATTCGCAAAAGCAAATCCAAGATTTATTTTAATAAATTCTAACGATACCAACTGATGGATCCGTCAAACAAGAATAGAATTGGCCTAGACTGCTCATAATTTTTCTGAGAAATCTGTTAGCTGATGCGAAACATGTCATGATAGCTGCACGTGCTCACCCTCACCTTCAAGACAAACTTCAAGTATTTGAGTCCAGTATTTAACAACTAAATAATATTTTCTTTCAGAAAATAGGATGCAACATACAAACCGGTTCATTCATTTACTATGAAGATCATACTAGATACTTCTTTTTTATTCCTCTTCCATTATAAAAGATTTTCCTACAAAGTAGCATGCGTCTCATTTTCTTATCCTAATATTTTCGACGAATAATTTCAAATTCCCCGTGAGCTAGACTAATCCGTAAATCTGGAAAAGGCGGAGAAAAACGTAAAAGTCTTCGCTACACTCCCACATTCTCACTTTCATATCTATTTATTGATGAGACGAGTCGAATGAGTTTATCATAAAGACAATAGCAGACAACTTTTGTATTTAAAGTTAATTTCATGAGAAATGAAGAATAAAAACTAAACGGTGCTTTGACTATACACAGAATAGACATACGAAATAAGTAACAAAGAAGGTCATGAAGAGTAATAGTGAGGTTAGGTTTCAATTTCTAAGATGTTCCATTAGTGCTCTTTGTATTGGTAAACCATCACATTTGGACCTTCGAACAGAGCTTGAATAGAGCAGTATTTCATATTTAAACTAATCTGATATGGTGTAATAACTATTCGTTAAAGTGTCGAACACAAATGGGAAATTTTCATATAATAGATCACACTTTGAGAGTCTGTTACTCAATGGAATAATCTTTCTCAATATACCTTGAATACTTTTATTCCAAACAATTAATTTCCTTAGTGCTTGGAAATATTTTCCCGAAAAACCGAGAGAGAGATCTTTGCTTACGAAATACTCCAATCCGAGCTCATATTAAATATGTTTTCTTCCCTCATTCGGTTTCTGTCCGCTGATAAGTATAAAATCTTTGCCACTGAATACAATCAGTAATCAGATTTAGGTAGCAAAAGGTAATATTGCTACTAGTCATTTCAATAACATGAATTGTTAAACACCATAAGAAGATTGTTTCATTGTGGTCGATATAGCAAAGATCATTGATCTGTCGGAAATTGAATGAATTGACTTTGAAGAACGATGACATGGAAAGAACTACTTATCATGTATGACACGATTCCCACGTGTTCTGATAATTCATCGAATCATTGAAGGAACTGATCAGATTTATTTCTTATTCGAATAGATTTATGTGGAAAGATACTTATGATAAAATCTTTGTTCAATATTCGGTTTCTATTAGTTTGTACAGGCAATCACAAATTTGATCGACGAAGGATGATGTCTGGCAAAAGAATTAAATAAAAAACAACTTTTCCAAACAGTCCTAAATCTCTATTCTGATACGAGTCCGATCGAAGAACTGATTAACAACGAAGCGAATTTGACTTCTGTTGAATGAAATAGCTTTAGATTTAAAATCGATTTTTCATCTTTATTTATTCATATTCCGACCAGTTTATTTTAAGACACAGCATTCGCCGAGGTCTTCTATCTCAATTATAATTCGCTAAAGACTAAAAGAACTTTTGTTTGGTTTTTGGTTAATAGTGTGACGATTTTTTTTTGTGGAACAGATCTATGCGGTGATGAAACTACGCCTAAATTTCTTTCTTTCGCGTAAACCGCATTGTTTTGATACAAAACACGTGTTTATATACTCACCTATACAGAAGAGAACGCAAGAAAATAGCATATCAAAGTACATAAGGATAATCCATTTGATGAGAAAAATCACATTACGCATACGGCGTGTGTCAGAGAGATTGTCATAACCACTTTTCAAAATACAACTTAGCGATAAGACGTATTCTCTCTTAAACCAAACTCTTTCTTTCCTTTTCTCTCGTTCTATCCTCCTACCTTTTTCTCGATCTTCATCGATCCTTTAATAGGAGGTAATTCAGGATATGACTTCAATGGTGGTACCCCTACAAGGTTTCCAAACAATAAATGACCAAGCGGAAATGGATTATTGGCAAGACCAAATGAAAAATGATGAACTTTTCGTTCAATTTATGACCGAAATTTTCAAGAAGAAACAGCTGGAAGCACAACGTGAAAGAAGAAACAATTGTATGACTCATCCTACACTAATACCAAACACATCATCGCCTCCAACTGCACAAGAACCAGTACGACAACTACCTAGCCTCATGGACCAGCCGATAATGACACCTAGCAACCAAGACCAATATTATCAAGCTGTTGGATCACCAATGGTAACAAATAGCAATAAGCATAACTCAAATATAGATACTCAATATAGTACAGGAACAGCTCGACGAGCTTTGGAAGAGGCTAGTCCAGAATACCGAACACAACAACGAGTAAAAAGACGTCGACAAGGAGAAATAACCCCAAAGACAATTCGAAGTAACTTTGGACCAGAATCTGGAGCAGCAAATGGAAAAAATTATGAAGTGCTTCCTAGCCATGTAAAAAGGGCAATGAGCAACAATCTTCCATGTTTTTACATCAAATTCAGGAGCACCAATAATACGGAAGAATTTCAATCATTATCAGCAATGAAGGTCGCTGAATTTATTCGGGAAACAATCTCCCAACAATCGCAGTATTCATTAGAGGACATATCCTTATTAGTACCAGTGGCCTTGAACCGTTTCAAGATTGGAGTGAAATCGAAGAAAAGTTTTCTTTTATTATGGCAGTGCAAATGGTCCAGTCAAATGGATAATTATGAAGTTGAAGTCGAACGGCCACGTTCTTTACCTGATTGCTGTGCCTTAGTTGTACGAAACGTTCCTGCAGACTTGCCCAACGAATTTATTTACCAGGAAATCACAAAATCAATTTCATCAGCAACATCGCTTACAAAAATGAATTATCATCGACAACGGACCACAAACGATTTCAGATTTTGTGTAGCAGATGAAAAGGAGTACGACGAAATAATGAAAATTGGAAGAATTGCAATTGGACACGTTCTCCTCCCGATTACCGCCTTCCAATCCAGTTTGAAATTGACGTATTGCAATAGCTGTTGGGAAATTGGTCATTTTAAAGCACAATGTAAAGTAGGTCCCCGCTGTCGTTTATGTTTAGAACCATGGAACCGTGATCACAAATGTGATAAACCAACAAAATGTGCTCAATGTCATGGCGAACACCTATCCCTCAGCATGGATTGTCCCATAATAAGAAGTTATCGTCGAACATTGAAAGAAGAAATAGAGAAAGCAATGGAAGAAGGTAAAGACAAAGGCTGGGACAAAGAAAATGCAGTTACGAGTCACGCTGGTGCATCAAGTGCCAATCCTCATCCTCCTCCTAACCAAGTAAATCGAAACAAGAACGTATGGGCAACAACTCAAGGATCAACAACACAACACTCAGAACAGCACGACAATAACCTATTAAGTGAATTGAACATGGAAGTTAAATCTATACTAGATGCAACTCGACGTTTGGAAAACAAACTTGACATTATCACAAGGAGAATGGAGGCATCGGATAAAATGATCGTGATCAACAAACAAGGTCTAATGGTATTAACCGATATCGTACAACAAACAATCAACGCATTAATAGGACAGAAAAAAACATCCGTCATACAAAACCTGGCAAGCCAGATTGATAAATTTAAAGAAGATTTCGTGGAAAAATTCAACAACCTCGACAACGAAAAAATCCACGACACGTCAACAACTACTCCAAACGAAAATATCAACGACAACCGAAAAACAACAGACACTGAAGGCGGTAACAACATTAATCGAAGGTCAGAAATAAACACCATAGACAGTATAGATGAATAAGGACAATAAAAAAATGTGTTTTAGCGTAGATGCTCCCGCTTTTTATCCTGCCTTTCCCATTACTGATGTAAAAGGGTCCGTGGTCCAACGAGTTATTGATTGGGGCTTTCCTAGGAGCTTTGTCAACACTATATCAGAAATTCTAGAGGAATGGTATGGAAATAACACTTTACATGGAGTTTTCGAAATATGGGAGAAGAAGAAACAGAAATTTATAAGTCAAAAAAGCCCCCTCAACATCTTATTATACAATGTAGAAGGCTGGGGAAGTAGGTCACTGGAAACGGTGGAACTAATATGTAAATCTGACAGCGCTATCTGCATCTTAACTGAAGTAGGTGAGCTATGGAATAGTTTCGCAATCCCGAATTTTAACACATTCTACAAGGAAGGAACAAATGGCAAAGGAGGTGTCATGATAGCAGTAGGGAAACACCTAAAAGTGACTCGCATCGATATAGATATTGAAAATACAGTCATAGTGGATGTAGATGGACTATCCGAACCAATAAGAGTAGTAGCTATATACTGGCCACAGTGTCAACAACGTAAATTTGAGGAAATATCACCATTCATAGTAGAGAACACTATAGTAGCGGGAGATTTTAATGGCACAGCACAGGAATGGTGTAGCCCATCAACAGACACAAGAGGCAAACTTCTACGAAGTTGGATCGAAGAAGTTAATTTGAGATTCATCCCTGGCACAAAGAATTCTTCAAAACGTTCGGACAGACATATAGACCTTATTTTTACGAATGTAATAGATGTTAAAGCCGAAACATTAGAATTAGGGACAAGTGATCATTGGCCCCTAGTGATGACAAGTGAACACATCGGATTCCAAACAAATGGATACTTTCCGACCGTTAACTGGAAAGCCTTCGAAGTGATGTTACAATTGCTGCAGGAATTCTGGACGAAAGAACTAGAAAAGCAAGAAGTAGATGGATGGTACTCTGTGTATACCAGATTCCTAGCTGCACTAAAGAATAGAGTAACAACTTGGAAAACGGTTGAGAAGTACCGCCCGGCACTACCACCCCATATAATTGGAATGTTAAAAAAGGTTAGACAAATTAGGAATAGATACTACAGACAACGAAAATGGTTCGGAGGAATAGGAAATGAAGAGGATAGAAGACTGCTGCGAATGCTAACTAGACAAACAAATATAGAAATAAACCGATATAAGACGGAAAATTGGAGTAAATTCCTATCATCAATACAAGAAGCACACGACCTAAGAGGTAAAGCCTTCTGGTCACATCTAGCCCGAATTTATAAACCAAAAACTACACCGATATTTAAACTAGCAAAGAATAATAAAGTTATAGCTGATCAACAAGAAATAACTAAGGAATTATATGAGTATTATAGTGAATTAGGAAAGCCAGTGAATATTAAGAAACAAGACAAAAGCGGAATAGAAATCGAAAGTGAATATAAACTCATCAAAAACGCATTGAAAATAGACAAACAACTCACGATAGAACCAATATCACTAATAGAGCTCAAAAAAGAAGTGAAGAAATTAAAAAACAAAGAATCAGCAGGCTACGATCTTATATCCAATCGTATGATTAAAACACTACCACCGCAATACCTCCAATGTCTCGTTAATTGCTTCAATTCATGGTTAAAGGAATGTCGATACCCAGAAGTCTGGAAACTTGCAAGGATAATCACGCTTAGTAAACTAAACGCAGGCATCCCTCAAACAGACCAAACTCGACCTATCTCATTGCTACCCACACACTCTAAACTTTTCGAAAAAATAATTTTGAACAGAATCAGATATTGGGCGGAGACTAATCATTTAGTACCTAGAGAACAATCTGGTTTCAGACCTGGTGGGTTGCTAAGTACACGTGTACTTTCAATATACCAGGAAATCAAAAACGAACTAGCGGCTAACATGCCATGTCTGGCGTTGTATTTCGACTTCAAAAAAGCTTACGATACTGTATGGCACGCTGGAACAATAGTAAAATTAAATAGACTAGGAATGCCTAAGGAACTCTTGAAAATAGTATTATCCTGGATAGAGAACAGGAAGGCGTACATTTACCTGGGAAAGAACGATTCCTCTATTTTCAGGCTGGACATAGGCCTTCCGCAAGGAAGTAGCCTTAGTCCATATCTGTTTATTGTATATCACAGTGATATTGTTCACTGCGCTGGAGCCCACTCAGTGCACGTATATGCCGATGACTTATGTATCATAGTCAGAGGACCGATAACAAAGAACCTGCAGAACACGAACGATTACCTAGGAAAAGAAGGTACAAAAATCTGTAAGAAAGTCATGGAATACGCGGAGAAATGGAAACAGCCGATAAATGTTAGGAAAACAGTTGGGCAGGTATTCTATTCCCAACCTGTTTGCCCGGAAACTAAAGTCCTTATCGAGAACAAAGAATTAGAACTAGTGAGGTCGTTCAAATACCTAGGGTTCACATGGACAAGCAAGCTATCATTACAACCGACAATAGATAATTGCATAGGGAAAGCAGACAGAGCCATAGCGAAAATGAAATGGCTGAAAAAGAATAAAATCGTCTCGCTCGAAGTCCTACGTAAATGTCTGTTCACATTTACCTTCCCGCATTTAGCGTGGATCTTCCCTCTCTACCCCTTTCTTCCACAAGGACAAAAAGAAGCCTTAAATAGGAAATTCAGAGTCGGAATTCGAATAGCACACAGATGCCCCTACATCGAAGCGAAGGATCTGCACACTGTAACGAAAGAGGAAAGTTTAGAGTTCTATGTGAAAAGGTATATCAGAAAGCAAATAACGAACGCGAATAAAACCGATCTTAGTCTCTCCCCCTTCTTCGAAGATATATTCAAATGGGATTGGATGAAGAAAAAGAAGAATGATGGAGTCGGACACTTTTTCAGAACGAGAAGAGTGAAGAAACAATTGGAGAGACACGAGGTGCTGCTGATAAAATGGATAGACTTCATAGCGTAAGAACGAACCCCAAGAGTCGAAACTAAAAGGAAGAAAAAAGGAAAGAACACATAGCTCCCGGAAAATAAACTTTTTGGACCACGGACTTCTTAGCCTATCTCTCTCTCTCTTTCTCCTTTTTATACAACAAGCTTTTGGTTATTGCGTACTTTATTTCGCCTCTTCTCAATCTCTTTAATCATTATTATACCCTGATTTGTAAGCACTCCCGAGTGTTACAATAAAATAGCTAAAACACAGAGATTGTCATAAACAGGAGAGAAAATCTTTTGTCGATTGAAATAATTCTATCAAGAAGAAACATCCCTTACTTTCCACTCCTAATCGACAGTCCTATTCATATGACGCGAATCTCTACTTTCATAGTATCTCGACATGCATCGGATCGACGATCTATAAACAATGATGAAGGAAATTATAAAAGAATAAATATAATTGTTTCTCCACAAACAAAAATGTCCTTTTTTCCCGTTTTTATTTGTCAATTCTATCGATGGTCAGAATTTCAATCGCACAGAAATAAAGACATAAAAGTAGAACAAATTCAATACTTTTCTAAAACATTTTTCTTGATTAGTAAAAACTTCGATCAACAACAATGGATAACATTGTTGGTTCCACAAAGTCAAAACATTTCATCGAACAACGTCGACGGTCAATTGTAATTGATTATTTAATTGCAACTTCTACGCATGGACTACGTGGTGTTGGTCGTGCTTATTCCAAAAGTAATAAGATATTTTGGATTATCACATTCACTTTCGCAACAGGACTTATGTTCTACTTTGTAATATCGGCAATTTTACAATATTTCGCATATCCAACACAAACAAATGTTGAAATTAATTTAGATCCGCAAATGAATTTTCCTGCTGTCACTATTTGCAGTGGAAATCCAAATCCATATAAGAGAATAAATGCATCATTAGTTGATTTCTTTTACCGATTATATCCTTCTAATGTTACATTTAATCAAAGTTTTCTCAATTCTTTACAAATACCTTTATATATTGATTTATTCAATCGAAATAAAACAGAAGAATTGCAATCGATCAGTTTTCAGCTGACTGACATGATGTTATCGTGCACGTACAATGGGATTAGTTGTTTAAATGCATTTATCACTTCTATAACACCAAGTTTTGGTAATTGTTACACATTTAATTGGAAGACGTCAACACCTTTCTTTACATTAAACAATTTTAGTAGTACTTTTGTAGCAAGAGATGGTCTTGCAATGTCATTTTATATTCCACGTGAAAGTTATTTTCCTACAACTTTATTTGATGCTGGTCTTGTCATCTTATTACACGATAACAATGAGCTTCCAATACCTGAAGAGAATGGTCTTAGTCTTACGCCGGGTTTATCTTATTATTTAACCTATCGTAAAAGCGAAACAACGTTTCTTTCTGCTCCTTATACGCAGTGTACATCAGCCGTCGCGGATGATTTACTTTCTCTCTACCAAACAACTTTCATTAATCAAACAGCATCCGAAATAACTGCATATTCAGAGTCAATATGTCGAGAGCTATGTGAGCAATCTTATACATTCTCACAATGTTCATGTATTGTTCCCTCTGACTTTTTCACTCGACTCATCTATACATTAGATGGCCATCTCATCGCAGCGAATATTTGTAGCCCATTTGGTGGACAACTCGAATGTTCATTCAATTCCAAACAGCGGTTTGATGCTGATAGTGAATTACAAACATTATGGTGTGATCGTTGCCATCCTCAATGTCAACACACGGACTTTAGCATTGATCTGAGCTCAATGGCAGCTCCGTCTACAGCTGAATTAGAACAATGGCGTAGATTATTAATAAATGGAACTAATGCATCTACAATCTTAGTTCCTGATGATTTTGCACAACGTTTCGATTATTATTTTGAACGAAATTATTTAAAAGTACTCGTAGCATGTGGAAATAAATACGTTACTAAGTACAGTCAAGCAGCTAAACTCAGTTTTGTTGACACATTTTCAGCTGTTGGAGGACAAACTGGACTGTAAGTTCTATTATAGCGAAGTAATTTTAACAAAACTTTTTTTTCCAAATAATATTTAGATGGATTGGCTTAAGTGTGTTGAGTGTGATTGAATTGAGTGAACTGGCTTATCGACTTATTTATAAACAAGTTGTACGCTGGAAAAAGAATCGAAACGTTGCTGCTAATGCATCAACGATGGTTGTAATCAATGGCAAATAAACTTGAACTTTGACGATTTTTGAACATTCCGTTTTCATAGAGATATATTTATTCGTATTTTGTTTTTGAACACACACACACCTTCATCCGTCAAAACAGAAACTCTCATCAAAATAGCACAATACATTGAGATACAAAATTAATGTAGATAGAAAACAGTCATTGTGCGCCATTTTCTTTTCGTTCGATTTTATATGGCACCCATGGCTATGCTTCTTATTGTTTTCGTTCGTTTCCTTGTTTATATGCAGTGTCACAAATGCATTAATAAAGCTTTTTTACCAAAGGAGAAGAACTCTTGGACGGCCTACATTGCGATTGAGGAATTCTAACAATACAGATGACCGATGAGAGTGAGAGTATATTGTGAGTGTGAATATCGTCGTAGATAATACATTCACTAACTCATATCCAACTACTTGTTTTTCAATCACGCTACCATCCACATCTTCGCCCTCAATCATCAATCAGAGACATAGAAGAAAACAACTCTGTAGTGATAATGTGCAAAAAGTACAAGAAGAAAAAAGACTCCAAGAAACACAAAAAAAGTGTTTGATTGATAGAAGACGATCTGTGTACCAGANTGTGAGTGTGAATATCGTCGTAGATAATACATTCACTAACTCATATCCAACTACTTGTTTTTCAATCACGCTACCATCCACATCTTCGCCCTCAATCATCAATCAGAGACATAGAAGAAAACAACTCTGTAGTGATAATGTGCAAAAAGTACAAGAAGAAAAAAGACTCCAAGAAACACAAAAAAAGTGTTTGATTGATAGAAGACGATCTGTGTACCAGATTGCCTGTTGTATTTGAAGGTACAAATATGAACAGAACAACTCTACCGTCGGTAAGATATGGGTGAAGAGAAGGATACGAATGTTCGCAAAGACCATATCTCTGATCGATTTTCTTCTTCAAACATGTTTCAGTCAACGATTTGAAGTACTTGTGTTGTTAATGGATTTAGAGTAGCATCTCTATCGAGAAATCATCGTTCATTCCTGTTCGAGAATATACTACGATATTTTCTCAAATTGAAATTGACGAACATGATCATCGCATTGAATTCTAGGAATCTTCATGTTGACAAATAATGTCATTTATGTAACGATGCTGGTGAAGACCTCACGAAAATCGTCATATTACTATACTCAAAGGCAACTGCATGAGTAGTGATTGTCACTTATACTTTGTTGAAGTCGCATCAACAAGAAAAAGTTGAAATACAACTACGGAACCATGAAGTTTGCCTTTTCCATTCCGTTCGATATTATCAGTATGTACTGCTAGGTTTATCTGTCTCAACTTAACAAGCTGCAAATCGTTTTACTTTAGATCAATTCAAACGTGTGTACACTTCAGCTGAGATTTCCTACCGAAGCGCTTTGACTATACAGAAGTGAATAATCATGATGCACTAACGAGTCAATAGTTTCACATAGTGCTATGATAGAACATATCATTTACCACTCAGCATTCGGATATCTGTTTATCAGTATTACTATTCTTTTCTTTCAATCTTTTCTACAGAAATTATTAGCCTTTTGATGAATAAACAGAGAAAAAAAAGCTCGAGTTTATAAGAACTAATCGTGAACTGTGATATCTTAGTTTTATGCATGAGACATTCTTTAGTAGAAGAATATATCTTTACTCAACTACATCCAGAAACATGATTCAAATGAAAACAGTAAAGGAAGAGAAACTCAAGAAAAATGATACAACAGATACTCAGGAGCATTGCATCAACTGACCCACATTCTCAAGTAGGTTGAGCAACATGAATCCTCACATAATGGGTCGAATCAATGCTGAGTACAACAAACTGTCTTCACAAATTCAATTATCCAGTAATTCTCTCTGATGTAATAACTAGAGTTTCGAATGAGATCATTTCATTGTATATCTTTACAAAAGACAATCAATTAAACATCGTCCGATGGGAAAATTGCTTGACTGAAGGGATATCTCTACTATGAATCTATGGCTAACAAATGTCATTTGTCGATGTAGAAATTATACTAAAAAAATTTCTATATTTTCTTTTCCCTCGAATGTTTTGTTGTTTTCTTCATCAACAGTCATTTGTTTCATTCTTTCAAAAACAAACTCATGAACTATGCCATCGATTGTTATCAATCTCAATATATTCGCAAAAACGGAAATACACAGGTGTTAGAAAAAGTTTGCATAACTTCGTCAGTGCTCGTGACGATTACAGAAGATTGTTTCCTGCACTATGGTGCAACTCAACAGATGATTGAAGATCTCAATGAACTATAATTAATAGAAGACTCCATCAGAATTTGCTATCTGTCGATTAATTTTATCAAGATGGGAACTTACAAAAGATTATAGCGAACATTTTGATGAAACCACGACACTTTAAAAACTATTTGAAAGAGTAGCGATGTCTATGAACGAGATCGAATATGTAAAACAATGGATCATCCAATTGACAAAAGATATCTCAAACTACACGAGTCTCACCTTGTTCTATGACATAGAAAAGAACAAACCATATTATCCCATGGGATGATATTTGTCTCTCAATAATGTGTCATGATGGGAAATGTACTTTTATCCCATTCTCTCCAAACTTATAATATACAAAAAATATTCGGCATGTCATTTCACTTCTGTTTCTAACGCAAGTTGTGCACTTATCACCACCAAGATCGACAACACTAGGTAATGGAGAGTTTTTCATGACTATTTATCGATAGAATAGTTGTCAAACGTTTGAGACACTTACGAATATTTAGTGATGTACAATGTATGAAGATACAGACAAAAACATCCATGTGCTCTTTTTCTGTGCCTTCACAAAGAGAGAACTGGTCGATTAGATGCTTGTAAGTCAATTGCATGGGCCAAACAAGATTCAGTTTAGTATAGCTTAAAGAATTCTCTCTCATTATAATGGATACGAGAAAGTAGGAAGTAATTGGACGTAACGTTTCTGATGTGTCTTTCACGTGTGAAATATGTTTGTGTTCAGTACACAATAGTTGACATTCTGATTGATCGTCGTCTTCCACATAGATCCGCATAATATGCAGAATCATTCTGTTCGAACCAGATAGAATTATCACAAACATTGTTATTCGTATTCCATTTCTATTAAAATAGAATGTGTTGTCTGTTTCAGTAAACAAATGGTGACTAACGATATGAATACAATTTCACCGATCCAGAATCCACTCACGAATATGACACATAGTAGTGAAATGTTGAAGGTAAACGAATGTACTGATGAGACGAAGAGTGAGTCTCAGTCATTCAAGATGCCTCGTGCTCCACCTCATGTATATTCTTGCTTTGTTGTTAATTGTACCAACGAGCCAATCGACTGTACACTCAAGTATAATGGTCGTCCAGGTGAAGATACATTTGATGAAGTAGTCAACGTCACTATTCCTGGCAACACTGAGCACTATTTTCCTCGTCAACTCTTTCAGCCTGATCTGCCCGAATCATACTGCAAATGGGTCAAGATTATAACACATATTCAAGTGAAGAAGGCGAACGATCATATTTTAGAAGTAAACTATCCATTTGAGCATGTTCATTGTCCGATTCGCAACTGGGAATTTCATGTCAACAACGAAGGAGAGATCCTTTCAAAGCCACCTACTCGTGTTGTTAATGTTCTCAAATATGAAAATCTCGATCGCTATGAATGTTGAAACTGTTCCTTGCTACCATAAAATTAATTACTCTTTATCCACAAATTTAATCGCGAAATAAACACACTAATAAGTTATGTTTTTCTACCTCAATACCGCATAGTGCACAATATCGTGAACGTGAAAAATATTCGACATATTGGTTCTTGAGGATATCTTTGTCATCTAAACAAAAAAAAACATATTTTTATGTTGAACTACATATGTAGATTGATGATTTAGCGGCTATTCTCTTACACATGTATTGTGCTATAGAATTATTTAATTTAGTTGTACAACGAAGATATGTTGTCAATTAACTTTTTTCGTGCACCCACGAGTAGTTTATTGTTTCAAATTTGACGATTCTTTTCATCATTTACATGTCTTATATCTTCAACCATAGGTCTATTTTAATTTGTTAGTGTTATGTGTTCATTGCTTGAATGTATTTTACATTCACTTTGATCATGGTCAATTTGATCAGCTTACAATGATTCTATGTATATCTGATGATGGTCCATTCTCACGAGTTGATTAGAACATGTTATATGTAACCGATTCAATATTCTGAGCTTTTGTCATTTCATGTTCACCCTCACTCTCGCTCTTCCTTTCAGAACAGAAGTTATGAACAAATTGGTGTTCGCTTAACTTCATGCTTAATAGCAGCACGATCTATGATGATTTCGATTCGTTGTGTTCACACTCATACACACACTTTTCTAAGTCCTACACCCTCCAAGATTCAACAACTATAATTCGACGATTGCTTCATGAACAGTCAACCGACAAAGAAACACCACTCGACATCGATCTGTAATCTCTGAACGGGGTCAAGTTTGATGATAGATCCCATGACTAGTAGTGGGGCACGATAAGTTAAAATCTGTACTATTCTGCGTATCAACTTTCTCCCCTATTTCTTCCTTTCCCATTCCCATTCCCATTCCCATGGTAAAGATAAGAGGAAGTGTCATTTACACTTAGGCCATGGGAAGACAAAGAAAGATCTGGAGAATGACGAAAGGGAAAGGGAAAGGGAAAGGGAAGCAGAAAAGGTCACTTCCCACAAACACTGCTCTAGATTTCTTCATCATATTGCCGAGCGTATTCTTGAGAATGTAAGAACGGAGATGAAGCAAGAATTCGTGACCATGGAAGCATCATTCGAAACGATTGCGATAGTACTGAGACTCGGAGCTATTTTTACTCACACAAGAATATGTTACCAGTACAAGACAGGTCAAGTTGATTGTCGAATTCTCTTTCTTCAACTTTGAAAATATGCTTTGTGTTATAAAGAGAGACTTACTGATCTTACTATTGTGTTCGATTCAACTGAGAAAGTGCTAAAGGCGATTTCTTTTACAATGATCAAGAATAAATTGATACAATCAGGTGACGAAGTCATTACTATGTTACATTCAAATGCTTACTCGATGATCATCAGCATTCATTCTCCATTGCCATGGACTTTCTAGGAAACAATGATCAGCACGAGTTGAGTCTGACTTGACATTCATCGATTATCGATGAGGTTCGAACAAATCTCGGTTATCGTGATCCATCTTGGCAATAAACAGTTATTACCGACAGCAGCACCTCAGGTAAGAATCATCCTACTAATCGAATTAGCAGTATCAACGGACAATAGTCATAAACTAATGTTGTAAAACTAACGTCACTAAGACAAACGACAGTTAGATAACTTCTCGCTAGACGAATGCGAACTTTATTGAGAGTGTAGTGCGAAGAAAATCATATCTAATTAGTATCAGTTCATATTTCTCACAAAAGAATCACAATACACTACTAGATTAGTTTCAGTTGTTCTTATCTGATGATGCCATTTCTATACGTTAGAATACAAAAAAATCGGTCTAAATCAACGCCGACAAGCACTGGATGCAAACTGCATGCGAAATGTGTACATTGTTTTGTATTTACATACCAAATGGCAAACTTATGAGAGATACATTGAGTATTCCGTGTGACAACGGCACAAACTGTCTATTTCTTCGAGGTTAAACGAAACTTTCGAAAGCACGAAATCAATATCACTTCTGCTTTTGCTTTTGCTATTGAGAGAGCAGTTCTCGTTTCTCTCTTTGCTCGTGGTTATATGTCACAGCGTTTTCTCCCACAGAACATATTCTCGAATGTGCCGGCATATGTCATTCTTCGTTTTTCTTTCTGTACTTCCCACGTGTGTATCCAGTGCGAAGATCACTGGCAAGTACACGTTCGTATACGTCGTCTGTTTTGGTCTAGATGATAGCGTAGAATTCTCCCATCATCCCACAGCAGCTATCATCGCTCATATGCTTTTATAAGCGATGGCTGATTGTTCTCCCATTTCCCGTATGTGAAATCAAGAGAATATAAACGGCAGTTTTCGTCTCAATTCATCATTCCTTCGGACATTGCATTGCTGTGGCACGCTACTTTACTCTCCTGCATAACGATCTCAATTGATTATTTTCGATCTGACGCTTCTGCTCGTTTTGGTTCGCTGACTCGTGTCATCTGTCATTACTTGTTATTGATTTAACAGCGTCAATACAAGTACGACGCACGCTTGTGCGAGTGTCACTTGTGAAAAGGATGTGTTGGATAGCAAAATTGTTGATCTATGGAGAACAGCAGTGTTGGTGATGGACAAGCAAGAAATCCGAGTAGCTAGACTTCCACAAAGTACACTGACTTTCATATGTTCGGTCATTGACTCCATTATTATACTGTTTCATGATAAACATGTTCTTCTTTTTAGATCATTAACAGTCTAATACTTTTTACATTTTCATTTACACGTACTGATCGACACGCAGATTTGATCATATCATATGACGCTGGCATCAGCTGTTGAAGAGGCAGTGGCCATCGTAGGTATGGCATGTGAATTTGCTGGTGACATTCATTCACCGACAGACTTCTGGCGTGTACTCGAGCAGAGTGAAGATGTTGGCACAGCGATTCCACCTGAACGGACTGATCTCACTTCGTTCTGTGCTCACATGCTTAACCAAGACAAGAACGACCAGTTTCACAAGCAACTGATTCGTGCTGGCTATTTTCTATCGGAATCACACTGGGATACTTTCGAACCGGGCTTCTTTGGGCTCTCCAACAGCGAAGCGATCGCGATCGATCCGGCTCATCGTCTGCTTATGCTCAAGTTTGTTCACCTAGTCGACGATGCTGGATACACGATGGAAATGATGAACGGCTCACGCACCTCAGTGCATATTGGACAATTTTCCACAGATCATGCATACACCACATATCGCATGCAACCCGAATGTCGAACACGGCTGCACGGAATCAATTCCATGCTGTACAACGCCGCTGCCCGACTCTCCTATCACTTCAACTTGCATGGTCCAAATGTGTCACTTGACGTCGCTTGTTCATCGTCGTTAGAGGCTGTTCATCTGGCCGTCCAAGCCCTTCGCACGGGCGAATCAGACATGGCAGTGTGCGGTGGAGTCAACGCTGTCTATGCTCCGGAGAATCTTCTCAACGGCTCGCTCATCGGTGCTGTGTCGCCCGATGGCCGTAGTCGGTCATTCAGTGTGGATGCGAATGGGTATGCCAAAGGTGAGATCAGCACAGTAGCCCGTATTTGTGTTTGATTTTCGTGGATTGTTTTAGGCGAAGGTCTCGGTCTTGTCTTACTCAAGCGATTGAGTGATGCTGAACGAGACGGGGATCGAATCTATTGTGTTCTACATGATGTTCTCAGCCATCATGATGGGAACGAGGACAAGAACAATTTTGTTGTTCCGTCGAGTGTTGGTCAAAAGCGTCTCCTCGCTGCTATTTATGGCCGGGCCAAAATCGATCCGCAACGCATATACTATGTTGAAGCACATGGTACTGGAACACCGGTAGGCGATCCAATCGAAGCAAATGCCATTGGCCAGTTTTTCCATCGCTCGTCATTGGACCCACCATTGTTGATCGGATCTGTCAAAAGCAATATTGGTCATACAGAAGGCGCATCTGGCATAGCCTCACTCATCAAGATTGCTATGTGTATGCGACATCGAATGCTTCCGCCGAACATGCACTTTACGAGCCTCAATCCGAAAATCGACGCTCAGCGCTACAATTTGCATGTCGTTCAACACTTTGTACCATTTCCGCCAGCTACGGATGGCACAGTTCTGATTGGTATCAATTCCTTTGGAATGGGCGGAAATACAACGCATGCCATCGTCGAAGAATATCGACCGGCACACGGAAAGATGATGGTCGATGAATTCACTACCGGTCCTGTCGTCGACGAAAACAGTGCAACTAAACAGCACTTTGTTTTTCTCTTTTCAAGTAAGTTCACGTTTGATTCTGTTTGTTGATCGTCAAGCTTGGTGTCATTCAGCAAAATGTCAAGAGTCACTTTTCAAACAAGTCGACCAATTCCGGCTATGGTTACAAGGTGTCTCGAGCCAGATTCATGGCAACCAGGACAGCTTTCTCATGCATATCTCTGAGCAGCTACTTCTGAAACGTACTATCAGTTACAATCACTTGGCTGTTTTTGTATGCGCTGACCGTACACAACTAGAACAGCAAATCGACGCTTTTCTTGCTCGACAGAAAGTGCCCGGCCTTTTTCTCACAACACGTCCAACTTCACCACCGAGAAAACTTTGTTTTGTTTACAGTGGTCAGGGTCCGCAATGGTGGGCCATGGGTCGGCAGTTGTACAAGAATGAACCAATCTTTGCTCAGTGGATACGACGAATCCATAGTGAACTGGCTAAAATCAATCAGGATGGCTGGAGCTTATTGGAAGAACTGATCGAGAAAAGCAGCGAACACGAGTCTCGTATCAATGACACGAATATCGCTCAACCTGCACTATTTGCTATTCAAGTGAGCCTCACTGCTCTCCTCGCATCGTGGCACATATTTCCCGATACTATTGTGTCACACAGTGCAGGAGAGCAGGCAGCTGCTTTCGTTTCTGGCCGTGTTACCTTACAAGAAGCCATTCGTGTTGTTTATCATCGATCACGTCTCCAGAACCGCAATACTCGCCAAGGTGGTCGCATGCTAGCCGTATCCATGAGTGAGCAAACAGCAAGAAGCGAACTTCTCAAGGGCATCGAACATCAAGTATGTGTTGCGGTCGTCAACAGTTCTCGATCTGTCACGTTGAGTGGAGACGAAACAATCATCAGTCAAGTGCAAGAAATTCTCTCGACGTTGCATCCCAATGTGTTCAAAGCCCTACTTCGAATCGAAAATGCGTTTCATTCGCATCAGATGGATCGATTTAATATCGAAGAAGAAATGCTGTCTTTACTCGGTGACATTCGCGGCCTTCCCTTGCGAGATGCGCAACAAATGTTTGACGTGAGATGCAGTCGAGCTCGACTGTATTCAAGTGTCTCTGGTGACTACGTGAGTGATTGCACAGCACTCGATGCTCATCACTGGTGGTCCAACGTGCGGCAATGTGTTCGATTTGCCGATGCTATTGGCGCTGTCATTCGCGACAACGCTGCAGACGCCTTTCTCGAACTTTCACCTCATCCCGTATTGACGACATCGATTCACGAGTGCTGTGAGCTCGTGGGTTTGCAGCCACTCGTTCTTCCTACACTCAAGCGAAAAGAAGACGAGCAGACGACACTTCTGACGAGTATCGTTCAGCTTACCACATCACGTATGGTCTGGCAGCACTACTTCAAATCTCGTCATGTACGCTCCAGTGACGTCGATCATGCACTCTTCGAATCCTTTCCATTCTATGCTTTTCATACGAGTCCCTGCTGGTATGAATCTCGAGAGTCTGTTATCGATCGTCTTTCGTATCGTCTGCCGATCCATCCACTTCTGGGTGTTCGTCAATGGACTCAACATACAAGTGCAACATGGAAGAGTCTGATCAACATCAATCGTCGTGAATATGCCTTTTTGAAAGATCACAAAATTCGAGATGTTATTCTATTTCCGGCTTCTGCTTTTCTTGAACTTGCACTGGCCGGTTGTCGTCAGCTGTTGACATCGGATAATACTACACAAGCGACGATCGTGTTCGAACGAGTCGAGTTTGTCAATGCACTCGTCCTGATCGAGCATCAACTGACAGAAGTCTTCACTCAAATCGTGATGCCAATGCGTGAATGGTTCATTTATAGTCGACCCTGGACGTCAGCCGGTCAAAGCTGTGTGCGTACATGCGGTATGTCGGGCGTCGATGTACTCAATTCGTTTACCGATCCACATACACTCAATCAATACTCGCTGAGCGAGTTTACACTGCACGCCCATGGTTGGATCAATGTCGACAAGAGTAGCATCCAACAACAGGCGCCTCTTCTTATCGATGCTGTCGTTGCTCGAGATTCATATGCAGAACTTGATCCGGCCAATATCTACGCTCATCTCTCCTTACGAGGCTACCAGTATGGACCTTCGTTTCGACTGGTACAATCACTGCGTGCTACAAGATCCATCGTGGAAGCTCAGCTTGATAGCAGCATCTTCACTCAAGAAAATCTCCCGAGTTATCACCTCATTCATCCAGCTGTCATCGATGCTTGCTTGCATCCGATTCTTGCCATCATACCTGGAACGTCGACGACTCTACTTCCTGTCGCTATTGAAAAGGTGACTATAGCGGGAGAAACTATAACAGTTTCTTCAACAGTACAGTTGCGGGGTGCCTGTCATGCTAGGATTGGTGGGTTGGGCAAAGAACAAACGTATGAGTGTGACTGCACGATCACATCAGGTGATACAGCGAGCCACCGGCCTCTAGTCACTTTCGAGCGTTTTACAATTCAGCAAATCGAAGGTGCACACTCGGCTTGGTCGACATCGGACAAGTCAGTATTCGACAAATTGAACATAATAGCAAGTTTACCTAATCGAGACTTCACGACGCATCTAAATACGATCATGGCCGAGCATTGTCTTCAAAAGAAATGGAGTGAACAATTGATCGTGAGGAGCATGGCCGATATTCTTCCATCACCTAACGAATTCACAATGAAAAGCATGCATTCGACGGATGATGAAGATCTGACAGAATCAATTCAGGCATTCAATGAATTGGCTGCGTGTTATGCTCGAATGGCGCTGCAAGAATTGCCACTCGATTCCATCTCCGCACAGAAACAACCGCTGCTGGCTGCCTGCCTCTCTCTCACTCTTCACTCGAAAGTCGACACTACATTTCATTCGACTCAACTCTACTTGACACAGTTGCTCAAACGATTTCCACGTCTCAAACCGATGTTGACCGTTCTGGCTGGCTGTGGCCTGTGTCTCAGACAAGTTCTCACTGGTGAACAAGATGGACTAGAAGTTTTGTTGAAAGACGAACAGATCAGACGATCATTACAAGAAATCCAATCACTTATCTCTGCTAGTCAGTTAAGTGCCATTTTCCAAGTTCTTGACGAACATCTTCGACGCACGAGCGCTAATTTGTTGGCTGGGTACAAACTGCGCATATTCTGGCTGGGTGGTAATAGTGCTGTCGATGTCTTACCTATTCTTCGCCTTTTACTCGATTTATCCCAAGAAACAGGTCTATCTATCGATTTACATTATGTTGACCTGGATTCTGTTCGGCTAAAAGAAATTGAACAAACGCTCAGCGGACATTTGTCACATGAAAGTCGCTTGCACATGACATTTGATAACACGTTTGACTTGTTTAACCGTGATCAGAACAAGACATGGATGTTCGAATCGTATGATATCGTATTTACTGCGAACAAAATGCAAGGCTGCGACCACCGTGCATCGCTCGCTAATGTTCGTACTTTACTCGTTCCCAACGGTCTTCTTCTTTTGCTCGAACTTACACACGCTCCATGTTATTTCGACCTCATCTTTGGTCTGTTCGAACAGTGGTGGTCACCAGCAGACAATCAACGTGCTCTGCTCGACACTCAACAATGGACAAAAGCGATACAACAGATAGGCGGATTCGAAACAGTACAAGTCGTTCCGACTACATTTGGTAATTCTTTTATCGTAGCGCAGAAATCGCTCTGCCTCAAGATTTTGCAGACACTCGAAGAGCGCCAGCGTCAAGCATGGATCTTGTTTGTTGCCGAGAGCAATTGTAACATCAGCGATACTCTTTCGTCTCTTCTGCCATCTTCCAATGTCACATTGATTCATCCGTACGACTCGGATGAAGAGCAGATTCGTTCGAAAATCGAACAAGTGATGCTATTATACGAACAAGTTCATATCGTCTTCGCATGGCCGCTCGACCAGATCTCGGTCATTGAGAACAGCGAAAGAGCATTTGCGCAACAAGAGATTCGTCTGTGTGGTACACTTGTTCGTGTTCTTCAAACAATACAAACGATGCAGCCTCGTTCGTTTCCATTTGTGTTTGTTTTGACGCGAAATGCTCAGCCTGGTGCTGGTGACGGATTGAATCCGATCGGAGCAGCCCTTATTGGCCTTGTACGCAGTCTCACAAGTGAATATGAGCGACATCGACTGAAACTCATCGATTTACAGTCGCCATTGCGGCCAGCAGAACTACCGCCAGCTCTCCTGCGTGCCCTTGCTGAACATCTCATCATGTCTCTAAGTGCAGATCATCTCGACGAGATCATTCTTCGACAGGACGAACATGCCGGTGATGTTAAACAAATCGAATGGCACTATGAGATGTTGCAAGAACAGCAATACGCCAGCAACGAGTTAAAACCAGAACAAATATCAATAGTTCCCCACCGAGATGCTGATCAACAACGATTTCGTCTTCAAATCGCTTCGTCCCGTTCTCTCGAACACCTCATGTGGATTCGTGAGAAAAGCACGGGCGAACTTCTCACCGACGAACTCGAAGTTCGTGTTCACTGTGTTGGTATCGATTTTCGTGATGTTCTCAAGGTGCGCGGTCTCTATCCACATGTGCGTCCATTTAGCCAATCCGATAAAGAGAGACTATTGTTTGATCGAGACACGGAAGGTGGTTTTGATTTTGTTGGCACTGTTATTCGTTCCGGTTCAAGTGGAAAATTCGAAGCCGGTGATCGTGTGCTGGGCGTGTCATCACGTGGCGTGCTCCGTTCACATGTGATCGTCGACAATCATGAAGTTGTACGCATTCCAGAAGAATGCAATTATTTGACTGATGAACAACTGGCAGCGATGCCGTATGCTTCTCTCATGGCCCTGTACTCGCTAAAGCATCGCATTAATCTACAGTGTGATCAAACTGTTCTTATACATGCTGCAACAGGCGCTGCTGGTCAATTCTGCATTCAGTACTGTCGTGCGATCGGTGCTCGTGTCCTGGTCACGGATGACAGTGACGAGAAGTGTCGCTTTCTCCGTGAATGCTGTGATATCGAACATGTGTTCAATAGTGAGGACTTTTCCTTTGTAAATGGCATACGCAGTCTACTACCGGACGGGGTCGATGTCATCATCAATTCATTATCGGGCTCTCTTCTGCAAGCGTCGATCAAATTATTATCGTTTCAAGGTCACTTTGTTCAGTGGGGCAAGAAAGATGTTTTCGACAAAAGCCATGTGTCCATGTTTGATCTGCGCAACGACTGCACTTTTCATCTCATCGACATAAATACACTTTTTGTCCATCGGCCGAACGAATTCCACACGCTGATCAACGAAGTCATGGAACTGATCAGGAGAGGTGATTTCAAGCCGATCGAGCCAACAACTATCTATGAGGCATCACAAGTGATCGAAGCATTTGGACAATTTAATAACGGCGAGGTCATTGGCAAGTGTGTGCTTCGTCTAGTGAACTCTCGGAAACTGTTGATTTTAAACGATCAACAAACTGGAATGCCGAATGAAGGTCAGTAATCGTTTGTTGGCGGATACAATCAAATGTTTTTTTCAAATGTTTGTAGTAGGTGGTGACAGTCGCATGTTTCCATTAGACATATGTGAGCGAAGCACGATTCTCATTTCGGGAGGTTTTGGTGGTCTTGGCCTCACAATGTCTCGCTGGATGATAGAAGAACATGGTGTCAAACGGTTGGTTCTCATGAGTCGGCGAACCATGGGTCAACTTGACCAAGTAGACAATCCAGAATATGAAGAGTGGCAACGATTGCAACGGATGGTCCACAAGCATGGCGCTCATGTCGAGGTAGTACAAGCAGATGTTACCAAGTTCGAAGATGTGCATGGTCTGATCGAACGCCTTAACAAGACGCCTTATCCAGTGCGAGGCATTATCCACAGCGCCGTCGTGCAAGAAGATCGTAGTTTGGCGAAAATAACTCAAGCGAATTTCACACGCGTGTTCGGCCCGAAGATTCGCGGTGCTTGGAACCTTCATCGAGCGTCACAATTGGCCAGTGTTCCACTTCATTTCTTTCTACTCTTCTCATCGATCCGCAACCACTTGATCGATTTGGCAACGAGTGGCTACAATGCTGGCAATCAATTCCTCGACATTCTCGCTCACTATCGCGTTGAACAACTCAATTTACCCGCTCTGTCAATCAGTTTGCCAGGAGTTAGTGGTGCTGGTATGTTTCATCGACATCGTCATATGTTGACACACCTACAGCATGCGACAGGCTTCGACTTGGTACCGACAACAGCTGTCTTCGAACTCATTGAGCGATTTCATGCGAACCAAAAGACATGTCCGTGTCCTATTGTCTTCGCGGTCAATTGGCAAAAGTTGTATGAAAACCGACATGGAATAGGTATTCATCAAGTGCGTCGACTTGTCGCACAACGGCATGCATCCACGAGTGGCTCTTCGGCTACATTGGCAATCTCATCGGACAGTACTGTCGCAAGCGAGTCGATCTACGATCGTCTGGAAAGCATTGTAGAACGGACACGCACGATAGTAGCATCGCTGCTCGGTACAACCAATGTCGAGCAGATCGATGTGAACCGTTCTCTCGTCAGTCAAGGGATGGACTCATTAGCTGCAGCATCACTATACAACTGGTTAGGACAGGAGACAGGCATTTTCATCTCATTGGCCGAGATTCTCAAAGGAATTTCAATACAATCCATCGCAGAACATGTACACCGAAAGCGTCAAGCAGGCAAGCAAGCGAATGCAGTATCCACTGATAGCGAGTCGAAGTTGCACGCTGATCTAGCCGAACAAGATGAGATCGAGAGATACGGCTGGGTGCCCTACACAGGTACGGAAAATGTCCTATGCATCCGACGTCCGTTCTGTTCCGACGATCCTGTTCTCTTCTGCATTTCAACCGATTGTACTGAGCATAGCCACATATCGTCACACATACTTGTCAAAAAGACGTTGGAACAATTTGGTCATATGTCAGCTGCTGCCTTCTACATTCTTCAAATAGCATCAATGGTGGACATTGGAGCAAGTTCTCGTGACATAATCTCTCAGATACGTCGTGTTCAACCGCGAGGGCCCTATACATTGGTGGCCACGCATGCCGATCATGGCGAGATCGTTGCTGATGCGTTGCTTAAACAACTGCAGAACTATTCAAGCACGTCTATCATTCAACTGCTTCTTCTAAAGTAACACTGATAAAAAGTCGAGGACTGTCGAAAATGCAGCACACCGAGAGCTATCGAGATCGTCTGTTTGCCGTCGTGTAGTCGAGAGTGAAGGAGCATATTTGTATAGCAGGAGTGCGCTTTTAAAAACAATTCTTTAGCAAGTTCATTGACGGCATGTGTTGTCATGGATGCTGTTGTTGGACGAGTGCCATTCGGAAACCGAATTGTGATGTTTATAAGTCACTTTGTTTTGCACACTGGACATGCTTCTGATCGAGATGACATAACTACGCACCGATTGGACTGAGAACTTGTACTTCTTCACACTATGCTCCACTTTCTTGAGACAAAAAGACGAACATTCGATAGTACGATTGTTCTCTGTGTGTTCTGATTCGTTAGTCTACAGTCATAGACAAAACAACTGTTCTTTCTTTGTTTTTTAACTTGAAATTCAAATATATGTACTTTACAGCATGCTTTGAAGTACCTTGTCTAACATTATTACGTCGATCTTAACTTTTCCTACTTTCTTTAAAAATCTGTAGATTAAACTCATTCAGTCTTTACTATTCGATATACTATCGAACGACGTCTTCTCATCAGTCAATTCACTACCATGAATTTGATTCCTATTCGAAGAACAACAGCGGCAGCACCACAACGAACTGCAAGTCCGACATTGAATGTTTCAGGTCGATTGCAGGCGTTGGCTTCATTTGCTCAACAGCGTGTTTGGCTGCACGAAAAACTTTACTTCAATCATCAGTCGTCTTCATTGGCAATTTACAATATTCTTGTACCGTTAACGATTAAACATGGCTCGCTATCGGTTGAACGCATTCGGCTGGCTCTACTTTCAGTACTCGACTACCACACGGTTCTTCGAACGGCAGTTCGTTTCAATGGAAAGAGTGGACAGCTCGAGCAGGAAGTACAACCTCTCAGCCACGATCTTTACTCCTTTGAATGCACCTCGAATATCAACTCATCGGAGCAGCTAGATGCCATGCTGACGGCTGAGTCGGTGACCAATCACTTTAACTTGGAAGAGGGCAAAGTAGTTCGGTGTCATCTGATGCTATTGAGCAAGCACGGTAATCAACAAGTGCTTCGCAAGGGCGATCTGATCATTTTTTCTCTCCATCATATTGCATTTGATCTGAGCTCAGTGGGGCCGTTCATTGAAACTTTTAGTGAAGCATGTAACCAAACGAAATCTATGAAAATCGTTGGCAGAAGACCACAATACATTGACGTTACTCTGTATGAACAAGCTCTACTGCGAGATCCCAGTACCGCCAGTGCTCGACAGTTTTGGTCTACATTACTTCGTGGCTACGACTGGACGAAGAAGTTTCTTCAGCCTGTTGCTCTCACACAAACACACAGGAAGGTGCGGTCAGGACGCGGCTATTCGAAAGCATTCACTCTTGATCCAGATTTGGTCCGCGCGCAGATGCTCTTCGCTTCATCGCACAACATCTCTATGTTTCAATTGTATCTTACTTGTTACTACATGTTCATTCATCAATTGGACGGCAGTTGTGACTTGTGTATCACGGGTGCGACAGACAATCGCCGCCTGTTAGAACTGAAATCCATGGTTGGCATGTTTGTCAATCTGATCCCCTACCGGATTCAACTCAACCCATGCGAGTCATTTGCGAGACTTGCTTTGCAAGTTCAACAGTTGTGTCTATCGATTCTCGAATACAACCATCTACCGTATCAGTACATCATCAATGCTGAGGGTCATGAACGACAGCCGATGTCTCAACTATTCTTTCAATATGAATCTCGCATGTCTTCCATCACACATGGCACTGCACTAACGTTTAATGTCAACGATGAAAACGATACCGTGCTGGCAGTTTACCACGATCGAGATCGATCACATGACAATGGCGTTGCTCTTTTTGACATTACACTTACCGTGTCACATGGCCATTCGGAAAAAGCAACTAACTGCTTTCTGGAATGCTCCGCAGATATGTTTGACGATCNACTACTATACTCAAAGGCGACTGCAAGAGTAGTGTCTGTCACTTATACTTTACTGAAATCCCATCAGTGAGAAAAAGTTGAAGTACAACTACGAAACCATGACGTTTATCTTTACTATTGCGTTCGATATTATCAGTATGTACTGCTAGGTTGGTTTAGTGGAAAATCGACAATAGGAATTTGGACAACGGAATTCGGACAATCTTGCAGATTTGAAAAACTGCATAGGCCTTCCTAGGAGTATTTCAGTAAAAATTTTCATGTAGCATCCCACTGCCCAGACCTATCCACACCCTCACATCCTCATCTGCACCCTCATCCTATCTCTCGGTAGTTTTTTTAAATCCGGCAATATTGTCCAAATTCCTATTGTCGATTTTCCGTTTTACTTTTTCTTCATCAAAAGTCATTTGTTTCATTCTTTCAAAATCAAATTTATAAAATATGCCATCTATTGTCATCAATCTCAATATATTCTCAAAAACGGAAATACACTGGTGTTAGGAAAGTTTGCATAACTTCGTCAGTGCTCGTGACGATTACAGAAGATTGCTTTCTGTGCTGGTGCAACTCAACAGATTGTTGAAGATCGCTATGAACTTTAATTAATAGAAGACTCGATCAGAATTTTCTATCTGTCGATTAATTTCATGAAGATGGCAACTTACAAAAGATTATAGCGAACATTTTCATGAAACCACGACACTTTAGAAACTATTTGAAAGAGTAGCCATATTTATGAACGAGATTGAATATGTAAAACAATGGATCATCCAATTGACAAAAGATATCTCAAACTGCGCGAGTCTCACCTTGTTCTATGACATAGAAAAGAACAAACCACATTATCCCATGGGATGATATTTGTCTCTCATCAATGTGTCATGGTGGGAAGTGTACTTTTATCCCATTCTCTCCCAACTTATAACATACAGAAAATATTCGGCATGTCATTTCATTTCTGTTTCTAACGCAAGTTGTGCACTTATCACCACCAAGATACACAACACTAGGTAATGGAGAGTTTTTCATGATTAATTATAGATAGAATAGTTGTCACACGTTTGAGACACTTACTAATATTTAGTGATGTGCAATGTATGAAGATATAGACAACAACATCCATGTGCTCTTTTTCTGTGCCTTCACAAAGAGAGAAATGGTCGATTAGATGCTTATAAGTCAACTGCATGAGCCAAACAAGATTCAGTTTAGTATAGCTTAAAGAATTCTCTCTTCTTATAATGGATAGGAGAAAGTAAGAAATAATTGGACGTAACGTTTCTGATGCGTATCTCACGTGAAATATGTTTGTGTTCAGTACACAATAGTTGACATTCTGATTGATCCTCGTCTTATTCCACATAGATACGCATAATATGCAGAATCATTCTGTTCGAACCAGATAGAATTGTCACAAACATTGTTATTTGTATTCCATTTCTAATGAATGAATGTATTGTCTGTTTTAGTAAAGAAATGGTGACTAACGACATTAATACAATTACACCGATCGAGAATCCACTCACGAATATGACATGTAGTAGCGAAGTGTTGAAGATAAACAAGTGTACTGATGAGACGAAGAGTGAATCTCAACCATTCAAGATGCCTCGTGCTCCACCTCATGTATATTCTTGCTTTGTTGTTAATTGCACCAACGAGCCGATTGACTGTATACTCAAGTATAATGGTCGTCCAGGTGAAGATAAATTTGATGAAGTAGCCAACGTCACTATTCCTGGCAACACTGAGCACTATTTTCCTCGTCAACTCTTTCAGCCTGATCTGCCCGAATCATACTGCAAATGGGTCAAGATTATAACGCATATCCAAGTGAAGAAGGCGAACGATCATATTTTAGAAGTGAACTATCCATTTGAGCATGTTCATTGTCCGATTCGCAACTGGGAATTTCATGTCAACAACGAAGGAGAGATCCTTTCAAAGCCACCTACTCGTGTCGTTAATGTTCTCAAGTATGAAAATCTCGATCGCTATGAATGTTGAAACTGTTCCTTGCTACCACCAAATTAATCTCTCTTTATCCACAAGTTTAATCACGAAATAAACACACTAAGAAGCCATGTTTTTCTGTCTCAATACTGCACAGTGCACAATATCGGGAACGTGAAAAATATTCGACATGTTTGTCCTCGTGGATATCTTTGTCATCTAAACCAAAAAAAGTATATTTTGATGTTAAATTACACATGTAGACTGATGATTTAGCGGCTATTCTCTTACACATGCATTGTACTATAGAATTGTTTAATTTAGTTGTACAACGAAAATATGTTGTCAATTAACTTTTTTCATGCACCCACGAGTAGTTTATTGTTTCACATTTGACGACTCTTTTCAATCATTTTGATCATGGTCAATTCGATCAGCTTATAATGATTCTATGTATATCTGATGATGATTCATTTCCAACAGTTGATTAGAACATGCTATATGCAACCGATTCAATATTCTGTTCTTTTGCCATTTCATGTTCACCTTCTAAATACTTTTCCTTTCAGAGCAGAAATGACGAACAAATTGATGTGCACTTAACTTCATGCTTAGTAACAACACAATCTATGATGATTTCGATTTGTTGTGTTCACACTCATACACACTCTTTTCTAAGTTCCACATCCACAAGCTTCAACAGCTATACTTCGACGATTGCTTCATGAACAGCCAACAGACAAAGAGACACCACTCGACATCAATCTGTAATCTCTGAACAGGTGTCGCGTTTGATGATAGATCCCATGACTAGTAGTGGGACACGACGAGCGAAAATCTGTACTATTCTGCAGATCAAATTTCTCCCCTATTTCTGCATTTCCCATTCTCATTCCCATTCCCATTCCCATTCCCATGGTAAAGATAAGAGGAAGTGTCGTTTACACTTAGGCCATGGGAAGATAAAGAAAGAGCTGGAGAAAGACGAAAGGGAAAGGGAAAGGGAAGCAGAAAAGGTCACTTCCCACAAACACTGCTCTAGACGTCTTCATCATATTGCTGAAATTTTTCTTGAGAATGCAAGAACGGAGATTAAGCAAGAATTCATGACAGTGGAAGCATCATTCGAAACGATTGCAATAGTACTGAGATTCGGAGCTATTTTACTCATACGAGAATATGTTATCAGTACAAGACAGGTCAAGTTGATTGTCGAATTCTCTTTTTTCAACTTTGAAAATATGCTGCGTGTTATAAGGAGAGATGACTATAGCGTTCGATTCGACTGAGAAAGTGCTAAAGGCGACTTCTTCTACAATGATCAAGAATTAATTGATAGAATCAGGTGACGAGGTCATTACTATGTTACATTTAAATGCTTACTCGATGATCATCAGCATTAATTCTCCATTGACATTGACTTTATAGGAGACAGTGATCTGCACGAGTTGAGTCTGACTTTACAATCGTCGATTATCGATGAGGTTCGAGCAAATCTCGGTTATCATGATCCATCTTGGCAATAAACAGTTATCATCGATAGCACTACCTCAGGTAAGAACCATCCTACTTATTGAATTAGCGGTGCCAACGAATAGTAGTCATAAACTAACGTTGTAAAACTAATGTCACTAAGACAAACGACAGTTGGATAGCTTTTCTCGAGACGAATGCGAACTTTACGGAAAGTGCAGCGCGAAGAAAATCATATCTAATTAGTATCAGATCATATTTCTCACAAAACGATCACAATACACTACTAGATTAGTTTTAGTTGATCTTATCTGATGACGCCATTTCTATACATTGAAGTACAAAAAAGATCGGTCTAAACGAACACTGACAAGCAATGGATGCAAACTGCACGCGAAATGCGTACGTTGCTTTGTATTTACATACTAAATGGCAAACTTATAAGAGATACATTGAGTATTCCATGTGATAACTGCACACTGCCCATTTCTTCGAGGTTAAACGAAACTTTCGAAAGCACGAAATCAATATCACTTCCGCTTTGGCTATCGAGAGAGCAGTTCTTGATTCTCTCTTTGCTCGTGGTTATATGTCACAGCGTTTTCTCCCACAGAACATTTTCTCTAGTGTGCTGGCATATGTCATTCTTCGTTCTTCTCTCTGTATTTCCCACGTGCGTATGCAGTGCGAAGATCACTGGCAAGTACACGTTCGTATACATCGCCTGTTCTGGTCTAGATGATAGCGTCGAATTTTCCCATCATCCCACAGCAGCTATCATCACTCATACGCTTTTATAGTCGATAGCTGACTGTTCTCCCATTTCCCGTGTGCCAAATCAAGAGAATATATACGGCAGTTTTCGTCTTAATTCATCATTTCTTCGGACATTGCATTGCTGTGGCACGCTGTTTTGCTCTTCTGTATAACGATCTCGATGCACGCTTGTGTGAGCGTCGCTTGTGAAAAGGGTGTGTTGGATAGCAAAATTGTTGATCTATGGAGAACAGCAGTGTCGGTGATGGACAAGCAAGAAATGACAATAGGTAGACTTCCACAAAGTACACTGACTTACATATGTTCGGTCATTGATTCAAGTATTGTATCGTTTCATGATAAACATGTTCTTCTTTTCAGATCGTTAACAGTCTAATACTTTTTACGTTTTCATTTACACGTACTGACCGACACACAGATTTGATCATATCACATGACGCTTACATCAGCTGTTGAAGAGGCAGTGGCCATCGTAGGTATAGCATGTGAATTTGCTGGCGACATTCATTCGCCGACAGACTTCTGGCGTGTACTCGAGCAGAGTAAAGATGTTGGCACATCGATTCCACCTGAGCGAACTGATCTCACTTCGTTCTGTGCTCACATGCTCAATCAAGACAAGAACGACCAGTTTCACAAGCAACTGATTCGTGCTGGCTATTTTCTATCGAAATCACACTGGGATACTTTCGAGGCAGGCTTCTTTGGGCTCTCCAACAGCGAAGCGATCGCGATCGATCCGGCTCATCGTCTGCTTATGCTCAAGTTTGTTCATCTAGTCGACGATGCTGGATATACGATGGAAATGATGAACGGGTCACGCACCTCAGTGCATATTGGACAGTTTTCCACAGATCACGCATACACCACATACCGCATGCAACCCGAATGTCGAACACGGCTGCACGGAATCAATTCCATGTTGTACAACGCCGCTGCCCGACTCTCCTATCACTTCAACTTGCATGGTCCCAATGTGTCACTTGACGTCGCTTGTTCATCGTCGTTAGAGGCTGTTCATCTGGCCGTCCAAGCCCTTCGCACAGGCGAATCAGACATGGCAGTGTGCGGTGGAGTCAACGCTGTCTATGCTCCGGAGAATCTTCTCAACGGCTCGCTCATCGGTGCTGTGTCGCCCGACGGTCGTAGTCGGTCATTCAGTGTGGATGCGAATGGGTATGCGAAAGGTGAGATCAGCACAGTAGCCCGTATTTGTATTTGTGTTTGATTTTCATGGATTGTTCTAGGCGAAGGTCTCGGTCTTGTCTTACTCAAGCGACTGAGTGATGCTGAACGAGACGGGGACCGAATCTATTGTGTTCTACATGATGTTCTCAGTCATCATGATGGGAACGAGGACAAGAATAATTTTGTTGTTCCGTCGAGTGTTGGTCAAAAGCGTCTCCTTACTGCTATTTACGATCGGGCCAAAATCGATCCGCAACGCGTATACTATGTTGAAGCACATGGTACTGGAACACCGGTAGGCGATCCGATCGAAGCAAATGCCATCGGACAGTTTTTCCATCGCTCGTCATTCGACCCACCATTGCTGATCGGATCTGTCAAAAGCAATATTGGTCATACGGAAGGCGCATCTGGCATAGCCTCACTCATCAAGATTGCTATGTGTATGCGGCATCGAATGCTTCCACCGAACATGCACTTTACGAGCCTCAATCCGAAAATCGACGCTCAACGCTACAATTTGCATGTCGTTCAACACTTTGTGCCATTTCCGCCAGCCACGGATGGCACAGTTCTGATTGGTATCAATTCCTTTGGCATGGGCGGAAATACAACGCATGCCATCGTCGAAGAATATCGACCGGTACACGGGAAGACGGTCGATACGTTCACTACCGGTTCTGTCGTCGACGGAAACTGCGCAACTAAACAGCACTTTGTTTTTCTCTTTTCAAGTAAGTTCACGTTTGATTCTGTTTGTTGATCGTCAAACTTGGTATCATTCAGCAAAATGTCAAGAGTCCCTTTTCAAACAAGTCGCCCAATTCCGGCTATGGTTACAAGAAGTCTCTAGCCAGATTCATGGCGACCAGGACGGTTTTCTCGTGCACGTCTCCGAGCAGCTACTTCTCAAACGTACTATCAGTTACAATCACTTGGCCGTTTTTGTATGTGCTGACCGTACACAACTAGAACAGCAAATCGACGCTTTTCTTACTCGACAGAAAGCGCCCGGCCTTTTTCTCACAACACGTCCAACTTCACCTCCGAGAAAACTTTGTTTCGTTTACAGTGGCCAGGGTCCGCAATGGTGGGCCATGGGTCGGCAGTTGTACAAGAATGAACCAATCTTTGCCCAGTGGATACGACGAATCCATAGTGAACTGGCTAAAATTAATCATGATGGTTGGAGCTTATTAGAAGAACTGATCGAGAAAAGTAGCGAACACGATTCTCGTATCAATGACACGAATATCGCTCAACCTGCACTATTTGCTATTCAAGTGAGCCTCACTGCTCTCCTCGCATCGTGGCACATATTTCCCGATACTATTGTGTCACACAGTGCAGGAGAGCAGGCAGCCGCTTTCGTTTCTGGTCGTGTTACCCTACAGGAAGCCATTCGTGTTGTTTACCATCGATCACGTCTCCAAAACCGCAATACTCGCCAAGGTGGTCGCATGCTAGCCGTATCCATGAGTGAGCAAACAGCAAGAAGCGAACTTCTCAAGGACATCGAACAGCAAGTATGTGTTGCGGTCGTCAACAGTTCTCGATCTGTCACATTGAGTGGAGACGAAACAATCATCGGTCAACTGCAGGAAATTCTCTCGACGTTGCATCCCAACGTGTTCAAAGCTCTACTTCGAATCGAAAACGCGTTTCATTCGCATCAGATGGATCGATTTAATATCGAAGAGGAAATGCTGTCAGCACTCGGTGACATTCGCGGCCTTCCTCTGCAAGATGCGCAACAAATGTTTGACGTGAGATGCAGTCAGGCTCGACTGTATTCAAGCGTCTCTGGTGACTACGTGAGTGATTGTACAGCACTCGATGCTCATCACTGGTGGTCCAACGTGCGACAATGTGTTCGATTCGCCGATGCTGTTGGAGCTGTCATTCGCGACAACGCTGCAGACGCCTTTCTCGAACTTTCACCTCATCCCGTATTGGCGACATCGATTCACGAGTGCTGTGAGCTCGTGGGCTTGCAGCCACTCGTTCTTCCTACACTCAAGCGAAAAGAAGACGAGCAGACGACACTTCTGACGAGTATCGCTCAGCTTACCACATCACGTATGGTTTGGCAGCACTACTTCAAATCTCGTCATGTACGTTCCAGTGACGTCGATGATGCACTCTTCGAATCCTTTCCATCCTATGCTTTTCATACGAGTCCCTGCTGGTATGAATCTCGAGAGTCTGTTATCGATCGTCTTTCGTATCGTCTGCCGATCCATCCACTTCTGGGCGTTCGTCAATGGACTCGACATACAAGTGCAACATGGAGGAGTCTGATCAACATTAATCGTCGTGAATATGCCTTTTTGAAAGATCACAAAATTCGAGATGTTATCCTATTTCCGGCTTCTGCTTTTCTTGAACTTGCACTGGCCGGTTGTCGTCAGCTGTTGGCATCGGATAATACTACACAAGCGACGATCGTGTTCGAACGAGTCGAGTTTGTCAATGCACTCGTTCTGACCGAACATCAACTGACAGAAGTCTTCACTCAAATCGTGACGCCGATGCGTGAATGGTTCATTTATAGTCGACCCTGGACGTCGGCCGGTCAAAGCTGTGTGCGTACATGCGGTATGTCGGGCGACGATGTACTCAATTCGTTTACGGACCCGCATACACTCAATCAATACTCGCTGAGCGAGTTCACACTACACGCCCATGGTTGGATCAACGTGGTCGACAAGAGTAGCATTAATCAACAGGCGCCTCTTCTTATCGATGTTGCCGTTGCTCGAGATTCATATGCAGAACTTGATCCGGCCAATATCTACGCTCATCTTTCCTTACGAGGCTACCAGTATGGGCCTTCGTTCCGATTGGTACAATCACTGCGTGCTACAACATCCATCGTGGAAGCTCAACTTGATAGCAGCATCTTCACTCAAGAAAGTGTCCCGAGTTATCACCTTATTCATCCAGCTGTTATCGATGCTTGCTTGCATCCAATTCTTGCCATCATGCCTGGAACGTCGACCACTCTACTTCCTGTCGCTATTGAAAAGGTGACTATAGCGGGAGAAACTACAACAATTTCTTCGACAGTACAGTTGCGGGGCGCCTGCCATGCTGGGATTGGTGGATTGGGCAAAGGACAAACGTATGAATGTGACTGCACGATCACATCAGGTGATACAACGACCAACCGGCCTCTCGTCACTTTCGAGCGTTTCACTATTCAACAAATCGAAGGTGCACATTCGACTTGGTCGACATCGGACAAGTCCGTATTCGACAAATTGAACATATTAGCAAGTTCACCTAATCGAGACTTCACGACGCATCTAAATACGATCATGGCCGAGCATTGTCTTAAGAAACAATGGAGTGAACAATTGATCGTGAGAAGCATAGCCGATATTCTTCCAGCACCTAGTGAATTCGAAATGAAAAGCATCCACTCGACGGACGATGGAGATCTGACAGAATCAATTCAGTCATTCAATGAATTGGCTGCGTGTTATGCTCGAATGGCGCTACAAGAACTGCCACTCGATTGCGTATCCGCACAGAAACAACCGCTGCTGGCTGCCTGCCTCTCTCTCACTGTTCATTCGAAAGTCGACATTACCTTTCATTCGACTCAACTCTACTTGGCACAGTTGCTCAAACGATTTCCACGTCTCAAACCGATATTGACCGTTCTGGCTGGCTGTGGCCTGTGTCTCCGACAAGTTCTCACTGGTGAGCAAGATGGACTAGAAGTCTTGTTGAAAAACGAACAGATCAGACGATCATTACAAGAAATCCAATCGCTCATCTCTGCTAGTCAGATAGGTGCCATTTTCCAAGTTCTTGATGAACATCTTCGATGCACGAGCGCTAATGTGTTGACTGGACACAAACTGCGCATATTCTGGCTGGGCGGTAATAGTGCTGTCGATGTCTTACCTATTCTTCGCCTTTTACTAAATTTATCTCACGAAACAGGTCTGTCTATCGATTTACATTATGTTGACCTGGATTCTGTTCGACTCACAGAAATTGAACAAACGCTCAGCGTACATTTGTCACATGAAAGTCGCTTGCACACGACATTCGATGACACGTTTGACTTGTTTAACCGTGATCAGAACAAGACATGGATGTTCGAATCGTATGATATCGTATTTGCCGCGAACAGAATGCAAGGCTGCGACCACCGTGCATCGCTCGCTGATGTTCGTGGTTTACTCGTTCCCAACGGTCTTCTTCTTTTGCTCGAACTTACACACGCTCCATGCTATTTCGACCTCATCTTTGGTCTGTTTGAGCAGTGGTGGTCACCAGCAGACAATCAACGTGCTCTGCTCAACGCTCAGCAATGGACAACAGCGATACAACAGATAGGCGGATTCGAAACAGTACAAGTCGTTCCGAATACATTTGGTAATTCTTTTATTGTAGCGCAGAAATCGCTCTGCCTCGAGATTCTGCAGACACTCGAAGAGCGCCAACGTCAAGCATGGATCTTGTTTATTGCCGAGACCAATTCTAACATTAGCGATACTCTTTCATCTCTTCTACCGTCTTCCAATGTCACATTGATTCATCCGTACGGCTCGGATGAGGAGCAGATTCGTTTGAAAATCGAACAAGTCATGCTATTATATGAACAAGTTCACATCGTCTTCGCATGGCCGCTCGATCAGATCTCGGCCAATGACAACAGCGAAATAGCATTTGCGCAACTAGAGACTCGTCTGTGTGGTACACTTGTTCGTGTTCTTCAAGCAATACAAACGATGCAGCCTCGTTCGTTTCCATTTGTGTTTGTTTTAACGCGAAATGCTCAGCCTGGTGCTGGTGCCGAATTAAATCCGATCGGAGCAGCCCTCATTGGCCTCGTACGCAGTCTCACAAGTGAATATGAGCGTCATCGACTGAAACTCATCGACTTACAGTCGCCATGGCAGCCAGCAGAACTATCGCCAGCTCTTCTGCGTGCCCTTGCTGAACATATCATCATGTCTCTAAGTGCAGATCATCTCGACGAGATCATTCTTCGACAGGACGAACACGACGGTTGTGTTAAACAAATCGAATGGCACTATGAGATGTTGCAAGAGCAGCAGCAGCAGCACGCCAACACCGAGTTGAAACCAGAACAAATATCAATAGTTCCCCACCGAGACGCTGATCAACAACGGTTTCGTCTTCAAATCGCTTCGTCCTCTTCTCCTCTCGAGCACCTCATGTGGATTCGTGAGAAAACCACGAGTGATCTTCGCACCGACGAACTCGAAGTTCGTATTCACTGTGTTGGTATCGATTTTCGTGATGTTCTCAAGGCGTGTGGTCTCTATCCACATGTGCGTCCATTTAGTCAATCTGATAAAGAGCGACTATTGTTCGATCCAGACGCGGAAGGTGGTTTTGATTTTGTCGGCACTGTTATTCGTTCCGGTTCAAATGGAAAATTCGAACCCGGTGATCGTGTGCTGGGCGTGTCACCACGTGGCGTGCTCCGTTCACATGTGATCGTTGGTAGTCATGAAATTGTACGCATTCCAGAAGAATGCAATCATTTGACTGACGAACAGCTGGCTGCGATGCCGTATGCTTCTCTCATGGCCCTATACTCGCTAAAGTATCGCATTAATCTACAGTGTGATCAAACTGTCCTTATACATGCTGCAACAGGTGCTGCTGGTCAAGCCTGCATTCAGTACTGTCGTGCGATCGGTGCTCGTGTCCTGGTCACGGATGACAGTGACGAGAAATGTCGCTTTCTCCGTGAATGCTGTGGCATCGAACATGTGTTCAATAGTAAGGACTTTTCCTTTGTAAGCGGCATACACAGTCTACTACCAGAAGGGGTCGATGTCATCATCAATTCATTATCGGGCTCTCTTCTGCAAGCATCGATCAAATTACTATCGTTTCAAGGTCATTTTGTTCAGTGGGACAAGAAAGATGTTTTCGACAAAAGCCATGTGTCCATGTTTGATTTGCGCAACGACTGCACTTTCCATCTCATCGACATAAACACACTTTTTGTCAACCGACCGAACAAATTCCACACGCTGCTCAACGAAGTCATGGAACTGATCATGAAAGGTGATTTCAAGCCGATCGAGCCAACAACTATCTATGAGACGTCACACGTGATCGAAGCATTCAAACAATGTAATAGCGGCGAGGCCATGGGCAAGTGTGTACTTCGCCTAGTGAACTCTCGGCAACTGTTGAGCTTAAACGATCAACAAACTGGAGTGCAGAAAAAAGGTCAGAAATTGTTTGTTGACGTATGCAATCAAATGTCTTGTCTAATGTTTGTAATATAGGCAATCGCAGTGGCATGTTTCCATTAGATGTATGTGAGCGAAGCACGATTCTGATTTCGGGAGGTTTCGGCGGTCTTGGCCTCACAATGTCTCGCTGGATGATCGAAGAACACGGTGTCAAACGGTTGGTTCTCATGAGTCGGCGGACCATCGGTCAACTTGAGCAAGCAGACAATCCAGAATATGAAGAATGGCAACGATTGCAATCGATGGCCCACAAACATGGCGCTCATGTCGAGGTAGTACAAGCAGACGTTACCAAGTTCGAAGATGTGCACGGTTTGATCGAACGTCTTAACAAGACGTCTTATCCAGTGCGAGGCATCATCCACAGCGCCGTCGTGCAAGAAGATCGTAGTTTGGCGAAAATAACTCAAGCGAATCTCATACGCGTGTTTGGCCCGAAAATTCGCGGTGCTTGGAATCTTCATCGAGCGTCACAATTGGCCAGTGTTCCACTTCATTTCTTTCTACTCTTCTCATCCATCCGCAACCACTTGATCGATTTGGCAACGAGTGGCTACAATGCTGGCAATCAATTCCTCGACATTCTTGCTCACTATCGCGCTGAACAACTCAATTTACCTGCTCTGTCGATCAGTTTGCCAGGAGTTAGTGGTGCTGGCATGTTTCACCGACATCGTCACATGTTGACACACCTACAGCATGCGACAGGCTTCGACTTGGTACCGACAACAGCTGTCTTCGAACTCATTGAGCGATTTCATGCGAACCAAATGACATGTCCGTGTCCTGTTGTCTTCGCGGTCAATTGGCAAAAGTTGTATGAAAACCGACATGGAATAGGTATTCATCAAGTGTGTCGAATTGTCGCACAACGGCACGCGTCCACGAGTAGCTCTTCGGCAACATTGGCAATCTCATCGGACAGTACTGTTGCAAGCGAGTCGATCTACGATCGTCTGGAAAGCATTGTAGAACGAACACGCGCGATAGTAGCATCGCTGCTCGGTACAACCAATGTCGAGCAGATCGATGTGAACCGTTCTCTCGTCAGTCAAGGGATGGACTCATTAGCTGCAGCATCACTGTACAACTGGTTAGGGCAGGAGACAGGCATTTTCATCTCACTGGCTGAGATTCTCAAAGGAATTTCAATACAGTCCATCGCAGAACATGTACATCGAAAGCGTCAAGCAGGCAAGCAAGCGAATGCAGTGTCCACTGATAGCGAGTCGAAGTTGCACAGTGATCTAGCCGAACAAGATGAGATCGACAGATACAGCTGGGTGCCCTACACAGGTACGGAAAATATCCTATGTATTCGACGTCCGTTCTGTTCCGACGATCCCATTCTCTTCTGCATTTCAACCGATTGTACTGAGCATAGCCACATATCGTCACACACACTTGTCAAACGGACGCTGGAACAATTCGGTCATATGTCAGCTGCCGCCTTCTACATTCTTCAAATAGCATCCATGGTGGACATTGCGGCAAGTTCTCGTGACATAATCTCTCAGATACGTCGTGTTCAACCGCGAGGGCCCTATATATTAGTGGCTACGCATGCCGATCGTGGCGAGATCGTTGCTGATGCGTTAGTTAAACAACTGCAGAACTACTCAAGCACGTCCGCCAGTCAACTACTTCTTCTAAAGTAACACTGATAAAAAGTCGAGGACTGTCGAAAATGCAGCACACCGAAAGCTATCGACATCGTCTGTTTGTCGTCGTGTAGTCGAGAGTGAAAGAACATATCTGTATGCAGGAGTGCGCTCTTAAAAACGATTCTTTAGCAAGTTCATTAACGGCATGTGTTGTCATGTTTGCTGTTGTTGGACGAGTGCCATTCGGAAACCGAATTGTGATGTTTATAAGTGACTTTGTTTCGCACACTAGACATGCTTCTGATCGAGATGCGATAACTACGCACCGATGTGACTGAGAACTTGTACTTCTTCACACTATGCTCCACTTTCTTGAGACAAGAAGACAAACACTCGATGGTATACGATTGTTCTCTGTGTGTTCTCATTCGTTCGCCTACAGTCATAGACAGAACAACTGATCTTCTTTGTTTTTTAACTTAAAATTCAAATATATGTAGTTTACAGCATGCTTCGAAGTGCCCTACCTAACATTATTGCGTCGATCTTAACTTTTCCTACTTTCTTTCAAAATCTGTAGATTAAACTCATTCAGTGTTTATACTATTCGATATACTATCGAACGACGTCTTCTCATTACTCAATTCACTACCATGAATTTGATTCCTATTCGAAGAGCAACAGCAGCAGCAGCACCACAACGAACTGCAAGCCCGACATTGAATGTTTCAGGTCGATTGCAGGCGTTAGCTTCATTTGCTCAACAGCGTGTTTGGCTGCACGAAAAACTCTACTTCAATCACCAGTCGTCTTCATTGGCAATTTACAATATTCTTGTACCGTTAACGATTAAACATGGTTCGCTGTCGGTTGAACGCATTCGACTGGCTCTGCTTTCAGTACTCGACTACCACACGATTCTTCGAACGGCAGTTCGTTTCAATGGAGAAAGTGGACAGCTCGAGCAGGAAGTACAACCTCTCAGTCACGATCTATACTCCTTTGAATGCACCTCGAATGTCAACTCATCGGAGCAGCTAGATGCCATGCTGACGGCTGAGTCGGTGACCAACCACTTTAACTTGGAAGAGGGCAAAGTAGTTCGGTGTCATCTGATGCTATTGAGCAAGCACGGTGATCAACAAGTGCTTCGCAAGGGCGATCTGATCATTTTTTCACTCCATCATATTGCATTTGACCTGAGCTCAGTGGGACCGTTCATTCAAAGTTTTAGTGAAGCATGTAATCAGACGAAACCTATGAAAATCGTTGGCAGAAGACCACAATACATTGACGTTACTCTGTATGAACAAGCTCTACTGCGAGATCCCAGTACCGCCGGTGCTCGACAGTTTTGGTCTACATTACTTCGTGGCTATGACTGGTCGAAGAAATTTCTTCAGTCTGTTACTCTTACACAAACACACAGGAAGGTGCAGTCAGGACGCGGCTATTCGAAAGCATTCACTCTTGATCCAGATTTGGTCCACGCACAGATGCTCTTCGCTTCATCGCACAACATCTCTATGTTTCAATTGTATCTTACCTGTTACTACATGTTCATTCATCAATTGGATGGCAGTTGTGACTTGTGCATCACAGGTGCGACGGACAACCGCCGTCTGTTAGAACTGAAATCCATGGTTGGCATGTTTGTCAATCTGATCCCCTACCGGATTCAACTCAACCCATGCGAGTCATTTGCGAGACTTGCTTTGCAAGTTCAACAGTTGTGCCTTTCGATTCTCGAACACAACCATCTACCGTATCAGTATATCATCAATGCTGAGAGTCACGAACGACAAGCCATGTCTCAACTATTCTTTCAATATGAATCTCGCATGTCTTCCATCACACATGGCACTGCACTAACGTTTAATGTCAACGATGAAAACGATACCGTGCTGGCAGCTTATCACGATCGAGATCGATCACATGGCAATGGCGTGGCTCTTTTTGATATTACACTTACCGTGTCACATGGCCATTCTGAAAGAGCAACTAACTGTTTTCTGGAATGCTCTGCAGATCTGTTTGACGATCAGACATTCGTGGATACATTGGCTAACAGTTTTCAGCATATGCTTGGTCAGCTCTTTATCGAACATCAAGCGGATCTTGCCACAAAGCCTATGAATCGACTATCTCTGTTTCTTCCAACGGCAGCTGATCAAATACGGCGCCTGGCATTTCTACGGCAGGTCAACACCAGCGAAGGTACGAACGCGAGAAATCTGTTCGAACAAAATCAATGAATTTGTCATTGATTGTTTCTTTTAGGTCCAGCGTCATTCGCTCAAGCATATATGTGGCTCGACGACCATCTGAGATTCGACGCTAGCAAGTGCAAAGTAGCCATGTGTAACCTGCCTTTTCTTTATCGCATCGAAACTGGCACATTGTCTATCACAAGATTACGCCACGCGTTACAACTAGTCATCATCAAGCACCATGTACTACGCACTGCGCTCTTCTTCGACTCTGACAAGCAAGAACTTGTTCAACGTATTCTTCAACCTCAACACAATGAACAACTCTTCACATTCGTTGACTCGACAATCGAAACGGATGACAGCTTGCTGACGATCATGCATGATGAACGAGGCAACTCCTCCCATTTTGACCTTGCCAAAGGTCTTGTCTGTCGATTACATGTCGTACGGCGAAACTCGACTAGCAACGATCTTGACGAAGGCGATGCCATCATTTTCAACTTCCATCATGCAATGTTTGACTTTCCTTCGATGCCTATGTTTCATCGTGATCTCGAACAAGCATATCTAATGGGTGAACTGCAGTTAGACGACGACAATCAACTGCGCTATCTCGACTGTGAGTATGAACACATTCTTCTTCTTCTTCTTCTTTTTCTCGCTCACTCACTCACTCACTCACTCACTCACAATGTTTCGTTATGTGCGTTTAGATGCCATCGCCGAGCGACAAATGCCTATGTCGATGGCTCAAGACTTCTGGCTCGAATCACTGCGCGATTATGAGTTCGATCGACCCATTCCATTACCTTTCGATCGACATCGTCTGTCGGACGAACAGCGCACAGGTCGTGGCATATCGGTGTCATTCGAATTCGGTCCGGATCTATCACGGGCGCTTTTGGCACACGCGGCGAAGAGCGACACAACACCCGAATACTTGTTACTCGCCTGCTACTATGCCTTCCTATTCAAGTTGACCAATGGAGAGCAAGATCTTTGTATTGGAATGAACATTAACGGACGATACAAAGATGAGTTGCACTCAATTATTGGATCCTTTGTTACAACGCTTCCCTGCCGCGTCCAGCTGGATCCAAATGGCTCGTTCGAACAACTAGTTGAACAAGTGCGAGATCGATGTCTGTCGGTTCTTGAACACTCACACTATCCTCTTCAACACATCGTCGGTAGTCATCATGCTCCGGCGTTTCTTGAGACTATGTTCGATTATATCACTATCGACTCGGCGATGGAACAAGTCAATCTTGATGGTGCACTATTACAGTCGACGTCATTCGAACAGTATGATCATGTGGCAAAATTTGACATGATGTTAACACTGTTTCAGCATCCGTCAGATAGGTTGTCTTGTTCATTGATTTGTTCGCAGGACGTTTTTAGCGAGAAAACTGTTCAGACACTCGCTGACCGATTCGTGGTTCTTCTACAGCAACTATTCGATCATGAAACTACATCAACTCCACTCTACCAATTATCGCTACTTCTACCTGATGAAAGCGCACTGATGCTGACTCTCAATCAGACAGAATCTGAAGTCATGAGTAGCGAGAAGAACTCACAGTGGCTTCCAATCGGACACGCATTTAATCAACAAGCGCAGAGACATCCTCAGAAAGTAGCTGTGGAACTCGACGATCAATGCTTGACATATAGCGAATTGTTCATTTATGTTCAACGCTTGTCGATGTGTATGGGCCATCGTCAGAATCAAATCATTTGTCAATGTATCGAGCGCAGTATTGAAATGGTTATTGGACAACTGGCAATTCTTTCATGTGGCGCTGCATATTGTGCTCTATCGCCTGATGATCCGCCGACGCGACTTGATGCTCTAGTAACTCAAGTCGGAGCCGAAGTCGTCCTCGTTCATTCGAAGACCCACGCGAAGTTCGATGGCATGTTTCACGGACATCTCATCGATGTAGGGCTCATCGACAGTTGCACCGATTACTCGACGAACATTGGTACAGATCATTCTCTTCATTGTGACAGTTCTCCCGACAGTCTTGCCTAGTGAGTGATAGCTATTGTGCTCTTCGCTTTATTTTCACATATAATAACGCGGTCGTCTACGTAGTGTCGTCTTCACAAGTGGCTCCACTGGGACGCCGAAAGCGGTATGGTTTCGATAAGTGATCACATCCTGTTGATGTATCGTATGTTTTTCACACACAGGTTCCCATCACGCATCGCAACTTTGTTGCATGCATGACTTCTTTTGAACAGCTCGGTATTTTGACTGCCATGGATGTGGTCATTCAAGTAGCACCTTCGTCTTTCGATGTTCATGTGAAAGAGTGCATAGGAACATTGATGCTCGGAAGTTCGCTTGTTCTGCTCCATCCGCAAGGTCATCTCGATATTCATTATCTTTCGAGCACTATTCAGCAACATAATGTCACTTTCTTTTGCATTGTTCCATCACACATGACTATTCTTTCCAATTATCTGATAGAACAAAACGAATACTCTCGTCTCCGTAGTGTTCGCAAGTTTGGCTTTCTTGGTACGTTCAACTTTGTCTTCTCGCTAGCGGACTTCCTTCGATTACTCCACATCTTAACTTTATTTTAGGAGAAGCCATTATTCCCAAGACACTAACTGCAATAGTTGCACACGTTGACAAGAACACCGTTGCTATCTACAATTTGTATGGTCCTGCCGAGTGCACACTTACTTCGGTCTATCATCGAGTGACAATGGACGACATTGAGCAAGGAAGCATACCCATAGGCAAACCACTCATCAACAATCGATGTGTCGTCGTTGATCAGTTTTCGCAACCTACGATGATCGATGAGCCCGGCGAACTGCTAATCGGAGGCGCAGGCGTGTTTCCTGGCTACCTTGGCCAACAGCATATCACCGAAAAAGCACTCGTCGAGATTCACGGCACGCAGTTTTATCGAACGGGTGACATCGTCCGAGTGGATCGGAAAGGTCTTCTTCACTACATCGGTCGTAAAGATCATCAAGTGAAACTGCACGGACAACGAATCGAACTCGGTGAGATTGAACAATGTTTACTTGACTCGTCGTCTCATGTTTCAGGGGCCGCGGTCGTAAAATATAACGCCGATCATTTGGTCGCATACGTTCAAAGTGATCGCAGTGCAGAAATAGAACTACGCGACTATTGTCGATCTCGTTTACCACCCTTCATGATTCCATCGGCGTTCATCGTCCTCGACCAGTTTCCACTGAACTCGAATGGAAAACTAGATCGAAAACGTCTTCCCACACCCGACTTTTCTTCGGCATATAATCGAACAGCTGATGCTCCTCAAAGTCCACTANTTGTTCTCACTCACTCACTATGTTTCATTATGTGCGTTTAGATGCCATCGCCGAGCGACAAATGCCTATGTCGATGGCTCAAGACTTCTGGCTCGAATCACTGCGCGATTATGAGTTCGATCGACCCATTCCATTACCTTTCGATCGACATCGTCTGTCGGATGAACAGCGCACAGGTCGTGGTATATCGGTGTCATTCGAATTCGGTCCGGATCTTTCACGCGCGATTCTGGCACACGCGGCGAAGAGCGGCACAACATCCGAATACTTGTTACTCGCCTGTTACTATGCCTTCTTATTCAAATTGACCAATGGAGAGCAAGATCTCTGTATTGGAATAAACATTAACGGAAGATACAAAGATGAGTTGCACTCAATTATTGGATCCTTTATTACAACGCTTCCCTGCCGCGTCCAGCTAGATCCAAATGGCTCATTCGAACAACTAGTTGAACAAGTGCGAGATCGATGTCTGTCGATACTCGAGCACTCACACTATCCTCTTCAACACATCATCGGTAGTCAGCATGCACCGGCATTTCTTGAGACTATGTTCGATTATATCACTATCGACTCGGCGATGGAACAAGTCAATCTTGATGGTGCACTATTACAGTCGATGTCATTCGAACAATATGATCATGTGGCCAAATTCGACATGATGTTGACATTGTTTCAGCATCCGTCGGATAGGTTATCCTGTTCATTGATTTGTTCGCAGGACGTTTTTAGCGAGAAGACTGTTCAGGCACTCGCTGACCGATTCGTGATTCTTCTACAGCAACTATTCGATCATGAAACTACATCAGCTCCACTCTACCAATTATCGCTACTTCTACCGGATGAAAGCGCACTGATGCTGACTCTCAATCAGACAGAATCTGAAGTCATGAGTAGCGAGATGAACTCACAGTGGCTTCCAATCGGACACGCATTTAATCAACAAGCGCAGAGACATCCTCAGAAAGTAGCTGTGGAACTCGACGATCAATGCTTGACATATAGCGAATTGTTCATTTATGTTCAACGCTTGTCGATGTGTATGGGTCATCGTCAGAATCAAATCATTTGTCAATGTATCGAGCGCAGTATTGAAATGGTTATTGGACAACTGGCGATTCTTTCATGTGGCGCTGCATATTGTGCTCTATCACCTGATGATCCGCCGACGCGACTTCATGCTCTAGTAACTCAAGTCGGAGCCGAAGTCGTTCTCGTTCATTCGAAGACCAGTGCGAAGTTCGATGACATGTTTCAAGGACATCTCATCGATGTAGGACTCATCAACAGTCACACCGATTACTCGACGAACAATTTTGGCACAGATCATTCTCTTCGCTATGACAGTTCTCCTGACAATCTTGCCTAGTGAGTAATAGCTATTGTGCTCTTCGCTTTATTTTCACATGTAATAACGCGGTCGTTTAACGTAGTGTCGTCTTCACAAGTGGCTCCACTGGAACGCCGAAAGCGGTATGGTTTCGATAAGTGATCACATCCTGTTGATGTTTCGTATGTTTTTCACACACAGGTTCCAATCACGCATCGCAACTTTGTTGCGTGCATGACTTCTTTCGAACAGCTCGGTATTTTGACTGCCATGGATGTGGTCATTCAAGTAGCACCTTCGTCTTTCGATGTGCATGTGAAAGAGTGCATAGGAACACTGATGCTCGGAAGTTCACTTGTTCTGCTTCATGCGCAAGGTCATCTCGATATTAATTATCTTTCGAAGACTATTCAGCAACACAATGTCACTTTCTTTTGCATCGTTCCATCACACATGACTATTCTTTCTAATTATCTGGCTGAACAAAGCGAATACTCTCGTCTTCGTAGTGTTCGCAAGTTTGGCTTTCTAGGTACGTTCAACTTTCTCTTCTCGCTAGCAGACTTCCTTCGATTGCTCCACATCTTAATTTTATTGTAGGAGAAGCCATTATTCCCAAGACACTGGCTACAATAATTGCACATGTTGACAAGAACGCCGTTGCTATCTACAATTTATATGGCCCTGCCGAGTGCACACTTACTTCGGTCTATCATCGAGTGACAATGAACGACATTGAGCAAGGAAGCATACCCATAGGCAAACCACTCATCAGCAATCGATGTGTCGTCGTTGATCAGTTTTCGCAGCCTACACTGATCGATCAGCCTGGCGAACTGTTAATCGGAGGCGCAGGAGTGTTTCCTGGCTACCTTGGCCAACAGCATTTCACCGAAAAAGTACTCGTCGAGATCCACGGGACGCAGTTTTATCGAACGGGTGACATTGCCCGAGTGGATAGGAAAGGTCTTCTTCACTACATCGGTCGTAAAGATCATCAAGTGAAACTGCACGGGCAGCGAATCGAACTCGGTGAGATTGAACAATGTTTACTTGACTCGTCGTCTCATGTTTCAGGGGCTGTGGTCGTAAAATATAACGACGATCATTTGGTCGCATACGTTCAAAGTGATCGCAGTGCAGAAATAGAACTACGCGAACATTGTCGATCTCGTTTACCACCCTTTATGATCCCATCGGTGTTCATCGTTCTCGACCAGTTTCCACTGAACTCAAATGGAAAACTAGATCGAAAACGTCTTCCCACACCCGACTTTTCTTCGGCATATAATCGAACAGCTGATGCTCCTCAAAGTCCACTACAGAAACAAGTGCATGCCTTGTGGTGTCAAATACTGCAACGTGAAAGCGACCAGATATCGATCACAGCGAGCTTCTTCAGCATTGGCGGTCACTCTCTCCTGCTCATGCAACTCTACCATCGCTATGTGACAGTATTCGAGTTAGACGCAAATACTCTTACCATCGGACAGCTTTTCCAACATTCGACGATTGTGGATCATGCCCGCTTTATCCAACTTGCTCTCCATAAGCCTGAACACGGCAACGACTCTTGGGTATCGCTCCATCTCAACGAAGGTAAAACAGAATTTCATGGAAGAATGCAACACCTCTTCTACTACTTCCGATTTGTGCTACCTTTACAGGTCAAGTGTCCTTTGCTCAAGAACGCATCTTTCTCGACGAACGAATTCGCTTCAGCTCACAAGGCAATCGTATGTATACTGTTCCACTGCTCTATCGCATCTCGTCTAGAAACAATCATGTGTCGATCNAACAAGTGCGAGATCGATGTCTGTCGATACTCGAGCACTCACACTATCCTCTTCAACACATCATCGGTAGTCATCATGCACCGGCATTTCTTGAGACTATGTTCGATTATATCACTATCGACTCGGCGATGGAACAAGTCAATCTTGATGGTGCACTATTACAGTCGATGTCATTCGAACAATATGATCATGTGGCCAAATTTGACATGATGTTGACATTGTTTCGGCATCCGTCGGATAGGTTATCCTGTTCATTGATTTGTTCGCAGGACGTTTTTAGCGAGAAGACTGTTCAAACACTCGCTGATCGGCTTTTGTCACTCCTGAGACAACTTTTTGCGTCTACCACACTGTGTATGACAAAATTACCACTTTATCATATGTCCATCATTGTTCCAGAGGAACGACAGATAATAAATGCGATGAAGACCAAGGATATTAACCGTTTGCAGCTAGCGGATGGAACCATTCGCAATTTATTCATTAAAACGGCAGGCATTTATTCTCAAAAGATAGCGGTGGAACTAGATGAACAATCGTTAACCTATAGCGAGCTTCTATTTTATGTGCAACAATTCGCTCTTGTTCTTATTGGTACATACGGCGTGTGTGTAGGTGAGATTGTTTGTCAGTGTGTTGAACGAAGTTTGTCAATGGTGAGATAATGATATAAAATAATTTATTACAGTTATGGGGTCATATTTTCTAGGTGATCGGTATGATGGCAATCGAAATGGCTGGCGCAGTGTATTGTCCATTGTCTCCTGAAGAGCCTGTTAGACGTTTGCAGTCTCTGGTGGAAGAAACTCGTAGTCGTCTTGTAATCATACATAACTTGACACAAGATAAATTTAATGCCCGCATTTCTACTGTGCTCATCGACGCATCGATGTCTACAGAAAACATGCTAAATACCGATGAGCTTGATTGTCTCTCAGGCGTTTTTCTGAACGGCAATAATATAGCATATGTTATTTTCACAAGTGGATCAACGGGTACGCCTAAAGCCGTAAGTAGACAAAACTATGCAACAATTTTATATTTGCAATGTTGTTCCGGTATTAGATTCAAGTGCGTCATCGAAATTTAACGGAGGCGATTCGCTCACAGGTAGAGATGAACACGCTGAGCGAAAGTGATACCTTGTTACAAATGGCTCGATGCTCGTTCGACGTACATGTTGGTGACATAATCGGAACGTTGATAGTCGGCGCCACTCTTGTAATGCTCCACCCGGATGGTCACATCGATTTCGAATACCTGAGTCAAGTGTTAATAGACCATCAGATTACTTATATGGAAGCTGTGCCCACTTTACTGACGAGTTTCTTCCACTATCTAGAAGAAAACATGTGCAACTCAGCCAGGAGATTCTTAAAATCTCTGTGCTCCGGCGGTAAGGATATCTAGATCATATGACAGCCAAAATTACCCTGCCTGATCTATCTGTTAAGGCGAGCCTATATTTCCTCAGCTGATCAAATTACTCCGAAGAAACATTCAAACAACGTGTCGTATTTGGAACTCGTACGGTCCCGCAGAAGCAACCATCAATTGTACCTTTCACCTCGTCGATTGCGAGGATGAGCAAAGCACTGTTCCAATCGGCAGACTACTACCTGGCTATCGGTGTGTTGTTATCGATCAGTTCTTAGAACCCGTCTTCCTTGGACAAGAAGGCGAACTCCTTGTAGGTGGTATTGGCGTGTTCGCCGGTTACCTGGGAAGCGATAACTTGACGAAGAATGCTCTCATCGACATCGACGGCGAATTGTTCTATCGAACAGGCGATCTTGTTCGGTTGAGCAGTAGTGGTGTACTTCACTTTGTTGGCCGTAAAGACTATCAAATTAAATTGCGTGGACAACGAATCGAACTCGGGGAAATTGAACGTTGCTTACTAGAGTCTTCCCCGTTTATTTCATCTACTGTCGTCGTTAAATACGACGATCATCACTTGGCTGCCTACATCCAAAGTAGTAATATTGAAGAAAACGAACTAGCTATATATTGTCGATCACATCTACCATCCTACATGGTCCCGTCGGTGTTCATCGTGCTTAAACAATTTCCATTGAATGCAAATGGCAAGCTCGATAGGAAACTTTTACCGAAGCCCAACTTTTCCGTTTTATCGACTGTCACCCATCAAATTCAAAACAATAAATCCAATTCAGAGCCCAACAACGAACTAGAAATGTGCATACATTCACTTTGGTGTGAAGCTCTACAATCCAATCATATTTCTACTCACGATAGTATTTTCACCATCGGCGGTCACTCTCTCATTCTCATTCACCTGTACGCCCGCTATAAGAAAATCTTTTCTTTTAATACACGCCATATTACCATTGGTCACATATTTCAACATCCAACAATATTCGACCACGCTTATCTCATCCAACAAGCGCTAAATACCGAGCAACATCAGGAAGAATGCTGGCCCTCAGTAAACATAGATCAAGGTATTGATTTACACTAACATAACGACCGATATTAATTTTTACTCCCTAGGTCGAGCGTCCTTTGCTCAAGAACGCATCTTTCTCGACGAACGAATTCGCTTCAGCTCACAAGGCAATCGTATGTATACTGTTCCACTGCTCTATCGCATCTCGTCTAGAAACAATCATGTGTCGATC